AGAAAACAGCTCTTTCTTTCTTTCTTTCTTTCTTCGGCGGCCGGGCAGGCAATCGATATCTTATGGATTTGCGATGTCCTGCCGCGTTTTTTCTTTTCCGCAAAGCACACAAAAACTTTTTCCTTTCGTATCGCCGAATGGTCAGAGAGTCCGAGTGCTTAATAATCAAAGTCGAATCATTATTTGTGCGAAGTTTGTTTTGAATATTTTAAGGTGTATCACCTGCCATATTGGCGGCGCACAATCTGCTTCGGGCCGGGCGGGCGGGCGGGACTAAGGGGCGCCTCCTCCTCTCACTCCTCCCCCAACCCATAAATACCCCCGCACTTTGCACCCCCGCTCGATCGCTCGCTACATGCACACCAATCCGCGTGTAATCGCATGAAAATTCGCGCACCAAATTCGCACCAAATCTCCGATTGTTAATTCTCTTTTGACACGAAATTGCAAAGTTCAACTCTCACTGCGCACTTACAGGGTTTGTCGTTTTACTAAAAATCAGGAAGAAAAAAAAACAGTCATTTTTATTTTTACAATAAATATCTTTTCTATACCAAAATTTAAATCTGCACATTTTTAACGCATCTCTCAAAAAATCTGCAAATTAAGATTTCATTTAGTAACTTTATTGTCTGAAATTTTTATCAAATTTAAAATAAAGATATTGCTCACCGTATAAATTCAAAAATGACCATCAGTTCCAAATTTTTCTTAAAGAGGGGTGTCGAGTGACGAAGAAACGTGAGAAAAATTTACTGAGGTGCGGTTTCCTGAATTAGCAATGAAAATTTACAGGTTGCAGGCCAGATTTTATTTTTGCAAAATTTGATTGAGTTAATTTTTATCAATTTTGGTCGGATCAATTTAGAGTAAAATATTATTTTGGAATATTCCCAGTAAATAATTTAAGGAAAAATAATGAAATCTCAATTAATTAATTAACCTTTCTTTACTCCATTAAACAGAGGAAATTTATAAACTATTTCCAGTTAAAAAAAAACATAAGTTGAATTTTAAATTTAACTTCAAAATCTAATAAAAGTTTCTGGATAAATCTCTTCTTTTACAAAAAATTTGATAAATAAATTTTTTTATTTTAAATCTCTTCCTTTTTGCAAAAATGATTTTACTGCACAGGTTTGTCTTTTCCATGGAATGAGCAGGAATGGTTTTTTTTATATCTTTTCACGCATTCATGCAAAAAGGTGGTTGTATCTTTTTTGCAACTCCATGTGGACGCGATTTATAGCCCTCGACGCTTCTCCTTTTCTTTCTTATTCTTTTTCGCTCTTCCTCTCAACCTTTTCCGCTGCCAAGAGCATATTTGTGCGCCGAGAATGGAAATTTATTAGCAGGAATTCGGCGTGTCGTGAAATCAGAGATAAATCATATGGTCCTGAGAAACAAACTTGGCTCGACCGCAAATGAATTGAGAGAGAAGAGAGAGGCGAGGTGTCTGCAGCGGCTGCACTCCGACCAGATGAAAATATGGCTACGGAAGAGAGAGGCTTTCCACAAGATTAAATTGTTATATAGTGAGTGTGCAGGAGAGGAAGAGACACTTTCAAATTAAGCGAAAAATGAGTGGGCGCTGCTGCTGCTCGCTCGCAAGTTATGTGAAAAAAAAATCGTGGAAAATGTTTTCTCCCATTTCGCAGATTAAATTTTCTGATATATCTTGCTGGTGAAGCCCTGCATATGCCCGAAGCTAATTGAAAAATTTAGAACTACTTCCAAGATTTTGAGATTTGAATTTTTTAACAATTACGCACCTAATTAGCTAAAAAATCTGGATATGAAAAGGTTAATATAAAATTAAGCTTTTTAAATACAGAGCAAAGGCCGCGCATCAGCTCTATTATGTTGGCCAAAAAAAAGATGTCTTCCGCCCGAGCCATAAGGCCCCATGGCTCTGACGGCAGCCGTGTACCAACATAATTTTGGGATGCGCAGCCTTTGATACAGAGTAAAACTTTTAAATTTGAATTTTGTGATGGAATTTTATATTGGAGCTCATTTTTAATTATTTCAAAATAGAAATAAGGCAGATCTGATTTTTAAAGACACTTTTAAAATGAAATAAAATGACTTTTTCTGAATATTTTGTAAGAGAGAGCTGAGGATTAGTGAACAAAAATTAAGGTTTTTAGAGATTGATTCAGAAACCATCTATTAATTTTATAAATATGTAATTAAACCTATTAAACATTAAAAAATCAATATATAAACAAAATTTATTCATCTTCAAATAGTAACTTATTTTTGCTCCATATCCACACTGCAGTGGGAGTTGGAAATAATAAAAAATGAATCGCGGGAGCGCCGCGCAATCGGGAAACAAAACGCGGAGCATCATTTGGAAATAGTTACGCGGGGGTTCCTCTGCTGTATATTATCGTGGAGAGGGACGAGGGTTGCAGGGGTTAGTGGCGGCGGCGGCGGCGACACGGCCTCGTAAATAATACAGCAAAACTAGCAATATCACTCTCTCGCACCCCGACCATGAACGCGCGCGTGCAGCCATTTAGCGTAAAAGCTTTTCATTATTTCTTCGTATGGCTCGCCATGCGCCAGCCAATTAAATTAGCGCGACCTGCATTCTGCCCCAACAAATCAAGTCTGCACTCCGAATTTTGAAGAAAAAAAATCGCTCAAAAACAAACTCTCAAAACTTTGGCAAATAAAAGAGATTTTGGCTGTTTTAGTTTTGCTTTCTAATTTTATTATCTGCTTAAGCTTTGCTTTTAGTTACCAAAAACTTACCAAAATGTACTTTATTGAAATTAGAGAGACATAATTGAAGGTTGAAAAGTGCAAAAAATTTAAATAATATTATTTAAATTGTAAATAAAACTCTGGAATTCAAAAGTTTCAATAAAAAATTGCATTATAGCGATTTTTAATACCTCTCTGAAATAAAAAAAAAAAACGCAATTTTTATCCTGCCATAAATCTGGCAAAAAGTTTGATTGGAAATACGTTTTTGACAATCTCGGCTCCGAAAAATGCCGTCAATGCAAAAAGCGAATGTAACCGCTGCAAACTTTTTATGATTTATGCGTTTCCTCCCAAGCAGGGCCGACCGAAATTTTGCTGAAAATTGACAAACTCATTGGAAGGACAGGTTGTTAAGAAATCGCGGAATTGATTTGTCTATTTAGCAAAATGACTCTTATTGCTTTTCCGGCGGCGCGCGGGCACTCGTGTCTCTCTGATAAGCGCGTGGTGTGACAAGGGTGTTGACACGCCGCTTTGCAAGGGAGAGCAAATTTATGGCAGGGACGAGGGTGCGCTAAATTGTGGGTGCGCCGATTAAAAGCATCTCAAATCGAATGAAAGCCACACACTGATTTCGGCGGCGCTCATGAATTGAAAAAACAATCCACGGCCGAGCTGCGGCCAAAAACACTTGAGATAAAAAAAACGCGCAGGGGGACAAAAAAAAACGCAAATGTGGCCAAAAGCCTAACCGATTCCAAAATCAAAGCTTTAATTAAAACGATCTGAAAATGCCATAGGAATTCTGGTTGAGGAATGGTCATTAAACATTGATTTTGTTCTTAATAAGAAATTTTCCCACAGTTATTCGAAGTTAAAATTTGATTTTTAGTTTTATTTTAATCTATAGCTTTATTTTTTATTCTTAACAAGTTCAAGATAATAAATAAAATATTTTAACTAAAGATTTATAGAATTCTGATGCTCATTTTTTTTAGTAAGAAACTTGTGTAGAATTCAAAGCTTCACATTGAAAATTGGTATGTTCAATAAATTTTCATGTTTGAAAAACCTATAAAATGATTATAATTTCAGTGCGGCTTCCTAAATTAATGTAAATTCTGAATTTTGCTTAACCCAAAACGGTATATTTTGCATAATCAAATAACTCAATTCTACCATTTGCATCAACCGCAGCAATGATTGGATTGAAGGAGTGTAAAGTAGGCAAACATCCGCACACAGATGACACTTTTGTTGCCTACTTTTCAAACCCAAATAAAATTGAATGAATTTTTTAATTTGACTTGAAATAGAGTCAAACTTGAGAACAAGAAAGTTTCAATCACAATTTTGTAATAAATTAGTACCTTAAAATGAAATTTGTACAGAAATAAAAGAAACCAAGTTTTATTTTTTAATTTATTTGACACAAGAAAGACAAAAATTTATTTGGCGATAAAAATAGGAAATTTTTATTTAATCCAAAATCCAATTAAATACATAATATTTCAAAGAATTGAAGAAACAAAACCAATTTAATTAATATTGATGATCGGAAAGGAAAATTAAAAAAAAAATGATATCTTCCATCGCTGGAAACGAAAACTTTGTTACATGAAATTTTCACATCGTCATGATGTTGATGCAAATCTTGCCGCCTCTCTTGTTTATTACCCTGAGCGTTTTATTTATTCTCGCGATGAAAAAAGTGACGAGTCACTTTGGTGCGAAGCCATTATTCCATTATTCAAATGCGGATTTGATGAAATAAATATCGGCGGCGGCGGCGCGAAATAGGCAATATAATTGCGTTCGCCCGCGGCTCCGATTTGAAAGCGGCGGCGGCGGCGGATTCTCAGAAAATATAATAAGCGCGTTTAAAATGCAAATTGCTTTTGCTCGTCGGCTTTGCTTTGCGGCGAGAAACGTGAATTAAACATCGTGCATTAGAGAAAAATAGAGAGAGCGAGCGGTGCTGCTGCAGAAATAACAAATGCTAATCCCTTTATGCTAATTTAAGTGGCGGCTGAACATGCAAAAAGGTGTAGCGTGTAAATTCATGGCTCTGTGCCGCGCTAATATGTTGTTATTACGACACGAGAGAAGGACTAAACAAGGTTACCGTTTCAATTTCTGTGTGCAAAGCGACCCTCGCTCGCTACACCCGCCCTAATCTAATAAATATTATCTTCCGCTGCAAACTCCGTCGCTTTGCAAAACACCCGCGCCGCAACACGCCAAATCGCGCGTTAATTTCATGCATGGACTTGTAAACGAGAATGACAAGTAACAAAACACGTCAACGCATCACTTTAATATATTCACACAAAATTCATTTAAAAATTGTTGCCTCAGCTTTTCAAATAATTCGATCTTGAGTATACTTATCTTTGTCTTCAAGTTTAAAATTTACAGTGTTATAATTTATGAAATTTCATACAAACAGCAGGAAAAAATTTTGAAATTTTGAAAAACTTTCTTAAAAATAACAAATGTGCGGAAAAACTCTGCTAGATAAGAAAAATTTTAATCATTGCTGGCAACTTAGGTTTCTTGAATTTTTTTTAAATTGAAGGAACTGCGCTAAGTGTGCGAGCTGCATTGGAAAACTTTGCCTAATGAGGAATTAAAAAAAATTTAAAAGAAAAAACATCTAATACACGAATTACGAAAAGATATAGGGCGTCTTTATTTAGCCGTTTAAACAAAAGATTAAATTCCAAAATCATAACTGCTTCTCAAAACATCACTTCAAAATTTGTGTGAAATTATCTGTTGATTTCAGTTTCGAACTAGTACTATAATAAATTAAAACAGGAATATTTTAGTCTAATTAGTAATTGTTTGAAAACCTTCAAAATTTAATAAATTTCCATAATATTGACTCCGTCTTAAATTGCTCCGAAACAACGGAAACTTTTTAAGCACAGAAAATATAATATTTGAAATTTAATTATGAGCATTTTGAACTTATAAATGTTTTGTTCAAAAATTGTGATATAAATAGTATTTTTTACAATTTATTTTTATTTTTCAGTCTTGTTTTTTAACATAATAATGTAGTAACAGATGATTTTCCTACACAATTTTCATTTCATATGAAATAAAACTTGCAATCATTCAGCATTTTACAAATATTATTAAAACACTTTTTAAGATTTTTTTTACTTTTAAAATGACACATTTTTATGTGAGAATTTTGTAATTAAAAAATTTGTGAGAGTTCAAATCCCGATTAACTTTGTGAATGTATTTTATGTTTTAGAACCGCACTAACGGAATATGCAGCTGGCCACTTTTTTGTCATCTCGACCACACAAGTGCGGCTTTGACGGAGGGAAAGGGTTGGGCCAGCGGTGCCGGCATAAGTGCGTGGTTGCGCCACTTTATTGGTTATATCGTCGGCCAGACCGAGCATATTCGCCTCTTCTGCACCTCCCGAGCACCCCAACTAGACGCACTGCGGCGACAACACATTCTCTCTTTCAAAAAAATAAAGTTTTCATTCAAATCGAGGAGGGAATGAGAACTTTCTCAAAGAAAGAAAGAGTTTGGTTGGTTTTACGAGTGACGAAAAATTACTTTTTATTTTGCTGGGGAAAGCGAATTTGCAGATGATTAGTGCAGCGTGGTGGCGCCAAAGTATATGGCATATTTCTCAAGGAAAGAAATTCGCCGCGTCTGGACCAATAAAGTTGTGCGCAGTGTGTGTGTCTGGGCCGTTTTTTACGACGCGCGCGGCTTCTCGAACTAAGGAAATCCATATGTCATTAGAGCAGCAGAGAGGGAAGGGCTGGAATTGATTTAATTAAGTGTGCGGCGCGCAAGGCCCATTTACTTTTACGCCGCGCACGAGAGTGTTATAAAAGAGATGAGCGACTTTGGGGCTTTGAGTGGCGGCTTGTCTATGTTAGATAAGAAAAGATTATGTGCGCGTCGCCGCCCTCGCGCGCTGCACCGCAGCAGCTTTGCTTCCGAAGCAAATCTGCTCAAATTATTGCACTCTCTCGCGAGCGAGCGCGCACACAATGTTTATCAAGATAAGATCGAACGGCATAAATTGTGCTGCCACCAGAAGGGAGCAAAAAACAATAACGGAAAATCATAGTCAACCGGAGGATTGTGAATATAATATCGACTGCTGCTGCTGCTGCTGCACCAACTCACTTTTAATTTTTTTTTCTTGAATTTGACTTTCTCTCTGAAATAAGAATAACGAAATGAGATTATTGACTGATTCATTCTAGTATTTTTGCTTTTTTTTGCAAATACTAAGTATTTTTATTTTATAATAAAAATTAAATAAATTTATTTATACACTTTGTAAATTGACCGGATTGAATTATTTTATTTATCAGGGAACGTCAGGAAATAATATGGAATTAAAAAATCAAACTGCAGATAGCGCAGAAATCGAGGTCTCTCACTAAAAGAGTGATTATGAGACTGAATTTAGAATAGGAAGGAGCCGCGTTGAGCTTTGGTGCATGCAGCACATTTATATACATACCAGATACATACATACTTTTATACTTTGCTTATCAGAAGACTTTGGTGGCCCGAGCTTTGAGACCCATCGAGCAGGGAGAGCATCTTTCATTCTCATTGACGTCCTATTTGAATTCAACACTTGAGCAAAGACAGAAGTGGCACTTGTTAGAATTTGGTGTGTCGTTAGATTGCCACTGCAGAGCCTGCTCTGAGAACTGGCCTGTCCTAGCTCACCAGCCCCAAATCCATGATTTCATCAAACAGAATCCCATCTATATAGAAAGGTACGAAAAGGAGTTCAAAACAAAAATTGCTCCATTCTGCAATTTTTAATAAATCTGAAATTAATCTAGGTGACGTTCTGGTAGTGGAGGATCCTTTGTTTTACATCAACTCGTCCATGATCACAAGCTTCGAACCCAGCTGGATCCATTGCTCAGAGTGCTTCAAACAGTGTCTCAATCTGCAGCCGTGCACTACTTGCTCGCTGGTAATTTTCTTTCTAATCTAAATGCAGTAGTTGTTAAAATATATTTAACTTTTTACCGCGGCCACCAGCTGTGATGCATTTGTGTATAAGAATTCTCCCCTATTTTTGTGCACTTTTTCTCTTTTTGAATGCTAACTCAAATATCAGATAATTTTCATGAGGTATCATCCAGCTTTTATTTGTCCTATGTCTTGTGTTTTATATTTAAAAACAAGTCACACGGATTTCCTTTCTAAATGGGTATTTTATTTGCTTTTTTTAAGCCTGGTTTTGTCTATTCCAAAATTTATGGACTATGGACATCTATAAGTTTCTTATTAATTTCTTTTTAAATTAATTCAAAATAATAATTCAATAACTTTTTATAATTGTAAAATAATAATATATAAAGAATGAAATGAATATTTATTAATTTTAAATAAAAAAAAAATCATTACTTAGTCAATATTTTTCATGATGAATTATGAACAGAGAGCCAAACTTCCATATAAAATGCAATAAAACATTTCATAATGTATTTTTGTATCAATATGTTTTCTAGGTGCTGTACTGCAGCCAGAAGTGTGCCGATGAAGCCTGGGAGAAGCACCACAAAATAACGTGTGCCCCGGCCAAAAAGATTTTCAACAAGATGTCCAGCAAGGAGAGCAACAAAGTCAATGGTTACGATGTTCTCCGAGTGTCGAATCAGGCACTGGCGATGCTGGCACATTTTGGCGTGGACAACTGTGTTGGGGCGCTCGTCAATGGCCAAGTCTCCAGCGACGCTTCCGCAGAACTCGGAGACTTTTTAAACTTGCATGCGGATCAAGCTATGACAGAATTGGCCTCTAGCAAAGGGAGCTCTGAAGCGATTGAGATGGTTGTGGAGAGCATCGATGGCCTCAGTGATGACAAGAAGGACAGACTGCTTGAGTTCCTCCGCAGGGCTGTGCCCATCATCCACACCTACAATGAGTTCATTTTTAACGTGGTGCTGGAGCGCAAAAAGAACAAGCTCATCCCCAGCAAGATGAATGTTGTCGGCCAAGGTTTCTACCTCCGACTCATGTCCACGCCCAGAGGGTGCGAAGCAAATGCCCAAAGGTGTTCGTACCTGAAGACGTTGGTCATCAAAGCCCTGAGGCCCATCGAAGCGGGCGAAAGGATTTTCTTCATTCATGCCAGCAGCTTCACTAAGTACCCCAAAGCCACAAGACAAGTTCAGTACATGGATTTATACGGGCCCAACTTCAAGTGCCGCTGCAGGGTGTGCAGCGAGGATTGGCGTGTGTTGGACAAGCAGCCCGTCATCCACAACTTCATCGAGAGAAATCCCAAGTACAAAAAGAGCAGACTTAGGAAGGAGCTTGTGGCTTTAACCATGGCATGGGAAACCGAAGAGCTCCCACTGAATTGGTTTACCTCCGAAAAACTGGACTTGTGCAATAGAATCCTCGAGTTCTACTTGGGAAAAAGGAGGGATGACCTCCAGTGCCACATCGTCCTCGAGCTGCTCACAAGGCACTTTCCCACCACGACCAAGAAGCATATTGAAGGCGACAACACCGTCGCCTCTTCTGGTCTAGACCACTGCCTTGTCTTCAAAAACATGATGGAATAATTTAGAAGTCGATCACTTTCAAGACCGTGAAGTGCTATGTCATCTTTTTCTTAAATAAGTGATGAAACTGTTAAATTTATTAGTGTAATAAATAATTGAAAGGTTTTTGCAGGGAATTAACTTGAAACTGTCGGCTCTGTGCCTTTAAAGAATGTATTAAGGCCTCCTTATTGACATCTACAACTTCTGTTTGCGGAAAATCGGCCCGAAATTATTGGACCCAGATTTTTTTTTAGATTCCTGCCCACCAGTGGAGTTGATTGCACAAAGAAAAATGGGAGATCGCGCGGATTAATCTTGAAATATGATTTTTTGAAATTTAACATGGCGTTTTATGGAGATTTTTGGTTTTGGCGATTAAAAAAAATCTGCCCGAAATTTTTTGCTCAAAATTGCACAAAATGATAATTGAATGACCCTAAACAGATAAGCAGCAAAAAAATTGGGGGTTCATGGGGCAAAAATTTTACATTGGGCATATGGGAGATCAAAAAAACCTCTTTGGTACTCTTAGCATTGCAATAAGGAGTCCTTAATTAAAGGCAAAAGACTTGTATGTATATTTTGTTATAAGCCGAAACTTAATTAAAGGTAAACAAATATTTTAATTTTGATGAAATAAGAACTCTCTAGGAAATAAAGAGAACGCACAATATCAGACATTATAAACTAGTATGTATAATTGAGACAAATAAAAATTTTGAATTTTGCATGGGACAAATGTTTTGAATTCAATATATTATAAATGAATGTAACAAAACAGTCTGCAGAATTTTCGCCTATATAACATAATTTTTGATTTACATATTTGAAATAGACGCTTTTACAGCGGTCGGACTACTTAGTACTTATTCTTGTTGTTAACTAAAAAGAATGTCTATATAAGTAGAAAAGGAAATTTACAGAACCAGCAGCATAGAGTTTAAAAGGTGTTTTTGTTATTTTAAATTTTTTTTAATTGAATTTGTTACAGTCCGTGCGGCATATTTGCAGCGCGGCGACCCAAGCAGCAGATGAAAGCACTCGTCTCCAATAAAATAACGGCAAGTTTCATGCTCCCTCTGCTTATTTGTCGACTGCACGCCGGGGCAAATAGGAGAATAAATGCGGCTTTTCTCTGCTTTACATATTTCTTCCATTACGCGGCGGCGGCGGGGCAGCAAACCAATGTCATATTTCATATCAGTTTGCGCGAATAAAAATTCAAATTCATTTCCCTTCACTCGATCCCTCTCTTTCTTGCGCGCGTCGTAAAAGTTGACTTTCTTTTCCATTAAATACTTCGAATGCTCTGGCTTCATACTTGATTAGATACGCGTCGTCGAATTTATATTTTCTGTCCTCCCACAGCGCTCTCGTCCGTCCGGACGTGCAAATTGATTCCAATCGCATTTGCATAAAAAACTTAAATGAATCGAGTTCAAAAAGTGTTTTTTTCTGAATGTATAATTTTTTTTATAAATTTCCAAAATTTATCTTTAATAGGAAATTTCGGGTAAATCAAGCAAAGAGAATAAATAGAGTTGTTCTCTGGCTTGCGGGAGAGAGGAGACGAGATGCGATTACGAGTGGCAGCGCCGAGGGAGTTGCAATGAGAGGCGGCTGGCTGTCGCATCATGTCTCTGTGACAGTTCGCATTCGCGCAATTCCTCCGCAGTGCCGCTCCCGCTCAATCAAACGTCTCTGGGGGCTCGTGTCTCGGCCGATAAAACCGCAAATATTGCCGCCGAGCCATAAAATTGCGCCGAGCGCGCGTTTTATTAAATTAATTACACGCGCGCGCCGCAGCCTACAGGATTATTTGTTTTCGTCAGGGGAGTCCATCCATAAGGCCGGATCGGGTGCGATTTCCGCTTTATTGCCGACAAACTTTAAATTAGAAAATTGTGTTTATGAGAGAGAGACGACAATTTCGGAAATAATTCCATCAAAAGCTGGGAGAGCGGAAGAGAATAATTGTCACGCAACCGGCAGGACTCGAAAGTTCAGCGGATTGCATACTTTCTAAATATGCAGGCTGAAATAGTTTTTTTTTAGGAAATTTTAAATTACTAATGATTTTTTTTAAATGAAATTCTACTTGAAATTTAAATTTAAAGGGAAGATTTTAAACAAACCCGTTGATGAGAACTTTCTTTATGATAATAGAAAACAAGACAAATCTATGAAATTAATGAAAATGAGTCAAATCACAATTGGCGCAAGCAATTGTGTTAAGGAGGACTAAAAGAGCGTGTGGAACTTGTTAAAATGCAATACGCGGCGCCGAGCTGGCAAAGTTTTGCGGCAAGAAGAAGTGTTTCTCTCTCCTTTTCTTCTTATCCGGGCAGATCACGTATTTGGCTGAGGCTTTTCGCTGGTATGGGAAGGAGCTGCAGTAATTTGACACAACAAGGCTAGCTCACTTAGCGGCACGTGAGATGATTAGATATCAACTGCGCAATTCCAAATCTGCTGCTATCTACGCGCCTGATCTACACAATCTTCATCCCCGCAGATGACAAATGGTCCGCCGTGCTACAATTTAATTTCCTTTCCCGGCAAAGTCTTTATTTCTCTCTGCACCGGGTCGAGAGAAAAGGGAACTTTTCTCGCACTCGGACGCTAATTGGTTAATTAATTAACTGGCTATAAGTGCATTTCATTGGTTTGCAGTTCCCCCACTAACATCAATCTTGGGGGAAGAGAAAGATTGCACTGTGGAGATTTTATTGTATTTGCTGAGCAGAGGAGTTAATTCGGCTAAAAGCTGCCAAGTACAAATAGTTACTACATTTGTTTTGTGACACTTCCACTGCGGTTTAGGAACAAAATATTTAACCCAAAATTGCCATTTTTTGGGTTAAATTTTAAATTGGTTTAAGTTTTTATTAAACTTTCTGCTCTCGGATCAGACCAATTATTTTATATATTAAAATTATAACTTGTAAAAAATAAATGGGCAGACTGATTTTAGATTTTTTTTTCCACTCTTAATTTAAATTTGGTTTTGTTAGAATCTAATTAGAAATAATTTTTTTAATCAAAAAGATTACAAAAACTTCACTTGATTGCATTTACAGACTGATTATTTAAAAAAATCTAAATGAATTTAATGACTTTTATAATTTAGTTTTTTTTCTGATTGAGATTTTGCAATTCCAATCAAGTTTCTGCAAATAATAATAAGAAATCATGATTCAAGAATCCCTTAATCGTAAATCTACGACTTCCAAAGCCAAAGTATCATTTAAAAATTGTGTTGACATTAAAAAAAGATATGGATTTACTTATTCCAAGGATACCAACGATTTAATAATATATTAAATTTATCACCACAGCATTCACTTTTGAAACGCCTCCAACAGTTCCGAGTGCCAGTCGGGAACACACACGAGACGGTCGTTCACCTGTCCAAGGTCACACATTGACCCACTCCGGTCTTCACCATTCACATCCACGGAAATTATTTCCTGCGTTGAATGAAAGTTAAATTAAGGGTACTTGAACGAATTAAAACTGTTTTACTTGTCTGATGTTGCTCGAGGCGGCCATTTCAAGGCACATACTATGGTTGCCCATCTTCAATCTCGCCTTGCCTGACTTGAGTATTTCGATGTAGCCCAAAAGGCCCTCCGGAAGGTCGCTTAACGTCGCAGGTATGCTCTTTTTTGTCTGAGGAAAATATGCAAATTTTTAGACTGAATAAAATTTAAATAAAAAAAGTGTTACTTTGGAAGTTCCAGAGGACGAGGGTTCTTCACTAATTTCTTCCTGCTTTTCCACCCTGCCCGGAAGACAATCTGGAAACTGATCAATTCCATTTGTCAGACAAATAAAGCAGAAATTTAATATTATAATGTCTTTGGTGAAAATGCTGCCCGAAGAAAATAAAAATTTAAATTTTTCATTTTGAAAACAAAATGTTCTAAATTCCCCTCGTTGATGTGCCACTGGTAATTAAATTTTAATATTGTCAAGTTCAATAAAACATTTATTCAGATAATTATTTAAAAATTAGGCCTGTTTGTAACCTGAATTTTGATTGTTAGAATTAATTTGATAAACGGAGACTTTTTATCAACCTGAATTAGAAATAGTTCGTTTGTCCTGCCGAGGACCCCCGACACAGTTTGGTTTTCAGGTTCGGCACAGCTGGTGGGTGACACGTCCTCCTCGGCGTCAGGGTCCGCTTTGATCTCCACTTTGGTCACAACCTTCTGCTGAATCAGCAGCGGCTTCGAGTCGCCCCACGACGCCTTGGCCTCGGGGTTGTCCAAGAAGTCTGCGCGCTTCATCTTGAGCACCACCTCGTCCTCCGCCGCCTCCGCGTACTCCTCTTGTACTTCAATTAGTTCCTAAATTTAAACCCTCAGTCAAATTGAACGACAATAAATTTGAAAAGTGGTGCCTCTTTTTTGAGGATGGGTCTGGAGACCTCAGTCTTTTTTGAGCTGCTCGCGGCCGACGAGCAGACGTAGTGGTCCTTCACTTTGAACTGCCGCTCCGCCTGGCCCTGACCAAACACGGACCCTTCCGTCTGAAATGATTCATAATCAGTTTTGGTGCAAATTTAAAAAAGGAAACACGGACTTGGATGAAGGCGACTCGGTCTTTGGGCGGTCGTTTCCGAGCTTTTTTTGCCGGCGGCTCTTTGCTCTTAGATTCTCTGCTGGGACTGCTGACGGGGGTCGACGCCTTGACGGGGGAGGTCTTGGCCTTGCCCTTCTTCGGCAGGGTCGGCTCGAATTTGCGTTTCTGCTTGACGCCCAGGGTGAGGTCGCGTGGGGTGCGGAACGACTCGAGTTTGCCCCGCGCGCCCAACGACAGCAGCCCGTTGCCGAGGCTCGGCAGGCCCATGCTCGGTTTGCCAGGGTCGGCCATTGCCTGAAATCACGACAAAATCTGTAAAAACTTGCAAGTTCAAAAACGAGGAGACACGTCGCTGAAGGAGAGAAGTGTCAAAAAAATCAATTTTCCTCAAATGAACCTCGCCGATTTTGCCCAGGTTTTCAATTGAAATTTTTTGATTAGGTTTCGAAATACCTGAATTAATTGCTTTAAATTATTTCTTCAGCAAAATTCCTGGCAAAACGTTTCTTTTGAAAAACCATCAGCAAATTGTAAACAGAGACCCATGTGTTTTCCTCCTTTTCGTCCTCACGCAGCTGCATCCAAGGAGGGTCGCGCAACGCAGCGATCTGATTGGCTCTCGAGCGACACCCCAGCGGCGCCTTGCGGACATTCAGTAAACTAAATCCCTTCAGCGTCGATTGCGTCGAACACGATGGCCTCGTCCGAAGACGGTGCAACGCTGTCTCTGGTTTACGATTTTCTGCTCAACTCGACGGACAAAACGTTCGCGCAGATCTTCCAGAAGAAAACCTCGGCGGTAGGTTTGCGTTTTGCCAAATTTTTCGGCCGAGTCAAGCGGCGAACGGGCCGAATTTCGCATCCGACCGGCGTCTCTGCAAACCCCCTTCGAGCACAAACAAAGCAAACCACGTGCGTTTCGGCCAAAAACGTGGCCGTGAACATTTTTGGATTGATTTTCTGCAATTTATCTTCAAATATTCTTGTTATTAAGAGTGTTTTATGATTTTTGACAATTAAATCGACTCAATTAACGACCCTTTGAATTATCGATTGATTTTTTACATTAAATTTGTTTATTATTAACCAAATTAATTCCTTTGTTTTACTTTACAGAAACCACTAGTGTCCAAAGCTCCTAAATTGAAGGATGTGGTTAAACATTATCTGACGTAAGCATCCTATTTTAATCATTGAAAATTATTAATGAATAAATTTCAGATCGTCGCCACTGAAAGAGAAGTTGCTTGCCTCTTTAGAAAAGTCAGACGATGGTTAGGAAATAATTTTAGTTGGTGATCTTTCGTTTAAAAAGTTGATTTTTTTTTCAGACGAAGAATCTGAAGAGAGTGAGGAGGAGCCAACGAAGAAGCCTGTAGCAAACGGCCTGCCTCCGAAAAAGGTTCCTGCCAAGAAGGAGAGCTCCAGCGAGGAGGATTCCTCGGAGGACGAAGCGCCCAAGAAGGCCAACTTGGCCAAGGCGATTGCGGCCAAGGCGCCTGTGGTCACTCAGAAGGCTGTCAAAGCAGCGCCCAAGAAGGTCAAAAGTTCCAAAGGCAAAGATGACTCGGATGAGGAGGTCGTGGTCAAGGCCAAGCCTCTGGCCAAGGTTGCCCCCACAGCCCCCAAGTCTGCTAAAAAGGACAGTTCGGACGATTCCTCGGACGATGAAGAGTCTTCAGACGACGAGAAGCCTCCAAAAAAGCTTCCGGTGAAGGCTGCGGCCCCTGTGGCCAAAAAGGCTGAGAGCACCAGTGACGAGGATTCAGACGAAGAAGAGGAAGTTGTCAAGAAACTTCCTGCCAAACCAGCCCCAGCAAAGCTTGCTGCCAAGAAGAAGGAGAGTTCTTTGGAAGAGTCTAAAGCAGCTGCAAAGAAACCTCCAGCAAAAACGCCACCTGCCAAGAAGGCACCTTTGGCCAAAAAGGAGAGTTCAAGCGATGAGGATTCCTCTGAGGAAGAAGAAAAGCCTGCAGTTAAAACGGCCTCTCCTGTAAAGAAAGTAGTTCCTGCCAAGAAGGAGAGCTCCAGTGAGGAGTCTTCTTCGGATGAGGAAGAAAAACTAGCAAAGCCAATAATCTCTCCTATAAAAAAGATTGTCCCTACAAAGACAGTTGCCCCTGTCAAGAAGGTTGCCCCTGCAAAAAAGGAGAGTTCCAGCGATGACGAATCCTCGGAGGATGAAACGCCTGTGGCACCAAAACCAGCTGCCTCTCCTGTGAAAAAGGTTGTCCCTGCTAAGAAGGAGAGTTCCAGCGAAGAAGAGTCTTCGGAAGACGAAAATCCTGTTGTTAAAAAATCAGCAGTTCCGGCAAAACCAGTGGCACCTGCCAAAAAGGCTCCAGCAAAGAAGGAAAGTTCCAGTGAGGAGTCTTCGGACGAGGATGAACCTCCGGCAAAGAAGGCAGCCCCTGTTCCCAAAGTGGCTGCAAAGAAGGAAAGTTCGAGTGAAGAGGAATCTTCGGAAGACGAGGCTCCGAAAAAGGTTGCCACTCCTGCACAACCTGTGAAAGCGCCGCCCAAGAAGAAGGAAAGCTCAAGTGAGGAGGAATCCTCAGAGGAAGAGAAGGCGCCGCCCAAGAAGGTTGCACCTACTGCTAAGGTGGCTCCCAAGCCTGCAGCCAAAAAGGAGACTTCCTCAGAAGAGGAATCTTCCGACGACGAACCGGCCAGCAAGGTTGCGGCAGTGGTTGCCAAAAAGGCGCCGGTCCCTGCTAAAAAGGCTGAAAGCTCCAGCGAAGAGGATAGTTCAGGTTAATGATTTTATAAAGATCTCAATGGGAAATCCTAATGAGTGAACTTTGTAAATTTTTGTTTCAGATGAGGATGAAACGCCAGCTGTGAAATTACCACCTAAATTAGGAAGAACCGCTGCCAAACAAAATGGATCAAGTAAAAAGAATAAATTGTTTCATAATTTGATGGTTTAACAAAGGTTCTCTGTAGAAAAAGAATCTTCTTCGTCAGGAGAATCATCTGATGAAAGTGAAGAAGTTGTGACAAAACCAAAACCAGTAGTAGGAACCAAAAGAAAGATGCAGGAAGAAGAGGCACCTCCAAAGGCAATGAAATGCAACTTTATATCTCATTGGTACTAATTATTCAATATTTGCAGAAGAAATTGGCTGTTGACTCTCCAATGACTGGGAAACCCAAAGCAGCGGAGGCTAAAACCAAAAAGGTGTGTACGAAATAACAAGAAAAAGATCCAAATTAAAACTTTTCATGTGCAGGGTGCCAACGTCCCCTTCAAGAGGGTGCAAGAAGCAGAAATTGCGGTAGACCCGAGGCTGGCAGACAACTCGTTCGACGCCAAGGTAAATAGTTTAAATTAGTTGCTCGGAGGGAGACTGGGGATGTCTGTTGGTCACGCCCGTTTTGTTTTGGTTGCAGAGTGGCGGTGACGAGGGCGGCATCCCCGGATTCCCTTTGTTAGCGGTCTCGGGCTATGCGGACGGGAAGGGTTACAATTTTGGCAAGGACGTTCAAATGCTGGCGGGGAAACGGGGCTACCTGGGGGTGTACACCGAGGAGCAGAAGAGGGGAAGCGGGGGCTTCAAGGACAGGAGTCGGGGCAGAGGAGGAGGGTTCGAAGGAAGAGGCAGGGGTAGAGGGAGGGGGCGGGGCACCCCTGGGGGCTCCTGGGGGGACACCTCGAGGGGAACCCAGTGGAGCAGTTGGAACCAACAGCACGTTCCGGCCAACCCTGTCAACAATAAGAAAATCAAATTCGACTGATTGCAGAGAGGCGCGCGCGGGTCTTGGGGCGAAAAGGCCAACAAGGACCTCAGATGCACCAAGGGCAAGTCCTTCCGCGCTGAGAAGACCAAGAAGAAGCGCGGCAGCTACCGCGGCGGCATGATCGACATGACTGTCAACTCCATAAAGTTCGATTGAGCAATGTGACCAGAGAAACTTATTAAACTTTGTTTAAAGTTTACGCTAAAATCAGCTAAAATGTATTCTAATTTTTGATATTATGTTAAGTGCAGAAATAAATATGCAATCACTCCTGAGTTAAATCTGAAATTGTATATTAAAAAATCACAGGCAGTCGTCTAGCATGAGGGTAGGGAAATCCACTTCGGTCTCTATTTTTCTGGCCACATTCAGTAAATTGCGCTCTCCGAAGTTTGGGGCCAAAAGTTGCAGCCCCAGAGGCATTCCGCCCTTAGACAGTCGAATTGGAATTGAAATTGCCGGACAACCTGTTGAAATCAAAATTTAAATCTGTTATAATTTTTTAATTCATTACCTGCTAAATTTGCTGGCTGGGTGCAGTAGTCCTGCGTGGCGCACTGCTCCCTGTTGTCTTTGAGTTTGAAATCTGAGTACCTGGGCGCCTCACCCAAGGTCACAGGCGACAAGAGCAAATCAACGCCCTTGGCCCAGACCTTCAAAAAGTCCTCAGAAATCAGTCTCCGCAACTTCAGCGCTTGCATGAAGTGATTTTCGTAATTCCTTAAAAAGAAGTTTTTTATTTTGTTGAACAAAAACTGATGTGCTCACCTGCTGAGTAAAAAGTAGTTGCCGGAAATAATTCTGCCGCGCACCACCTGGTTGAAGCCGTGACTCCTCGAGGCTGCAAACATTTCCTCAGTCGATTTGGTTTCGGCAGCTCTAAAGCCAAACTCGATTCCGTCATACCTGGCCATGTTGCTCGCCACTTCGCAGTGGTTCAGAATCGAGTAGCATGCAATTGAGTATTTTGTGTGCGGAAGAGAAACCTTAATTTTTTTATATTGAACATGAAAATTATTTGGATTAGTTAAAGATAAAGAATTTACCGGAATGACTTTGGCGCCTAGTCTTTCCAATAAGGAAGCCACATCGCTCCAAATGTCCAAAATTTGCTGGTCGACGTCTGGGTTGTGATATTCTGTGGGTATCCCCACCGTAAGCCGGCTCAAGCTGAAGTTTTCCTCCAAATCAATTGGTTCGAACAGATCTGAAACCGTTGTCGAGTCTTTCGAGTCCCATCCGGCCAAAATATCTGCAAATTACAATTAATATCTTTTTTTTTAACAAATACAAAGGGAAAAATATATGTTTTTACTTAGAATAAGAGTTGTGTCTTCAACGTTCCTGGCCACAATGCCTGGAACGTCCATCGAATTGACTAGGGGGATGAGTCCATGCCTGGACAGGAGGCCGTAGGTCGGCTTCAGCCCCACAACCCCACAGTAGGCGGCCGGCGTCCGAGTCGAACCTCCAGTGTCGGAACCCAGAGCCCTGAAAAAAAAGGATTTCAAGCCAAATATTCAATGTTTTTGCAAAAATTTACGCAAAACAGGCGCCAGAGGCAACGGCGGCTGCACTGCCTCCGGAACTGCCGCCAGCAATAAACCAGTCCTCAGGGTCAACCTTTGTGTTTAAATTTTCCACTTGACTTTTCCACACATTCCTCGTTGGCCCAAATGCAGAGTCCACGGCTCCAGAACTAGAGATTAATATAAAATATAGAAAAATTCAAATCAATATCAAAATGTGTACCCCATGGCAAATTCATCCATGTTGGTTTTGCCAACAATGCAGGCGCCGTGGTCGATCAGTTTCTGCACTACGGTTGCGTTGTACGAAGGGATGAAGTTTTCAAGCATTTTTGAGGCACACGTCGTCCTCACCCCACTAGTGCAGAAATTGTCTTTCACAGCCACCGGCAAACCTTCCAAAGGACTTCGAGCAGAGCCTGAGATTTTTAAATTTTAGATAATACCTAAAATAAATACAAAGAAAAAAATGCCTGATTTAATTAATTTTTCTGAATATTGAACTTGATTTTTGGCGAGTTCGCTGGAAACGGTGATAAAGTTGTTTAGGTATTTTGTGTTGTTTATCCTCTGCAGAGAGGCTTGGCAAAATTCAGACGACTGGATTACGCCTTCTTGGAGTTCTTTTGAGACCTGAATTCACGTAAATCAAATTAAAATTTAGAATTAAATTAGAAATTTAAGAAAATACCTGTTTGATGGTCATCTTTGTAGCCCTTGACAGCATTCTTGAAGGATATGTATAAGATAAAAAAGTGATCCTTGCAATATTGGTGCTTCACAAAATTGGAGCAGAAATGAGCCTTTTTCCAGTTTCTTGGCTAAATATATAGGACGAATTAATGAATCTCAAGTTTCCTATTATGCTAAAATTTCCATACGCACCTCTAACAAATAATTTCAGTTCCTCCTTACAGATTTTTAGAGTTTTAAAAGATCAACCATGCCTGTTTTCCAGACACAAGATTTCTCGAATTTCAAATTTCGCGCCTTGTTTCTATTTACGTTTTTTTGCGCATATTAGTGCAGTTCACGACCGGCAGATAGCTCGCGCGTCTAGTTTTCTGCTGCTTTTGCAACACGAACACACGATTGTTTGCATTTCGCATCGCATCTAATTTTGACTGAAGCTTTTTCGGGAAATTTGCGCGTTTTCGGCCAAGTGTGCTTCGCTAAAGAAATGAACACGAACAACAGCAGTTCGGGTGCGCTGTTCGCGTGTTCGCGGTGCTTCACGAGGCACCCCTTCGAGGAACTGTCGGCCGGACAGCAGCTTTGCAAGGTGCGATCACCGACCCGACTCTCTTTTCATTTCGCTTTTCCGCTGAAAGTTTGAGCTCTGGCGACGTGCTTGCGAGCGGAAATTCTTCTCTTGGCCAAAGGCACGCGACGAGAACGAAATCAAAGGACTCGGACACTCGCAGAGGTCGAGCTCAACTTCCGCTCGAATTGGTGTCAATGCCATGTTTACAGTTTCTCTTGTCAAATCAACTAAAAATTGAAAATTAATTTTGATTTTTTTTTTGTAATACATAAATTTAAGATTGAAGTTCATGAGAAACAAATTCAAGCCCAAACTTTTAACAATTTAATAAAAAATAAAAAATTGAATTTTTCGGTACTTTTCTTAATTTTGTGTTTGATTTTTTGTTCAGGAATGCAGAGGTTCTTTCCCAATAGTGAAATGTACTTTTTGTCGGTCGGAGTTCCAACAGAGCACGTAAGAGGATAAATTATTTAAATCAGAAACATGTTATATAAAAAAAAGAAGAGAGCAATCCGTTAGTCTCAAGGACGACGTTGTATGTTGTTTTGAAATTTCTTGATCTTGTTCCAAAATAGAACCCTTGCCAAGTATAACAAGAACATTTTAGTACAAAAACATTTCAATCAAACAGCCATAAAATTTTTGCAGAAACATTTTTGTGGTTTAATTTTGTGTGTAAATTTCAGGAAGGGGAGCACGTCGACGATCTGCAAAAAGTGCGAGCAGAATGTGATGCAGTATGGCAAGCCGAGTGCGTGCAAGTATTGCAACATCATCGCCGGCTTCATCAACAACAAATGCCAGCGGTGCGCCAACTCGGAAAAGAAGTACGGCCCGCCTGTGACGTGCGACCAGTGCAAGCAGAAGTGCGCCTTTGACCGCAAGGACGACGACAAGAAGGTTTGCCAAAAGTTCTAAAAAAGAAATAATTAAAACCAAGAGTAACTTGTTTCAAAATGGAACGGCAGGTGGACGGCAAGTTGCTGTGCTGGCTGTGCACACTCAGCTACAAGCGGACGCTAGCCAAGACCAAACAGACGCAGGCCGAGAGACACAAAATGCAGCAGAAGGAGCGCAAAGACAAGTAAAGAGCAATTTTATTTTACAAATATATTGAATTTAGGTAATTAAAAACATAATTATGGATAAAGTTTTGGGCTGTTTAATATTAAAAAGAGAAAATTTTATTATCTTGGAAATCAATTTCTCTTTGATTGTTTTTTATTCAAAATTAATTTAATTATTCCTAAATATTTAAAAAAATTGTTCAACATAAATTGATGGAGTCCATTCATATCATTTGTGATAATTTCTCAAGAAACAGATTGTTTCCAGTTGGAAAACTTTGTGAAATTTATGCGCTACATTTTGTTTGTGAAGTTTAGAATTTCCTTTATTATAATTAGTTTCTAATATAATTTGAACTTGCAGAGGTGGTCACTACAGGCACAAACGGCCTAATAGGGTAGACGTGACCAAGCTGCCCGGCGAGCCCCCTGCCAAAGTGGTCAAAGGCCCTCCTGCGCCCATAATGGAAATAGACCCGAATTCGAGTGACCATGTCGTGGCCATGACTCAGTTGAAAGAGAAAATCGCCTCTTTGCAAAAGCAAATCCAGCAGAAGGACGCTAGTCTCTTTACCAAGGACAAACAAGTTAGTCCGCGATTTTTTTTTTCCAAATTCTTTTCTATGAGAACTTTTGCAAATTCAGATCACGGAACTGAAGGCGAAGCACTTCACCGTGGAGCAAGAGTTGCGCGCCAAAATGAAGTCGATGCAGAAGGATCACGAAAACAAGGCCGAGCAGATGCAGATCAAGCTGAAGAACCTGCAGAAGGAGTTGGCCACCCTGTCCAAGAGCAAGGGCAAAAGTGTAATTAGCAAAGAAATTGCCGCCGGCAGTGGCAGTGGAACGGACAGTCCGTCACTTGCCTGAGAATCCTCCTCTGAATAGTTTTGTAAAATCTCTTTCCATCAGACGTTTAATCAAGTTGTGGTGAATTTTTCATCGTTTTGGTTTCCAACGCTGAGAAGAAGTCCCACCAGATTCGGTCGGATCATAGACGAAATTTTTATCACGTTTTATCTCTTAATTTAATTTTAAATAAACAGACAATTTTATTGCATCGAAAATTAATCTGCCTTTTCACATGACCATTGCGACAAGAATCTTTCACCTCCCGAATCTCTGGGAATATGAAAGTATTGGAGATGGGAGGGTGCGGTTTCATTGCTGTCCATTGGACTCGGCCCCTTGGAAGTAAATACTTTCGCTATTATAGAAATATACTTTTTATTTGGTTTAAATGACTTAATTATGTTATTTCATATTTAAAAAACTTTTTAAAATAAGATAGAGTATTTATTGAACACAACTAGGTGTACAACGGGTGAAAAATAAGGGTTGTTAATTTGGAAGGGTAGAAGTTTTTCTCCACCATTAAAGCTATTAGATGGGAGGATTTTTTTTTTAATTTTGTAAATTCAATTTGTTTTGCATGAAATGATTTAATTTGAATGTTTTTATCTAATATAATTAAGACACAGGGTATAAAAAATATACATCAATGTATAAGTTTTTTTAATTTTTATTTACACTGACATAATAAATGAAGTCTGACCCACTAGCATGTCTTCATTTGCAAAATATGAAGATATTTTTTTTACGTCAAGACTCATTTTGACTGAAGATTACATGAGATGGAAATTTGTTATAGCACCAAAAAGCTTATTGCCAACGGACACGTCCGGATGATTATTAAGAGGAAATTTTGAGGAGCGTTTTAAATATTTAACCCACTTTAATATGAAGATCTCTCACAACCAGCGCAGGTTCTGTACTGGTAGAAATCATATGTCAAAAAGGCCGTCATCTATTAGATTAATTTAATTTTAAACCCAAAATGCAGAGCTATTGCTATTATTCACTTTAATTTTTTAAACTCCAATAGTTGATGTAGAAAATTTTAATCAATTATTAAACATAACCATGTATTCACATGTCCATGGCGACGACAATCTTTCCTCTGGTGTGTCCCTCCTGCTGGCACTTGAAGGCCAGTGGCATCTCGGAAAACTTGAACGTCTTGTAAATCAAGGGCTGGATTTTGCCCTCGCTGGCCAAGTGGGCCAATTCCTCTAACCCTTTTGAAGAAGGGGTCACCGCGCCCCACTTGACCACGGCCCCTTGAGTTGCGAGGGAGAAAATATTCAGGGCGATTATTTCTATGAGACTCTTGAGAATTCCAAAGATGAGACCGTAGACGTCCGTATTGGTCATGAAGGAGTGGGTGATGGTCACGTACTTGGACAACTGCCACTTCTTCAAGTTCTCCAGGTGGGGAGTGCCCAACATACCAGCTGCGTTGAAAATCAAATTGTACCTAGATTAAATAATAAATTTTGGACTTTATTTTTAGAATTTCGGAAATTACGGTCCGTTGAATTCAATCTGCTTGTTGTAATCGGCGCTTCTGTAATCAATCACCTTGAGTAGCTTGTAAGCTTCCAACTGAGGCACTGCATCTTTGCTGCAAGTTGTCACCACCTGAATCAATCAAAAACCTGATTTAATCAGAAAAAATTATCATTTTATTTTTTACCTGACATCCCCAGGCCTTGAGCATTTGGACAGCAATCGATCCGACCCCTCCGGAGCCCCCCAAAACCAAAACCCTGGCGTTTTTCAAACCTGATGTCTTCAAAACACACCAGGCTGTCATTCCAGCCAAGGGCAGACACGCAGCCTCAATGTCCTCCAAATTGGCAGGCTTCTTCACAACCTGGAGATTTTATTCGAAATTTGATAAAATATTTAAATTTTAAAGGGAAAACATACATTTTCCTGAGAAACAACAAGGAAAGTTGAGTGCGTGCCCTGCTTCAATAGCGGCAACATTCCCATGACGCGGTCTCCAGGCTGAAAATTGGTCACTTTAGGCCCACAGGTGACCACCTCTCCAACAAAGTCGCGGCCCAGGGTCAGCGGGAAGTCCCTGAAGAGCCCAAGAAAGCGAGCACCGTAGCCGCCTGTTGGAATTCAAGTTGTTTTCAGAAGAGCATATTAATAATTAAATTTTTACCAAGGACGTGGACGTCGATGGGGTTGATGGAGTGTGCCGAGGTTTTGACCAGCACCTCTTGAGGCCCTGGCAGTGGTCTGTAGCCGTCCTGTTGGGTCAAGGTGAGTTGGTCGGCGCCTCCAAACTTGCTGATGCACCACGAGAACATTTTAACAGCAAGGAGCGTTGACGAGCCGGCGCAACTGACAATTTATATGAGTCATGAAGTTGAACCGACCTTGGTGCGCTCCAAGTGAATGTGGATGTGGTTAGTCTACAATTGACTCTGAATTCCCTTCCATTCCGCACATTCTTATCAGATTCTCAATGTTATTTATTTTTATCTAGATATTCATTTCTATAATGTGACTAAAACAGGAACATACAAATTCTGCTCTAATTAACATAATTAATATTCAAAATTATTTAAGTTAAATTATTATATTTTAATAATAGTAATTCTAATTTATACATAATTTTTTTTTGTAATAATTTACGTAAGTCTTAAACGTCCATCACAACCACAATTTTGCCTCTCAAGTGTCCCTCCTGTTGACACTTGAAAGCCTCTGGCAATTCAGAAAACTTGAATTTCTTGTGAACCACCGGCTTGACTTTGCCGTCGGCGACTAGTTTGCCGAGCTGCTGCAACCCCTTCTGTGACGGGGCAAAGAAACCCCACTGGACGAGCGCCCCTTTTGACCTCAGAGACTGCAAATTTTGCATGGATGCGTCAAGGACGCTCTTTACGGTGCCCACGGGGACGCCAAACTCGTCTGAATTCCTCAGCAGAGGAGGCGACAGGGTGACGTAGCGCGCCAGGCGCCACTCTTTGATATTGTCAATGTGGGGTGTCCCAGACAGGCCTGCAGCGTTCAGAATTAAGTCGTAACTGAAAGTGAACAAGAGTTGTAAAATATGAATAAATACAATTAAAAATCAAGCAATACAACCGATGCTTAAATCAAGTAATAAAATTAATAATTTGATCAAAATTGAATGGTCAAATTTAACTAAATTTGTAGATTTGATTTTGAAGTGGAAATGTACAAACTTAAGTTTTTACTTAAAATTTTCTGCTTGAAATTAAGAAAACACATCAATATTCGATAATCTCAAAATATAGAAAATAATTGCCTAAATTTATGTTGAATATTTGTATGAAAGCAAAAGAAAAAGTTCCAGAAGGCTCAGTTCAGTTAATTTAATGGTAAAAAATTTCAAATAAATTGCTTAATTTTCTGAACAAATAGACTACAATTTGCATGGTTAACTATGAATCGATTAATGTTGGATTTCTAACTTACGGGCCACACATTTTGATGTCCCGCGAGTAATCAGGACTTGTGTAGTCAATCACAGCCTCCAGACCAAAACTTTCCAATGTAGGGACAGCGTCCGTTTTGCAAGTTGTCACCACCTAAAAATTTGAAAATTTACAAAAATTAACAAAAAAAACACACATTTTTTTAATAACAGCAAATCGTATAAATAGGACGAATTAAAATATAATTTTTTTAATATTTTTTACCCTGCTTCCGAATGCCTTGAGCATCTGGACTGCCAGTGAGCCGACTCCGCCAGAGCCGCCGAGCACCAGCACTTTTGTCCTTGGCCAAACATACTCTGAAAACGGCGCCCAAAGTGCAGACCAGGCTGTGAGACCAGCATAAGGAACGCAGGCCGCTGAAACGTCGTCAACATTCTCTGGTTTCCGCAACACCTTTTTAACCAAAGTTTTATTATATTAATTGATTCATTTTAATTCCAGAAATATTTTCTTACGTGATCGGCAGATGCCTGGACAAACTGTGCGTGGGCGCCCCTTCTGTAGGGTGGGATCACCCCCCACACGACATCACCAATCCTCAGGTGTCGCACCTGAGCACCACACTCAACTACCTCGCCCACAAAGTCCCTTCCTGGGGTGACGGGAAACTCGAGAGAACTCAACTCGGCCGCCGCATTTCTGCAAACGCGGTCTTCCGCCTGTTTGGCCAGATTGAGAAGAGAACTGCCGTAACCACCTGACAAGATAAAATTTAAATTTTCATTCAACATTTTAATCTTTTTTTTTTACTAATCATGGCCAAGTCAATAGGGTTGACAGAGGTGCAGTTGACTCGGACGAGGATGTCGTTTGGTTGGAGCAGTTTTGGGATTCGCTCCGAGTCGGTCAATCCAAGCTGGTCGATTCCGCCAAAGCTGTGCACCTGCCAGGCCATCATTTGGTTCTTTTTCTGAGGCGGTTTAGTTGTTGCTTCTTCAGCCTGCTGGGTGGATGACTGGTGCCTTTGCCAGCCACACATCACAAGTCGACTATTTGACAGCAGCAGTCGCGAAGAGCAGATCAAACTTTGGCAACCAGACATTTTCCTAGACTGTAAAAGATGTATGGGTTTGATCAAACTATGTAAATATAATTTTTGTTTTGTAATAAACCTTTTAGGGTTGAATGAATGTGTGTGCAAATTGAATCGATTATGTAAGCAGTTCTTGTACTTCAGACTTTTTGGTTCTTAGCTGAGCCAGAATTTCTAATTGCAGTTATGATTAGAAAATGAGTTACAAGTGCATTTTTCTCCGGCTTTCATTGTTTCATTTGTGAAAGTTGAAAGTTGCAAAAACTTATTTGTTTTGACTTTTTCGAAGCCCAAGTGGCTGTTTAAGCGAGGAGTTGGAAAATTTCAAAATTCTGTTGTAATAATTACCAAAACAAGAATGAAAAATTGATCGGCTCTGTAATTAAAGTTTTTTTTATTAATTTTATTTATATTCTGTATATTTAAGGCTAAAAAATATCATTAAATAACGAGTATAGTTTAAAATCGTCTCTCTCCTTTGTAAAACTCTACCGCTCAGGAAAGTCGCCAAAAACATATGATCAAATATGGCGACTGCGCGTTACGCCTCTTTGTTTTTGGAATAAAATAATTTTAAGAAATTTCGCCGAAGCTCTGCGAGAGCTTTGCATGTTGTTGGGCGCATGAAAAAAGAAAGGTCACGCCGCAATCGAATGCCCTTTTTTAATTAATATGACCTGCCGACAAATCAGACTTTGGCCTTAAAAGAGAAGAAGAGATCAAAGAGAAGTGTGTATAATGTTTTTATTGTTGTTTATTTGTCCACATTGATACAAATACATTGTTTACATTCAATTTTTGGAAAACAATTATTTAGAAAAAAAAGAGATTGTTGGACAAAAAGGCATCACCACTAGCAAAAATTTTGCTAAAACTTCCGAGATCAAAAAGACCCCATCCGCCGCAGTGAGCCTCGGTTGTGAAGTGTTATCTGTTTGTTATGTACATATTTCCTTTGATGTGTGATAAATATACTCCATCGTTTTAATCATTCCATTTCTGGTCCAATTTTAAGCCCAAATTAATTTTTTTTTCAGATGATTGCTATATAAGGAAGGCATAACGCTAATACTTTTGATCCTAAAAATGTGCAGCTTTCCAGACGAATAAACGGGAAGGGAAAGAAAAAGAGGAGAGAGGAAAACGTCAACAGTGAAAGTGGTTCACAAGATTTTGTGAAACTAATAATAGATTATGGAGTACAAAACCGAAATAGAGGTTTGCAAACTTACATTAGCCTTGTACGTTGTTGAAATTTAAACCTTGCCCGGTTCTTCAGGTGGATCTGGACGACGAGGATGACTTTGATCCTCCCTTGGTGATCGCTGGTCCTACGTGCGGATTCTGCGAGCGGACGCTGCCGGACGCGACGACCCTGCTGGAACACGCCCTCAACGAGCACGACATCAAACCTGATGTCTTTCACGGCGTGGACCTGGACGACCCAGCGGCCGTGCAGGAGGCCTTCCTCAGGGCAGCCAACCTGCGCCAGGAGTTTGTCTCCTTGGGGGAAGTGGAACGCTGCCCTGAGTGTGGTTTCCTGTCCACTTCAGCCGCCGTCCTCGCCTCCCACAAGTGTTCGGTCTCCGACCCTCTAAAGTCACCTCACAAGGACCCCTTCTCCATCGTCAAACCCCGAGACCCCCTTTTAGTCCCTCAAGTTGTATGATCATGATTAATTTTTGCCAAAAGCTTTGACTGAAAAAAAAAACTTTTAGCATGCTAAGAAAGTGGAAAACACGGGTGTGCTGCTCTCGAAGAATGCAACTATCAACCATGTGCTCAATGCTGCAGCAATTCCCATACTGGTATGCAAAATCATCAAGCCCTTGAGGAAACCTACTATTAAGCTCACAGTCGGCAACGTCATCGAAATGTCCCTGGTCGATATAATTTCCAAAGGTAATCAACAGTGATTGCAAATTTTTACTGTCATCAAAGTGGAAGTTTTTTTAATAATTTAAATTAACTGACCGACCAAAGTTCATCCCAGTTAATTTAATTCACAAATGTTTTAAACCTTCTCAGTTATTTTACATTATAGATTCATGTAGGACTTAACTTAAAAATCAAAACTATTGCTTTATTATAATATTAAGAAAAACCATTTTTATCTTCAAACAAATTAAAATAAAATTAACTCAAAATTATGCCAAGATTTATTTCATCCATCTGCTTGTAGCCGGGATGAGTGTGAAACCTCCTGAAGACTACTGCCAGGAAGCGGCCATGGATGAGATTTACAGACTGTGTTTGGTGCCCCAAACGAAAATGGCAGAGAAAATCCACAGCATGTCGCCGACCAAGTGTCGACATCTGCTGACCCTTCTGAGGGCAAGACGCATCCGCGTCCCTGTCTCGGACACCATGTCCCTTTCCAACCTGCTGCAGTACAGCGCCGGCTCGAGCAACCTGCGCAAAATCCTACCTGCCCCCACCCCTGACGGCCTCCACCTGACCCTGATGGAGACCCTGCTGGACGAGGCGAGGGTGCACTCGGCGCAACAGCAGTCGGTAAAGGTGCAGGCCAAGCTGCAGAAACAAGCGGACAAGTCGACCGCGCCAACCCTTCAGTCTCTGCTCGTCTCGTCCATTCCCACGTTGAAGGTCAAGCCGCTGTTGCCGGAGGTCAATGTCGTCCAACCTGAACCGCCTGCGGTCATAACCTTGGAGGAAGACGTGCCGCCCCCTCCTAGACGGCACTCGAAGTGGGTCTAAAGCTATAAACCTTGGGTGGAATTCAAGTTTGTTGAATTTTGTTTCAGGGAGATTAATTATATATGCGAAGGTTGCGAACGTTCCTTCGAAACCGAGTACAATTTTGTCAAGCACATGCAGTGGAAGGGCTTCACCCAGGAGGCCCCGGAGCCAATTTTCTGTCGGCAGTGCCCAAAATTCACCTATTGCGAAAAGGGACTGAAAAAGCATTTCTACCTCAGCCACAAGGAGCCAACGAATCTCGAATCTTTGTCTAAGGACGGCCAGATTTTTGACACATACAAGTAAATTTTTTACTTCCATCAGATTTAGATGTAATTCTAGCCAAATTCCAGGTGTCCCCATTGCAAAAAGAAGCGAATTTACCCGACTTTGGCTTTGTATCGGCACCACTTGGGATTGTGTTGCAGACGGAAGAACTGCAAGTTGTGCCAGCCCTCCTCTAATAAGGTCGCTCCGCCTGAAAGGAAGAAAATAGAGAGGAGGAAGGTGGAAAAGGAAAAGACTAAAAGGAAGGAAAAACTTAAAATTAAGATATCGCCCAAGGCAAAAGTAAAAGTCATAAGTTTTTCAAATCTATCGTTCTACAATGCCTTAATTTTAGAAAAACAAACTAGCGCCAATAGAATGTGTCATGGTGAAACAGGAAGGCGGAGATTTTGAAGAGGAATCTTTAGCTACGGAACCAGTAAGCTTTAAATTGGCTGTAATTAAACTGATCTAATGAACAAGTTTCTGCAGTTTGCCTTCATCTCACTGAAGTGCGAGCCAGCCGAACTGAATTGCGAGCCAGTCAAAGAAAATGCACCAAAGGTAAAATTTATCCAAACAAAATAAGAAACCTTTCAACTTGTTAGTTTCCAAGGTGCTGGAATCTCAAGTCAAGGAGGAAAGTGTTGGTACGGTAGAGACTGTGGAGGGCATTTTTGAGTGTGTGGCGTGTGAGTGGAAAGGGCTGAGTACTAACAGACTGAGGACCCACTTCCAGGAAGAGCATTCTGATGCTCTAGACGAGTTCCAGGTTTCTTTTTTATCTACGGAATGAGTTGGCCTGAAATAATTTTGTTTTCTTTCAGATGAGTGTTAGTCGGTGTGGCACTGTGAGCGCCCGTTGGGTTTGTCCGTTGTGTGGCAATATTTTTGCCAGTGAAGAGGCCTTTTTGGGCCACGTCAGCAACCACGGCGTTGCGCCTCAAGATCTTGTGGCCAAAAGGTGCGATCTACGTCATTTGCCGAGTCTGATGACGACTCTGCTCGCCCTCAAGGCAAAGAAAAAATAACTTTTTTTATCTATTGATATGATCTCTTTGTTTTTACCACAATTGCATACGTGTATAATGCATTATTAAAGCAATAATGTCCGGATCAAAATTTGAGTTTTATTTAAAACACATAATATTATACAAAAATCAAGACTTTTAGAAAACTATTGTGATAATCGAATTCTTTTCATATTGAAGATTATAAATCATAAAATAAGCCCAAGCAATTAATAGATATTTACAGGCTAAAAGACAGTAATTTTTATTTAATCTTTTTCATCACATTTGCGATATTTCAGTAAAAAATCAATTATTTGAATCACATAAGAGGAAATTATATTTTTTAATCATATACCATTATTGTTCTTTCTAAGCATTCAACGTGAATAGTTAAAAGATCCCTAAATGTCCCAAAATGAATTTGAAACCATCAATTTGGTCAAAACCGTTACAAAGATAAGATTTTTTGACTTGCTTATCAAATTCCGTACTTGCAATTTCACACGTCATCAATGCAAGTCTCGGGGCATAAACTGGAAGGAAGCAGAGGAATTTAATCAACTCAGTGCAAAAGCTAGGTTCTTGATTGATACAATTAAACGTAAAGGACTTAAGATTTTGCAAAATGCGTCCGTCAACAAGCTGCTCAGTTAAATGGACCAGGTGTTCATGGGAAAAATTCCAATTGGAAAATTTCTCTAAGTCTGGCGCTGCCAACACAAGTGCAGTTAAATCTGGTGGGAATTTGTTTCCAATGCGTGAGAGCGAAAAGTCCTTCAGGTATTTTAAATGGTTGGCATTCACTTGAGGTTTGAATATATTTTCCTCTCCGTCATATAAATCAGAGCTAACGTCAAGTTTATGCAGCTGCGGGCACTTGACAATTAACTCGTAAGGGTTTATACCTGCTTCAGAATCCCAGATGTATATTTTCAGTTCATGAAGCTTTGCACCACATTGGGTAAGAAGATCAGACACATCAGATTCTTTAACATCACTCAAACTCAAAACTGTCAGGTCTGAAAGTCCTCCAATTCCATTCAGATGCGTTTTGAGAGGTCCTTTTAAGTGAAGGTCTTCTAAAAAGGGTACAAGTTGCAAATCGAAGCCACCTAAAACTTCCATTTCTTTAAGGGCGAGTTTTCTTTTGCCTCGGTAAGGACGAAAGTTGTGGTACTCTCCACCTCCTGAGCAGTACTGCAAGCACGGCAGCTGTTCGATGCATTCGGTTTTAAAGTGATTGAAGTAGTGGGTCTGCTCTCCAAGCACAGCCTATAAAAATAATAATGAAAATATTTTAAACATTTTGCATTGTATTTTACAAACCGCGTCGTCAATATTGAAAAATTCGTCTTTGTCCCAATTGATTTCCAATCGTTCCAGGTCCTGGAGAAGGAACAATTTTTTCAGAGTGTCAAAGCAGACCAACTCAAAAGTGACTGACAAAGTTAGCAGCTTTGGAAAATGATGAGCAAGCTGCACCAAGTCTTCTGAGTCACAAATATAATATTTCAGGACAATGTGCTTCAGTTTCCCAAATTTCTGTAGGAAAGGCATCACATTTTTAATGTGCAAGTTTTTCTTCTTTGGGTTCGAGGAGTCCGTTTCATGGTAGCGCTTGTCGTTGATTTGCTCCAAGTTTGGGCACTTCTCAGCCAGCATGTGCCACACTTTTTGGGCACGCTCATAGTCTGCACAATGCTGGAATTGACCACCGAAGATGCCAAAGTCAAACTCCTTTGTGGTGGTATTCAAGAGACGGCTCGCCAATTCAAATACCCAGGCAGCTTTGGCAGGGGTCAGCCGATTTTCATTGGAGGCCGCCATGCGACTCGAGATTTCTTTTTGCAACGGAGGCGCTGTAAAAAAAGAATTAAGACTATATTTAGTAATAAAGTGATAAATTATATGGAACGTTTGGGAATGTTTGTTACAAAATAAACTCACAGAGGTATTGAATTAGTGCAAGAGTGGGTTGTGCACATTCATAGCTGCTTGCAACATTTATTGAAGTCAATTCCTTCAACGGCCTCAAGTTTTTCACCTCCGACCTTTTCACTATAGCACTCTCCAGTAGTGGCTCAAGCTCCATGATTGCTTCTGAAATTATAATTATCTATCATTCAAAAACTTAAATAGAATTTACTTAAAACTTTATCTTCCTCAGCACGAGGGAAAAAATTATGTAAAAGTCAATCAGTCAATGATTTTGATTCATTAAAAATTTATGAGGAATACAACGTTAATTTTATAATTCAAATATAAATGGCTTCTGTGTTGAGATGTAATGATCAAATAAAAAAAAATTTTCAAAAAATGTTCAATTTTACTTTACCTTCCATCACTTTTAACCATTTTTGGTTTAAGCGTATGTGACCCTCTTGTCGTCAAGTCTTCGTCAAAAGATAAGAAAGCAATCTTAAATTATCACACACCTGCAAAATATGGAAGCAACTTATTAAAACAAAAAGTAGTGTGCAATTTTATTGATGTTTTGCTTGATGTAAATAAAATTTTATTATTGATTTTTTCGATTTTTCAAACAAGTGTGAAACTTGTCGATCAAAGATCGAAGAAAAACACCAGAATAATCTTAAACGGTAATGGTACTCGCTCGTCACTGACCTCAACTGATGGTTGGTGTATTCAACGCGGGTGTATTATTTTCAGAGAATAATTTTCCAATCTCCCAACTGCGGCCCCTGGAGCCAAAAATCAAAACAACCCAATAGCACTTAAAATAACATAAATTTATGTCAAATATGGGAGCCAAATCAGTTTATTAAATTTAAAAATAAAAATAAAAAAAATAGTCAAGCTCGCAGATAATTTATTTTTGCAAACTTACTTTAGATAATTTTTATCAATTTTATGGCTCAGATCTCAGATCAGAAGCAAACCTGGCAAAACCGACCAAAACAAGCAGCCTCCTTGTTTTTACGTGACGTCACGCACGAGTCCCTGCGAGTTGCGCCTGCGCGCGCAGCTAGCCTTGATTTCAGCAGCTGTTGCTGCCGGCATGTCTCAAAAATGTCCTCAAACTTGTTTTTGTTTTGATATTTATGCTTGTTACTCTTTGAGCAGCAGAAAATTGGCAACTGACAAGTACACCAGTAAGTAAATTAATTATTTATGTAGCGTGTAAAACTGTAAATTAAGCAAAGGGCCAAGGTTAATTTCAGTAATTTCACGCGTTTCTCCGATCGTATTTTTTTTTTTAAATCATTTCATTGCAATTTTCCAGCGTTGCTTCGAGGTGTTTTCGATCGCTAATAATCAACGTTTGACGACGGATCATATATCACGAGTCTCTCGCCGCAAGTAAATCCCAAACGCTGTACCTAAAAATGTCAAAAAGGGCAAAAAGGTATATGTAATCAACAAGTTTTTTACCATTTTTGTATGTTGTACTGTGTTGTACGTACACATTTGTGTCTTATAAATATTTGATGACGATGAAAAGTTTTTTACAAATTAAGGAACCAAATAAAACGTTTGATAATTATAATTTCAGAAGTGCTTATGGAGGTTTGGAGCTTGAGCAACTACTGGAGATTGCTACAGCAAAAAGATCAAAAGTGGCAAACCTGAGGCCTTTGAAAGAACAAGCTTTAGAAAAAGTAGCAAGTTTTGAATATGCACAGACCTCTCTCGCTCCATTTCAGTACCTCTGTAAGTGTCGATTCAACAAAACTCGTCAAATAATATGAAATTTTCTTTGTACATTTTAATTTCTCACTTTAATGTTGTACTTCAATGAGTTAAGACTTAAATTCTATTTTTAAAACTAAAAACATGTTAAAGCTTTAAAATTTTAATTTTTTTATTACAGCACCTCCGTTGCAAAAGGAAATCTTGAGTCACGTGGCGGCTCAGCAACGCTGTAGTGAGGATTGGCTGACCCCTGCCAAGGCTGAGTGGCTTTTTGAAATGGTGAGCCGTCTCTTGAATGCCAACACAAAGGAGTTTGACTTTGGCATCTTTGGTGGTCCAAATGGTCTATTCCACTGGTCAGACCATGAACGCAACCAAAAAGTGTGGAACATGCTGGTTGAGAAGTGTCCAAACTTGGAGAGAATCTTGGACAAGCGCCATCATGACAACAGTGACGCCTGGACGATCTCATCGCCAGTGAAGACTGACCCTAAGAAAGGATTCTACTTGCGAAATGTGATGCCTTTCCTACAGAAATTTACGAAACTGAAGCACATTGTTCTGGAAAATTATATTTGTGACTCGGAAGACTTGGCGCAGCTTGCTCATCATTTTCCGAAGCTGCAAACTTTGTCTGTTGCCTTCAAGTTGGTCTACTTTAATACTCTGAGAAATTTGTTCCTTCTCCAAAACCTGGAACGACTGGACATTAATTGGAACGAATATGATTTCCGTAATATTAAGGACAAGGTTTGTTCAATCATATGCTCAATGTTTAAAAATATTTTTGAATTTCATATTTTTATTTTTCTAGTTGTTGTATAACGAGCAGACCCACTACCTGGATCACTTAAATACAGAATGCATGGAGCAGCTGCCATGCTTGCAGTACTGCTCCGGAGGCAGAAAGCACCACAACCACCGTCCTTACCGTGGACACAGAAAACTTGCTCTAAGAGAAATTGATGTCATGGGTGGCTTCGATTTTCAACTTGTCCCCTTTTTAGAAAAACTTCACCTGAATGGACCTCTCAACATGCAAATGTTTAAAATTAGAGCTCTTTCCAACCTCACATCATTGAGTTTGAGTGATATTAAAAAATCTGATGTTTCGTATCTTCTGACCCAGTGTGGTGCCAAGCTTCATGAACTGAAAATTGATATCTGGGATTCAGAAGAAGGTATAAACCCTTACGAGGTGATGGTGGAGTGCCCGCAACTGCGCAAACTTGACTTTGACACGTTCCTGTGCGACGGAGAAGCAGAGAACGACTTCATATATCAAGTGAACGCCAACCACTTCAAATATATGAAGGATTTTTCATTCTCATGCAATGATGATTATTTTCCACCTGATCTAATTACACTCGTACTGGCAACACCAGCCTTGGAGAAATTTTCCTTTAAGGAAAACTGGAATTTATCTTATGATCATCATCTGGTCCATTTAACTGAGCAGCTTGTTGAAGGACGCATTTTGCAGAATCTAAAGTCATTTGAGTTTATGTACCTCAATCACGAGCCCAGCGCTTGTATTGAGCTGGTGAAGTTTCTCTGCCTCCTAGCAGCTCATGCCCCGAGACTTGAATTGATTCGGTGTATCATCGGAAGAACTGAATTTGAAAAGGAAGCCAAGAAATCATTTCTATTTGGTGGTATTGACCAAATTGATGGTTTCAAATTCATTTTGCAGGATTGAATGATCCTTGAATTGGGAACAATTACATAATGATCTTTGAAGTATGCATTCATAAATTTGTAGTTCTCGGGAACAATAGCTCTTTAAATAACTGGATCTGGTGTAATTCTAAAAAATTAAATTTTTCCATTTTAACAATTATGCTATGAGCATGCAATAAACTGATTTGATATAGAAGATTAAATAAAAATTATTTTTTTCTTGTCTGTATGAAACCATTATTATTCGTATTAATGATAATAACGGATAATAAAATAATAATAATGATTTTTAATTCAATAAATTTTGTTATAGTTTGTTTGTTCACATTGATTAAGGAAATTACATTGGTACAAAAAGATTATATTTAATTATATAGGATATAAAGCCTTGTAATTATTTGAGTGAAAAAAAAACATTAATTTCTTAATGTAATTAATACATAAAATCATATGCATTTTATTAATTTAATTATAGGCCAGCCATGGATAAATCCATGGTCCAGCCTAACTAGCAGGGGCGGATCTCACACGAGTTGCGCGCGCAGTGCTCTGTGTTTTGATGTTTCGAGCTGCGGCCGGATTGAAAAAAAGTGGTCTTGGATCCTCAGATGAGCGCCGTCACCCCAAGCACCGTCCGAGGTTGTTCTTCCACTTGCAAATTGCAAATAGGTGCGTTCCTCCACTCTTTGCTCCCTTTCGAACCGTCCAATTCATTTCCTCTTCTGCAGACATGCCGAAGGGCGTTTAGACGAGGGAGCGAAATGACGCCCCCGCCGCCCCTGTTGGAGGTCAAAGCGATCGGGCGTCGGAAGGGCTGAGAGATGCTGGGGGCCTGGTTGCTGGGGGCGGCACTGGTGGGTCTGGCCTCGGCCGCCCCCAGCGCCTGCGACCGCTCCCGGACGGTCCTGGACGGCCCGAGAGGTCGCTTCAGCTCCGGCCCGCCCGGGTCGAACTACACGCAGGACTCGCACTGCCAGTGGCTCATCCAAAGTATATAAATTTTATATGAAATTAATCGGAAATAATAGGAGGATAATTTTGAATTGAAAGGTGATCTTGGGGCCGGCTGGATCACCATCAAGTTCAACAGGCTCAGCACCGAGTGCTCATTCGATTACATCTTTGTTTTCGACGGGGACTCCCCTGAGTCACCCCTGCTGGCATCCTTCAGTGGACAAACGCAGCCGCAAAATGTCACTGGAAACTCCGGAAGTGTGAGTTTTCATTTGGATACTTTGATCCATATCTGTTTATGGTTTTTAAGACATTGATCTGAAAAATAAAAATTAAATCTTTATTCCTCTATTTATAATTTAAAATATTTTCAAAATTGGATATAAAAGTAATTAATTTATAATATTGGAAAGGAATTTTTAACTTTTAAGCAATTAATTTACTAATTTTCATTCCATGAAACAATGTGTGTAATTAAAAATTCTGATCTTCTCTGATCTTCTCTCAGATGCTGGTGGTTTTATACTCGGACACAAATTACGTTCTGGAGGGCTTCGAGGCCGAGTACTTTGTGTCTGCATGTCCCGCCGATTGCAACGGCCGTGGCTCCTGCACCGAGGACGGCCTCTGTGAGTGTCATCAGGGCTTTGGAGGCCCCGAGTGCTCCTGGCGCTTGGCCGCTGAGGGGCCCAGTCAGTGGGCCTGGGTGCCCCAGCGGGGGATGCGCGCCAGGGCCGCCCACTCGGCCGCTTACGTGGCCGCCTCCGACCGCCTCTACATCTTCGGAGGCCACGATCTGAACAGGCCCATGGGGGACCTGCAGGCCTTCGACTTCAAGGCCAACGAGTGGCTCAACATTCTGGCCGAAAACGTGCCATCGCCCAGATTCTCACACGCTTCAGCAAAGTAAATTTATTTGATAATTATTTTTAATTGAACTAAATCAATTTCTTGCTGTATACATATTTTTTTTTTTAATTTTATAAATGCCATTGTAATTATTGAAATTAACTCTTTGCCTGAGTTAAGTAAAAAAAGTTGTCTTAACATGAATTTTCTTCTGTTTATGAGACTAATTGCTAATTTTACAAGAGAAAACGCAAATATTTTAGATTTCTTAATAATTTGGAAAAAATTTAACAAACAATGAAAAATTATATTTCTAATTTATATCATATTTCAACTATTTTCTAAAATTAAATTAAATTGTTCTTAAAGGAGACGGAGACCTTGTGTATCTTTGATTAAATTATTTAGAGCTTATTTTGTTTGCAATTGTTTGAATTTTTTTTTAATTATTGTACTAAAATCATTGTTTTCTTTGTAGTCATCCTCTTGGTTTTGTGATCCACGGCGGCCAGTTGTCGGACGGAACGTTTTCCGATGAGCTGTGGGTTTACATGGAAGCCAACAAGGATTGGTCTGAGCGAGGACTGTCCTGCACCGTGCGGCCACCCTCTCTGGCCAGACACTCGCTCACCCTCGGCCAGCACGACTGGCTCTACCTTTTTGGCGGCCAAACCGAAGACGGCCACTTTTCCAACCAGCTGTGGCAGCTCAGGGTCGGCCGCTCCCCTGAAGAGGTAAAAAATAAAAATAAATTCCAATTTGATTTTTAAAGAAATAATTTCAGGACGAGTGTCATTTGATCGAGGCCAAAGCTGGGAAAGAATTGAGTCTGCGTCTGGCCGGACACTCTGCAGCTTTTCATGCCGACTCGCAAATTCTGTTTGTTTACGGAGGCCTTGCAGTTTCTCACGCCAAAACGGCGGCCCTGTCTGATAGGATGTATGCATATCATGTAAGTCGAATTTCAACCTGAAAAAGGTTCCTCTTGGAAGTCAAAAAGATTTTGAATAATTTGATGCTATTTTGTCAAATTTTTACACATTAAAAAAAAATAGCAAAGTACTACTTACAATTAGTGATTTCCGAAAATTACTATACCATTTAGAATTAAAAGAAAAATGTGTTGCAGTTACTCTTGCGTTTTTTTTATTGGATGAATAAATTGTTTTTGCTTTCATTAATTGATTTTGTTCATTATCAATTCTCGCAATTTCAGGTTGAGAGTGGAGTTTGGTCCGAGCTGCACTACCCGCGCTCGCAGGACGCCAACATCCCTCGAGAGCGCGCCTTCCACTCTGCCTCGATCGTGGGTGAGCTGCTGGTGGTGGTGGGGGGCTACAGCCAGCGCCACCACCAGCACGAGACCTGCCACGACCGCTCGACCTACCTGTACCACCTTCAGTGCCACACCTGGCTCGAGGTGCCGCCCCTCAAGGCCCAGCTGCCCGAGGGCCGCTACTCGCACGCCACCGCCCTCAGGGGCAGCCAGTTGCTGCTGACAGGTGGCTACGGGGGCAAGGTGACCTCCGACCTCTTGGTGTGGACCCCCCTGGCCGACGGCAGGGTAGTCTGCGTGCGCCTCAAGGGCTTCCTTGAGTGCACGGCCAACCCTGAGTGCGGCTGGTGCTCGGCCGACGACACCTGCCACCCCCGGACGGCGGGGGCAAACTGCACCACCAACCTGCAGACCACGCGATGTCCAGTAATTACTCACTTTTTTTGCTTTTCAGCCACATTTTGAAAGTGTGGTCAGTGTTAATAGAATTCGGCTGGCCTAATTCGAAATTTGATATTTTGGCAAAAAAATAAGTTTGACTATATTTATTAATTTCAAATATTATAATCATCCCAAATATGCGTCTCCTATCTAGTCACATGATGTTTGGAATAGTAGGCCAATCAGCCATCGAATAGTTCTTTTCTTTTGCAATTTTTTTTTTAAATTTCCAACTTTGTTATAGTTTTGCTTGAATTTTTTTAATTTAATAATTTTTAAAGAATTTGTTCAAAATTGGATAAATAACTTTTTTTAAAGAAATGGTTAATGCTATTATATTCTAATATTGTATACTAAGAATTAATGCCTTGTAGCAAGATTTTGCGGTTTTCATAAGTTTTTTTAATGTCAAATTTTTATTTCCCACAAATTTTATCATCAAAGTTGATATTGAAAATAAAACTAAAATATATAGCTCTCAATGTTTTACAAGCAATAATTTGCTGATTTTATTTCGTCTTTTTTTTACGAAAAATATAAAGATGATCTTTGATTTAAGGAAATTTTATAAAAACTTCAATGAAATATAGTGTGATTTTTTTTAAATTTTCCTTCGCAGGGTATCTGTCCAGCCCTTTCCGACTGCCACTCGTGCCTGGCCCTTGGCAACGTGACCAAAGGCGACTCTATCGCAGTTGGTTTGAGGCTGGGCCAGTGTTCTTGGTGCGTCCAGACTGCTCGGTGTTACCCCAGAGATGGTAATGCATAGTAATGTTTTGCTAGTTGAAATTAAATTTGAAGTGGAAGCAGATAAATGGGGGATGTGCGGAGCAAAAGAAGACACGCCTACGCAGTCTCCGGGCTGGTGGGGCTCCAAAGGAACCGAGGTGCACCAGATTTCTGCCTGCACCAAGTGGGACAGACGACCTGGACTGACCCTTCTCAAATATGCACACCCGGCCAATTTCTCCCAGCCTGATTATGTGAGTTAAAATGTCATTAACAGTCAGTGCAATTTTAATTTTTTTTTCTGCGAACCAATTCTAATATGAATTTGCTATTTACAATTAGGTGAGTGTGGTGAACGCAACCTTGGTGGAGTTGCCGTCGTTGGCCGGCCTGACCGTGGGCAGCGACGCAATGGCGCGGCTCCTCGGATTTCTCCGAGTGCCGGCTGCGTGGAACGACGAAGCGCTGTGTCTGTGCGTGGAGCACGCGGCCGCCTTCCTCAGGGTGTCACCCTCACCAGGGTCGCTGCCTGTCATGGTGGCCAATGTCTCGACCGAACTGCGTCGCTGTGGCCGAACGGCGTGGCCCACCGGCAATGACGCAAAACTCAGTCCTGGCCGCCTGGCCATTGAGTTGGTGGTGCGCCAGCCCCTAGGCCGCAACCAGGCCTCTTCGGCCGTCGTCCAGGTCGCCCATGGTGGCCACTGCGGACCCGACCACAAAACCAAGGTAATAATGGGATAAAAATTATGAGTTATATGGAGATTAGGACCAATGTACAGATTATTTTACTGAAAAAAATGTGCTTTATTTATTCAAAAGTTATTTTTAGGTATTTTATAGTTAAAAGTTGTAACCTTTTTTCATCAAAAGCATTTTTAAATCTTGAATGAGATAATTTCCAAAATATTACATCACAGTTTTAATCAAATTAATCGAAGTCAGGAAAAACTTCCCGTAATGCATAAATTCATGATGGAAAAGCAGGTGAACTTCTAATCAACCCTTGTTTTGAAGGGATGTTAATCAATTGATTACGATTTGAAATTCGGAATGCAATTGGTAGATTTTCAGGATGGTTACGTATATTATGAAGAATGAATTGCTTAAAATTATTTCCAGATGTTTACCTTTGAGCATTTGGAGGCGTGGGAGGGTTCCGAGTGCGGGGTGCACCACAACTGCCTGCAGTGCGTGGCCGACCAGGGTTGCGGGTGGTGCGAGCTGAACGAGCGGTGCGTGTCGCGCAACACCAAAGAGCAGACGAGTTGCGCGCGCCCCGAAGGCCACTGGCGCTTCCTAACCCTGCAACCTTCAGCCTGTCCGCGGTGCTCTGATATCACGGCGTGCGGCGCCTGCGCGGCCAATCCGCTCTGCGAGTGGTGGCCCCACGAAGCCCATTGCACGCGCAGGGGAAGGTGAAAAACTCTTCAGAAATTATCAGAACAAGAGATTTAAATGTGGATTTTTAGGCTTCAAGGCGCCGTCCGGCAGAGCGAGCAGTGCCCTGCCGAGTGTCACTTGCGGAAAAGTTGCGGACAGTGTCTCTCGGACGCCGGCCCATGTGTTTGGTGCCATTCCAGACAGGTAAATTACCATTACTTGATTACCTTAAAGAAATTTCTGCTTAAAGACGGTAAAATATTAAATATTTATACACATCAAGATTCCAAAATAAGAGGAGAACAAATTTTTGGCTCAATGGTTGGAGTGCTTGCATTCTGATCAGTGGGTAGCTCGGCCGTCATGGGATCAATGCTCAGCCTGAGGCTCAGACCTAGGATGGATTTGGGCAACGGACAACGCCTCGGAACGCCTAGTAGCTTAGTAGTAAAATTATTTGTGAAGTAAAGGTTTTATACGCCGGCTCGAAGCGTCCTTTTCTATTAGTTCTCCAATTTATTACTCGCTCACTCAGCTTACACACAAGATTTTCTGGGAGAGCAAGGCGTTTTTCAGCCCTGTTTATCATGTTCTTTCCCCTCATAGTCACTTCATTTCATCTGGCATATTTTCTTTAATGTTCATAACCCTCTGATTTTTATAATTTGCAGGAATGCTTCTTGTTTTCCGCCTACACATCTCAAATGCAATTTGGGCAGTGCCACGATTGGCAAGACAAGGCGCCGTGCAGGGAGTGTGAGGCTCTGACAAACTGCTCATCTTGTTTGCGCACCCTAGGCTGCGGTTGGTGCTATGAGGTGGACAACCCTGTAAACGGCAACTGCGCCGACGGAGATTGGACCAGTCCAAAATCAGGTAATTATTATTATTTTTTTTAAATAATGTTAAGTTAATTTTTTTAACTAACACTTGTGATATTACCAAAGGTCTATGTCCTACCTATGCATCATCAAACTCGTCATGGGCGTACCGGACATGTCCGGATGTGGATGAGTGTGTGCTGGGGCTGCACGAGTGCCATCCGGCCGCAACCTGCATCAACACGCCTGGTGCTTACGAATGTGCTTGTCCGCACGGTTTTGTGGGCGACGGGCGCCGCGAGTGCCGCCGCACCTGCTCTGTCGAGTGCATTCACGGCCACTGCAGCGACTCGCCCGACTACAAGTGCACCTGTGGCCTTGGCTGGACGGCCGAGGCGTGCAACGTCTCCTGCGGCTGCAACGGCCACTCCTCTTGCGTCGAAGGGCCAGGCCTCTGTGACAAGTGCCACCACTTCACTGCAGGCCAAAAGTACATAATTTATCACTCGTATACAATTATTAAAACAATTTCTGCAATCTCAATTTTGCACCCAAACTTGAAGAAGTGCTTAAACTTTCCAGTTGCTGTTCCTTATCAGCATAATTCAATTTTAAATTAAAGGTTTTAAATACATAAAAACGAAGGCTCTATGTGCATTTCCCTGAAAAGCTTATCTAAAATTATTTGCTCCAATATGACTTTGATTTCCCCTGATATCTATATCCCCTAAATTTCTTAAAAAGGGAAGTCAGAATAGTTTAAAATTATTGGGTGACCTTTTGTCATTTGGATATTTTAAAATAATTTCTAATTTTTTTACACATGATTAGAGGAGATTTTAGCGATTTAATTTTTAACCTCTCAACAGTTGTTCAGAGTGCAGTCCAGGAGCTTTTGGGGACCCAACGTCTTCAGAGGGTTGCCTGCCCTGCGAGTGCAATGGGCACGGGGATGAAAACATGGGGTTGTGTGACCCCGCGACGGGCCAGTGTTTCTGCGCAGACAACACCGAAGGCCCGACCTGCTCGCACTGCCGAAGAGGCTTCTACGGAAACCCCCGAAACGGAGGGTTGTGCTACAGGGGTTGCACCCCCAGGGCTCTCCTCTCAGGGCTCAAACCTGGTGCTTTTGGTGCTGCTGACGCTCGTCCTCTCGACGAGTGTCTTTGGGTAAACATTTTTTGTTTTTAAATTTAATTTACGTTTAAATTTAATTTCCATTCAAGGTGATATGGCCGCTGGCAAACATGACGCAGCCGCCGGCCGTGGTGATTCAGATGCGGATCGAGGCACTGAAGGTCGAGTGTGGCCTGAATGCTGTGTACCTGTTCGATGGCCTCCCTTCGAGTGGCCATTCCCTGGCTGTGGTTTGCAACAACGACACCATTCTTCCGCTCACAATAGAGGCCAGATCTGGTCTTCTCTCAATCTACTTCCAAAGAGGAGTGAGTGTCATTTTTTATAAATTTACTGTAAAAATTGAATGCAAAATTTGTATTTTTAAATTACATTGCCGTTCATGTTTTAAATTAGCAACTTTCTTGCATTTAAACTTCCAAAAAGTTGGTTGAAAACAATTTGACTGAATTTTTCCAGGAGTTTGGCGAGTCTTTCAACGCCACATATAAAGTGTTCAGTTGTCTGGACGACTGTTCAGATCGAGGCAACTGCGTGGATGGCGTGTGCGTCTGTTCGGAGGGCTGGACAGGCCCGAGTTGTGCTGGAGTGGTTTGTCCGTCCAACTGCAGCGGCCACGGCTTCTGTGATCTGCGCCTCGGCAGTTGCGTTTGCTCGCAAGGGTGGGGCGGCGCTGCCTGCGACACCCTAACACACCAGCGTCTGGCCTTTTTGTAATCAATCTCCCATTTCTCTTAAAGCCGAATCTAATTGGTTTACTGCAGCACCCTGTTCCAAGCAGACACTTTGCCGGACAGCGTCGACCACCTGCGAAAGACGCTGCCTCGCTTCGGGCACTCAGTGGCTTTGGACAGGAGAGGCGGTCTGTGGCTTTTTGGCGGGTTGTCTCTGTCCCTGGGGCCATTGAACGACATAAGGTTGTTTGACACAAGGAACAGGACCTGGATGCAGGTCAGTTTGGATTATTTTTTATCAATTACTTGAAAGTGGAAACGGAAATCCTTATAAGTTAAAAAATAAAATTTTTTTCAAAAAACAATCACTTTATTTAATCATCTGGAGACAATATTCATGAGCAATATTTTTTATCCTGAATTATTCCAATGCAAAAAACATGTTGGCTATGTTAACATTTTTCTTACGCTACAATCCTAATAAAGTTACAGTTTAAATTTTTTGGTTTTTTCTAACTTCAAACTTAGATAAATTACGAAGCATAAAAACAACACTACTAAAACTTTCAAAACATCAAAATTTAGGAAATTATTGTAGACACCAAAATTAGTGTCATTTTCAGTTTTTTTTCTGTCCAATTTTTTGTTTTCTTTAGAGCGTTTTTTCTTTTTGCATTGAAACTGTCATTTTCATATCAGGTTACGGTGGATTCAACAAGAGAAGCGTCTTTGCCAGCCGGGCGTTACTTCCACGCTGCGGTGTTGGTGGCGTCTCGCCGCGAGTTTTTTGTTTTTGGTGGTTTGAGGGCCACCCGAGGGCCGGCAGAGGGTCCCTTTGGCTGCAGAAGTTTCGCCACCAGAGATCTGTGGGTCTTCAGCCTCAAGTCGCACCGATGGGAGCAGATCGAACCCCTCGAGAGTCCTCCCGCCCTCGCTGGCCACACTTTGGTGCTTCGTCCCGGCTACGGGAAACCTTCGAGTCTCATCCTCATCGGTGGTTTGGACCCCTGCCGAGGACCTCTGGACGACACCTGGGTCTTCCTGCTGGACACGAGAGTCTGGTCCAAACTGCCAGTCACAGGAAACGGGCCCCCAGGTTAGATTTAGACGAAAGATTATTGAAATTTGGTTTGATTTTGTTTCCTAATAGGAATATTCGGACATTCCGCGACCTATCACGCATCAACGGACGTGGTTTACGTCTTCGGCGGGTACGTAGGACCCAGGGCAAGACCCTCTGACCACCTGTATGCGCTGCACATGGGCTCCAGAATTTGGACCCTGCTACCACCCTTTGCTGATTACAACCCCATTGAGTTTCCAATGGTAAAAATTTCTCCTTTTTTGGAAATATTGACAAGTTTGTTAACAAAACTTTGGTGTTTTAGCCGAGGTCGCGCTCCTTACATTCCAGTGTGATGGCCGAAGACTACCTCCTGATATTCGGAGGACGCACATATCCACACAGCCCACCTGATCTGCTACTTGCCTACAATTACGCTTGCAGTTTGTGGGTGCAGCTCCTGCCCTCAGGTAGAGACAATTCTCAAATTTTCCAATAGTTTATTTTTAATATTTAATTTAAAAACCAACTCAATCATGTGATGTTTACAGGAATAAAAAATTCCATTTAATTGAGATTGATTTTTTTAATGCAGATTTGGAGGTGGTGGGGAGTGCGCCGTCCAGCAGCGTGGGCCAGGCGATGGCGCGCGACGCCGAGAGCGGCGCCGTGTTCGTGGTGGGCGGATACAACGGCGCCGCGCTGGGCCGCGTGACTGCAATTTCGGCGCCGGGGCAGCTGTGCGGGCTGTTCGCGCAGAACAAGGACGCGTGTCGCGGCGTGCGCGGCTGCTCGTTCTGCTCGCTGCGATGGAAAGACGGCGCCGAGAGCTCCACCTGCTTCGCCGCCGGCTCAGAAGACGCGTGCGGCGCCGCCCACAACGCCACCGTCGTCAGCAACAACGGCCAGCGCTGCGACGCCGCCTGGCTCGCCAAGCGCGAGTGCGGCTCCTCGCGCTCCTGCGCAGAGTGCCAGGCCCTCTTTCCTCTCCAGGTATACCTTTTACTTTCAAGATAGAAGTTGATATATTAGTTGCAATATTCTGGACAAATTTCCAAGATCTGCTGTTAATATGATTGATAAAATTTTAAGTTGGAAAGCGTAACTTCCAAAAATTGTCTTAAATTTATTCACTGTCTTTTTTTAAATTCCAAGTACATATATCAAAGTTGAAAAATAAATTATATTATATCCTTTTTTTATAAAAAACGTGGTTTTTAGTTGTTTAGATGAATATCAATTGTGTATTTTTTTTATAAATTTTTTAAATTACAATGAAAAAATTATGTTTATTCTGTTCACAGACGCACGAGAGCGGCGCGACGTGCCGGTGGTGCAACGGGCGTTGCGTGCACGCGGCGGCCGAGAGTTGCGGCGCGCCTGCGTCGTGCCAGTCGCCGTGCGCAAGCGCAGCAAACTGCGCGTCCTGCGTCGACAGGGGTTGCGCGTGGCGCGACGACGCTTGCGCCGAATCGCCGCCGAGCGAAGGGAGCGCGTCCGGTGCGTGGGGGCGGTGCCCCGCCCCCTGCGCCGCGCAAGTGACGTGCCGGGCGTGCCTGTCGGGGGCTGGAGGGTGCGCGTGGGCGACGCGCAGCAACACGTGCGTGGCGCTGGCGCATGCGCCGCTGCTGTGCGCGGGGGGCGCGTGCGGCCTGCTGCTGCGCGGGGGCACCGACCGCTGCCCCCAGCCGTGCACGGCGCTGACGCAGTGCGCAACGTGCTTGCGCCACGCGCGCTGCGGCTGGTGCTGGACGCACGCGCTCAACGCCACCGGCCAGGGCTTCTGCGTCGACGGCTCGATGGACGGGCCCGACGCGCGCGCCACCTGCGCCGACGACACGCACAGCTGGCACTACGCCGAGTGTCCGCCCGAGGACGAATGTTCCAACGGACACCACAACTGCGACCCCCAGTCCGAACGCTGCGTCAATCTGCTCCATGGCTACAAGTGCGAGTGCAACGACGGATACCAACCTGACAAGTAAGTAAATTCCATTTACATTTAATTTTTAATTATGTTGATTCAATAACCCGTCAAAATTTGCGTTCATAATTTTAAACTAAAAACTGAAAAAACGATTATCACAAATATTCAACGATACCGTTGATTTGAGTCGTGATTGAAAATAAAGTATATAAATGAGAAATTCATATATTCAAAATAAATTGATTCTCTGCATAGGTGAGAAAAACATTATGGCGTAAATAGTTTTCCAAGCCTCAGAAAGACAACGTGCAATCCCATTCATTTTTAAGAAATTATTGCAGGCGTCGCCGAACATGCAGAAGAGTTGCAATCCTGACGTAACGCACAATTTCTAGCATTTCTCATTTCCATGCACAATAACACGTTCTTAAAAAAATCATAAATTTAAGGTTAAGCTCACCATTGATAAATTAATCCATTAAAAGCCTTCAATTAGTCTAAAAGAATTCATTTTAACATTGATTAAACGCACAATGAACTAAGATTAGTTCATTTTTCATCTTCTTAAATTCTCAATTTTAAAACAAAATTTCGTTCAGTCAACAGGATATTAAAAAATAATTGAAAAAGTCGCTCAGACACACTTGAAATTAATTAATTTGAGGATAAGAAGCCGAAAATTGGCTAAATGAGCGGCTTTTGATCCTGTCCAAGCGCACAGACCCCAGATTTCCATCTTTGCCTGGAACATCTATTTTTTTTCCTTTATTTGACAAAGTGTTTTGCTTTCAGAAACGGCGGCTGCATCCCTGTGTGTCCGCAAGGCTGTGTTCACGGACGCTGCGTGGAGCCGAACAAGTGTGAATGCGATTTTGGCTACGTCGGATCTGATTGTCGCCTTCAGTGTCAATGCAACGGCCATTCCCAGTGTGGCGGACCAGAAGCTTTGGACAAATGTTCCAAGTGCTTAAACAACACAGAGGTGAGAAAATAAATTTAGAAAAAAATGATAAATTTGATTTTTTATCTGTTTAATATTTTAGAGAAAAAAAATTAAAATATGCAATTTAATCGAACACTTTTTAATTTCAATTTAATTTTGTGCGTTAATGTCTTATGCAAGAATGAAGTTGTTTTCAAATAAACTTTATTTAAAAAAAAAAAAGAACTTTGGTGATTCTGTATAATAATTTTGAAATTTGTAGGTAAAGTTGAAGTTGAACTGACAAATGTGTTGTGTTTCAGGGCGCGCAGTGCGAGCGGTGCAAGAGCAACTACGTGGGCACGCCGGCCAACAATGGACGGTGCGTGCCGTGCGCCGAGTTCTGCCACGGACACTCGTCGACGTGCGTGGACGGTGGCGCCGCCGCGGCGGTGTGCGTGCGTTGCGCGAACCACACGGCCGGCGAGCGGTGCCAGGTGTGCGTCCACGGCCACTTCCGCGCGTCGGACGCGGCGCTGGACGCGTGTCGGCCGTGCGAGTGTCACGGCCACGGCGACGCGTGTGACGCGGCCACCGGCGGCCACTGCAACTGCCACAACAACACCGAGTCGGACGCCCAGTGCGCTGCCGGCGCCAGGGTCGGCTCCGGCGGCGCCCCCTGCTGGCGCCTCCAGTGCGCCCGCTGCAAGGAATACTTCATCGGCACCCCCACGGGTTGGTTAAATTTATTTTGCCCAATTCCACAAAAAAATTCTCCTCAAAGTTTTGTCCTACAAACGATTAAAATATCAATGTCCCAAAATAATTTTTTTCTGGCAATTGTAATTATTTATTACAGAAATCAATTTATACTTTTTCTTAATTCATGCGGTTCATTTGAAATGCAACAATCACAACAACATCAAAAACAAAATTTAATAGAAACACTAAAATAATATTTTGGTAATAAATTTATAATCTTAAAATTATTTTATTTAAGGTTTTCATTTTCTCTATTTATGTTTAATTAATAATACTAATTTGGATCTATTCAATTCCTTTTTCTTTTCTTTGTTTATTATAAGTTTAAACCATTTAATCGTTTGTTTGTTTTTTCAGCCCAACCTAGAATATATTAATTTTTCCACAACGAAACGTTTTGTGCATACCTATTATTAATCATGCGTTTGAGCTTATCACAGAGGTTTCCATAATGCTATTATTATAAAATAATTATATTTTTTTGGTATAGACTTTACTATTTGTTTGGAAAACAGTAAAATTTTGTGAATTCTTTAAATTGATTAATTGATATCATGCCTAAATTCAATTCAAAAACTTTCAAACGAGATGGACTGATTTCAAAGTTACATTTTTAAAATGATTGTTTTATTTTTCTTGTAATTTAAAAAAAAAGAGTGCTCAGTAGCAAAGTTGTTTGTGTGTGCTTTTTGTCGTTGTATTTCACATTAATTTTATTATAAGAGATTAAATTAAATAGATTTAATTGCCACTCTTTTCTCCAAGAATTAATGATCCGAAAACATTTTGTTAATTTTCCTTGAATTTATGAAATTTTTATAATTTTGTGGATTCTCTATTAAATTTAAAAGGACTAGAATTTACGGTGTTTGAAAAATAGGCCATTTATTGAGGGGCAAGTACTTTTTGGAATTTAACATCAGAAAACAAAAAAAAACTTAGTTATGAATTTGGAAAAGAATTATTTGAATTTCCAGCAAAATTTGCATATCTTTGAAATCGTTAGACAATCTTTTACGCACCTCTATTATATTATGAAGCATTCATATTAAATAATAGTCAAACGTAATATTTTGGAGGATGAAAATAAAACACAACTTAGCTTTAAAAGTTAAAATCAGACAGTGAAGTTTTAAATACCTCAATTTATGACAAGAAAGAATGAATAATTTCATGTTTGGATACAAAAAGAACAATGAATCTTGATGCAAAACAAAAACAATTGAAATGTAGCTTGAAAATTTGTGCTAATAAGATTATTTAACAAAATTTGAAAGATTTTCCTTAGAATTTTTTCAATTTTCACGGCTTTTAAGAGGGATTTAAATAGAAAAATTGTTTTGAAATCAATCGAAAATTTGATAAAAATTTTCTATTTAATTATTTTCAGGGGGCCACGCGTGCTATCGGCAGATGTCAGTTGAGCTTGACTACTGCGCGAACGACAACTGCGGGTCGCTGGACGCGGGCCGAGCCGCCTTTTTCGCGGTGCAGCCGCGCTTCATGAACGTGGACATTCGGCTGGTGGTGGACGTGGGCGGCGCCGGCGCCGACGTGTGGCTGGCGCCGCGCGATGACGCGTTCGTCGTCGGGCTGGACGGACGCGTGGCGCTGGACGCGCGTCTCGGCAACGCGTCCGTGCTCGAGGTCGGCGCCCACGGCCTGTCCACGTTCGCCACCCTGGGCGGCGCCCACGCCCTCGTCGTCCGCGCCCTCCGCCACCGCCTCGTCGTCACCCTGCCCCAGAGTTCGCACGACCTCGCCGTCGCCCGATTCTACGTCGCCGTCCAGGCCAGGGACGCGCCCCTCCACGGCCAACTCCACTTCAGACAGGTATTTTATCTTATTCTACTTTTAATTTTCATATAAAATTTGGCAAATATTTCAAGTGTATCTTAATTAAAAAACGTTCAAAAGATTAATAATAGTTACAAATCCTTCAATCGATGATTTCTCAAACATTTTCGCAGTGACCTTGACCCTTTTGGTCACCAATCGACTCCTTGTGACCTGACCTTTCCAATGATGTTGAAGTGTTGAAGTCAATTCAAATTTGGTGGAGGGGGAACCTTGCAAACCAATCAGATCACTCGATTTTCATATTTTTTATTAATCATCTTGATTGACCTTGACCTTTTTATTTGTATTCCCCGTGACTTCAACTTTCAAAATTATAATAGAAACAATTTCATTGTTTTGATTTTAATTTTATACAAAATCGAGTTAAAATGATGAATTATTTTTGTAAAATTTATCATCTCTGGATCTTTGAACTGATTTTGCACATCAAACGCTTTGAAACTCACAGTGCACCGAGGCGTCAAATTAAACGCCGTCGCGTTCTGAAATTTTCCTCGGGCGAAATGTGCCCATTAGAGTGGCAGTAACGCAGCCCACGGCTAACTAAGAAAGCTCCACTTTTCAAACCGCTTCTTGTTCTAAGCCACTTTTGCGTACAGTTAGATTTTAATCAGCAAACGACACAATTTTTTCATGCAAAACTTGAGTTTTTAAAAACGAAAAGTAATGAAAATTTATTTTCTACGAATTTTGTCGATTCAAAACTCGATTTTACGATAATTCACAGAATGAAGAATAATTTTATTTAAATATAAATTTTCAGCAAAGCATTATTTCCGATCATCAATAAAAATAAGAGAGCTGCAAGTTTCCTCTTTTGTCAATCTGCAATATTCTCTGCGTCCTCTAAGATTTGCATTGTTTGTCCAACAAATTTCCCTTGGGAGAAGGAATCGGCACAAAACGTTCAATTAACGAGAGTGCTTCAGATCTTTCAGATCTTTGTATCCCAATTTCCATTACCCTTTTCTACTCTACCTCTGATATATATTATTACTGAACGGTTAATTGAGAATTTTATTTGTAATTCATTTAATTAAAATAATTGAAAAAAAGGAATCTTTAAAATTTTATTGCCTGCAGATAAAATAATCAAAATTACATCGTCATATTATTTTAATCAATTTTAACATCATTATTTTTAAATTAAAAATTAAAATATAAATTAATTAGAAATTTTAAACTTTTACTTCTATTTTAAGGAACCAAGTTTCCTTTTCAAGCTGAATAATAAAAGAAAAATTAAATGAGATTTTTTCTGTGAGTATGAAGAGCAAAACTTTAAGAACTGTAGCTTTTCTTACTTAAATAACAATCAAAAAATTTAAATGAGGAAAAATATTTGAAAAAATAATAAACAAAATAATCAAAAATAATAAACAAAATAATCAAAAATAATAAACCATTTTCAATTATTTTTTAACAAAAGCGAAAATGTTTGTGATTGCAGGACCAGCTACACATCGACCTGTTTGTGTTTTTCTCGGTGTTCTTCTCGTGCTTCTTCCTGGCGCTGGCCGCCGGCCTGCTGCTGTGGAAGGCCAAGCAGGCGGCCGACCTGCGGCAGGCGCGGCGCCGACACGTGGTCGAGATGCTGCACCTGGCGCGGCGGCCATTCGCGTCGGCCGCCGTCGTGCTGGGCGCGGCCGCCGGCCGCCCGCGGCGCCACCGGCGGCCGCGCGAGGTGCGGCCGATGGCGTTCGAGCCGACGGCCGACGGCCTGGCCGCCGTGGCCACGGTGCTCGTCGAGCTGCCGAGCGGCCCCGTCCGCCTCGCCCTCGCCTCCTGCCTCGTCCTCATGGCCCGGAGGCCGCCCGCCTCCTGACTGACGCCCCCGCCCCACCCCACCCCCACTCAGGCTCAATGCGTCCTTTGAATAAAACAAGATGTGAAGCCACAGGTTGTTGAAAAACAAAACGCTCTGCTCGTCACCAAACCTACCACAATATGAATCTCATTTTAAACTTAATTAATTGTAAATAATATATGATAATGAATAAAAAGTGAGGATGCGCCAAACGGATATTAATTGACTTGCGCATCCATTCAACAAATATACAAAAAAAAAACGCATTTTAATTACTCAAGACAATCATTGAAAGTTTAATTTTGTTAAAATTTCAACAGTTATTTGAATTATTTAATCTTTTTTTTTTAATTAATTCACTGTTTTTAATCAACAAGTTTTGGAATGTGTAATAGGAAAATCAGCACATCTTTTATTTTTGTTTCGAAATCATTTCACTGTGACATTTGTGGCAAATGATTTGATTTAAAAAAATATATATAGATCTGTTTCGGATGAACATTTCATGCAAGTGATGCCAATTATTTGAAAAAATTTAAACTTTCTGTCATAATCACCTATTTTAACAAATGATATATCCAGTGAAATTAAAACTCCTGAACTCTTTTAACATAAGATCAATGTAAATTTGTGTTTTCGACTGACCTGATTCTAAAAAAAAAGTTCAAATTTTATCAGTCTTTTAACAATATAATCAATATATAATAAACTAATAGATCTGTCACAATTTTTAAAAATATCTATGAAATTTTTTGTTCTGAAGTTTTCTCGGTTTTCTCCATTAATGCTTCCTTGTTTTTGCTACATTTATTCTGGTTTTAACCAGATTTAAAAGCATTGAGAGTTTTTTTGACAGAATGACTCGTCAAAATCAGAAATTCCCACGTTGCACCAGGATAGGTTTTCTTTTCTTCTATCTCGTAAACTGTGTAACTGGAGCAGAAGTGAATTTCCATTGCATTCATCAGAGAAGCAAACAGAAGCCGAAAGCAAAAGCTGACGTAGAAAAAGCTGCAATTCAATTGGGCGATAAAAGGCTCTTTCACTTTTCTTTTATTTCTCCACTCGCAGAGATTGGAAAGACTGAGTGCGGCGGCCTAACTGTTGCATATCAAACCGGCCAGGGGCGCACCACCCCTCTTTTCAGACGCCTCCACATCAAGGGTTGAAATCCCCCGTTTTCAAACTAATTTAGAAATAAATCTAAAAATTCTAGAAAAATTCAAATCAAAAATAATTTTGAGGTTTTATACTGTTTTTAAATCAATTTTGGGGTGGACGCGCCCCTGACAGGGTCGAGAGCATTAATGGAGCGGCGCGAGTCGCCATGACGACGGCACACTCACTTTTCTCTCTGAGCACTTTGGCAGACTTGTTGCATTTCGGACGAGGCCCGTCGTCATGGCAACCAGACTCGCACGCCTAATTGCGCCTATTCATCCCTTCAAAGGCAAAGGGTTGATTGCGCTAATAATCGAGTTACTCGCGTCGAAAATCTCGTCTGACCGGCGCGACCTTGCGCTTGATCCACTTTTGCTCTCGTGTATAGAAAGCGAAATCTGACCTTCCTTTAAAAATATATTATTTATAAATATATCCTTCCTTCCTTTCTACACTTGCATAATACATTAATTCACACGCCACATTGACTCTCAGGTGCACTTCAATGCACCGTTGATCAAAATTTAATCAATCACACAACGAGGAAAAGTGTTTGAGGAAGAAAAATAAAAGGAAACTACTGATCTTGGACGTCACTGAACTCTTCTTGTATTATTGATAGGATTTCCCCAACTAGATGCGTCGCTTTGCAGACCAAGACCGGTGTATTATTTCACTCAATTCCAAATATTTTGTTCAGATTTTCCTGTTCTTTGCAAACTCGCATGGAATTCCCAAGCTTTACTGCTGGAGCTAAAATTTTACTAACGATTTTTTACAAATTTACTTTAAATATACATTTTTAGTGAAAAGTTTTGTAATTTTTATCAGAAATTATTCTGGCAGCGATCAAGTTCCGGATAAAAAATCCGAAAAATTTAATTTTTGTATTAATTGGCAAGATTTTGCTTAAAATGTTGAAATAAACAAACTTTTTTAATTGAATTTCAGCTATAAAAAAATGTGCGAATATTAGCAAATTAAGCTATATATTATTTACAAATTTTCAAAACGTGTCTTTGCATTTATTTTCCTGGATAAAATTTGACTGATTTCAAAACTTTGATTTTAATTTGAAGAGTTCTATGTTGCAAATATCTTTTGTTAATTTTCCAACACTATTCTGTTTTTGAACCCGGTTCCAAATAATTCATAGAAATACTGTCAGTAGCAAACTAAGCTAAAAAAATTGGATGTTTTGCTTAAAACAAATTATAATGTTATTTTTCCTTATATTTTTTAATTCAATATTTTGTTAAACATAATTTAAGCTTCAACTTTATAATATTTAAATTTATTAAATATTTCTCATTGTTAGTTATATTACATCAAAAATAAAAATAGCTTCATTCTGGATTAATTTTACTTAGTTGCATAAATCTTTAAAGTTATTTTCTTTTGAAAATGGAATAATCTCATTTTCAAAATTATCATATCTGTTTTTGAACGTTCAGAATCAATTTTTTTCTATTATTTTCATCCACTTTTATTTCACGGAGGATCGAGACTTTCTACCGAATTTTCTGAGCAATGCAATTGAAATTGTCAAATTTGCAAAAGATGAAACTTTTTTCAGGTATGGTATGTAAGGACTTACCAAAACATGCAATTTATATACAATTTATTTATCATTTTTCAATTATGTAATTAAATTGTAAATTAGACATTTTCTTGTTACTGCAATTTTGATACTCTCAGTTTCATTCCTTTTGGTACAAAATGTTTAATCATAATTAGTTGTATAATAGAAAAAATGTGTTTATGCTGATGTAATATTTCCTATTATATAATTTGAATCATTCAGCTTTCACAAAAATTTTCAAACAGAATCGTTTCCTTCCGAACAAACAAGAATGTCCTGCAACCTTGATACATAATACCTGCCAGAAAATGGGGCGCCTTTTCTAAATCGGTCATTTTTAGAGCGGCTTTCGCAGAGATTCGTGGTCGACGGACCGACCGGCCGTCACTTGAATGAATGAATGTGTAAATAAAACCAGCCGCTATCAATTCGTTTGGTTTTTTCGGTGCTCGGGCAGGGTTGCGAAATTCTTCCCTTCCTCGGTCGCAAGTGCCAAAGGAAAGGAAGGCGCGCAGCGCACGCTCCTGGCCCGCAGAGTGGAAGGAACGATTTGCTCATTCGGCCGCCGCTCTTCGCTCCAGCACCACACGCGCTCTCTCCTGCCAGCCAACAGGTAAGAAACAATGACGAAAAAAATGCAGCCAATTTAGCAGGCAATTAGCTTTTACTGCCCAACAGATAATTGTTTAATAATCCTTGTTATTACATCCAGCGTTAAATTTGTAATTACTTGGGCGGAACAGAAAAAAAAGTTGCTACGCAGGGAAAAACATTTATTGAATGCAAATAAATTTACGAATTCTATTGAACTTGAATTTAAATATTATTTGAAGTACTTTAGAAAATTCGGATAATGGTAAAATTTTAATTAGTGCTAGATTTTTTCGATTTTTTATTTTTATTGGCTCTCATTTATTTTTCGTGACTTTAAATCGTGCTTGTTTTCCAGTAATAAATGACAAATTTAAATTTTATTACCAAGACGTCAAAAATCGTAAAAATTTAAACAATTCTTCGAAAGTTTGATTCGTTTGCATATAATTAATGAGTCGTGTCGCTCGTTTGAAATATTAATTTACGACGCCCACTCGTTTGCTTTTACGATTGAAAACTTGTGTATCGCCGGCGGAAAAGCGAGCTCGACTTATTACTAAATTATTATTAGCGCGCGCGATCGAGCACCGCTCACTTTTACTTTCTATCCGAGCGACTCAACGAGCGACTTTAATTCGAGCAAAAAGCTACAATCGTCACACCAGAGCACATTTCTCAGGTAAAAGCGGCACAATGCGTTTTTCAATTCTAACGGCTTGACCGACCGGATGAAGCAACCAACTCTTAACCTCTGAATGTCTTTGCTTGACGCGATCAACCGCAAAACTTTTGGTTTAAAAATAACTCAAAATGAGCAGTAAAATATACAATTAAAATATATTTGCCTAGTGATTTTGATCGGCTGAATTATTCTTTGACTGTAAAAAGTCATGTCCATTTTCAAGGTAGCTTTAATTAATTAAAAACAGACAAAACATTAATTGCATCAAAAATATTTTCTCAACATAAACTTCAAGGCAGCTAAAATAATAAATGATTTGTAAAAAAGAAAAATCAAGTAAATTGTTCAGCTCAACGTAAAAATCATACTTATTTGCGGCAGTTGTTATAAATCGAAACTCTTATTCTTTATCTTTATCTTTATTTGTATAATTGTGTTTAGAATGGACACGGCAGAATTTAAGGATTTTGCCCGGAGCATGGTCGACTTCATCGGCGACTACCTGGACAATATCAGGGACAGGTATTTCCAATGCAAACAAATTTTATAGAAAATAATTTAAAACTTCTTCTCCGAATTTTTTGTTTGCCTAATTTATGGAGAGTGTTACTGGAAATATTTTTATTTTTATTGAAGACGCGTGCTGCCCGAAGTGGAGCCGGGGTACATTCGTCCGCTTTTGCCGGACGCGGCGCCTGAGGATGGCGAGCGCTGGCAGGCGGTGATGGGCGACCTGGAGAAGGTCATCATGCCCGGCGTGACCCACTGGCACCACCCGCAGTTCCACGCCTACTTCCCCACGGCCAACAGCTACCCTGCCATCGTCGCCGACATGCTCTCCGGCGCCATCGCCTGCATCGGATTCTCATGGGTCAGATTTCAACAACTTTTAAATTTAATTTTATTGAATATATAAAAAAATTATGGAAAAAAATTCAAGAAATAATTAGTACTATAAATTGTCTCTTTTTTATTATTAATTATACCTAGATTTATTTGAAGGTTGGAAAGTTTAAAATATTATTATTATTTTTTCATTTGTGAGTTCATGCATTTTGTTCCAATTCAACTGATTTTGTAGCAACTCTGTCTTTGAATGTCTCTGGATCAGAAAATTGAAACCAATTGAGGCCAATCAAGTCAGCCTAATTTTTTTTATTAGATTTGTAACACCACATCTCATTTCTTATTCTTCAACTAAGCTATAATTCTAATTTTAAACCTTTACAGTAATACACATTTAAATTTAATACTTCATTGAAGAAAAATGGTATTTTTATTTAATTTTTTTCAATAATGATCAATAATTTCATCCTAGTAAACTTTCCATATTTTCTCTATCTCATTTTCGTGTTCAATTTGATTAATTACTTTTTAAACTATTTTTAATTAAAAATATTTAATTATTTTGAGTAAAATTTTATTAATTTTTGTTGTTAGATTGCGAGTCCGGCGTGCACAGAGCTGGAGGTGATCATGCTGGACTGGCTGGGCAAGATGCTGGACCTGCCGGCCGAGTTCCTCGCCTGCTCCAACGGCAAGGGTGGCGGCGTCATCCAGGGCACGGCCTCCGAGGCCACCCTGGTCGCCCTGCTTGGCGCCAAGGCCAAGGCCCTGCGCAAGGCCAAGGAGCTCGAGCCGGACCAGCCCGAGGCTCTGCTCACCTCAAAACTCGTCGGCTACTGCTCAGGTACCCTTATTAAATTAGGATAATTAAATTTTTAATTATGAAATCGAAATTTGCAGACCAGGCTCATTCGTCGGTGGAGCGCGCTGGACTGCTCGGAGGGATCAAACTGCGCACCGTGGCCGCAGGGGATGATTTTCGTCTGAGGGGGGAGGCCCTGCGCAAGGCCATCAGGGAGGACAAGGAGGCTGGACTCACTCCTTTCTTTGTAAGTTGCAAAAAAACTTTTTAAATTTATAGTTTTTTTTATTTATTTATTTTTTTAATTTAAAAAGTTTAAAAATAAGGGTTCTTTTAACTGCATTTTAATGGTGGAATAAAATAACAAATTCACTATTTGCTAATTTTTTTAATATAATTTTTTTTAATATGGACAATTACTAAAGTTTTTTTTTTAATTCATGAATTAAATTTGAAAATTGGTATTCATTTCATTTTATTTTAGAACTTTCTTTTATTATTAAATTTTGCGTTGTTTTACTTAGTCTAGTTTACAAAATAACAATTTTTTTATTTCAATTTTTCCAGTATGTAATCATTTTCTTTAGATTTTTCATAAAATTAATGAATTATTATTTTAATTTTTTTTAAATACAAATTTTCTCTTTGATTGTGTGCAGGCCGTGGCAACTCTAGGCACGACGAATTGCTGCGCGTTTGACGACCTGGACGAGATCGGGACGGTGTGCGTGGAGGAGGATTTGTGGCTGCACGTGGACGCGGCGTACGCGGGCTCAGCGTTCATCTGCCCCGAGTTCCGGCCGCTGATGCGCGGCATCGAAAAGGCCGACTCGTTCAACTTCAACCCGCACAAGTGGATGCTGGTCAACTTTGACTGCTCGGCCATGTGGCTCAAGGACCCCAACTACGTGGTCAACGCCTTCAACGTCGACCCCCTCTACCTCAAGCACGAGCAGCAGGGCGCCGCCCCTGACTACAGGGTCAGTATTTTTTTTTATCAAATTAAAAATTTTTCCAAAAACTTTTCCTAATTCAGACAAGATTTTAAATTTAATTGAATTGTCTATTTATTTAAAAATACACCGAGGTGGCCTTGACCTTGTGGTCACCACTCGATTCCCAAGACCTGACCTTTCTAATGATGTGTCACACTTTATGTTTTTAAGTAAATTTGAATATGGATCAATGTGGTGGTGAGGGAACCTTTCGAACCAATCAGATCGTCTGATTCCTTTAATTGCTGTTTTCTCAATCAATCTCTTGGTGACCTTTGATCTTATGGTCACCGTTCAATTTCTTGTGACCTGATCTTTTCAAAAGAATCTAATTTTAAAATCGACTACATACAAAATCAAGTGATTTATCCCTATTATTTGAATTTAATCTCAGTCAGAAAAAGCCAATTTCAAAGCTGATTTTCTCAATAATTTGATCGATGACCTATAATGTTCTAGGCATATTCTGAAAGCTTAGAACTTATCCTTTCCAAAAGTGTGCGATTCACACCACATCATCAATATAATAATTAAAACCCTTTAAAAGAAAGCTAAAAAGAAATGCCAAATTTGTGCAGCACTGGCAAATCCCGCTGGGCAGGAGGTTCCGCTCGCTCAAGTTGTGGTTCGTCATGCGCATCTACGGCGTCAAGGGTCTGCAGGCGCACATCCGCAAGCAGGTGGCCCTGGCCAAGCAGTTCGAGGGCCTCGTCAAGCAGGACCCGCGCTTTGAACTCCTCTGCCCGGCCTCCATGGGCCTCGTCTGCTTCAGACTCAAGGTATGGATTTAAAAATAATATTAACATAAATTTAAAAAAAAAACAACATCATCAGGGGAGCAACGAGAGCAACGAACTGCTGCTGAAGAAGGTGAACGCCAACGGCAAGATCCACATGGTGCCCTCCAAGATCAAGGACACTTATTTCCTGCGCATGGCCGTTTGCTCCCGCTTCTGTCTGCCCACCGACATGGAGTTGGCCTTCAACGAGGTCGCCTCTTTGGCTGCAGAGTTTCAGTAGAGACCGGCAAATATGGTAGTACTTTTTTAGTATTTAGTCGCGCAGTGTAGGGAGGACAATAATTTACAAAAAAGCACCCTCATGACAATATATTGTATGTATTTCTCAAACGCCAACATTTTCACTCATTTATCCATCAATGTACTTTCTGTCAAACTTATCAAGGGACCAATTTATTTGAACAAATTTTAAATCATTTGTTTTGTGATGTTTTATATTTTCTAAGTTATGGATATTTTTGACAAATAAATTTAAATTTACTCATAATTCTCCAACTCAGTTATGAGTCAAACGTATTTATTGTGTAGTAAAATAAAATAATATATGAAACTTTTCTTGAAATTGATTTATTTGATTACACTTTTTTTTAAAAAAAAAAGCAGCTGTATATAAATAAAAAAATACGTCAAGATTTTTTTCTCACACTTAAATATAATGAAGAGTATTATAAAAATGGGAGGCATGTTGTAATTATTATTAAACTGTCAATAGACTTTACCTGCTACCATCCTGGGCAGAGAGGTAGTTTTAGAGCAGAGTTTTAATTGGTAGCAGCCAAAGTGCACAAATCTGATGTAGATTCGCAAGGTTTGCTGCTCAAGAAGTCTGACGCAACCTGTAAAATTCTCAAATTAGCTCAACACTTCATTTGTCAGTAAAAATGGCTTTCTTAAAAAGTTTTTGGCCACAATTTAAAAATAAAATGTATATATTATATTTTTTTTACACTTTTGAAATTTGAGATTGCACATAATGGAGCCTTTACCTTTTCAAGCGCTTCCAACACCGTGTCTGCCAAGTGGTCTTTAAACATAACCGGCGAGATCAAAACTCGTTGGAAGTCGGTGTTTTCCGTCCAAAAGGCTTCATATTTTGGCGACTTCTTTTTGATTTGTCTAAAAATAATATGAGAATAATATTAATAACTAATAAGTTTAATCAAATCTGCTTGAAATTATATTTTTTAAATGTGCTATAAACATTTTAGTAAAAAAAAAAAATAAATAATAATAATAATTCTCCTCACCCCTCCTCATTTTGCTGCTTTCTTACGACGTGGATGATTTTCCCTGGGAGGTAAAGGGGTTGGTGGAGGGTGAGTACTATCGAGCTGTCCGTCGGGTGGGCCGTTTCACTCATCTGAAATAAAAGTTTGTTCAAAATTTTCTTTTATTAAAATTCCACACACAATGACAGCCTCTGGATCCAAGCTGGCTTCTTCATCTTCTTGCGGCCGGGGTGCGCAGCAAAATGCCATCCCCCCAGTCAACGTCCTCCACTATGGAAATTAAAATTTAAAATAAGTTTAATAAATTCATGTTTCCAAGAATAAAAAATCAAACCTTTGGATCGGAGCTGAATTTGATTGCTTTGATGAGATCAGCCCTGAGAGATTCCATTTGGCGCAGACCGATGCGCGGCACCAGGTCCTTTCCGACCACCACGGAAATTGTGAACTCCTTTGAATACTGCGCCGCAGTCAAGCTGTCAAAGTAATAAAATATTGTTATATAAATTTTTATTTCTAATTTTTAATTTAAATTAGAATTAAAAGATAAATTGGAATTTTAAAACTAATTTATTAATTAACTCGTTTTTCAAAATATTAAATTTTAATTCAAGTGAACTCAACAAGGAGCTTTTTTTTTTTTTTTTTTTTTAAATCACCATATTAGGCTTCCCAGTTTATTTTATTCCAATTTTTTTTCGACTAATTTTAGAAATTTTAGAAAGCAAAGTTAAATCAGCTATGATGTATCCTTTGCGAATGCATAAAACAATAAGCATCAAAATCAATTGAGCCGTTTTATGGAAGATGAAGAAATTAATAAGAATTTATATTTTACCTGAGGAGGCCTCCAGGAGGGGAGTAGGCGTAGCACCTGAGGTCAGGGTACTCCTCCCTGAGCAGGATGGCGACAAGAGCGGCCGTGCCAGCGCCCAACGAGTGACCCACGACGACCAGGTCAAATCCGTCGGTGCCCTTGGAGGGGTCGAAGGCGCGCGCCAGAATACCTTCCTCCTTGATCTTGTCCCTGACGTACACGGCGGCTTGCACCATACCCTGAAGTGTTATTTTCAGAAGAAAAAATAATAAAAATAAGAAATGAAAGACCTTGTGGGCAAGCCAGTCGTCTCGGGGCGGGTGGAGGGGAAGTGGGGCGGCGTCGGCGTTCAGGTCGGTCAGGACGTCGGCCATGGACAGGGTGCCCCTGATGCTGAGCACCACCGCGCGCCGATCAAAGTCGAGGGCGACGAAGAACGCCGTCTGGCCGATGCCGACGTGGTATGTGGCAAAAACCACCTCCACCTGGCCAACCTCCACCTGCGCCCTCAGGGCAGCCACGTTGCACTCCAAGCACGACGTGTCCTCCAACACCGCTGAAGAAGTAGAAGGAGGAACGCGCCGGCAACAAGAGCATCTTCAATTTTCAATTAATAATTTTTTATTTTGATTATTGGTCGAGAATTTAACTTTTTTTTAATTATTTCAGGATTTAATTTAGTGTTTTGGATTACGGTTCTTTCAGGTATATAAAGATTAATACAAAACACAAAATAATTATTACAATTAAGGAAAAAGTACAAAATTTCATTAAAATTTCCAAAAATCCATTAGACTTGGCTTTTCTTTTTGAACTAACAGTAATTTTAAGAATACAAAAAATCATATTTTATATTTTATCTACAATCGAAATATCCAAGATGCAGAAAATTTGAGAGAATTTCCTTTTTTTAAATTATAAGAAAACTTTTTTTAATTTAAATTAAAAATCGCAGGTCAAAATAAATAAATTTAGCATTAATGTAATTTTAGGTATAAAATTGAGCCGCTCTCATACCTGAGTTTGCTGCACAACCTGCAAGTGTCACAGGCGGAGTGCGTGATAACGTACATGGGCCATCCATAGGCGCCGAGCGCGAATTTCATGAAGTGGACGACCGACCTGAACTGGGCCGATTCCTCTGGCTCGTCCAAGGCCACCAGCTTTGGCGTCTCGTTGCCTACTTCCTGTGTTATTAAAAAAGATTCTTATTTCAAACACTTTGCCGGATGAACTTGGTGTACCTGAGAATCTCTTTGTCTTTGCGACTTTTGCATTTTGCGCAGGAGAATCAAACCGGCGACCACGTCGCTCGGCACCACGTCCAGATCGCAGAAGAAATCGGTCAGCAGCTCGGCAAGGTCCGGAAAGCAATTCTATGAATCAGTGAAATTTAATCGAGAATTTTAATAATTCATTTCGCTTTTTAGTGCAAATAGAAATAATTAGCTGACAAATTAATACAATTTTTTAATTAAATGAAAAACAAATTTTTAAAGAATTTTATTCCATTGAATTAAAAGTTGAAAGAATCTTGGTTGAAAGGAGGCCAAAATTTAAAAAGACGCTCACAGCGGTGCTGTCCGAGGGGCTGACGCTGCAAAACAGGAGGCGACACCTTTTTTCCCAAGTATCTTGGTAGGCGCGCAAAACTCCGCTGCAACAAAAGTTTTTTTAAAACCGTCCTTCGCGAAAACTCTCTATAAATCAAAATTAAAATTGATTTGGAACAAATTTGTTTCACCTGTGATGCCTGACACTGCCTGATCTCGATTCGGCACTTATTTGGTTTTTCTTCAATTCGACCCATGAGCGGCCGGTGGCGTCATAAGAAATCAAAATCGTGATCAACAAACTGGTCAGAACACAGCCGTTGCCAACAATCAATCCTGTATAAATCATTTTATAAAAAAAAAACATTAATAATTATTTAGACTTGTTTAAAATGCTTTTAAAATGTATCTAATTAAAATGTAATTATTAAGGTTATTAAACAAAAGTTTAGAGTCATTCAACATTTTGAAGATATTTAAGATAATGAATCAAAGATTATAATTGGGCGAAATTTTTAATGCAGAAATTTGAATACAAATTTTTTGCCAAACAGAAAGTAGCTCACTGACTCACCTAAAACAAGCACCCTGTTTGAGTCGACGGGACAGTCTGCGTAGAATTGCACCAGCCACACCACGCCGAGGACCAGCCAAATCAGCTCCAAAATAAACAAAACTGCAAAATAAAAATGAATTTGTTAAGAAATTTTTGCAAAGAACGAAATTTAATATGAAATTCCACGCTACAATTTTTATACAAATTTTAATTAATTTTTATATGTGTATATTTTATTTAAGAATACAATTGATTGTACCTAGTCTTGCATAGAGCAGAAGGTGGATTTTTTCTCTGGGCCGCGTGTCCAAAATGGTGCCCCTCGCGGCCACAAGGGCGATGCCGAGTTCGAGGGCCATCGCGACGCCCAGCATGCCCAGGAAGACGCCCTGGTGCACCCTGAGCAGGACGACGCAATCCTCGGCGCGCCACAACGACTCGCTTGACAACACCAGCACCACCAATACGGCCCTGCAACAATAACATAATTCAAGGAAAACTTGGGAAAATTCAAGAATTTCATATTTTATTGTTAGGATACAAAATGCTCATCTTGGCTTATTTATATATAACTAGAAAAAATTGATTACAACATTTAGTGAGCTAAAATATTAATTATTAAATTAATTTTTAATTTGATTAAAAAATAACGATAATTAATTCATTTCCTTCATTTAAACGCTGCTTCGCTTCTTGAATTAAAAATTAATTGTTCCTTTTTTCCAATAAAATTAGAACTCTCAAAGCGAAATAAATTACAATACATGTACAAGTTATTTTATTTTTCTTTCTATTTATAATTCAATTGATGGGGAATAAATAAGTTCAGGATTCAATTTCTGGCTCAACATGTCTGTTAATTTGGCGCGCTCTTGATAAGTTTTTTTTGTTAGATAATATAATTTTTTTATTGCGGGGCCTTCAATTCAAAGTCAAAATTTATCTCACTGAAGGTCAAAGCACTGCCAGAGCCTATCATTTGTTTTAGCGCGTCTCTTGACCAAACTTAGCCGCGAATAACGGGACCGCGAATATTTTATTTCAATTTTAATTTGTACCCTTAATTTTAAACAATTACAGCGGATTTATGCCAAAATTGTTCAAAATGTTCAAATATATTTTGAAAGTTTGAAAATAATTTGACACAACAAAAAAATTTTAATAAAAATAACAAATTTAAAAAAAGTATTTGTATTCCTCTTTAATAAAAAAATAGAGCATTAAAAAATAACAACATCTTCGTTTTTCTCATCAAAATTTAACTAATGACGATTTTAGCGCATCGCACCGTAATTTTATTCCGTCGTTTTTTGCGTTGATCATGGATTATTATATTATTTCTAAATTGTTAAGCACTAAATTTGAAGTTTAATTACAATATAAATAATTCTTTTTACATACCACACGGTGTGCAGCAGAAAGAGGAATATGCCGGGCAGGACAAAGTCATCGCTGCCGACGTTCCATCGACGCCTCAAAAACACCAGACCAGGCATGCCTTCGACTGCTCAAGATCAATTTTTTCAGGCGCTACAATTTAAGGTACCCGATGGCCGAAATGAAACAATGATCAAAGTCTTTTGAGTGCCTTTCCTGATCCACGCCAGTGCTTGAACTTCATCATTATCTATCGTGTGCGGCACTTGAATGCTCAATAGAACCCCCCAAAACACCCACTTTGAGCCTTAATTCTGCACACAACATTTAACGCGCCCTTCTTGCAATCGCGAGTCAGCTGACCTCTGTTCTGTGCAGCTGACCGACCAGCCGAACACGCCCACTTTGTCGTTTTTTACTCATCATTTTTTTTACATTCAATGAAGCATCCGCTGATCCGCTAGCAGATGAGCAGAAAATGTTTTCAATTTATTAAATGCTTGTTTTGGAGGTTAAAAAAAATAAAAGGATCGAGGTGAAGTTTTTTGAACTGCCCTTTAAGATGGTTAATTTTTAATTTTAAGCTACATTTAATCACTTCTGTACAGACCGAGAAGAATAAATAATAATAAAATATCAGCCTTTGCACACTCGCGATAATTATTTAAAAAAAAATAATAATAATGTTCAAAAATATTGTTTTTATACATTTTTATTCTTTTGATGAATATTATAGCAAATTATATGATGTATAGAGTATTTTAGTTTAGAATTTGGATTTATTTTAGATTTTTCCCTGACTCAAAAACGGGCGGAAAAACGAATGGCGTGGTCAAAATCAAGATCCCTTCAGCCGTTTTGGAGATATTGGCGTCTGAAAATCGAGTTCTTGGTACTTCCTCCTTTGAATTTACCCGTCGCTGCAACAATCGAAAATAAGAGACTGTCGAGAGCGGATTTGGCTGATCCCGACTTGGGTCACGTTAGGTCGTCAAAAGTAAATGAAAAATTAATCAAAGTGAATAAAGTTTTGGAAAATAAAAGTTAAAGAGTTGCTTGACACGGCCCTTTAAATTAAATTATTTAATTTTCACGGACACCTGAGATATAGAAGGGTTTGCTAAGAGTAGTGCCATTTGATAAATAATTTTTTTACAAACAAAAACTTAATGGGAAAGTTGTAGCCAAAGACATGTTCTTTCTTTTTTGCATTGAAAAATTTTGCGTAAAAATTTTTATTATCCCTGAAAAAATGAAATAAATTTGAAATTTATATTTTTAAACATGAAATAAATTTTTAACATTTTTTCTGAAATAGCCAATCGATTCAGCATGTATTCATTAGTTTATGACTAAATTTTCATCAGAAAATTCGCAGCCGTTAATAAATAATCCTCAAAATACTCGGATAAGTCGTGTTATTGAAAACAGCCAAAAGAGGTGTCCTTGGACTTTAAGCTATAATTTATTAACGGCTGCGAATTTTCTGATGAAAATTTAGTCATAAACTAATGAATACATGCTGAATCGATTGGCTATCTCAGAAAAAATGTTAAAAATTTATTTCATGTTTAAAAATATAAATTTCAAATTTATTTCATTTTTTCAGGGATAATAAAAATTTTTACGCAAAATTTTTCAATGCAAAAAAGAAAGAACATGTCTTTGGCTACAACTTTCCCATTAAGTTTTTGTTTGTAAAAAAATTATTTATCAAATGGCACTACTCTTAGCAAACCCTTCTATATCTCAGGTGTCCGTGAAAATTAAATAATTTAATTTAAAGGGCCGTGTCAAGCAACTCTTTAACTTTTATTTTCCAAAACTTTATTCACTTTGATTAATTTTTCATTTACTTTTGACGACCTAACGTGACCCAAGTCGGGATCAGCCAAATCCGCTCTCGACAGTCTCTTATTTTCGATTGTTGCAGCGACGGGTAAATTCAAAGGAGGAAGTACCAAGAACTCGATTTTCAGACGCCAATATCTCCAAAACGGCTGAAGGGATCTTGATTTTGACCACGCCATTCGTTTTTCCGCCCGTTTTTGAGTCAGGGAAAAATCTAAAATAAATCCAAATTCTAAACTAAAATACTCTATAGTGTGAATTAAATATTCTGTGTGTTGCAAACCATAAAAAAATGAAGTGACAGTTGTGCAATAGTCAAAAAGTCAACAATGAGAATTTTTAAATCTGGAATGTTTTTTCCCTGTTGCTAGAAGAATTTCGGAGATTCGCACTCGCAACGGTCATTTTGAGTTTGTCGAGTGATCTTACCAGTCAAAGTGGTCCTGAATCCTGCGAAGTGGAGACGGCGAGCCACGATTAAGAAGGCAAAAAAGGTAATTTTTTCGCTCGTAAAGTTTTAAGCGAGGTTATTGAGATATCGGATTAGCAGGTTGAGAATTCCTGGCTCTGCGACATGAAATTCTGCAAGAATTTTAAACTTTCTGTCAGTTGAGAGCGCAGAATGCTTGCAAAATTTATAAATTGTGAAATATTTCAAATGTATTCATGCTCAGATTCCCTGAATATAATCATAGGAGCACGTCATCAATTTGAAAAACACAGAGCCCCACGAGATTCAACGGGGTCTTTAAAAATCGTGAGTTTGTGCCATTATATTCAAAAATATTTTTATTTTAATTCTTTTGATGAATTTTTCAACAAATTATGTGATAGTATGTGTATTCATTATTCTGTGTGTTGCAAATCATAAAAAAATCAAGTGACAGTAGCAATAGTCGAAAAGTCAACAATGAAAATTTTGAAATATTTGAATTTTGGAGATTTGTATTTTCAACGATCTTTTTTAATTTTTCAAGTGATCTTGCCAGTCAAAATCGTCTTGAGACGGCGATTAAGAAGGTCTTGAGGTAAATAATGCGCTCGTAAAGTGTTAAGCGCGTCAATTAAGATATCGGAAAGCAGACTGAGAATTCTTTATATGTAAATTGAGCGCAGAATGATTGAGCATGCTTGCAGAACGCAGCGGTAATTTATAAATTGTGAGAATTTTTAAATGTATTCATGGATCTGAGCATGAGAATTTTTCATGTGATCAACTATTTTTGGTCACGAGCCGCGTGCTCTCGCTCATAATAGACCGGCCCTCGCTCTATCTTGCTCACGTTCAAATGCCCCGAGTTTAAGCCAGCGATTTGCAAAATGCAGTCTCACTCACAGGTTTGCCATCTCCGTAGAACCCGAGATGAAGGTTGGCGACGCGAGGCTCTTTTCTTTTGTGCCCGAGCAGGCTTGTAGCAAGATCATCAACTCAAAACTTGCCACAAATTTGAACAAATGGTCCGAGTCGGCAAGGAATTGTCAAACTTTACTATCGAAAAAAATTCGCACAAAAAAAAAACAAAAGCACGCTTGCTGGAAGCTGCGCGCCCATCCACGTCTGGGCCCACAGCCTTTGCAGACATGACCAAGAGCAGTGTCGAAACAAGAGCAAAAGTTTCAGCGTTTCGAAAAAAGGGCCCATTAAAAGAATAACTTTCTTTTTGGTCACAACTCACTTTGAGCCCAGATTCCGACTGACTCTTTCTTTGACTCAAGTCAGACACGAGCAAACAAACCTCAAAATCAACGGCTGAACAAGTCAAGAAGTATTTTGTAAAAAAAAAATTATTTCCAGCGCTGCGAGGATGTCCGAAGTCCACGCATTACATTTTCAGGCGCGGCCAGTGCACTCTGAATTCATGGATAATGCTGTTGCAGTACCTCCTGATGAAGAAGGTACGCGTTTTTAATGTCCACAAAAACTTTTTTATGCTTTTGCATTCGGCTAATTAAATTTTTCGTAACTTTTTGCCTGCTCTACTTTTGAAACAAACACTTTTTTGACGTCCTCAGCACATTTCGCTCTTCAAGAGCCTTACCGAACACTCCAACCTCGATAAAAAATTTTGGGAAAAGTTGTCGAGCTGCTTGAGCAGGCCCACGGACAGATAAGCAAGCAGTCCGAGACTGCTAAAACCTTGGGCGTTTTGGAGTGGTACATGAAATGTATAGCATAACAAAACTGCAGTCTTAATAATTTATAAATTAATAGGAAGGCAAAACTAAAGGCCAAGGAGGCAGAGCTAGGCATAGATTTGTTCAAACTCTACGGAGAAGAGGCCATGAAAATCTGGACCGCGTTGAGCAAGTTTGAGACATGCGAGGAGTGCAAGACCACGGAGTGCACCCTGCAGCAGCCGAACCTCGACAGGGCCTCCTTTCTCAGCATGATCCGTGGCCGCACAGATATAGCGAGCGAGTGCAAGGTAAAATTTCTCCTCCAGAATATCACACTTGATATTTATGAATTTATTTAATTTTCAGTGCGGCGGAACTAGAACGGTTTATTTTGTTCTTAGCGAGTCGGGCTTCTACGTCGACCTGGCTCAAGAGTTCACCCGTGAGAAGCAGCTTGAATCCCTTCTGACAGATTTTCCACCCAAGTTTGAGATTGGCAAGAAAACGTTCACAAGACTGGTGCTCTGTGAGTTGAATGTTGAATTAATTTTTCAATTTTAATCAAATTGCTGCTTTGTTTTTTTCTAAGGCATGGGAGAGTTCAAAGGCAAGATCGCTCACCAGTTCCTCATTGTGACAGAGGATGGAGAGTTTCAGCGACTCTGTGACGGTTCGCCTGAAATTTTGTGGACCAAGTATATTCCAGATCTAACCTATAAACTGGAATTGACGGCGCCGCCGCTGTGCAGAATCTTGCTGGCCCAGACGTCGGCTTAAGTCCAAGACTCTCGACAGGACTGTTAAAAAAAAATGTTAAAATTTCGGTAGTCTTATGCACTTGAATGTTAAAAAGTTTGGAGATTTAAATGCGTGAAAGACACTGAACTTGTCAGCTTTTCAAATTTTGTTCATTTTAATTAGGGCAAAGTGCTTAATATAATTCCAACAAAGTCTTAAATCTTTCACTGGAACAGCTATTGATTCCAATCGATTCTACATAATATATTCGAATAAGTATAAAAATTCGTTCAGGAAATCTTTGTTCTTGGTTGTGCCACCTGTTCGGGCAATTTTCTTTTCTTACTTTCCAGGTCAAAATTTTTCTCCTGCAAAGTCTCAAAATTTTCAGGCGTCATTATTATTTGACTGAGTTGAGATCCGCTAAAATCACAGGTTTTCCTTCAAAATTAACTTTTTTTTAATTGCTTTCGGTAATATTTTTTATTCCAATTCTCGAAACTGCAAGTGGATACCAGGTGCATGAAGACACCAAGGTTGTCAAGCAGAATTGTGTAATAAAAATTCATTATTATGAGATTTAGGAATGCGATTATTAAAACAAATCTCTTTCTTTGATTTTAAATTTCCATCTAAATTATAAATAGAATAAAAGATAACATGGAGTTAAAATCGAAACGAGTAAAAAACTTCAGATTTTTGGCAAAGTAAAAAGTTATCGCCAGCTCACCATGCACGCAGTATAATGCATGCAATATAAAAGTCTCAACTTCAACTGCCAAAAATTAAGATAAAAATAAGACGGAGCGCGATAAAAGAAGTAATAAAATATCTTCTTGCCTTCATTGGTAATAACTGTTGCGGCGTCGTCCGCCGACGACGGCCGACGGCCATTCAAATCAACAAGAACTGTCCGAAAACGCGACTTTGCTTGTCAACTTTAGAAATTCGACTGGACGGGGGCGTGGCAATGTTTACAGCGGCTTTCAAGTCGGCCACGCCCACTTTTGTATTTACTTCAATAAAATTTTCTACGATTGGAATTTCGCAAATAATGCTGGTTCCGAAAACTTGAATCAGTTCGTACTTTTCCGTCTTTTCCCTCTGAATAGTCTGAATCTCACTGCCGAAGAATGGACGATAACTGGGAGGAAGAGGGACTTCTGCTTTTCCACAGGGTTGACTCGGATCAGGTTTTTTTCTTTTTCCAAACTCCTTTTTTTGTTTGCAACGAATATTTAACTTCCCATTCGCAGGTAATTTACCAGCGCGGCCCGAAAGGCGTGAAAATGGTCGGACGATACGTGGTGGGCGAAGTCCTGGGCGAAGGTTCCTACGGAAAGGTCAAGGAGGCCCTGGACCAGGACACGTTGACCAGGAGAGCCATCAAGATTCTCAAACGAAACAAGCTCAAGCGAATTCCCAATGGAGAAGCCAACGTTCAAAGGTTTATTGATCAAACAAATCTTAATTTAATTTTTAATTTTCCAACTTGCAGAGAGATTAAACTTTTGTCTAGTCTGAAGCACCCAAATGTGATAAGTTTAATTGAGGTAATTAAGTAATAATCACTTTTTTGGATAGTCTTTGAATGGGCGACTTTTTCAGGTGATGCGAAATGAAATCAAGGACAAACTGTACATGGTCCTCGAGTTCTGCCTGTTCTCCCTGCAGGCCTTGTTGGACTCTGTCTCGGAAAAGAAGCTTCCATATTCGCAATCGCACTAGTAACGAAACCATAATATTTTCTTTATAATTTTGGTAAATTTCATCTGATTAAAGCTACTTCTGCCAGCTGGTGGACGGACTCGAGTATTTGCACAGCCGAAGGGTGGTGCACAAAGACCTGAAGCCGGGCAACCTGCTGCTCACCATGGACGGCACCCTGAAGATCTCCGACTTTGGAGTGGCCGAGGTCGTCGGCCTTTTCGACCCTGAGGACTCGTGCCAGGACGGCCAGGGCACGCCCGCCTTCCAGCCACCTGAAATCGCCAACGGGGCCAACACCTTCTCAGGGTTCAAGGTCAATGCATAGTTATTTCTGCACTTGGGACAAATAGGTTTTTTTATGAAAATTAAAAGAAAAATAGTTGTAAAGAGTTTTTGTTAAATTTTTTGAATAGCCCTGATGCTTTTAGGGGAAATTTTGTATTTCAAACTTGTAAAAGGTAAAATGATTGTTGATTTGTACTTTAAAAAGATATTTTGGGCTTATTACATTGAAGATAATTACTAACAAATGTTAAATTTGTGATCACCTATTTTTCTTTTACCCTTTCTCGAAACTTAAACCTTTTTCAAATCCAGGTTGATGTGTGGGGCTCAGGAGTGAGTTTGTTCAACATGTGCACAGGACTGTACCCTTTCGAAGGTGACAACGTGTACCGGCTTTACGAGTCCATTGGTCGGGGCACTTTCACGATGCCCCCAAACCTTGACCCCTCCCTGGCCGACCTCCTGTCCGGTCTTCTTTGCGCCGACCCGCACAAGCGCTTCAATTTGAATCAGGTGAGAAAATAAACTGGGCATATTTATTTATTTTTTAACGAACTCTTTGACTGGCAGGTTCGTCACCACCCTTGGATAGTGCGGAAGATGCCCAAGTGCGAGCCGTGGGTGGAGGTGCCCGGCGACAGGGTGCACTCAATGAGCGTCCTGCCCTACCTGCAAGACCTCCACTATGGGCCTGACCCTGACGAGCAGGCCTTTTTCACTCAGCGCCAGATCAACGGTAAACTAATCTTTGCAAATTTGTCCACTTTTGACTTATTCTTCTGTTCTTTTCAACAGAGGCCAGGCAGCTGGCGGAGGAGAACAGAAATCAAGAGCTGCAAAACAACAATACAAAGACTTCTTGCATCTCATCCAAAAAATTCTCTTCCTGTAGACAATCCTAAGGTTTTAAACTTGATTTTAGAAGGGGAAACAATTGTTATTAGTAGGGCTTGCACATATAATAATAATAAAAAATACAAATTAACGTTTAAAAATTGTTTTATGATAATTTTTAAGAACGGATTTATCGATCCGAAACGAAAGCCAGTTAAATCGTTTCTGATTCAAATGCGGGTTGACAGGTGTGTCTGTATCAAACAGGTCACAGGCTTATTAAAGACGTTGCACACCACAAGCTACATTCGATCCAAATGTGCCTTGATCTGAATAATTCTGGAACAAAATTTTAAACATAATTTTTCAACTCGCCGAGCAAACTTGCTTTTTTAATGGCGAGTTTTTCATCACCTTGAACTTGAAGTGCGGTGGCGTGTTTTGTTTTTAACACGCATTGCACAGCAGACGTGTTCATCAGGCAGTTATATATCAGTGTAGAGCAGGAAGTGGTGTGTGCCTTGATAACAAACGTACTTGCACTCATACCACGCTCTCAGTCGCGTGGAATTTTCTCGGAGGTGCGTTTATTTGAAATGTTTTGTCGAGACGTGGTGCAAAAGTGAGAGTAATGCGGCGAGAAGAAAATTTGAGTGGCAAAAACAGCCGTGTCCGCAGACATACCATAGCAACAGGTACAATACAAAATCATTTTCCAGAGTGAATTGAAATTCTGTAAAAGGAATTATAAAGTAAATCTAAATTTTTTTAAATCAATTTAGTTATCTATTGAGCAAAAATTTTCAATATGGTATAAAACATCAAAGTGAATTAAAGAAACCCTGCTTCCTTTTACATTCGTTGTCTTCGCTGTTTTTTTTTTTTTTTTTTTTTTTATAGGCAGCTAGTATATTTGAAATAATTTTTTTATAAATTTAATCGTCAGTTTCATTTAGAACATTTTATAAATAAAGCTGGTAAAATGTTAATTGAACAATTTTTGAATGATTTTCCTTGTTTGATAATAGCAAAAGAGTCAAATGACTACTAAAATTAACTTCTATTTGGAAGTAATTTAAAATTTCTTGAGACGCAGCGATGCGAATCGAGACGAATCGCTCGTTGCTGGAAGAGTTGCTGCACGAGATTTACCGCGACGGGCCGGCCATCAGCTCACCCTCTGAAGGCAGCATCGAGCCCTGCTTCTGGGACACGTTGGCGCCGTCGGCCGGCGCCGACGGAATCGCCACCCTGCGCTCCAGCGCCGACGCCCTGAAGGCGCAGGTCAAGTCCCTCGGCGCCCACCTCGGCCGACAGCTTCGGCTGCGCGACGCCCTGCGCAGGAAGTGCGACCTGCGCTGCGAAGTGGTCACTGCCCTCCTCAGGGCCAACTCGGCTTCCACAGGTAATCAAAGTTATCTTTTTTTAATGAAATTCTTAAATTCTAATTAATCTTGTTAATTTGTTAGTGTGAGTGAGTGTTTTTTGTAAATTTTAGTGTAGAGTTTGAATCCACGTTAAAATTCTTTTGAAAATCTAATTAATCTGTTTAACTTTTATTTAAAGAAAATTATATGAACATTCAATTTTCGGTTAGAATAAAGATAAAATATAGGATTTAGGATATAAATTTCAATTTATATCTTGAATATTTTTGCCAAAAAAGTGACTTACAAATTTTAAAGATTCATCGAAAGAATTAAAATTTCAATAAGAAAGATTATGTTCTTATTTTACAATCCTACATCCTACTTTAATTTTATTCACTCAAAAAGCGTGTATAGGTAAAAATTTTACCTTCTCTAGTATAAAAGAAATTCGAGCCTAAAAATATAAACCCGTTTCTTAGAGATAAATGTCTACAAATCTCTGCTTATGTGGCTAGATTTTTCGGCTTACATTTTAGCGATTAAAGCTATATAATCTTTTAGGTTTATGTGATTAAAAAATCTCACAACTAATTAAATCTCCAACGGACTTGCTACTTTTTCCTTTCAAACTTTACAAACCTTTATAAGACAAAAATAAAAAAAGATTTTCGAAATGCAGCCCTTCAATATGAAAAGTGGCGCCAGACAATGTGTCTCGCGTGCATAATGAGGTCGCGCGCGTATATATCTAATTTTCGATGCGCTGCCGTACTACTTGGGGTGCCAAACAGATTTGAGCACCGCGGCAGGGGTGCCACCCCCGTCGGCCACCCTTAGCCATTTAAAAATCGATAGACGGGGTGGGTGGCCGCCCGCGCAGGAGTGCCAACCGGGCGCGCAATGAGTGGCCTCTTCAGCTCCATCAAGAGCCTGGCCGCCGGGGCCAGGGCAGGACCCTCAGGTATACCACCCTCCGCGCACCCTGACCCTTGAAAACCGAATTCCCTTGTCGCGTGTCCGTCCCTGCTAAGGGGAGGAAAAGAAGGCGAAATCGCGACACACTCGCAACCCCCCAGAGTAATGTAATGCGCTGACCTTTCGTCGCTATTTATAAATATATGAATTATTCAATTAGCTCGGCTCGATTACGCGCGTGCAAATATTTACGCGTCAACAAATTCGCACTGGCCAGATTTTGCAAGTTTTGTTGTTTTAAAGGAGCTACGTTAAAATTTATCTTGGTTGTTAATCATTTTAAAGAACTTTCTCGGTTATGTTGCCTTTTGACATTTCACTTTTCCTCTCTCTAATGAAATTATTATCTATAAAGATTGATTCATTTTTTATTTGTATATATTCTTATTAATTTTTAAACGATACGTTTCACCAAAAATCAATTCAAACAAATTAAATTCAATATAATCCATATGTCTTTAAAATTATTCCAACTTTTACAATTGATAAAAATTTTGATGACATTTTTAGGTGAGGATGCGCGCGTCCGATTCAGCGTGGTGCCGCCGCCGTCGGACAGCGGCTTCGTCCAGTGGCGCGACGCGATGAAAATGGTGGCCAAAATGCCCGGAGGCATTCCTCCTGAGTTCCGTCGCAGAGTAATTATTGCAAAACCTAATAATTTTAACAAATAAATTAAATGAGAAACCAATAAAGCTTTGGCTGACGTTGGCGGAGCGGCACTTAACGGCCAGGTGCGTCGACTGGTCGCAAACAGAGCGCGTCATTTTCAGTGACACCAGCAACCCTGACGATGAAGAACTCGGCGTCCAAATCGTCAAGGTCCGAAATTTATTTATTCATTATCCTTTCAAACAAAAGTTGAATTTTAAACATTACAAAGCTTATATAAAAAATCCTAGGATCTGCACAGGACGGGGTGCAGTTTGTTCTGCGGCGCGACGGGCGAACACAACCAGGCGCTGCTCAAAAGGGTGCTGCTCGCCTACGCCAGGTGGAACAAAAACGTCGGCTACTGTCAGGGCTTCAACATGCTCGCCGCTCTCATTCTTCAAGTATAACCAAGATTATAAAAAAAAAGTTTTTTAAATTAACCATTTTAACTTGCAGGTTATGGATAAGTCTGAAGTGGATTCTGTCAAGGTAGGTTCCTTTTTTTAATTAAAACGAAATGAATTTTCCTCTTAATTTCTAAAATTGTAATCGACCGTATATTGATGATTAAATAATCATAATATTTAAGAAAAAACTGCGTTTGAGAAAAGTTTAGTTTTAAAAACACTTATTAACATAAAAATGTTTGACATTAGGTGATGATTCTGCTGATCGAGGGTGTCCTTCCGGACGGCTACTTCGCGAGCAACATGTGCGGCCTTTCGGTGGACATGGCGGTGTTCCGCGAACTTCTGCGGCTGCGGCTGCCGCGACTCTCGAAGCACCTGGAGGCGCTGCAGGCGGAGGCGTCGGGCGCCGGCTACGAGCCGCCCCTGACCAACGTCTTCACCATGCAGTGGTTCCTCACCCTCTTTGCCAACTGCCTTCCACACAACACGGTGCTCCGCCTCTGGGACCTCGTCCTGCTTGAGGGCAACGAAATCCTGCTCAGGGCGGCCCTCGCCATTTGGTCCTCATTGCAAGAGTTAGTTCAAATATTGCAAAAAGATTTTAAAAAATGTAGTGTTAGTAATATTTTTAAGAAAAGAATTTATTTTTGCATAATTATTAATTAGTTTCAGATCTAAAATTAAAATTAAGTTTGCGAAATAAAATAATATTCAAGCATTAATAATGAAATTATGCAAAAAGTGGTGTTTGGCAAAAATAATCATCACTAAAAATGGCCTTCTTATAACTTCAGTTTGCTTTAGATGCTTTTAAAAGATAATATATGTTTAGTTTTTTATTAATTGAGTCAATATTTTTGTGATTTAGTGTTGCCATTGTTGCCAATTTAGATGTGAAAATTTGTGAAAGTTACATAAAATTTCCGAAAATATAAACGCGATTTTATTCCAGATTTTCTTTAAAAATTTTTAACAAAAAATGGTCATTTATTGTCAATTTATTCAATTTGAATAAATGAAGTATTATGGAATAAATATTGCAAAAAAATCTTTTCTAAATGAAAATTAATCTTTTAGGCGGATTCTGGCGGTGGAAAGTGCCGACGAGTTTTACAGTATCATGGGTGTGCTGACGCGCGAAATGCTCGAGTTCGGTCTTTCGGACGCGAACCAACTGATCATGGCCGTGATCGCCGTCAAGCCGGTGACCGAACTGTCCGACCTGCGCGACAGGTTCACGTACAACATCACACCCTGGGGCGGCGCCGTGGGGGCGGCGCGCCGGGGGCTGCGGCTGCTGCAGCTCGACGACGACACCGACGACGACCTGGACGAGGACAAGATGGCCGTGGCCGCCTTTGGCCTGGGCTCGGTGTTCGGGGGGCGCAGGCCGTCCGTCGACCGCGAGCGACTCAACCTGGACATCAGCGCCCTGAAGGAGCAGTACTCACGGCTCAGGGTGCGCCAGAGACAGGCGCACATCATCATCTCAGGTCGGTTCAATCAAAACTTTGCATTTCTATTTTTCATTTACAGTATTCATTTTACTATTTATCAAAGTCTATGGTTGAAACTGGTAAAAATTGTCAAAACCTTAAGCTAAAATGTTAAAAATTAGATGCTAAAAAATGTAGTGCGACGCTCGAGATAGATAAAAATTGTTTTTAATGTCAGGCTTCAACATTTTTTGTTTGTATTTAAGATACGAATAAATATTTTGGCCAATTTAAAGCTAAAAAATCAAGAAAAATCAATGGGGGAGATTCAATAGACTTAGCTCTCCCGGGATAAAAGATAAACCGAGATATATCCAAAGGGATAAAATTTAGACCACTGTCCCCGGTTAAATATTTTTTGTCCCGCCTTCAATTTTTTCTCCCCAAGTCATTGGGGGATATCTTTTCTTAGCCCCCTCTACGGGATAAATATTTAACCCGCGCTAAAATAAATCAGCTGGTAAATAAAAGATCGTCAACATGCTCGAAAACTTTTTACATTTTGGCCAATTGCAAATTAAGCAATTTGAGGTACTCATATGTGCACCTGATATGAGGTGCTCAAATCAGGTGCTCATATGTGCACCTGATATGAGGTGCTCATTTTAGGTGCTCATATGTTCACCTGATATGAGGTGCTCAAATCAGGTGCTCATATGTGCACCTGATATGAGGTGCTCATTTTAGGTGCTCATATGTTCACCTGATATGAGGTGCTCATTTTAGGTGCTCATATGTTCACCTGATATGAGGTGCTCATTTTAGGTGCTCATATGTGCAACTGATATGAGGTGCTCATTTGAGGTGCTCATATGTTCACCTGATATGAGGTGCTCATTTTAGGTGCTCATATGTTCACCTGATATGAGGTGCTCAAATCAGGTGCTCATATGTGCACCTGATATGAGGTGCTCATTTTAGGTGCTCATATGTTCACCTGATATGAGGTGCTCATATGTAGGTGCTCATATGTGCAACTGATATGAGGTGCTCATTTTAGGTGCTCATATGTTCACCTGATATGAGGTGCTCATTTGAGGTGCTCATATGTTCACCTGATATGAGGTGCTCATTTTAGGTGCTCATATGTTCACCTGATATGAGGTGCTCATTTTAGGTGCTCATATGTGCACCTGATATGAGGTGCTCATTTTAGGTGCTCATATGTGCACCTGATATGAGGTGCTCATTTTAGGTGCTCATATGTTCACCTGATATGAGGTGCTCATATGTTCACCTGATATGAGGTGCTCATTTGAGGTGCTCATATGTTCACCTGATATGAGGAGCTCATTTGAGGTGCTCATATGTTCACCTGATATGAGGAGCTCATTTGAGGTGCTCATATGTTCACCTGATATGAGGTGCTCATTTTAGGTGCTCATATGTTCACCTGATATGAGGTGCTCATTTTAGGTGCTCATATGAGCACCTCAAATGAGTCTATTTGTAGTGAATTTGTAGTCAACTTGGAGTCGTTTGTAGTCGTTTTGTAGTGAATTTGTAGTCAACTTGGAGTCGTTTTGTAGTCAACTTGGAGTCGTTTTCGACTCTCATACGACTCCCAAAATGCGCTAAAACACGCAAAGCTCGTTCTCCCTTCATATTTATATACCACCTTCCTTAAACATCCCAACAATTTTACCATCAATATGCCGTCAACTATTTCAACTGTTGAACCACCTGACCTTGCTATCAATTTTGAAACAAAAAGGTCAGCCGCTAGTAATAAAAAATTAAATACAGTCAAAAATTTTCTTGACATTGGCTGAGCTGAGTGTTCATTGCAGATGCACTTTTGACAGCCGGCAGCCGTAGCCAGCCACTGGTTCAATACTTGATTTGATAGCAATAAGAAAAAGATTTATTTGCCCAAATTAACTTTGACGAAAAGGTATTTAAATATTTGGGAAACACTTAAGATGAAAGAAAAGCAAATTCTTTTTTCTTCTACTTTTTCACGTTCACTAATTTTTTTCCTTTTTATTTGTTAAGTGTAATTAAAAAATATTGGCGAATTTAATTTATCTACAAATAAAAAAATAAGCTTGAGAATTTTAATTTTTAAGCGTTGAGAAATTTGAAATTGTATATGCACAAAATTTGAAAAGAAAAAAATCCTTGCATAATTTCGCTTTGATGAAGAGGTCTTTAGAAATTTCTGAGCAAAATAAATAAGCAATTTTAAATTAAGTTCGATACAGAATTTTGTGTTACCTTTGGATTTCAATTTTGCCCTCATTTTCATGATCCTCACAAAATTTTGATTTGAAAAAGTTTTTTATTCATTGCAATTGGCCAAAATCTAAAAAGTTTGCGAGCATGTTGACGACCTTTTATTTACCAGCTCATTTGATTTTAGCGCGTGTTAAATATTTATCCCGTAGAGGGGGCCAAGAAAAGATATCCCCCAATGACTTGGGGAGAAAAAATTGAAGGAGGGACAAAAAATATTTAACCTGGGACAGTGGTCTAAATTTTATCCCTTTGGATATATCCCGGGATATCTTTTATCCCGGGAGAGCTAAGTCTATTGAATCTCCCCCAATATAATTTAATAGTCAAAATCGAACCCATTTAATAAATTTCTACATTCCATAAAATTTAAACTTTGATTGAAATTAATTAAAATTGCAGTTCATTCAAAACTTGAGTGAATTTTATGAATACAATGTTTTATTTATTTATATTTCAAAGTAATATTAAATTTTTCGTTTCAAAACAAATTATTAATTGTGAATAATTTCAGCGGCCTGTTCGCGAGCGCCGGGTCCATCCGGGCGACCTGTGACGGCCCCCGTTGTCATGAACCATTTGCTTCTAGGCCGTTCCGCCCTGCGCGAGGGCCCCCGTCGCCCCTCGGCCCCTGCCCTGACCCAACTGCACACCCCGCAGAAGAAGTCGTTGCAGCCGCCGCGGCGAACCAAGACGCCCCTGGCCGCAGGGTCCACCATCAGGTGGCACGAGCTGCAGGGTCGCAGGAGTCCGTCGCCTCCAGAGGGCGGCAGGTCGTCGTCATCCACCTCCACCGCGTCCAGCAGCACCGAGCTGTGCGACTCGGACAGCGACAACGAGGACGTCTCACCGCTCCCCTCCCTCTCCCTCCCGCCCCCCGAAGAGGAGAAGGAAGAGGAAGGACAGAAGGAGGAGGAGGAGAGGCGACCCAACACCCTGGAGGTCGCAGCGCCCATCTCGTCGCTGCTCTCGCCGATGGACTCGCCTTTCGAAATGATGCCCTTGTCGCCCGTCCCGCCAGAACTGCCGCCCGTGACACTGGACAAGTCACCGCCTTCGCAAAACGCAAGTCTTTCACAAGAATTCGACTTTCTGTCCGACAAACTGCTTTCGTGTTCCTTGGACGCGTCGTCGCCCAACCCGCCGCCCTCCGACTCGTCCAGTTCCGACTACTCCTTCCCCATCGAGTGCACGCAGAAAATCACCATCCCCCAACTGACGCCGCGCACCACCCCTTCGCCCCAGTTTCAAGCAATAGTAGACTTCTCTTTCCCCGAACCGAGCGTAGCAATAGAAGAACCAGTCGATTCCGACAAACTCTCAAGCTTTACTCCTCCGAAAGAAGAAACTGAGATTATCAAGACTCCAGTGAAAATCAAACTGATGAACTTCAAATTCCCCTCGCTCTCTCCGGACGAGGAGGACGAACCACCTGAAATTGAGCAATTAGCAAGTGCGACCAAAATTTCACCGACTGATCTGTGTGGACAAAGTGTGGAGGGGGCGGGAGTGAGTTTGTGTCTGCCTTTGATGGACAGTCCGATTGCTTCTTCGTTCACTTCTCCGGACTCCTCCTCGAACATGCCCGACTTGGTGGCCGACCTGTCGCCCATCAGGTTGGAGCCGGTCAGTCCTCCGAAGGCCGTGTCTCCGCTGTCGCCCATGCTGGAGGGGTCGCGGAAACGGTGGACCGTGGCCATGTGCGAGTCCGCCTCCTCCTCGGTGGAGGAGGAGGTGGAGGGGGAGGCGGCCGAGCGGCGGGCGCGCGCCTTCCAGGTCATTCGAGAGAACTCGGAGATTCTGCAGCGCATCGTGCAGCAGCCGCCAACGAGGGCGGCCGGGTGGGGCCGCGCGGCCAGCGAGGACCGGCCGTACAGCCCCTTCCCCAAGGCCCGGCAGCCCAACCGCGAGGCGGGCGTCCGGCTCGGCCTCTACAAGAAGTGACGCTCCCCAAAATCAGCCTTGCCGCTGCCTGCGGCCCCACTGTTGATCGTTTGCCAACCCTAAAGGCGGTGGCCAATTATTTGAAATTGTATGCAAAGCAGGTTAATGAGGATAATTATTAAAGTTGTGAATTCTTACGCCCAGTGTTTCTGTTTGAAAAAATACTTTATAGATACGTTGCATTAAATTTACACTCTAACTTGAAGTTTGAAATTTACAATAGAACTTAAAGAATAAAATAATATTCACATAGTTCTTAAAGTTAGGTAAAATTAAGGTCCTACTTGTTTGCCCTGGACTGCATAATTCTGTCCACGTTAGAAACGCCATCAACGAGTTTTGTCTTAAAAAGTACATTCGCATTTTTGAACATGCCGTCCTTGAGCGAGACGATGATGAACTGAGACTGCTTAAAGTGTTTCTGCACCAGCTCACCAATGTTCTCTGTGTGAGACGGGTCCAGGGCAGCATCAACCTGAATATGTGATATTGCAATGAGTTTCTTTTCATAAGAAGTTTTTGGAAAAATCGAACCTCGTCAAGAATGTAGATAGGGGCAGGCTTGAACTGGAGCATGGCCAGCACAAGAGACAAAGCCACCAAAGATCTTTGACCGCCGCTGAGCTCGGAAAGACCTTCTTTCCATTTACCATTAAAACCGACGTGGACCTGAATAGAATAAGTCAATTTTGCTTTTGGGAAAATATTTTAAACTACCTCTAATCCGTCAATGATTTTGTTGGTGCGACCAGTTGGTTCCAGTTTGGCAGTGGCTCCCACCAGCAGTGTGGAGAAAATGGAGCCAAAGTCGGTGTTGATTTTCTGCCAGGCTACGTCAAGCGCCTCGACCATTTTCTTGTCCAAAGCCTAACAATGGAAATTTAATTGCAGAAAAATTAACTAAATTAAGAGTTCTCACCTCAATGACCACTTTCAGTTTTAGCCTGTCACTTTCCACAATGTCTCTCTTCTTGAGAAGCGCCAGCAACTTAAATTTTCACATTTCAGAAATCTTTTTCACCAATTAGGATAAAAAAGCGGCTTACTTGCTCTTCGTTTTTGGCCAATATGTGTTGAGCATTGCTGTTTGTCCTCTTCTCAAGCGCTCTCTTTCTCGACTCGAGAGAAGCCAATTTCTCTTCCACCACATTATGAGCAGCAAAGTCGTAAGGACCATTCTTCTGGCCGAACAAGTGCCTGTCCGTCACAATCCAGTCGTTCTTCCTCTCCAGTTTGTGCATGTAATCTTCCAGCACTTTGATTTCCTCCTGGAATTTCAATTGAAATATTCAATGAAAAAAATTTGTCTTGTTCAAGAACGCACCGTCAGCTTCTCTATGGCGTGCGCCAACTTCTTCAGCTCAAGTTCGCAATCAGATCTTTCTTTTGTCAATTTATCTTTGGTCTGGTTGATCGAGTTTATCTCCTTGTTCTGTGCGTTTATTCGGTCCTTCTCCTGAGTGACCTTTGCCCGCAGCTCTCTCACGGCTTCCTTAGCCCCCTCCAAATCTCCTCGTCCTTCCTCCAGCTTTGCTTCGTTGGCCTCTATCAAAGCGGCCGCCTCCTTTGCTTCCTCCTTGGCTGTTTCAATTGCTGTCTTCAGCTGCTCCATCTCGGCTTCCATAGTGCTGAATTCCTAAAAGTTACATTCAAGTTAAAACTCTACATGAATTAAAAAAGTGAAAACTAAAAACCAACCTGCATTTTCTGTTCGGAGGACTGTTTGTGCTTGTCGAGCTGCTTCTGCAGCTCTTTGAGTTCTTTCTCGGCCTGCTTTTTCTGCTTCTCGGCGTGATTTTTGCTGTCCTTCATCAAAGCCTCAACTTCCTTTTGCTTGCTCAGGCTCTTGGCCAAAGTTTCTCTTGCAATCTTCACCTTTTCCTCTGCCTCCGTCAGCTGGGTCTCGAGTTCTTGGTTTTCAAGCTCAAGGCGGCCTCGGTTGCTCTTGGCAATAGAGTCTCTGCACAGACTGGCACTGTGTTGCGCCTCCTCCAACTCGGCTCTCAACTGCTGCTTCACTTGCATGCCCTGATTTACAAAAATTATTACTCTGATCTCTTTAAATTATACAAAAATAAAAATATCGAACCTTCTCGTTGTTTCTGAGGTGCTCTTCAATGTTGGCCAATTCCATCTGTTTGCCTTTGAGTTTTTCTCTCGCCTCTCTGGACTTTTCAAGCACTGGCAGCAACAGAGACTTTTTGTCGGTGGAACCACCACTCATCACACCGGAAGGACTGAAGGAATCGCCTTCCAACGAGACACAGGTGCATCCAACCTGAGGAAATTTTGTTTTAAAATCATTTCTCATAAAAAATGCATTTTTACACACCCTAGGGTTGAAAGGAAGGGACTTGGCAGCGTCCTGCGTTCGGCAGACGAGCGTGTTTCCAAAGATCCTCTGCATGGCAGGTTTTAGTTGCGGGTCAAATTCGACAAGGTCCATGGCCAGCCAGACGTCATTGGCGCCCACCAGGTTCTTGGCGGCGTCCACCCTGTCCTTGGGCAGAGTCGAGGACTGGAGCTTGTTGAGGGGCAGGTAGGTGCGGCGTTCGTGAGCCGACTTGATCAGCAACTTGGCCGTCTCCTCGTTGTCCACCAACACATTGTACAAGGAGCCGCCGGCCACCGTTTCGATGGCCAGGGCAAACTCTGGTTTCTTCACTCGGACGTTGTTGCAGATCAGACCTTTGACCTTGGAGCGGTCAAAACCAGGGCAAGGATCTGGGAAGTTGAAGGTTGCACTTGGGAAATTTCGCAGTTGCTCCGAAACCTTATTTTGTACATTTCAATAAAAAAAGTTATGATCAAGAAAAAAAGTGCATTAGTTACTTGTTCTTTGAGACTGGAAACTTCACGGACGACAGCACGCTGCTTGTGTTTAGCTTCTTCATAGGCCTCTTCACAACCAGATTGCTTCTCCAATTTGGACTATGAGAAATAAAATTGATATACAAATTCAAAATTAAAATCATTTTATCACTTTTAAAGAGGCTATCTTTTCCTCTAAAGTTTTGAGCTTGTTTTTTTCCTGTGTTATATCTTGACCACTTGCCCCCTTCAGCTCCGCTTTCTTGGCAGCCAGTTCCTTTTTCAGTTGTGTGATCTGCATCGAAAGGGTGCTTTCCTGAAGGAAAATAAGTTACAAATAGAATCTTTCTCTTAAGTTTTGAGCAAACTTGAGTTGTTGCGCTGATGGCCGTGGTTTGGGCGTCGATGAACTGCTGCTGCAGAGAGGTGGCTTTGCCTTCTTCATCAACAAACATGCCCATGCTGGCCGCCTCGTGCCGTTTCCTGGCCGCCTCCAAAGCATCAGTCAATTCTTTCGTCTTAGCGTCAGCGGCCGAGAACTCATCCCTGCCTCCAGCCAATTGAGCTTCTTTGGTAGCGAGAAGTTTCTCATCATTTTTCATCGATTTCAAAACCTGAAATTTTTAATCCTCGGTTGCGATAAAAATTTCTAGCGTAGAAATATATCTGCACGCTCTTCTCTCCTTGTGCATACCTGTTGCCGCCTTTTGGCTTCGCTACTCGCAGCCTCTCCAAGAGACTTACTTTCCGCTGCCAATTTTGCATCATGTGTGACAGCTTCATGCAATTCTTTTTCAAGAGCACTCAGAGCGCTCTCGCCCTCACTCTTCTTAGCCTCCATCAACTTTTTTAAATTCTCCTCCAGCCGCTTGTATTCCTCGGCCTTCGACTCAACCTGTCCCTCCAACTTGGAAACCTTCTTCTCTGCGTTCTGCAGGTCTCCGTCCAGCTTCACTTTTTGCTCCTGAAATCAAAAATTCATTTTCTGCTTCTCATCAAAGTGAAAGTTTCTCCCAAACCTGGTATTCATAATATTTGTGGGCAGTGTCCTGCCGAGAGAGCGTCTCAATCTCTCTGGTGCACTTCTGCAGCTCCAGGTATTGCGCCTTTTCCTGTCGAAGCCGCTCGATTTTGGGTTGCAGTTCTTCGTTTACCTGCCTATTGACCTCCACCAGTTTTTGGTCTTTTTTCTCCAGCGTTTTCAGCGACTGCTCCTTCTTGGTCTTGTACATTCGAGTGCCGGCCGCTTCTTCTACCATGCTCAAAATTTCTTTCGGTTTCATGTTGAGGACTTTGGTGATTTTTCCCTGCATGATTAAAAAGTGAGGGTTGTTGACATTCAACTGCACCGATTTGAAGAGATCAGCAACACGGGTGTTCTGCACAGTGATGCCGTTGATGAGGTACTTATTTTTGCCACCGATGATCACCTGTCTGGTGATACTGATGGTGTCCTTCTCCTCATAGCCTTTAAAAATTAATTTAATTGCAATTAGAATTTGACGAAAACCAGTACTCCAGTAGTACATAAATTTAGGAAATGGATTATTCTTCCCTTAAATATTTATTTCAAATTAAGTTAATTGAAGATTAAGGGCATACCACAGGGACTTTGTTCCTTGTTCGTGTTGTCGAAAGTGACGGTGACCGAGGCTTTGGTCACATTGGCCTGGCCGTGTTTGTATACCAGCTCCTCCAAGGAATGCGCTCGGACGCTAGACAGGTTGGAGATGCCCATGACGAAACAAAGCGCATCCAAGATGTTGGACTTGCCTGAAAGTACGAGTTAAATTGAAATTTTAAGCCGCATAGCAAGAAGACTTTACCAGTTCCGTTCAATCCTGTGATAGCATTGAAAGACGGATCGAAATCTTTGATTTCCACTCGGCGACCGTAGGACTTGAAGCCCTCGATGATGATGCTTTTCACATACATTTTGTCCAATTCTTGCAAACAATTTCACTAAAACTAATAAAAACGACTGTTTCTAAGTTCTCGAAGGCAAAATCACTCTAGAAGGCCAGATTAAAACAAATTCATAACATTTTCGGCTGAAAATCGTCTTTCGTTCATCCAACGACTGCTTTTGCTTTTATGAGAAGGCGCGAAATGCGGTCACTGCTACCAACATCACCAAAGGTACACACATCGCAGAGTAGCCAACCTCACCGATACGAATACGAACCCCTGACCACCCCTGACACCCCACTCCTGGTTCACGTTCACATTCACCCCTTTGGAGCCATGTTTGTGTTTTCATCTGGGCAGAGATGGAATTCACAGATTTGAGAGATCAAGTTTCAACTTGAACCAAATTAAAATTGAATCGCGATTTGTTGGGTCGTCGAATTTTCGCACAAAAACTCTCTTGGAATGAATTTGGAGGCTGCTATTTTTGTGTTGATTTTTTGTTTTCATTTCACCCCCAGCCGTGGTAAGATTTTCAATTTTCCTGTCCGGGTATTTTGATTTTGACTTTTGACTGCAATTTCATCCAGGTTCAATTCATAAAAATCTGAAATACTTTGAAACTCTGTACCCTCACGAAATTGCCCATCGAATCGTGAAGAGAGGATCTGACCATGGCACTCACCAGTTCAACAAAGTCCGAGAGGTCTCCTTCAACGGATTCGGAAGGTTTGCCAATCATATTTCAGGTATTATTTTACATTAAACTTTGATGCTATTTAGGGAATTCCGACTGATTTTGTCTCCGAAAAAAGAGGTTTTGCACCCGCAGTTCAAAGCTGTGGAGTTGGATGCAACTGGGAATGAAAAGCCAGTTGCAGTTGGTACATATATTATTTAAAGAAATAATTTTTTTTTTAATTTTTGAATAAATTTATTTCTTTTCCCAGACCATGAGTCCTTTTACCATGGACGAGTGTTTGGTGAGCTGCAAAGCCAGGCGCATGTCCATCTCAATAATGACACAGGAGAAATGACGGCCACAATCCATTTGCCTCACGATTCTTATCATGTTGAGGTAAATTAATTTCGATAATTAAATATTAACTTGTTATGAAAATTGAAATGTTTAGCCTTCCTGGAGGCACTTCAAAGAGGAGGATGGTGAAGGCAGTGGGCGCATGTTGGCGTATCGAAGTTCCGATGTGAAGCTTAGCTGGGAACATGACGAGGATGGAAACCCACACAACTTGCAGACAAAGACCTGTGGGTACATCAAAGAGGGTCCTCAGGGTGGTGCCAAGGACGAGGAAGAACACCGAGTAAATTTATAAATTTTCTTTAGTAAATATACAGATTTATCAGATTTGATTTTTTTTTCATCATTTTTAAAAGGGTAAAAGACAAGCTGATCAGTACGAGTACACTCCAACCAAGACTAGGTGCCCCTTGTTGTTGGTTGCCGACTACAGGTTTTTCCAGGAGATGGGCGGCTCAAATACCAAAAACACAATTAATTATTTGGTATAAATTTTGAAATAATTCTAATTATCCTATATTTTTTTTTTAAATGTTCAATTATAGATCAGTCTCATTGATCGGGTGCACAAAATCTACAACGACACAATTTGGCAGGACAGAACGGAGCAGGATGGTTTTAAAGTAGGAGTCGAGAGCACTGATTTTATCAATTTTAAAAGCCAATACTTTACTTTTGCAGGGGATGGGATTCGTAATCAAGAAAATCGTCGTTCATTCGGAGGCGACGAGAGTGCGCGGAGGCGAGGCGCATTACAACATGATCAGAGACAAATGGGACGTGAGAAATCTCCTAGAGGTGTGTGTTTTTCATTTTATTCCGGTGGAGCTTTAAAATTCATGGTCTGGGCTAATTCTTTTCTGCTTCGTTGGCTTTGGTGTTGGGCAGGTTTTCAGTAGGGAGTACAGCCACAAAGACTTTTGCTTGGCGCATCTCTTCACAGACCTCAAGTTTGAGGGAGGCATCCTCGGCTTGGCCTATGTCGGCAGCCCGCGCAGAAACTCGGTCGGAGGAATCTGCACTCCAGGTCTTCCAACGAAACCAATTTCCTTCTTTTGTGCTTTATTTTTCGGCATGAACTTCTAATTTCATATTTTCCCTGAATTCCAAAGATTTTCAGTTTTGATTGGAACATAATAATAATTTTCAGAGTACTTCAAGAATGGCTACACGCTGTACTTGAACTCTGGCCTGAGCTCAAGCCGCAACCACTACGGCCAAAGGGTGATCACCCGAGAGGCAGACCTGGTCACTGCCCATGAGTTTGGCCACAACTGGGGCTCCGAGCACGACCCGGACATCCCCGAATGCAGTCCTGGCGCCTCCCAAGGGGGTTCCTACCTCATGTACACTTACAGTGTATCCGGCTACGATGTCAACAACAAGGTCAGCCTAATTTTTTTTAACACAAAATTTAAATTGAAGGTTTTTTCCACAGAGGTTCAGCCCGTGCAGTCTGCGCTCGATCAGGAAAGTGTTGCAGGCAAAGAGCGGCCGGTGCTTCTCCGAACCAGAGGAGAGTTTCTGCGGCAACCTCAGGGTGGAGGGTGATGAGGAGTGCGACGCTGGGTTGCTGGGCACGGAGGACAATGACCCCTGCTGCGATAAAAACTGCAGACTCAGGAGAGCATCTGGAGTTTCTTGCAGGTGAACCTTTTGACCTTTGATAAAAAATGTTTATAAATATATGTTAAATTTTTTTCAGTGACAAAAATTCACCTTGCTGTCAGGATTGTCAGTTCATGTCATCAGGTAAAACTTCTTGTTTTGATGAATAAAGCATTTGTTCTGATTTTACCCATTTTTAGGAACTCGTTGTCGAGAGGCTCAACACGCAACCTGCGAGCAAGACTCGAGGTGCACTGGCACTTCACCTGAGTGTCCTCGTTCTCCACCCATGTCCGACGGGACACCCTGTCTTGAGCGTGGTCAATGCAGACATGGCAAGTGTGTTCCGTTTTGCGAAACCCAGGGCCTTCAGAGCTGCATGTGTGACACAAGTAATTAAACACAAAAATTTTTTTTTTTTATTGAAAATTTATGATTTTAGTTGGTGATGCTTGCAAAAGGTGCTGCCGCATGAACTTGAATGACACCTGCTTTCCTGTGGACCCGCAGGACATTCTTCCAGACGGCACTCCTTGCATTCAGGGCTTTTGCAATAAGGTGAGATTGGTGAAGGTTGTCGACTTTTGCCTTGCTTAACTGGGGCGAATTTTTAAAATTTCAGGGCTTGTGTGAGAAAACAATCCAAGACGTGGTGGAGCGCTTTTGGGACATCATCGAGGATATTAACATTAATAAAGTGTTGTTGTTTTTGCGGGACAACCTTGTTGGCACTGTGCTTGTTGTCACTGCACTTCTATGGCTGCCTGCCAGCTGCCTTGTAAGTAATATTGTAATTCCAACTCTTTCAAGAAACAGAAATTTGGCCCCATAAAACGTACAACATTTTCTAAATTGCCAAACTCAAAGGAAACAAACTACATTGGCTAGTAAAGAAAGCACTTAAAGTAGTTTTCTCACTGCCAATCATCTATTATTTGGGGACTAATGCATTTATTTAAATTTAAACTTTTTTTATATTGTTGATGAAAAGATCATTTCATAAAATCTTGCATAATTTTTAACTTGATTTTATTAATGTGAGACTTCTCTAAATCAATCAAAATTATCTTCCAGTCTTGAATTTCAATTTTAAAGTGATTGAAACTGTAGGAACTTTTGAAATCAAAATTTAAATTTTGGATTAAAACTAAAATTTTGCTTCTAGATCAGTTACGTTGATCGTCGTTGGCGCTCTGAGGACGCCGCTCGCTGGGAATGGCGCACAAGGGAGGACCTTTTGCACCCCCGAGACCCGCCTCGCAGGGTCATCCACGCCAAAGGGCCAAACCCAACCCCACTTAGAAGAGTGCACCTGGCTGCAGCCCCTTGCATCCATTAACAATACACAATCCAAAGGATGGCTTTTATCCGAATTTATTTTAGTTTCAAGAGAACCAGGCCATATTCTCATCACAACTCATTATCCGCTTCTAATTTAATTTTCTTGATCTCAGTAAAAACTTCATGAGTGTTGAGTGTCAATCTCTAATTTAGTCAAACTCGACTGCCGTAAAACAACTAGTCATCTGAATCTTTTTCGAGTCAATTTATTTTCAAGATCGATTAACAAATTGCTGTTCAATAAATGCCAAAATTGAATTTTCCGACAATTTGATTACTCTTACATGATTCCTTTGAGTTTTCCGTGTACTAAATGCGGTGATAAATTAAAAACCAACTCGGGGCAATGTGTCAGAGCAAATAGTGGTGAAAGAGCATGAGAATGACGCTTGAAAATGTCCCGCTGACAATGGCGCACAAGCGAACTTGTTGTTGGCCGCGTTCCAACGGCGAAGCAGCGACGCAGCAGTGCCGTCCGTTCGCCTTCATCTACTCGCTTTACTCAGTCGCCAACATGACAATGGACATTGACATCTCAAACTTCCCACTGGAGGTGGTGGAGAAAATCCTCTCCAACCTGCAGGGCGAGGCCCTCATCGCCGCCTCCCAGGTCTGCTGGTTGTGGAGCTGCGTCGCCCACAGGTTAATTTTTTACATAAAAAAACGAATAATTTGTGACTTGATGATTGACAGAATCATGCAAACTTCAAACCGAGACTCTTTTTCGGACGAACTGCTCGAGGACCTCCGACTGGACATCGAGGACCTCAAAGGCGACCTCCTCCTTGACCTCTACAGAGAAACGCACCCGAATTTGGTTTTGCTGCAAGAAACGCCTCTGGTCCAGATGCACCATTTTGCAGCGGTCCTTCAAGCCGATGGTAAAATAGGAAAAATAATTAGAAATGAAAGAAAATCAATTTTACCGGAAATAGGCCCTCGACTGTACGCTGGAGACGGTGTTGGAAACGTGATGGTTTACGAGCTGTTGGAAAGCGAGCAGAGTTTTCTCAGCCCTGAACCTGTTGTTTCCGTTGTCATTCCAAGCGGGCCTGTTTCGAATGTGAGCAAATTAAATACTCCAAAATATTGGATAAATAATCATTGAGAAAAGATGAGCTTGATGAAGGCCCACGACCTCTTGTTTGTGTGCTCCCCAAGCCAAATGCACGTGATGAGCACCAAATGCACCAAAACCGGCATGGTCTGCCTTGACCCTTTGGAGCCATCGACCCCGTGCGAGCACAAAGAACTCACCCTCAGGTTTTTATACTTATAATATTAATATAATTATAGCTTTTAATAAAAATTCATTCAGGGTGCACCAAGATCTGCTCGGCGTGGCAGAGGGTAGTTCACAAATAAAAATCTTCCGAGTGGAGGGCGTCGAGGAAAATGTGGTCATTATGAACCAAATCGCAGATTTCGCCACCCCCTTTGGCATCTTCAGATGGAAAATTTGGAATAACCAGGTTTGCAAAATAAAAATATTATTTTTCTTAAATTTAATTTTTAATTTTAAGGTTTTGTGTGTTCTGAAAACGGGAAGTGTTTGCGTATGGGATCTGGAGCAGGCCGGGTTCACTCACAACTCAGAGCCTTACTCGGAACTGCGGTACCAGAACCCCTGCTGGCTCTACCAGCGTTACGTGCTGAGCTCGTCTGAACTTTCCAGAAACCTTCTGTGTAAGTGTGCAATGTGCCCCTCGTCACCACCATCATCGTCGTCTTTGGAACTGTACCAGTGCGAATTTATTTTTTCAAAATTATCTCCAGCATCAAAATTTTTCACAATAAAAAAATCGTATCATTTTAATTTAACACATTATTCTTGCATTTTTAACACTCGCATCATAAATATATATTGGCATGCAAAAAATTAAGGGACGAATTGGTATGGTGGTGACCAATCTGTTGCAGCCAGGTATATCATGCCTACCTGTCCTGCAGCCTACTGGCACATCTCGTGCGGCCCGGCCTATTGGCTCTTCGGCAGACTCGACGGCAAACACGAACCCGAGCCGGAAAAGTACCGCGGAATCATGCCCAGTGACGTCACGTCTGTTTGTCTGAAACGCAGATTCCTCGCCTGCGCCAAGAGAAGCCCTTGTAATTTTTTTTTTAAATGGTGAATGTTTTAGTAATTTATTTTATTTTCAGATCAAATCGTTTTGTATCTGATGCCGAATCAACTTCCGAACGACAGAGAAGCGCTGACCAGAGCCCTCCAGACGCCCCTTTTGACTTTCAACGTCCCCGAACACATCAACATGATGGAGTTGGGCTTCCAGGGCTCTCGCCTGCTGCTCTACACTTATTCCCAGCCAGGCAACATTCAGTGTTACATTTTGTCTCGGTGATTTTTTGCATAATTTTTTTACTCGAAGTGCGGAAAAAAAGTGACCTGATTATTGATAAATTTAACCGAGCATATTTTTACATGAATTATTTGTAAATAAATCAAACGTAGATTTAGTTATTGCATAAAATCTGTGAAAATTGTGAATTTTAATGGAGCGAGCGTGATTCTCCTCCCGCCGTTTCCCCCGGGGTCGATTCGGCACTAGCCCATCAGCGCCCCTAGCGGTCGTACTTTGAACGACTCTGGACAAGTGATCCAGAGGGACCGTTCTCCTCTCGCCAACCGCTGCCAACAATGCCAGCATCATCAGTCACGTGACCCGGCGAACCCGGTGCAATGTAAAGATGCCAACATTGCAAAAATAAATAGCACAAATTAAATCGAAATTTATACCTTAACTCATTATTTTTACTATAAAAAGCTACCTAAGTATGTAATGAAGTATTAAATCAAATCTTAATTAATCAAAATATTGATGAATTCTTAAAACAATTTTGGAATTTTGGCGATGGTCGAAGTTCAGTTTGCGTCACTGCTTGTTATACGTGTCTTGTCGTTTGTCCGCTTGCAGCCAGAAAGGCTGTCGGTCGTGTCGAGCTGTTGACGAAATTACCGAGATTTGGCCTCCGTGGTGAATAAAAGTTTTCCGCAGGCACCTGCTAAACCTCCGACCACCCTCACTCAGCCATGGGCCGTAAGTATCCGCCACCCCCGAGCCACCCCCGCGCCCCGAAGGCCGACCGAACCGAGTTGCTTTCGAACGAACGGGACTTGACACGGCGCATATGGCCTCTTGTGCGACCGCTGGGGGCGGCCAGGGCGCACCCACCCTGAGCCACACGAAAACTAACCACCTTTCAACCTTCTTGCAGTTAAATTCTTGGAAGTGATCAAACCCTTCTGCTCAATTTTACCGGAGATCGCCAAGCCGGAGAGAAAGGTGAGACCTGGCTTTTAATTTTTAAATTGAAATTCCGGCTGAAGTTCCTGTTTCTATTAATTAACTAAATTTACTTTTAATTCATCGGGGGTTAATTTCTTGTTACTATGTTCGCAGATCCAATTCAGAGAAAAAGTACTATGGACGGCCATCACCTTGTTCATTTTCCTCGTGTGCTGTCAGGTTTGTTCTCCTTTCTTTTTAATTTAATATCTTCAAAAACCTTACCTGAGTAAAAAAATCACATTTCCCAAATGGTCGGGGTCGCAGTAAAATAAGCATTGTTTAAATGGTAGATCCCGTTGTTCGGCATCATGAGCAGCGACTCTGCGGACCCCTTCTACTGGATACGTGTCATATTGGCGAGTAACAGAGGCACCCTGATGGAGTTGGGCATATCGCCCATCGTGACCTCAGGGCTGATCATGCAGTTGCTGGCCGGCGCCAAGATCATCGAGGTGGGCGACACCCCGAAGGACCGAGCTCTCTTCAACGGCGCGCAGAAGCTGTTCGGCATGGTCATCACCGTCGGCCAGGCCATCGTCTATGTCATGACGGGCATGTACGGTGACCCCAGCGAAATCGGCGCCGGCGTCTGCCTGCTCATCATCATCCAGCTCTTCGTCGCCGGCCTCATCGTCCTGCTGCTCGACGAACTTCTGCAGAAGGGCTATGGTCTTGGCTCGGGCATATCTCTCTTCATCGCCACCAACATTTGCGAAACCATCGTCTGGAAAGCCTTCAGCCCTGCCACCGTCAACACTGGTAACCTTCTTTTTATCAAAGTTTCGGAAAGTAAATTAATTTTCTATTAAAATTCAGGTCGTGGAACGGAATTCGAAGGCGCGGTCATTGCCCTGTTCCACCTGCTGGCCACCAGACAGGACAAAGTGCGCGCCCTCAGGGAGGCCTTCTACAGACAGAACCTGCCCAATCTGATGAACCTCCTGGCCACCATCCTCGTCTTTGCCGTCGTCATATATTTCCAGGTAAGTCAAAGGTCACGGATCTCAGAATGAATGAATTATTCATTCATTGACTCTCTTTCACCTCAGGGCTTCAGAGTGGACCTGCCCATCAAGTCTGCCAGGTATAGAGGGCAGTACAGCAGCTACCCGATCAAACTTTTCTACACCTCCAACATCCCCATCATTCTGCAGTCGGCTCTGGTCTCCAACCTTTACGTCATATCTCAGGTTGGTTCTCAACTTAGCTTCTCTTGAGCGGAAATTAATGCAAATTTCAACTCAGATGTTGGCAGTGAAATTCCAAGGCAATTTCTTTGTCAACCTGCTGGGCACGTGGGCGGACGTGAGTGGTGGGGGGCCGGCCCGAGCCTATCCGGTGGGCGGCCTGTGTTACTACCTGAGTCCACCTGAGAACGTGGGCCACATCCTCGAGGACCCCATCCACGCTTTCCTCTACATCATCTTCATGCTTGGCTCCTGCGCCTTCTTCTCAAAGACGTGGATCGAAGTGTCCGGATCGTCCGCCAAGGACGTAAGTCAAATTTCATTCTTGAATTTTTTATTTTAGGCAATTTCCGCAACTTTAAATCTCATTGTTACAACATGCAATTTTTGAAATATTCCAATTATTTTATCTTGAAAACCAACTTTTGCCATGACATTATAGAAATGACTAAAATTTTAATCTTCTAATTTTATTAAATGCTCAAAATTTGGATTTGTTTGTTGTACCAGGTTGCAAAGCAGCTGAAGGAGCAGCAGATGGTGATGCGTGGTCACCGCGAGAAGTCGATGATCCACGAACTGAACAGGTACATTCCGACGGCGGCCGCCTTCGGAGGCCTCTGCATTGGCGCGCTGTCCGTGCTGGCCGACTTCATGGGGGCCATCGGCTCCGGCACTGGTATCCTGCTCGCCGTCACCATCATCTACCAGTACTTTGAGATCTTCGTCAAGGAGCAGAGCGAAATGGGCGGCATGAGCACTTTGCTCTTTTAAACACACATTTTCTCCTCTATTCATGTTTCTGTTGTTGAGAATGAGAGCGCGCATTATTTTGGGGACCACTTTGCTCCTGTCCACTTTGCGGGGCGGCCAAATTCATCCTTCTCCTTTAATTTCTCTGCTTGTTTTCTTAATTTAACTCAATTCATGCGCATAAAAGACAGTGGAGGAGCAAATCAGGCCCAGAAAAGCAAGGAAGTAAGAAAGATGTGCAAGTTACGTTAAAATGCCTCTTTAAATCAAGAGAGAATTTTTGCAAAAAAGAAAGAAATTCTGTCCCTTTTGGTTGATTTTGTGAAATGACATCGACTCTTTGTGTTGTTGCTGGTGCAGAGTGAATGAATGGGCCTAATTATTTAATTTACAAAATGTAGGCCCTCTCAAGCGTGTTTTCTATTAAAGAGAGAAAATAACACAATATAATTTATTGTGTGCCCTGTTATTAACTGCAGCTTTTGATTTCAACACCCTTAAAGAAATTCTATTCAATGACGCAAACAGTCGCCGTGGCACCTCTCGTCTTCTCAGAGGGCATGTGATGCATATTGATTAGTGATGACTCATCCATGGTCGAATTATTGTTACATGGAAAAAAGTTCAAGAATATAAATTCTACTTTACTTAATAAAGAGCTGAAATTAAAAAAAAAAAAATAGATGAAAACTAGATAAGTTTTTGTTTTTTTCATTTTTTTTTTAGGCCAGCATCGGTGCTTTTTTTACCACGTGGTTGCCATGGATACGAACACCTAACAGTACTTTGTTACTCTACAATAATATCCTGTTCGTCAGGCATATCAAGTCGAGCTCTCTTTTGTTTACACCTAGTCTTTTTATTTATTGCAGTTTTTCTCTGTGAAATTTGAGATATTTAGCATACTTCTATTAAAAGAAAATGTCTCTGCGCCAAAATCTGAAGGTCTGCGTGCGTCTGCAAGTAATGAGGGCAAGTTGAGATCTATTTTTATTCAGAAAAATGAATGTAGAGCCATAAAAACCCAAGGTGAAAAGTCCTGGAATGTGTAAATCGGGGAGCAAGGGGGACCTGCTGCTGCATCTGTGGCTGATGGACCAAACGCTGCGGACGTCGAGTGTGCCCGCGACCTACCCTCTCCACTTCAACCAGACCTTTCACATATCAAAGGTTATCAGAATTGATTTTTTAAACATTTTATTTTTATCAAGGCTTGCAGATTTACGACGCGTCCGACTTGTTCAGCCTGCACGGCTGCCTGGCGTCCGAGTTTGCTCGCGTCGAGTTGCAGGAGTCGGCGCCTGGCCTGCGCTCCGTGGCAATTTTCAAGAGCTCCCTCCTAACTTTGCTTTTCCCAGAGAGCGGCAGCCTCAGCTGCACGCCCACGACCACCCTTCAGATGCAACCACTGTGCCATTTTTCAGTTAGAGCACAATTTAATCAAAATCGTTTGACTTAAAAAACATAAATTTAGGGGCTCCTGGGTCCTGAGCTTGAGGTCAGCACCAGGGTGAGCATCCAGCAGGTCACGCAGCCAGCGACCCACAATTACTTTTCGCCGCAAAAGAGACTCTCCTCAGTTGTACGAGCGACTTATTTAATTAAAATTAAAAAAAAAATGATAAATTATTTAATAGGAAATGAGTCCCTGTCAACAGGTGAAGTTGGCAAATCGGTATTCTAAACTGACGTGTGGCTGTCTGCGTGAAAACGAGAAAAAACCACCCTTCGTTGTCAGACATGTAGACCCCGAGATTTTCCACCTTTCCAAAACACCGAGGTTTGATCAAGGAAATTCAATGGAAAAATTAATATAAAAATCTAGCCCATGTAGATCGAGAAGGATTAAAAAAAATGTCCACTATCAGGACATGATGAGATCTAGCAATCAGGACGAAGACTTTTCCCATTCAGATTCGCATGCAGGTATTTCTTTGATTTTTTAAATATGATATTTCAAAAATTTCATGGCGCAGATTGCAAGTGCAGCGTTTGTTGCCTTTACGAGGAGTATTTCGGACGGCCGTACCCGCAGCACTGTCCCGAGGAGGACGAAGGGGTGGCGGACTTGGTGCACGAATTGCAGGAGTGCTGCTGCTGTCACCGCGCCAAGTCGATTTGAATTAAACGCAGTTGCGAGTCGTATATGCGTCAAAACGAATTTTTATTTCTCGTATATATATAATTTTTTTACTCTTAAAAGAACATCGTAATAATAATAATAATAATATACTAAAATACAAACTTTGCTAGGCAACAAACGAAAATTGAAAATAATATAACATCTCCGTTTAATTTAACACATCTGGTTACAGACAAAGATGTTACAGTGTATAAGTTATATTATCGCTTAAGTTGAAAATTTTTTCGCAGACATTTTCGCACATTCTTACGGTTTTTATCAAGTACTTGGGCTGCTTCTCAATGGTACGTGTGAGTAGTGTGGCGGGGCGTCGTGGATTCAATCGAACTTTTGTAAGGCGGCCAATCTGAATCAGATCCATTTGATTTTATTCAACAGAAGCAACAAATCGAAGTAATTGGCTGACCACGTTTTAAAATTCCATCCATCAGAAGAAAAATGAAAATCGAGCCCTTGATTTGATTGACCTCGATTTTCATCTTTCAAAATTGACTAGAAACATAAATGTGATTCTAAACTAGAGCTTTTAAGTAGTAAATTTGCTGCTACTTTGACCCGCAAATAACAAACAAGTTGTGTTAAGTACTTAAAATTGGGCTGAAACGGGGTCAGCGAATCGCTTCCGATTCATACAAAATTTCGATCAAATCCATTCTGAAATGTTTTTATTTCTGATAATCCACTAATCGCTATACTGATGGGCAGATAAATAATGTTTGTTAAGTTACGACACTAATTATGACAGGGCAGACTCGCACTTGATATCACAGCATCCTTATTTTCTTTTTGTGCACACCTGATCGGGGGCATTCGATTTCTGACCAATTGGAAATCACAAACATTTTCGCAGACGATTTCACTCGGATATATTTTTAAAATTAAAAGTTAATTTAAGTAAGTTAGTTGTGCTCATCGAGAAATTAAAACTAATTATACTCCTAGATACGTTAAATCAGTATTTGCACCCAGCTGTTTGAGAGATGTTGATCGAGGTCGACCTGATATTTCATGGAAAAACGTTCGTCTCCGAAAAAAAGAAGACTTTTCATGGAAACTGGTCAACAATCACACTGTTGTGAAAATGCGTTTAAGCAGCTTAAAATTGAAATTCAATCATCTACGGGAAATTAAATGTTAATTTACAAACGACAGTCCCAGGAATATACAATATTGGTTACGAAGGAAATCAATTAAACTTGACTTGGGCACTTCGGTCGAATCTCTACCAATTGGGGGAGAAATCAGTTAATTCTCTTGACGAAAACACCTTCCTTAAAAATTACACTTAATGAGATGTGTATGCACGACAAATAATATATCCATCTGCATTTTTATAGTTAGGCATGGCAAAGCATCAAAATTGTTAGCGGCTGCTGGTGACTGGCTAGAAGCTTCTTGTGATTAAAATTGCCTGAGAAGGAAAAGGTTTTGAAAAGTTCCAAGAGAGAGTACATATTTATATTATAAATGCAGGTTGGAGAGACAAAGAGAGACAGAGAGACCAACCTTGAGTCAGAAGCAAAAACTTTTCGAGGCTAATTTGGAAGCCCGGCTGAAAATTGCCAGCCACCTCAGGGGAACCTTGCATGCCCAAGCTGCAGGTTTTAGTATTGCTAGGCAGTGTATTGCGTTCGGAATATATGTCCAACTGCAACTCGCACTGTTTCCAAACCGAGATAATATATATTTATATAAGTATGAGCAAAAGCTTGAAGCTTTTGGGATTTTTCGCCGGGGACTGCAATGAAAAACGCTTCCAAGTATGACTAAAAATGCACCAAGGGGGGAAGGAAGAATGATTTCTCAACGCAGGGAAAGTTAGCAAAAGGAGGTTTGTACTAGAATATTTGGTCGGGTCCACCGCTTTCTTTGCTTCTTTCGTTAATAGAGAGGCGACCGACCTGTCAATAATTAACCCATTACGCAGAATAATATCACAAATCAGGTCCGATTTGGCTGAGCTGAGACTAAGTTACTTTCCTTAACAATTAATTCTACTGCATATCACCATTTTCTAGACGTTTCGTCTGCGTCCGGTTGTAGAGACTTTGAAGGGGCACGTGCAGCAGTTCCATCAGCTTTGGAAACTCGGGCTCTGCAAATTCAGTCTTTCTCGTTAAAAAATTTAACACTAAATATAAAAATTACCAGAGTCTGGAGAGACAAAGCCGTGCCTGATGAGGAAGTCGAGCACCACCGGGCAGCTTGTCGTTTTGAAGTCTGGTGAGAAGATTTTGTCTAGCGCGTCCTGCAATTTTTTTTTCGGTCAGAATTTCCAAATAATTAATTTGACATTTCCCACCGAAGCAGGCAGAAGTTCAAAGCTCTCCACCTCGCCATCACTGTTGATGGGCACAAAGTCAAGGGGCAGTTCCAGGTCGTAGACAAATTCGGTGTTCGGGAAAAGTCCCCTCTCACTTTCGAAGAAGAACCTGAGAAAAAAAATCTTCCTTAAAATGTGAACTTTCTACTTTTTTTGGAAACTGACGAAACAGAACCGGCCGGAGTGAGTCGTTGGTCCAGGATGCTCCTCGGGATGGACGCTTCTTCCGCCGCCTCCTTCAGGGCCGTTTCCAGAATTCCAAAACCTACAGAGAGACCACCGCCGACCATGTTGTCCAACTTGCCGGGCCACGTTTGCTTCGAGGCCGCCCGCTTCTGCAGCCACACGCACACGCCCCTCTCCGGACACCGGATGTAGCCGTTGATGTCCACCCCGTACTGCCGGATGCCAAATAAACCTGCGGCGAGATTTGAAATAAATTGTCATTTCGAAAAGCAATTTAAGGACTCACATGTGGCCGATCTGTCCATCTTGAGAAGGGGGCTCTTGGAAAACGCAGCTCGAACTTCGTAACACTGAAAGAATAAATTTAATTTTAGTCTGGGATTTGAAATTATTGATGAATTGAGAGGGCAAACCTCCTCTCGCCAGCCTTTTAGGGCGACGAAGGCGCCGTCCTTCCTGAACCTGCGCAGGACGGCGTCGACCCTGGCGCTGCGCTCCTGGTAGTCTCGAAACGCCGGATTGAGTTCGACGACGTCCGAGTGCACAAGGAAGACCTCTGGGAAGCGCGCCAACTGGGCCGCCACGTCAGGCCGCACCAGACCGACTTGCTGCCCTTCAACAACGAACGGCCGACAGTCGCCCTTTTGCAATCCTGCAAAACGAAAACACAAACGCTGATGAAAATAAATACTTTTGATTAAATTAAAACGATTCTGTGGGTGCGGAAATTCAGCAAGAATATCGCCGAGCGAAATTTGTTTCTAATTCGCGATTGCGGTCGATGCTTGGCGACGATTGTCCGCAATGTTTACCATCGGAATTGACAGCGCGAAACTGCGTCGAACGCAAATCGATGGGCCGTGCGCGGCGCCGCTCGGCGCCGCACCGGCAGACTGGCGCCGAATTCGCGGCCCGTTCGCCCGAGGGGTGAACGCGCACGAAAAACGCGACCTGGCCTCACCTGTCAGGTAAAAGCAGTTGAATTTGTGGGCGAGTTTGAGGAGCCGCGACATGGATTCTGTGTTAGAGGCCATGTTGCGGAGGCGGCACCGCCGGGACGTGACTGGTTGATATTTTCTTTTCAGAATGCCAAAGGAGAAGTTCGGGAGAAGTGGAGGAGCGGAGGAGAGGGTCGGGGGATCGGGCGTGTGACGTCGCCGCAAGCGCTTATTTGCACTAACAGTCCGTGCGTTTTGCGTTTTACATTTACAGCTTAGAAGAAAAGAGAGGCAAGAATATAATGTTAAATATAATATATTATACATCGTAATCCAAGGATCGTACCCTTGTAGTGCCTTGTAGTAATCGCAGAAATTTAAATTTCAAATTTCACAAAGGATTTTAAAATCACACTCTTCTGAGCAGGAGTTTTGAAACAATCTTTGAAATATTCGCAACAAACAAATATTTGAAAACTTATTAATTATTACCGCTAATTACAAAAAGGCAATAAAAATATAGAATTATGTATAATAATGCATTAGAAAAATTATCAAATAAAAAATTATTATGCAAACATTACATATATAATCCTCAATAGTGCTCATCTGTTCGTTCAGGCGACCTTGTAATATTCATCTCATGGATAAGGTAATTTTCGTAATTTTTAAAGTGGTCTTTGGTCCTGGAAAATGATGTTCGCCGTTCGCAGGCACAAGATAAATTATTAATCACACAAAGCACAACTCTTATTTTTGCAATAACTCGAATAATTTAGTGTGATGGAACAAGTATCAGACGAGAAGGGCCAAAAAGGACTCTAAGCTAGGTCAAGAGGATTGAGAGGATGATTTAATCTCACAAAAAGAAAAAAAATCGGGTGATAAATTTTATTTCTTGAGGGATATGTAGCAGCATAAAAGGCAGATCAAGAAGGTGAAAGATGACTTTTTCAACCCATTTTAGTAATTATAATTAAAAATCTTATAATTGATTTCCAATTTTGCAGGATTGATTTTATTTGAAAAAAAAAAAAAGTAATGAAAGTGCTTTTGGCAGGAACGAGGAAGGCGTGCACGGAGCTTGGGTGCGAATAGGAGGAACGGGGCCGCATCGATGGACGGGGCGGACGGGGCAAGCAAGCACCCCACCCCGTGCGAGTTGGCTGCGCTCGGCGGCCGCGGATAGCGCGCAGGCAGCCAGTGCAATCGCGAGGCCGCCCCGCCGCGCACCAGCCGAAGCCGAGTCGCCAAGACAGTCTCTCTGTGCCGAGAGAGAGAGAAGAGAGAGAGAGCAGAGAGCGGACGGACGTCGGCCCGAGTTAGGATGGAGGGCGACGGGTGCGGGTGCAGCCCCCGGGGCGCCTCTAAAATGGTGGTCGTGGTGAACCCGACGACCGGCGGCCAGCTGGAGGTGTCCGTGTGTCCCAGCGAGTCGGTCGACTCGCTCAAGAAGCGGCTCAGCAAGCGGCTCAAAGTGGCCAAGGAGCGCATCTGCCTCCTCCACAGGGACAGGTACACGTCCGGCGCCATCTTGCCCCCCCCCGCAACGATCCTCTCTAAATTCATCAAACCCCAAAAGCCCCCCAACGATCCCTCGGGGCTTTGCAAAGCGAAAGAATTAAGGGTGGCTGGCGTATCGATCTGGACACGGGCCGGGCGGGCCCTGCTGCTCCCCAGCCAGCTCCCTATCGGCGGGGCGTGCATTTAAATGGCGCAAGTCGTGACCGTGCAACGCAACGGGTTTCTCGCTCGCTCGCCCGCCCGCTCGCTCGCTCGGCCCAGCCAGCGGCCCCCTTTAAAGATTTAAATTCCCCAAATCGACCCGAATCCGTGCTTGGCTTCGATCGGCCGCGATTCGTTCCTCCCGGAAAAATGGCCTCCGCGCCGACGTTTTTTTCTCTCCTCGGAACGGATCAGGGAGGAGAGACGAAGAAGCTTTACAAAGAGAGAGAAAGAGAGACGCTTGGTAACAAAAACAGAAGAAAAAAAATGTCGAGCTCTCGGTTCGGCCGCCGTCATTTTGGGTGTGGGGCCTTCGAAAAATCCTCCCGTCAAAAGCAATTCCCTCCCCACTGGTCAGGAAACGGTGACCTTCGGCCAATATGTTTGAACTTTGCGATTCCACGCATTCCAAGATGATTAGCGATTTTGGCATTTTTATCTACTATTTCATTTATTCGACCACTCTGGTTGTAGAACCTGCAGAAGATTTCAGTTTTGAATTAAAAAAGCTCCTTTTGCGGTTGTCAAAACAAACACCTGGTTACCCTATCGAACTTTGTTTGTTTCACAGAAGTGCCTGATTCAAATTTAATCGCATTCAATTCTCCGGGTCCTGTAAATTTCAAAATAATATTCCAATCGTCAGCAGTTTTTTATCGTAACTCATTTGTTTATCTTTCGAGTGCACTCGAAACGGAAGTTGAGAGAAATTGCCATGTTTTTGAGATGCAGATTTGTGTATCAAGAATTAATTTAGGCACGATTTATCCCGGAATGCTAATTTAAATTTATATTAAAGAACTATTAAAAGCGTTTGCCTACCTTACAACTTGCAAAGTAATTAAAATAAATAAGTTGACAAAAACAAGCAAAAATTACTGGCCCAAAATCGGGATGTCTTTCTTTGACTTATCTCAAAAGTCACAAGTTTCTTCTTGGTTTACAAATTTGTGCGCAACGCGTGATTCACCCTTTTTCTTTCTCTGTTACAAAACGTGGCGACTCAATCGAAACCGAGGAAGCCACGTGCCCTGTTTGAATTCTCATTTGTTTGAGAATATAAATAAAAAAAAAGTGATAATTGTGTCTCGTCCTCGTCGGTGACCGAGTTGTGTGCTAACTTGTTGTTTGTTGTTGCAGGCAACTGCGCGAGGGCAGTTTGGAGGAGAACCAACTGGTCAATGGCAGCCGACTGACCCTGCTGCCGAGCGTTGAGACTGGACTTCTGGTGAGTTGCACCATTTCAATTAAAGAGGAAAAAGGCTCCAATTCAAGGCTCAAACAAAATTAATCGAAATCAAAGCAATTCAAAGAAAGCTAAAAAAAACATAATGTTATTTGGAGAAAAAATTACTTCAAATTTTACATTTTAAATAGAAACACATAAATCGATTGTTTTTCAACCCAACTTTCAGTTAAATTTTTATTCATTATAATATTATAATTATTACTTCAAATTTGCTCAAATTGCACGTTTATTTGCAAATAAAAATTTAAGCAAGGCTTTATGTATGTGGAGCAAGGAGAGCTCGTCGTTTGCGGCGGCAAGGAACGCTGGAAATGTGAAATAGCTGCTCGGAGAAAATGTCGGCGTGTCGTGCTCGGAAAGGAGAAGAAACTCCTCAGTCGGCTGCAAGTGTTGCGGATCGATCGCGAATTTGGTTTGTGGCCGACGAATTGTGTGCGAGTCAGCGAATGGGCGGCCAAAGTCGAACGGGGTGTTTAAATAACTTGATCAACGTCCGTTGCATAACGTGAAATAATTGTGTTGTGATGAGCGAGCGAGCGACGGGCCGACCGACGCCGCAGACTAGGTTACGCGCGATAAGACTTGGGAAAAATAAAACGCAGCGAAAACACCAGCGAACAGGAAAATAACCGACAATTTCATTCCAAACGCGACTTTTATTATTTAAATTGCCGTTTTGATAGAAAATCAAGGGATCTTAAATTTTATGTTGCTAAAAATAACGATCTTATTAATTTTGATGGGTAATTTTTCTCTACATTAGCTTTGGTTTGTCAGTTGCAAGGAACCGTAGAAAAAAAATAAAATTATTGGGAGAGTAAATTTTTTTAAATTTAACATTACTTATGAGAAAATTATATTCTCAATAGTCAAAATTGACCTGATCAAAATTGTTAAAAATTTTTGTAAAATAAAAGTAAATAGGCCAGCCGACATAAAAAATTTACATCATGGGAAAAGGTTTCAGAGAATTTAACTCGATCGTAGGTATTGTGAGCTCCTTATTGATTGCAATTAAAATTGAAATCACAGTCATATCGGCCAAGTTCAAAAATTTCATTTTTGAACAGCACTGAAATAGAAACTAAACCATTCTTTAGGAAAATGGTAGGATTTTTCGGCCAAACTTATTTTTATTAAAAAAAATTTAGTTACTAATCGATTCTTGATAATCTGACCTTTTAAATGATATGTCGCTCATTAGACATTGGAGTCAGTTAGAATGTGGTGGTGGGGGAACCCTCTGGACCAATCAGATCAATCAATTCAATTAATTGCGGTTTTATTAACAAATGTCTTATTTTTCTTATTTTCACATTTATAAGGAAATAAACCTCAAATTTGGTTTCTTATCTTTAAATTTTGTGCCAGATTTCCAAGAACAAATGACTTTTATTGAAGATTAACAAAGAAAGAAACGTCAAGTTTTTACTGAAATTGAAAATAAATTTTGGCGTAGAATTGTATTTACTCCATTTTGTTGTAAACCATCATTTTAAATCTTGAAAATTTCCATTAATGATCAGAATTGAAACTTGATGATAATCGCTTGGTTATTTCGCGATGGGAGGAGAGACCTTTGCTAGATTTGCCGCTTCTCGTCGGCGGCAAATCGCCAATTTTCGTCGGGTCTGTCGGTTGATGTGTTTTTGCGAAGTGGCTGCCGCTGCTGCAATTACGACTGCAGAGGAGCAGAGCAGCAGCCGAGAGATGTCCCGCTAGGCGTCTTACTTGCTCAGTAGGTCACTCGGCTACGGCGGCTGCTCGCGCGCGTCTCCAACAGCAAAATAAGTATCCGTTTCTCGGGGCGAACGCGAAATCGGGAAAATCACGGCGGAAAAATAAATATTTAAAACAGGTGGCAGGTTTTGCTCCCTTTGACCCCCGAGAGAGAGCGGCCCGGGGAGACGCGCGAGGGGAAAGAAGAGAGCGTGTGATTTTCAGTTAAACCAACCCCATTGTTGCAGCGGCCGTTCTTTGCTCTCGCGGCTCCCCTCTTTCCCAAGAGAAGAAGAAGAAGAAGCAGAAAAAATTTACACAAATCATCCCCTCGAATCGGCCGTTTTTCTCATCGATCACCTTCGAGGGCGAAAATTCGGAAATTTCCGATTAAAAGCAACGCTTGGCTGGATTCGGCCACCTGGGGAAGGTTATCTTCTTTCCGGTGTTTTTCAAACCGCCAAACGGTCACCGTGAAATTTAAATTTTTCTTTTTTTTAAGCGAAATTGTGGCCAAATTTAATCAGTTTTTCCAGAAAAACGACCCGATAAATTTTGATGATAATTTTTATTCTACATAAGCATTTGTTTGCGGATTTCAGTTCCAAGGAGAAATTCAAGTCGTTTGGAGAACTGAATTTTTGAAAATTAACATTATTTCTTATGGGAATTTTTCAAAATAATTTTTTCTCGAAATTAGCCTGACCGCGAAATTGATGAAAATTGACCTAATCACAGTCAAATCACCACGGTCAAAACAAAAAATTAAAATCAATACCCCGACATATCAGTCAGCATAAAAAATTTTCATTGATCTTTCAGTGAAGATTTTTAATTGTAAAAATTATTATTATGGTTTGATAGTAAAAGGAGCAGCTGACTTTGGCGTCGAGGTTGAAAAAAACGATTCGAGTGTCCGTTGGAAGCAAGTGCATTTTTCATTTTGGCTCGTTTCGCATTCAGCCATCATGTAACGCTAATTCCTACGTAAATGAACGAAATCAAATCGGCCGACAGCTAAACAACGGTTAATTAGCTTGTGGTGCGCAAACGCTTTTCACGCGCGCGATAATAACCTTCTTTCCGCACAACTGCGTGGCGGCAATTTTATCAAATAAAATGATTTATTTTCAAATAACTCCCCAAAATGCTGCTTTTCTCTTTTGGTTTGTTCACATTTTCGCAATCTCGGAGTGACGAAACTAATCTGGCCAGCTGGTTTTATTTAATTTTGGATTGTCTTTTCCAATCGGCACCAGCTTTTTTCATAGTTTTTAATTCGAGCCGAGATAGAGAAAGCCTGGTGAAAGAATCAGCTGGGTTTCGCGCGCGCCACAAGAAGAAGTTTGCGCGAGTTGAGTAATTTGATAGAAAATCAGTTTACTTTCCCACGAACGGTGGTGGTGGTGGTGGTGCCGCCGCCGCCGTCCGTTATATATGAATGTGCTCACACATACATAATGCATCTGGAGAGCTGGCGCGACTAAAGAATCGCTCGCGTTCATCGGCAGCCGCGCCAGGTGCCTAGCGGTCCCAACTGTTCATTCTCGCGCCGCTCTACGCTCGAATAGCTCAAAATTCAAACTTTCAGCCCACGATTGACACCGAAAACCGCTCCCTTTTCAATTGGAAATTAAAAAAAAAAAATTTATTTATCCCTGAAAAGGAAATTTTAGTCAAGTTCGAAAGCAGGAAATTTGAATTGGAACATTGTCAGTGGCCTTTTATAAACTCGTAATTCCGTAGGAGATCGTTTATTTTTTTAATAATTCCCGTTTTACTGCATAAAAAAGGGAAACACAGGAACAGTAGTTTTCCCACGCGGGAGCCATCTTTGTATTTCAGGAACTTTGTATGCCAATTATTTATTAAATTTTTACCACTGAGTGAAAAAACCAATGCTCAAGAAACGAATTGAAGTTTCAACTTTTAATCAGAAATCTTTCTTCTTTTCGAAACAGATTAGGATTTTTGTTTCAAAAATATTAATTTTTAATGTTTAAAAAAATCTATCTTATTGTTGGTCATGTTCAGTGTTTTGTCGTTTGTCTTGATTTTTAAGTTTTAAATTTTGGGAAAGCTAATTTTTTGAAATACAAATCCAAATCCGTTTTGGTATAAAATTTAAAGTTAGAATTTTAATATTTTCCCCAAGCATTGCTTTTCTTAATCCACGTAAAATTTCTGTTGGAAGATTAAAACTGGAATATACTGAACAGCGCAAAAATGACGAAACTGCGGGGAAAAAATATTTAAAAAAAATTTAAACATTTTTCTCAATTAATACAAATAAATTTAAATTAAAGTTAAATTAAGTTGTCCTCAAAGCAATACAAATTTTAAAAGTTGAGCATTAAGGAGCTAATCGTGGCGTTTGCAAAGTTTTTTTTATTAGGATGATTAGAGCTCAATTTAATTAAATTCTTAGTACTATTTATTGACAAAATTAATCTTTAAATCAACGGCGGTTCAAATTGTCCTAAAATGGCTCCTTTGTTTTAAACACTTGATTTGACTGTTCCGATAACGAGTCCTTAATTATAATAAAATGGGATTTGTTATTGCAGTTCTCCCAGGTCAAGCGTTTGCAATTTCAAACTAAAAATTATTATTCAATAGTTAAAAGATTCCAATGACCGCTCGGCACGAGATTAGTATTTCATAAAAACAAAAAACTAGATTCGTCCGCGTGAAAATCTGTTTCAGTGGTTTTGGAATTAGACAAACTTTTCCTTTCAAATCATTCCTTCAACTACAATCTGAAACTGGTTTTTTTATTGAATAAAGGAATTTCTTAAACCTTTTTGTGGTAGAACTTCAGGATTGAGGGTTGAATTTTAGTGATTTGAATTTAAAATCTGCCTTTCCTCGATGGGTTTTGTGTGTCGTTTAAGGAAAAACCATCGAGGAAAAACCAACTTTAAATTCAAATCCTTGTCTGATTTCTATGAATTTTCAGAAAGATTTAAAAACAATATAATCTATAAATTCAAATCTTAAACAGACTGTTTATGAAAATAAACAAAATTTTCAACACAGAAGTGAATCGTTTGGGGGAGCTTGGAAAAAAAGAAACAAAGAGCTAGGGGGGAATTAAATGAATCCGACTGGAGGAGACACATCTTGAAAAGATTGATATTATTTAATCCTTTCCTTTGGTTGTCGAAACATCTGTTGGCGTCGTGGGACGAAGTGGAGGAGAAATTTTGTCGCACCCACGACTTCCTGGCCTTGACGAAAATATTCGGCACAAAAAAACGCGCACGGCCAGCTGTTTCTTTGCTACACAAGAGAGCCTTGAAGAGTCTTCCTTCCCCTTTTCACTTCTTCACCCTAGCAACCGTCTAATCACGTGTTTGTGTCGCTCTTTGATTGCAGGCGCAGCGGCCAGAGCAGAGTGTGATGCAGGCTTTGGAGAGCCTCAGTGACTCGCAGGTAAACAATTTTCTCAGACCTTCTTTCCCCTCCAACCGACCGTGTTTTCCTCAAATCTTTTCACTCCCTGGCAGATGCGACCTCGAAATCGAAGGTGGAAAGAAAGAAAAAATCCTCTTTTCATACAAACATCCACGATGCATTGGAGGAAAAAAATTGTTTTTTATTCCACAAGTTTTTCGTTCAATAATCCCAAATATAAAAATTTCCTTCAAAAAACAATCTCAAAATTATAATAAATTAAAAATTGACCCATTTAAAATTATTTAAACTTGTGATTTTAATCAACGAAAATGCATTTATTAATTATTTAACAAATCTATAACATTTTCATGCATTTTTGTTCCACATTTGTTACAATTTTAGAAATTCACAGTAATTTTGTCCATTTTTTTTCTTTATTGATTTATAATTTGAATTTGTCTCTTCAGGTGCATGACTTCCTGTCCGGCAAAGCTCCCCTGAACCTGACCATGCGGCTGGGCGACCACATGATGCTGATCCAGCTGCAGCTGTCCACAGTGACCCCGTCGTCGAGTCGGAGTAGTTCGTCGTCCTCCTCCTCTTCGTCCTCGTCCTCCTCGTCTTCGGCGAAACGCAGCCGCGAGTGTCCGGCGGTGGCCGTGGTGATGCCCACGCGCAAGGACTGCTGCTGCGAGCCGCGGCCCCAGAAGGGCGGCCACGTCCTGGACACGCGCGCCCTCGCCGAGGCCTCCCGCAACCTCACCAAGACCCTCAAGCAGCTCTCCTCGGAGGTTCTCACCTCCAGAGCCACCACCACCGCCACCTCGACGACCACACCTGCCGCCACGCCCTCAGAAGAGGTAACGAAAATTAAAAAAATTTCTCAATCAAATCAATTCAATTAGATTTTCTTGATCTTTTAAGTGGTTTTGGCAATCTTTTGCTTAATTTCAAGACAGTTGCAAATAAGTTTGAGCTTTTCGAATTTAGATGGAAACAAAACTGTATCAGACTTTTCAAAATAGCTATCATATCCCTTTTCATATCTGAAAAAAACGAAATAATTATGCTTTTTTGAGGCTTCAATTTAGATTAAAAAAAAAAATGTTGAAAACCTGACAAATCAATTAAACTTTTATTTTCGTCTCAATCACAATGTTTACTGTTTATTTTAGTAATTTTCCAGTAATTATGATAGAAATGAAAGAATTCAGTAACTTTTGGTCTTTGGAAATAATAATAAACTGGTCTTCAGGGTATAATTTGATGTTGTAAATCAAAGAAATAATTAATTATTTATTGATTAGTAATTTTGTATTTTCAAATCTACTACTTCATTAGTTAAACTTGCCATTTTTTTATTTTATTTGCAGTTAATTTCATTCTTGAAAAAAAAATTTTTTTAACTCTTTTGCAAAATCGCCACGCCTAAAAACCTGCCGAGATGAAATCTGCACCTGCCCGGGGTATTATAAATTTAATTTCGAGCGGAGCGTCTCTTTCTTTCATTCGCTTTTGAAAAGTTATGAATTTAAGTGCTCGGCGCTGGGTTGTTGACCGGCGGCCGAGTGGCAACGCCGCCCCTCTCCGCCGCCGCCGCCTGGCCAGCCGGCCGAGCGACCCGGCGGCCTCCAACGCACCGAATTCCTCGCCGCGGAAAGTGAAAATAAATGATGTTCGGAGAATTGAGGATTGTGTTTGTGTTGCAGGAAAAGAAGCGGCAGGGCGCCATCATCGAAAGCATGCACCACCACGGCAAGGGCGTCTACTCGGGCACGTTCTCGGGCACGCTGAACCCTGCCCTGCAGGACAAGTTCGGCCGCCCCAAGAGGGACATCTCCACCATCATCCACATTCTAAACGACCTGCTGTGCGCCACCCCCCAGTACCGCGGCGTCTCCAGAAGGCACGCCGCCTCCGCCCTCGCCCAGACCACCGACGCCTCCGGACAGCCGGGCAATGCCCCCGAACGTGAGGACAAATCTATTTTCAAATTCAGCCAAAAGTCATTTCTCAAAGGCACTTTCCTAAACTTGAAATAATTTAGGTGGTGAACATATTTGGAAACCTTTGGAAATTTACAACCTGATTATATAAAAGTAACAAAACTGCTTGGTTTTTTTATTCGTAAATTGCTTGCTAAAAAGATTTTTTAAATCAAAATTCTATCAAAATTGATTTTAGCTTTTGCTAAAATTAATCATAAAAGAATTGCAACTTTTGTGTTTTGTAGAATCTTCAGAGTTCTTAAGTAACAGAAGTTGCAGAAAAGTGTTTCCAACTCCATTAGTTCAGTTAAAAAATTCATCATTCTGCACAACTTCAGAATCCTATTAGCTGCGGGACTTCTTGAAGTCTGACGGGTTCATTCTTTGAATGGTTTCCATTGAGAGTTCAAAGACAATCTCTTCAATAATTCTTGGAAATTATATTCACATTTAATGAGAATCTTATTTGAGCACAAATCTAGCAATTTGAGGAACTTTCTACATTATTAATTCATTTTCAATTTTAAAGAGAAATACATTTTTAACAAATCCAAAATATTCCAATTTCATCTTGTTTTCAAGCAAACATTTATGGAACAATCTTTTTTATTTTAATTATCAAATATACATAATAATAATGTCAAATTGACAATTCTAGTTAAAATGATCATTTATGCTGCAATTCAGAAGTTTCAAATTGCAAATATAAACCTTAATTTTAAATTAACAGGTTAACTTTAATGTCAAATTTTTCCGAATCAAACTATTCTAATAATTTTGAAATTCATTTCTTTTTGTTCCTTTTTCAATTAAATAAATGGAACTGCTTCCTTTGAAATGAGTTTACACTTATAAATATGTAATTTTTTTTATTCAAATTATAGTTAAAGATGTTTTTCATTCCTAATGGTATCCAAATATTTTTAACTTTCCACGTTTTACATTTTTGCTCTCCATTTTCCAAAGAATACTTTTGTCAATTAAGTATTCCTTTTTACTGAAAGTAGAAATTATGGTCCTTCCCATTTTCTTTCTATATTTGTTACTACTCTTGAAAGCTCTATTAATCCAAGGGGTGGATTTTCTTAATAAAAAAAAAATAATAATAAAATAAATTTCTCAAATTGATGAATGAAAGTTAAATTAATGTTTAGCTCTTTGGCAGTATTAAATATCTGACATTTTTTGAAGAAACTTCTTTGGAAGAAATAAATTTATATTCAAGATTTTATTTGCAAATAATTTATTTGAAAAATTTAATTTTGCAGGACTGGACGAGTCAACGAGCGAGGAGAACCTGGCGACGCGGTGCAAAATGGAGCAGCTGCGACTGATCATGGAGGAGCGACGGGCACGGCGGCGGGCGCGACGCGAGGCGCGGGCGGCGCCGTACTGGTCGCCGTCGCACGAGGTGACGTCGGCGCCGAGCAGCCCCCAGCAGCAGGCGTGCACGGCCTCGATCGCCGCCTCGGCCGCCGCCGACGACGCCATGGACACCTCCGAAGAGCTGCACGCGCCCCCCGAGGCGCTGCTCGCCTGAACTGAATTCAATAGTGATCGCTGGCCGCCGGCCGCGCCAATGTGCAAATTTCCGCGGCCGGCCCTCGGGTGTGTCGTAGTCCTTCGTCTGTCCACACTCGCCGCCAGGCAGCAGCACCAGGCACCTCCCCTGCAAAGACAGACACTCGAGCTGCTTTCTCAACTATACCCACCTAGCATATGTACATATAAATGAATGTTTAAAGCTTCTCAAACGTTTGTACACTTTTTTCCCCCCACAAAAAGTGTGTGAATTCGCCCTCTTCTTCGTTCGGACGTGCCCAGTGCTGCTGCCCCGCTTTACTGTAATACTATTATGACTTCTGTGGCAGAAAGTTCAAACGGTTCCGCAAAATAATTTCTGCAAAATTAGACTTAATAAATAGTACCACAAACACACACGGAGCCTTTCGACTGGCTGCCTCGTTGGCTACGAAAATAATTAAAATTATATACTGCTTGCAAAATTCACCGAGTTGACATTTGTTCTCATCGCGAGGATGTACCTACCGTATCGGAAATGTATTATTATTATGGAACTATTTAGATTCGATTGAAAATCAATCTCTTTTTATTTGTTGTTGAATTTTGCAAGCGCTCCATTAGCTACGATGTAATTAGATTAATTGTTTGCAACTTTCATTGTGAGAGCTGACTGGGTGAACTTTGTTATCGATTGGCTGGTTGTTTGGTTGATTGTGCGTTTTCTCAGATTAAATCCACTAGTTCTTAATTACCGAATCATGACCTGCTTTCTTTTCACTCAAAAACACAAAATGTGATATGTTTTCTGACAATTCAAGTTTATTTTTTAATGGCACATGAGAGATTTATTTATCACTTGGAAAGGATAGGGGCAAAGGACTGCATCAGTTCTTTTAGGAACTTGTTGTCACTTGACGAGATGCTCTTCTGAAGGTCTTCGAGTTTGTCACTCAGATCCGCACCCTCCACATCAAGGCTCTTGACCTGCTCCAAAAAATCTTCCACCAGTTTTTCTCCATTCTGAAATTGGCTTGAAATTAAAACACTTTAATACAAACTTTCCAATAAAAGTACCCTTCTGTCCTCATCCTCCGTGGACAGGAATTCTGACGGAACCCACTTGTGCAGGAGTTCCAACTGCTTTTGCTTGTCAGCAGCTCTCTGGAAAACAAATTGAACTGTTGAAAATACTTGGATGTGACAAGCCATTACAGGGGTGATGGAATAACTTGCGTCAAAAAATATGAAAACCACGTGAAAGAAAGGTTGCTAAATAGTAAGTCAAATAGTGTCTGCAATAGTTATCCGATCAGCTGAGGAATAGTTCCTCCGTATTTAAAGTGTTTAAAAAATGGAATACCTCAAGGACATTTTTAGGAAACTCGGTCATTTCAGCCACGTGGAGTCCAAAGCTCTGGTCGCAGGGGCCTTCCTTGATGCGGTACATGAGGGTGAGGACCCCCTCTGAGGTTTTAGCCACCACATGACGGTTGACCACGCCAGGAACCTGATTGGCCAGGGCTGTCAACTCGTGGAAGTGAGTGGCAAAAAGGCAGAAACAGCCAATCTCCTTCGCCACATGTCTGCAATTGCACAACAAACATAGAATCTTAAAACTTGAAATCCCTAATGTTTGTTTTCCGACTCAAACAAAATTAGAAAAGCCCAGCAAACAAATCATTGATTTTTCAGAATTTTGTTAGCTTTAGGAAGTGAAATATTGAAGGACTAACTCTGAAATGGCCCAGGCCAGACCGAATCCGTCATAGGTGGAGGTGCCTCGGCCGAGTTCGTCGATGATGACGAGCGACTGCTTGGTGGCCGCCTTGAGGATGGTGCTGGTCTCGAGCATTTCGGCCATGAAGGTGGAGACCCCGAGGGCCTGGCTGTCCCCCGCGCCAATCCGCACCAGCACACTGTCCACCAAACTGAGCGAGGCTTCGGCAGCAGGGACGAAGGAGCCCAGTTGGGCCATCACCACGGCGGCTGCCACGCTGCGGATGTAGGTCGACTTGCCACCCATGTTTGGCCCCGTCAGCACCACCACCCGTTCTTTCTCTGTCACGGTTTACCAAAGTTACAATAATTCTTTATAATTATTAATTTCTCTCTCTCTCTCTCCACCTTTGTCAAAGACAGCGTCATTGGCAACATAGTCTACTCCGTTCTGTCTCTCCAGGCAAGGGTGTCTGAGCTGCTTGAAATTCAGGACTCCAGAGCCAGGAGGGTGCAGGGTTGGTCTGCAGTAGGGTTCGGCGCTGTTCGAAGCAGCAATGGCAAAACTGTTCAGAACGTCAATATGCGCCAGGATGTCACCCAAGTTGTTGATTGTGTCACTGTATGTAACTTTAAAATGGAAAAGAAAAATTAGATTAATTTTCAATTTTTGATCGATAGAAATGATTTAATTTTTTAATCTGATTGAAATTTCCAAGTTTACCTGCCACATCGACAACTCCTTTGACAATCTCCTGCTGCGTTTGCTGATACTCTTCGCTAGCCGCTTGGAAATCGTCATTCAAAGAGCGCAGTTTCTGGTTCACAAAGCGAATTCCTCCTTTGTTGGTATCCAAAATCTGGCAATTAAAATTTATTATCAAAACCTTATTCATTTTTCAAGAAGCGTTTTTACTGTGAACTTCTTGCTTCCTCTGAGAATCTTCTCATTGTTTAGTGTGAGTCTGAAAAAGAAGCCGAGCTGTGGCGTTTGGTCCAACTTGAGCGTTTTGTTTGCCTCCAGGTCAAGTTCCCTGCTCGCTTCATACAGGGCGCTCTCCATTTCTTCCCTCAAATCGGATCGTTTGCTTTGGATTTCTATCAAAATAAAAATATTTATAAAAAGAAAAAACCTCGATTTGTTCGAAAAGTTAAACCTTTGAGGTTGTCGTCGAACTCAGGTCTGATCATGTATTCGCCCTGAGCTGCCTGATCAATGTCTAAGGTCTGCTCAACCATTTCCAAATAGTTAGCCATGTCATCATTTTTCTCTTTCAGCGGCTCCAGCAGCAATGCTTTGACAGAGGAAAGCACTTTTTCTGATCCAGAGAGACCTTCCAATACTGATACGACGCCCGAAAGTCTTTTCACTCCTTGATAGATCCTTAATATTATAAATTTATTTTAATTTGTAAAACAAAAATGTAAATTAACAAATTTTGAACCTGAAGAGATCCTGAAGGGTGGCTTTCTTTCTGTGGATTTTCTTGGCCAGGTACTGCAGATCAGGAACACCTTTGAGGAAGTCCTTGGACAGACTCTCCATTGCTGCCAGGTCAGAGTTGAGCGCCTCAACACAGTCCAGCCGCTCCAACAGAGGAGCCTCATTCCTCAGGGGCTGCTGCAGCCACTTGAGCAGCAGCCGGTGACCCTTTGATAAATAAAAAATCAGTTTTATTTAAAATTAATAATTATAAATTACATGTGGGGTGCAGACAGCCTGTCCCAAGAGGCCCACGAGGGACTCGTGGGGCTTGCCGAGGCCACTGGAGCCGACCCCTGGCTTCAGGTTGATGGCTCGGACGGTCTGGCCGTCGATGCGCACAAACTGCTGACTGTTGAACTCGGAAAGGCCGAACTGCCTGAAGTGGGCGTTGTCGCTGACCAGCTCGAGGAAGTGCACACAGGCGGCCAGCGCCGCACTGGCCGCAGAGTGCTTCAGCTCTGGCAGGGCGGCCACGTTGTCTGACTGGCCAGGTTTGAGGCGCAGCAGGCGGCCCATGTCCTGCAGGAAGGCGTCGTCCGCCTTGAACGTGTTCTTCGGCTTGGTGCTCACCAAAATTCCACACTGCTCGCCAAACTAATTTTTTGGCACACTTAATATAAATTTCATATGTTTTTTAAGATTTAATTGTACTGTTTTGATCGTGGAGATGTCCTGCTCGTCCATGCCTGCGGAGACGAGGATTTCCCTCGGGGCCAATTGCTGGATGACGCACTCAGTGTTGCTCAGGTTGTCCAGGTCAGGAAACTGAGCCACCTTCATTTTGCTGTCACTTGTGTCCACAAAGCCAACTCCAACGAGCTTGAATCACCGACGTAATTTAATTTTATTATTTAAGATAATAAAAAAAAACTCATACCTTGCTTTTGCCATCGCTAGTAATCTTGATGGCAGCAACGCCGGACTGACCTTCGGACTTGGTGCTGAACAGCAAATCCTCAAACTGACTCAGGTTCCCTGGTGAGGCCTACAACAAGATTTATTTTAGCCGTTTAATAATTTACAATATAAAAATAGATTCCACCTTGAACTCTATGGTCCAATTGTTGCTGGAGTTGTTGGGACTCGAGTAAACCTCGACTCTGTAAGTTTTGTTCAAGAGGAGGGTTCTCAGCAGCGCCTCAAAGTGGTGGTGGTTCAGAATCACATACTCCAGTTGGTCTGTAAAATCATAATTTTAAAATGATTTTTATTTTAAATGTCATATAACTCACTTTGGCCGTAGTTCATGTGCTTGACTGAAGACGTTGACTTGAAAATCTCTTTCGAGGCGAGGATGGCGTCCGAGCCGTGCAAGGTGTAGTACTCGTTTCGGTTGAAAATGCGCACAGTGCATGCTGATTTCTGAAAATTAATAATAAAAAAAAATGGTAATAAATATATGGAATGAAAAAGGAATGTAAAATTTAAAAGCTGACGGAAGTGCAGGGAATAGGAAATGTTTACTAGGCGACCTTGCAGGCGGATAAGTGCATTCATCATCATTATCATCTCAAGTGTCGTTAAACAAGCTAAGCACGCTCGACTATCGCAATGATCTCTCTCAAATTTTAGGACACAATGGAAAATTACATAAATTTTACTATTTTATTTACTCACTCCCTACCATGGAATAGTTTGTGCGATTAATCTTAGGAAACGACCTTGGTCGGGTTTCAAAGTTGCGTAGAAATTTTGCTGTCAAAGCGGAATAATAAATAAGAATAAAAAAAACTAATTAGAACACAGGGCTTGGTGTGTCATTTCAAAACATAGCTCGTAATTCCAGTTTTGTCTTGAGAGCGATCAGCGCGTGATTCATTCAACCTTGACACGTTTTGTCATATTTTTTTTTCTTTAAGAGCCCTTATGTTTTGCAGAATTTGTTGCGAATCGCCCTCATACACTTTGAGCGTGAAAGTTGCGCGGCGTTGAGGACCGAAGTCGCCAGAGCGCGCCGACTGCGTTTTTTCATGGAGGGGTCGCTCAAATGACCGCGGCTGGAAAGGAAAACAGAAAGAACGAAACGTACGACTCCGACAGTTTCGTCTTGTTCTCCGAACTTATCACACTTACTCGTCGTTGCTCCCAAAAAGTAAAAAGTAAGTTTGGCAATTACTAATTCACTTTTTATTTCAAATTATCATTATTCTCCGCGATCCACTTTTAATTTTGATGTAAACTTATTGTTTTTAATTTAAAAAATTGCTCTGGGAAAATTTTAAATATAGATTTACAACTCAAACTTAAATTCTTTTAATTTAAATGTCTTTGAAATGAGAGAAATTTTAACGAAATTTTCGGTGATTTGCAACTGGCCTTTTAGCAATTTTGCCGCTGGCGTCAGCATTCACAAGGCCATTCTCAGTTTTATCCACGCATAGATTCCACAACGACTAATTTAAATGCGGACGCACGGTTACATTATTAACAATGAATACATTAAGGCCGCGCACATAATTATACCCTGTGCTATATTTGTGCCACTAAATGCCTGCACGTGATTCCTTTGCCAATCGAAAGTCATTTTGAAATATTACAGTCATAAATTTTAGATTCTTTTCAAATGTATAAAAGTTTTATAAAATTTATTTTTGCTTTTAGAAAGAAAAAAACCTCATAATAAATCTCTCAGTTTTTGCCCAAAAACACTCATTCTTGAATTAACAAGTTTTTTTTATTGTGATTTTCGCAGGATGCAGGTGAAATTCGTGTTCGCTCTGGTGACGGTGGCCCTGATGGCCGCGTACGTGCAGGCGGCGCCGGCGCCTTCGGACGTCGAGGACAAATTGTCCGAGCTGGGCGAAACGATCGCGGGCGCCTTCACCACCGAACCACCCTCCCTGTGGGACCGATTCTCCAGCTCGGTCAAGAACACCTACGAAAAGGCCAAGGACGGCACCAAGAAACTCGCCGACCGCGTCCAGGAGTCGCTAGGAATTTAAAAAGAAAAGATCCTTCCAAGAATAAAAAAAAAACACCTTTAAAACACACCATCCATTAATCACTATTTTATTTTATTAATAAATTTATCGTTTGTATATCTATTTTCTTGCACAAAACCTTTGTTTCATTCAACAATTCCTGCATAAAAAATATAAAATAATTTAAAAAAGATCTAGTAGTAAAATTTTAAAATAAAACTAATTTTTTGAAGGATCTAACTTTGAATGAAATTTCAGAAATTTGGAAATATATTTTTTACACCTTTTAAGTACATTTAAAAAAAAAGCTATTTATTTCCAAATAATCTAAGAAAAGTTGGCTATTTTTGGAGGTGACCGCTTTTTAAGTTGACCTTTGACCTGCATTGGGCCTGTTGTTGTTTTGACACCAAAATAAAAACGAATCCAGAGTGAATGACCATCGCCAGTTTGGGGTATTCAAGGCGAATCGCACCGACGCAGCTTGGATAATCAAAGGCCGGGAGGGAGTCAAAGGTCTTGATTGAGCGCTCGTTTTCCGTCAACGTGCAAAGTCGCGCGCAGTCCGGATCAAGCAGCGAACCAAGTAAGTCCTCACAATTACATCGACACGTTGCTTTTCCTTGTTTTGCAACACCTGGCTTTTATTTTAGTGAAAATATTGAGTTGCAATTTGCGTTCGGAAATAATTGCTGACGGCGTGGCAAAGACGAGGCCTTGAATTCCAAGGCGCAGTAAAGCGCTAATTTTTGCAAACATATAAAGTAATTTCAATAATAAGGAAACTCTTGATGCGAAATAAAAATAATTCAATAATATTCGGTTCAAAATATGTTTGCAGGTAATTTAGACGTGCAACATTTTTCTCGTTTTGTTTTCCACTTACATTCTTTTCTCTACAAGGAGATTAACGCAGTTGTTTTGGTTTCAAAAGGAAGAAATAACCTGAATGACCTTCAGCGTCCCTCTTCTTTGGAGATAATTTCATTTTACTTGTGTGAGCGATGGCTAGACGCATGCATCTCTGTTGCCACACGCACGAGACTTTTGAAAAAATCTCCACAAACGCCTGAGTCGGACGAGTCGTTTTGCGACTTGAATGTTTATCGACGTCATTAGCACTTTCAAGAGAGAAAAAATGTGTCAGTAAAAAAAAGATGCAAATCTTAAGAGGACGAGTTTGTGGCGGGTTTGCTCCGGCAGGAAAAATTAGTCACTTTCCAGATTGTGCCAGTTTGTTAATTAACGTTGATGGCGTTTGACTTTCTTCAACTCTCGCTTGTTTTAAAATTCCACTCCTTAGATTTAACTTGACATTGACAAGGAGTGCAAGTAAGCGATCGAGTAGGAAAGGGAAAAGTATTTAAATCTTTTAAATTACAGTTCAAATGGAAATCCCGAGACAAAGATAAAATTTCACAAAGAAATATTTGAAATATTCAGTAACTTCTATATAAAAAAAAATGCATCAATCCGTTTCTATTTAAGGCAAATTAATTTCATTTAGCTGAAAAAATCTAAAATCTACCCCTTTGACTTTATAAAGTTTTTTATTTGCTTTTTAATTAAAAATTAATTTAAAATAAGCAATAATTGTGTGTGTGTGTTTTTTTTTAAAGATTCACAATTAAAATCATAGAGTTAAAATAAAATTATTAAACAGTAAGTTGTTCCATCTTTTCTTAAGTTTTTTACTTAAACATCGCAGATCGAAGATTTGGTCTATATGATTTACATGCATTGTTTGTGCTAGTTGAATATTTATAAACAAAAATGACAGGTAGAAAGGTTTCACATTAAAATATTACTCAATTTTCAACATTTAATTGGTTGAAATTGGTGACTAAAGGTTTCATAATTAAGTTTTGACTAAAAGCTTTGTGCATTAATTAAAAACATATTAAATTTTATTATTCCCAACAAGCAATAATTTGAAGTTATTTATTTGTTGTGACACTTTTTTATCTACTAAATTAAATGGAATTAATAAATTTTGTAATATAACACTTGATATTAGAATAAATCAGTGTAAATAATTCAGCCACGGATGTATTTTAGAATAATTTTAACTTCAAAGAAATATTGAAATTATTAAAAAAAAAAAAAATTAATAATATTAATAATAATTAAATTATTTTATCATCCTTTTGTATCCTTTGAAATTAATATTCTGTTTTTCATAAATTGTAAAATGATGAAATAATTTTGATTTGAAATTTTTCTGCAGAATGAAGTGCGTAACGGTGGTGATGTTTGCGGTGGTGCTGGTGTGCGCGGCCGACGCGTGTTTCTGGGGCGGCAAGAGCAAGCAGCAGCAGACGCCAGAGTGGCTGACCAAGGAGTCGCTCAGCGAGTTCAACTCGGCCCTGGACAAGAACCAGAAGAAGCGCACGAGGCGCGACACGTCCGAGGAGGAAGTCGCGGTCACACCGACCCCAACCACCTCAGAACGCGCCTCCTCCTTCTGGGAAAAAATCTCCAAGGGCGTGTCCAACGCGTACGAAAAGGCCAAGGAGGACGCCAAGACCATTAAGGACAGACTCGAGGAAAACCTCGGAATTTGAATCTACTTAATTAAAAAAAGATTATTTTCAAACGAATATTGTTGCTAATTTAAGATTAAATAAAATTATTACATATATATTAAAATAAATGCTTGTGAATAATTTGGTCAGAGGAGAAAATTTATTGCCGTAGAATAAAAAGGGCTTGAAAAACCACGTTTTTTCACTCTTTGACTCGGAATATCTCGAAAATGAATCAACTTTGTCGCCCAATTTTTTTAACATGTTGTGTAAAACTAAATTCTGCAACTTTTGGCTATTTTTAAATTAAAAAAAAAAAATTCCCAGCTACTTCAGCAGATTAATTAAATATTCAGGTTCTAAAAGCTGATCTTGAACTTTGACCTACAACTTCGGTTTATATTGCAGATTTGTAGGGCACCTAATTCCAGACAACTTTGGTAATAGGAACACATGCGCTATCTTTAACAGGAGCTGAGATATTTTAGGTTTTCAAAATCACCGATTCCAAAATTTTCAATTTTTCATCATCTTTCAAAATTATTCTATTAATCTATTTTTCTACATTATAAAAGCGACTAACCTGCAGATTTTTGTCATCAGAATAGGTTGACTTCAGGCCACGAGTGGGTCAAAATAAAATTAAAAAGTATCATCCAAATACATATTTGTGAATAATTTCTGGTGGATTTTAAATTTGACCTATGATCAGTTGATTCCAATTCGTTGTTAAAAGTGGATCGCCGCGACACAAGAGATTAGAAAATGACCTGCGACCCGTCAGCGGACCTAACGAGATAATAGCGGCGATTATTGCGCGGAATAATTCACACCCGCTTCTACGCATCATCATCCTATTCACTTCCATTGTCGCGTCTTCAACTCTATTATAGAGTTCAAACAACTGCGCATCTGCTGCTCCAACTTGAGCAAATTAATTTATGTTTGATTTTAATTCAGAAGTTACGGAAGAAAATTTATTGATTAAAATATGAACTCACCTCAGGCATGGACAGGAAGAACCGAGCAAAGGCTGCTTGCTGCGAGGCGTCTGCAAACACAAATTTTCAAGAATTTATTTAAAAATATTTAGAAAATAGCAATGATTTGATGTGAGCTGTAAAGGGCTGGGTTTCATTCAGTCCTTATTTGTTTCAAATCATTTGAAACTTAACTATTTTCTTTGTCAGAGATTATAAGGAGTCGCTCAAATCGTCTTACTGAAGACAAAAGTTGCTCAAGCAACAAATTCCATCTGCCAAGGTATGTTTTCTAAATGAGATGAGCCGATTTATTCCGTAACTTTTAATTCTCTATATAAGTTTTAAATTATCTGGAATTGCTGCCAAACGTTTTTTAAAATATCAAAGAGGGCATATAGTTCTAAATTATTTTAAAAAATATGCATCAAAATAATCTTGTTTTATTTTCACACGGCCAGAGTAGAATTAAATTTAAAACTGGTGGTTTTTAAATGGCAAAATGTTTTATCAACGGAAGAAAAAGTTAATAGTCGCACCAATTTTTATCAATTACAATTTTTCACTTCTCAAACATTCCCTGGCAGAGTCGTTGGCCTCTCCTATTCCCCTTAAAAAAATGCCTACGCAAAACTAGTTTTGTGTTCATCTCGCAGGTACCTGAGCAATTCCCCTTCCATTTCCCATTTGCCCAATTCTTGATTAAAACCGAGAGGTCGAAAGAGATTCAAAGCAAATCGAGATGAAGCCAAGACTAAGCATCACCCTGGTTCTTTTGCTGGCCACCTGGGCCTCCTCAGCAGGTCTGGAGTCAAATCAACCAGACCACGAAGGTAAGAAAAAAACACAAGTTACTTTGCTTTTAAATTAATCTTGATGCAAGAAGGGATTTTGATCAAATTCCTTATGTTTCCAGAACTAAAATTAAGGAGAGGACGCCAATCCTTCAACCCTCCAAATCCGCCCAACCCTCCGAACCCAACGAACCCGCCCAATCCGACGAATCCTCCGCAAGCGGCCCACTACAACCCCTGGAACAACTACAACCCCAACTATAACTACAACAACTATCCACCCTACTCCAACAGCTACCCCCCTTACTACAATAGCTACCCACCCTATTCAAACAGCTATCCGCCCTACTACCCTCCCTTCTACAACTATCCCCCCTACTACAACAACCCGCCTAATTATCCCAACCCGCCCACTTATCCCAACCCGCCGAACCCTACCAATCCCCCTGTGGCTCCCAACCCACCACCAAATTACCCCTACTACCCGTGCCATTCACCCTACCAGTGCTACTACAACCCTGCCATGAACCAAGCAGGTCAGCAGGGCTTCTCCAGCCCTGACCAGCAACAAGCCTACCAACCCCCACAACAGCAAAGCTTTGCACCTCAAAACTACCCCCAGCAGCCACCCTACTACCCGCAGAACTTCAACGGCTTCAACCCCCCGAACCCTTTGAACCCTCCCAACCCGCCGAACCCCACCAGACCACCGCAGATGGGTGGAAACGCACCCCAAAATAACAGACCTCCAGGGCAGCAAGCAGGCGGGGGTGGCAACAAGAAAAAGAAGAAGCCAACCACCCCTGCTCCCCCTCCAGAGGAAACCACCCTCTCGCCTCAGAACGACGAATATGAAGAATAAGACAAAACTTGATCATCTATCCACATACGTAACAGACTCTAAATAAATTCGTTTTTGGATGTTTTTTTTTTACACTTATTTGTATAATTGTCTGCGACCCTTTCAATTTTGGATTTGTGCTGAAACCTCACAACATTTTCATTTTAAAATATTTTAAATTTAAAACAAGTTTTTTTTTAAGAATGGAACAAGTTTCTTTTTCTGCTCTGTCTTTGTCTAATTGTTTGAAATTTGAAGAAAAAAATGAGAAATATTTTTAGCTAGGGCCGAGTTTAAAAAACAGATATCAGCACTGGAGTGCGAAAAGTCGTTCAAAGTTATTTACACATACAACCCATCTCAATACAAGATTGAATTTTTTTGACCACAAAAAGGTCCGCTTGTCTAAAGATTGCAAATATTTTCCACTCTTTCAATAAAAATCATCAGTTACGAGTTCAGAAAAGTTGTCTGACAGCTAGCGATTCAAAGATATTTATTTATGGTGTTTGTAAAAGGGGCAGCCCAATTAATCAGCAACCAATCTAGCTATCAAAAAAAAAAAAAAATCCTAAACTCGTTTTACTACATCTTTGTTGGTGTGCAAATCGAAACCAAAGGAGCTTGAGATGGAAAACGTTCACATTTAAAAATAATCAACACAACAAATCTTAGAAATTCTTTTAGTTTGTGTTGAGCTTTTTTAAATTTTAAGCCAGAAAATTTAAGCGTATAATCAAGTCTTCTTAAGGAGAATTAGAAAATTGATTGCTCCCACAATTGTTATAATTTGGAAGGACTTCATTGAACCATGTCAATAAGGAACCCTTACACTTCTAAGCATGATTTAGAATGGAAACTTCCATTTCAAATATATTAATAACAAAACACAAAGAACAATAATACAAAACGTACCCATGGACAAGACTTGGTTGGCTTGGACGCTCATTTTTCAGCTTTTCGTGAACGGGTCGAGCAGCAATTTTCAGATTTTCGCTCAACGCGAATCTTCAGGTTCACCTGAGAAGTTCCAATTCGGAGTGACGAGCAGTATTTTGGAATTAATCGCCGAAAAACGAGCAGCGATCAAAAGCCCAGGCTGGACCAAAACATGCCGCGGCAACCTGCAGCTGTGATTTACGGGTGTTCGCAAAGGAGACGCATCATTGACACGGACCATGTCGTTTTCCCAATGAACTTTGTCTTAAAAAGTCAGACGTGGAATCAAAAATCGTTTAAGTTGACCAAAGTTTTAAATATTTGCACAAAATGCGGTACGTTATCAGTTTTGTAAATTGGTACTCACAAGCAAATATGAAACTCCTTTCTGCACTCCACAAAATTATACCGGGAAATAAATTGATTGGAGAATTATTTTCAACATTATTTTTTTCATTTTTCAAAAATAAAATTGTAAAAGGAAAAGGAGGATAAATTTTAAGAAGAGATTCAAATTACTCTTGCAATAAAAATTCCAACAAATGAAAGATCTGTAAATAGAAATTATTGGAAAAAGAGATGCGACCTGTCAAAGTCTCCATCTGACGTTTCTTGGCCGAAGCTGTTGAACGTTGAGTTTGAATTTGGCCCGACGAGGCGCGAATCGGCACATTGCTGCTGCCCCTCTCTGCTTCGCTTTTTGCAGAAACTGGATTTGGCCTGAAGCGCTCAGGTATTGCTAAAATAGGGAGAAGAAAAAGAAAAAATATGCGCGCAGATCGAAGGAGAGGCAATAATTAAAGCAAAACAGCGTTCGTCTCTCTCTTATCGACATCAACTAATTTTATACAAAAAAAGGGAAAGGAAAAGGAGACAAAATTTATTCGCAACAAAATAAAATCAAGTTTTTTTTACATGGATAAATTGTAACTAAAATTAAATCATTTTTATCGATTTTTACGTTATGTAAGAGCAGAAAACTTTGAAACATTCTATTGAAAAGATTAAAAGGATAAAATTAGATGTCCCTGCTCGCGTTCTGCTACATTTGCGATCGGGTGCGCGAAGAGATAAAGCTTAGCCGCCCACGACAAGTTGTCGGCATTGTGCGATCACCGTTACAGTTCAACACTCTCCGCCAATCCTGCTCGTCCCACTAATTTTTTATCTCAAATCAAACTTTTTGTATTTATTCAAAACCTGCGATAGTTTTAAAAAGAACCATTTTTCCTAGTCAGAACCAACACGCATGTCTCTAATTAACGTCGTCACAGGTCGATCAAGAGAGACCACACGCCCTGTTGTTCCCTCTGGGCCCCTCGGAATGCCAAGAGCCTTCGGAAGAAAAATCCTACTCTGTTGTAACGAGAGAGAATTAAAATGAGATTTCATGAAGTGTCTGATCGTCATTAATTCTGTGAAGGAGGATAAAGAGGTGCCAACAATTGCATTGTAAACACTTTCGCACGTCTCGTCGTAAATTTTTCCAATGACTTTTGCTAATTTTGAATTAAACTTCCTTCCTTACCTCCAAGAATAATATATCATTCTGTCAAATTATAACAAAAAAAATCGAAATTAGAAATAATAATAAGAAACGCCCAGAATTTTTTTTATAATTTTTTAATCTTCAAATTGCTGTTAAAATTAAATTTGAATCATATTAAAAAAAACTTTTTTTTAGTTTACTTCAGTTTTTAATTTTATTTTATTTAAGTCGCAAGTAAAGTCGCTTTTAAACAAATAAGTATTTTTGAAAACGTTTTTAATTCAAATAAAATTCGTAGCAAAACAATAATCAATTAAAATTTAAAAACGTTAAAAACACTTCCAATAATTGATGAAAAAATTCTCAAAATAGTATACTATTTAATAGTATACCAAAATTAACAAAAAAAAAAACTTTTTAATGGAACATTTTTTTAATGAGAATAACATTTAAAAAAAATCTATCATTAGTTGTTAAGTTCAGAGCAAATCAAGAAAAATTGAAAATACTGAAACTGCCAATAAATAGAATCTCTTGAAGAATTCCTTAATTGAAAGTTTTTAGAAAATACTGTTAAAAAAATTCAGATTAATCCACAAATTTTGCCAAAATTCAACATTTTCTTCTTCTTTAAATATTTCATTGATTAAATTAATTTTTTTGTAATAATTTTCAAATTTAGATTTCATGATTATAACGATTAAACGATTCTTCAATTCCCATCTTTTTAATTAAAAAATTGCTCAATTAATTTGCAGTAAACTCTTTTTAAGGAAAGACCGAGAAAAAAGGATTGTGTGTGTGTCTGCGTTGAATGAGAAACCTGTCCAACCGGGTGAAAATTGTTCCCATCCATCACGTCTGTTCTGTGAAACCGACCGCACCATATAACATGTTATATAAAATTTCGGGGGGACCGCAAGCGGCGCGGTGTTAACGCCCTTGGCCGTGAGTAACCCGACGACGATCTTCTCTGCAGCCCAAATTTTAAATTTACATATCCCCTAATCCAGATCCGAGCTCTCAGTCAGGCGCAAATGAGAAGAAATAAATAAATAAATGCAATGAAACGAGTTTTGCGTAAAGATTATTGTTCCCGCCACACCCTTGCCAAAAGTGAAGTTCACGGCCAAGAGTGGTGCGCGCCGAGCAGAGGTGCCTTGTGTGTCCGTCCGTCGACCAACCGCCGAGAGAAAAAAGCAGAAGCTTCTTCGGAGAGGAGTAGGGACGGGTATAAAGGCTGCCAAGTCCACTCGAGTGCTCCACAGGGTTGGAAAACGCGCAGCCCGAACCAGTGCATGTCGCAACAACACTCCTTGCGCAACACAGGTGAGCAACCTCAACCTTTTTTTTTTAATTAAAAACTCCTTTTTTAATTAAATCCGTTTAAAAATTAAACATACGAAGTAAGCAATTAAACTTGGCTATAAAAAAAAATATGCTAATGAGGCAACCACAAACGAGATTGAGATTAAATTGCGCGCAAAATTTACATCGAGCTTGTTTGTTATCTCCGCAGGTGTGCTCTTGTGTCACTTTATCAGCAAGTAAGGAAATAAGCTTTTTCTCTGGAAAAAGCTAATGGGATTTTATGATGTTCAGATTAGTTTAAAATTAAAAAAACATTTCCTTTCATCTTTCTTTTTCATTTCATAAAAATTGAAATATTTGTGAAAATCAAATTCATCATAAATTATTTTTGAAGACATTTATATTTTCATTCAAACACCAATTAGTGAGTTAAATTATAGCTCTGCATTTTAAAAGAAAAGTTGCAGATTATGGCTGTAAATATTTTTTTTTTCAATTATTGACGTGGTTTAATTAGTGCATAATTTCCAAATTATTATGTAACATTCATTCTCATTGTTTGTGATGCTAATTTTATTTAAATAATCCAATAAAAATCTTATGTTTTTCTTAGTTAATAATTGTTTCAAATATAATAAAAGGACATAAAATTTAAAATAAATGATACTTCCTACAAATTCGAATTGAATTTTATCTCTGATTAGAAGAAATATTTCATCAAAATTTAAATTCGATAAAGATTATTTGATTTTCCTTGTCAATTTTGTAATAGTTTATTTAAGTATTATCACGAGTGATGAAAACAATCTTTCTGGTTGATTTTTTATTATTTTCAAACACACTTTATGGCACAAATAAAATAATTTCACAAAATATTAAGGATATATATTCAGATTTCTTCCTGAAGATGAGCATGTTCATCAAATTAACTACCTTTTTTATGTTGTAAAAACTCTATTTTTTTTCCCCATTTTTATTGCACATTTTATTAAATAAATTGAAACCAAAGGATGAAAACACAATTTATTTTTTCACATTTTAGTCGCAGTTGAATAAAATTTTTCTTTCGTTGTGATTTTAATAGTTTCGATTTCATTCTTGGTTGCTCTTGAATAAAACTGACTTTTAATTAGTTTGTCTGCTGAAATTGACAATCAATATGCGCGACGCATCTCGGCGCGAATGCAATTTTTCAAACGCCGCGCTGCTCACGTGCGACCTATAAGGCCAAACAGGCTACCCTGAGGCAATCGCAGCCTTCGAGCGCGACACGAAATTAGCAAACTCGTGCCAAGCGATCAATTCGTATGGATTTTGGCCTTTGTCTCTCTTCTTTTGCTCTCTCTCTCTCGACTCGTTTTGAAACTGAAAAAGCGCAAAAGTTGGCGAGAGTGCGACGAGTGCGTTGACCCCTGGCGTGAAGGTCACTATCGGTTTCATTGCCCCGCCCCGACAGTTTCCGCGGCGGTCACAAGTCCCATCTCAACACTCTTGATTTTTCCCCAGCCTTATTATAATTCGGAGGAGGAGCAGCGCGCCGACACAAAAAAGCACCTCACAACAAACCGGTTGCCGCGATACATATTTTCAGCTGACCTCAGCAAGGTCAAGAAATAGCTCTGCACACGTGTCGCAGCACACCTATGCCCGCAGACATCGCAATTCCCAAACTCAATTTCATATCAATTGTAAATTGTTTGACTAAATAAAAAAAAAATTGGATTGTTTTTTTATATTCTTCTTTTAATTGGATTGACAATCGGCTTTGTTTCATTGGAGTGCTGCCAATTTAATTTTTCACTCGCAAGGTTTAATTGTTGGTCGCGTGTGTGATGCACACGCATGGGAAAACCGCGGCGACAAATGCGGAGTGCGCTTCCATTTATAACACTTCGAGGGGCACGCCGCGATCTTGATCTCTCACGTTTCTTTGCTTTGATCACTTTTCTGCAAAATTAATCCAGAGTGAGTTCAATATCGACGCATCTAATTACATACAAGCTTATAAAAAATCTCGATCAAACGCATTCAGAGTGAGTCATTTGCAACTCTCGAGAATTTTCTGTGCTGATATAAAAGTTTGTTAAATATAATCGCTTCACAAATTTTTGCAATTAAATAAACACCATTTTCATTTATTTGGAAAGTTGCTTTTGAGTTCCTTAGGTTTTTATGCTTAATCAGTACAATTTTAAAAGATTTACTCCCACAAGTGCTGCCCTGGATTCTTTAGAGTAATAACAACTTGAATTTTTCAAACATTTCCATGCCGTAGATTCAATTAAAATGAGTTTATCCGATTAAAATGTTTAGAATGTAATTCTTTAGGTGCTTATAAATTCATTTTTGTGTTAGTTATTAATGCAAATTCAAATGAATTTGCGAATTTTCTATTTTACCTTAAATTGCAAGTACAATCCTTAATAAAATTTGACCCAGAAGAATAAATGAATAATAAAATTGATTTTTTAAATTTCTTGTAAAAATTCAAGCCACAATTATTGAGGATTTTAAAAGATTTTCCCCAATCTCAATTCAAACATTTTCTAATTTCAGTTCATTTTTTTACTTTACATTTATTGGAAAACCTCCAAGCGCCTGCTTTTTTACAAGCTAGGCAACATCTTCACAGCGGAGACGCGATGGTTGCATAACCTTCGGGTGTTTGATTATTTTTCCCACTCTCTCAATTAGTTTATTCGAAAGAATCATGAATTTCCCTTTCTATAAAAAAGAATTCATTAAATTTGGAAACGTCAAGAAACTCGAAATTTGTTATCTCGCTTTAAAAAGGTAAACAAACGTTTGTGTGGTTTTGAGGTTTTGTGGCTTTTTTCAGAAGTGATTGAGCCTGAAATTTGATATTTTCACAGACGATAGAGAGCCCTAGGATGGGTGGACTTTGGTTGCTGGCAGCGTGCGTGCTGCTGGCGTTCGCCCCCGGCGCGCCGCAGTTCCAGCGAGGCGCCGTCGAGCACATGCCCGAGAGACAAAACGAATTCCCCGAGACGTCGCAGGTGCTCGAGAAGATCCAATTGCCCGGCCTGGGAACGCGCCGACTGCCCCTTCGCGCCGCCGTCGAGCACCACTTGACTGCTCAAGAGCGGTAAGTTTATAGAAAAATTAAAAAGATTGGAAAGAAAATTTTTGAAACGATTCGGTTTCGGCAGAGCTCAGCAACACATTCCCCTGAGAGAGGCGGTCGAAAGTCGGCCCTTCGGAATCCTCGAAAGGCAACAGGCGCAGGCCTATTCAGCGGAAAAGGAGCTGCAGGAAAACCAGGAGATTGACGATGTCAATGCACAAATCCCAGGTAAGGAAATTTTCATCGGTTAATTTCTTTCCTGAAAATAACCAGTCAAAAATTTATTACTTTTTTTCTTAAATTTCTTTACAATTTGAATTAAAGCCTTAAAAAACAAAATTTAATTGGAGATTTTATCCCCCAACAAATAGGTATTTTTTAGGTTCATAGAATTACTTTCGGCTTTTTTTTATATTTTCTATTTATTATTTCTTGAAAAATTCTATAGAAGATTACTTTGTTAGGAACACACATGTTCACAAAAAAGCCATTCTAAGAACTAAAAGAAAAATCTAGATAGTTTTATATATTTTTATTTTGGTAGCTTTTTTTATTGCTGACCATTAAACTTGGCTATGTTTATAACCATTAAAATTGCTATTTTCAAATCAATAAGTAAAGTAGCGCAGACAAACATCTTTGTATTGTTTTTCTGTCAAAACTGGTCTCTGTTATTTAAAATTCCAATTTGTTGAATTTCAAATTGAATTCGGACTAAAAACGTAAGAATAATTCCAGGGCAAGAACGTTACCCGATCGGAATCAGCCCCATCAGCGACTATCGCGTCGTGTGCTACCTCGAAAGTTGGGCCGCGCATCGACGGGAACCGATGAAGTTCTTCACCAAGGAGTTCAACCCTTTCGCGTGCACCCACCTGATCTACGCGTTCGCCTCGCTGGACCCTCACACACTGAAGATTGTTCCGCAGGTAAATAAAGATGATATTTGAAAAAGTGATCAAATACAATTGCAATAAAAAAAGTTAGATAGTACAATATAATTCACCTTAATTATCAAACAAAAATTAAAATTTTTTATATAATATCTCAATGATTTTGATTAAAAGTGATTTATAAAATATAAAACTAGGGATATAATTTTTTTTTTGATCAAAATTAAGTTGCCAAAGCTGCAGTTTTGGTTATTTTCAGTCGTTTTAAAATTATATTAAAATATTAAATTATTTATAAAATGAAGCAAATTTAAAATTTTCTGATTTTTTGCAACTGTGCAGGACGAGGAGTTTGACATTGTGAAGGGCGGTTACAAGGCGGTGATGCAGCTGAAGGAAGTGAACCCTTCGCTGAAGGTGATGGTGTCTGTCGGGGGCTGGGTGGAGGCGGCGCGGCGCTTCTCCGAGATGGCGAGCAGCGCGTCGAGCCGGCGCGAGTTCATCCGCTCGGTCGTGCACTTCCTCGACGAGCACAACTTCGACGGGCTGGACCTGTTCTGGGAGTTCCCGGGGGCCAAGGACCTCGGCGCCAAGGCCAGCGACCGCGACAACCTGGTGCTGCTGGCCGAGGCGCTGGCCGAGGTGTTCGCCCCCAAGGGCCGCCTCCTCTCGGCCGCCGTCGCCTCCTCGCGCTTCCGCATCGAGGACGGCTACGACGTGCCCCAACTCGCCAGGCACGTCGACTTCTTCAACGTCATGAGCTACGACCTGCTCAACGAACGCGACAAGGCCGCCTACCACCCCTCGCCCCTCTACAGAAGGGCGCACGACCAGGGCATCGGCGTCTTCCTCAATGTTGTGAGTCGCAAATTTATGCAAATTCAACCAATTTACAATCAAAATTGAGTAGAAATTTCAATCTTTTTTTCGGTTCTTTGGATAGAAGGGTTTAAATTGTTTCGATATTAAAAGTAGATGATCTACTAAAATTATGTTTCAAATCCTTCAATTTTATTTTCACTAATTCTACTCCATTGTTGTTTTGAAAGGACTACGCAATTCAATACTGGCTGCGAAAAGGCGCACCGAGCCGCAAACTGACTCTGGGTCTTCCCTTCTTCGGACGCACCTTCACCCTTCAGGACGCCAACGTCTTCGCCCCTGGCTCGCCCATCAGCGGCCCAGGCACCGAGGGAAAATACACTTTGGTGAGATTCAATTGAACGCGACTAAATTTTGAATTAACTTTCAATCGGAGCAGCAAAGGGGATTCATGTCGTACTTTGAGATTTGCGAAAAACTGGCCGAGGGAAACGGAGGCGAGCGCTGGATGGAATTCACAGACGAAGTGGGCAGTCCGTATATGGTCAAGGGCAACCAGTGGATTGGCTACGACGACCCCAAGAGCGTCAAAAATAAGGTGAGAGTTATTTTTCCATTCACCAAATAATATGAAATAAAAATAAAAAACAAGTACGAAGCATAAATTAATGTTGTTATATTTTTAAGAAATTTTTATATTTTTATGATAAGCAAATTTTAATATTTCTGATATTTAATAGCAATTTTATGTTGTGCATAGATATTTCACTTACAGAATTATAACTAATTGTAAAACTACTTAATTAATGAATTTTAAATGTTATATCCCAAAACTTAATCGATTTTTGCTTTTAAAAGTTTTATTTATTTTCACAAAAGATGCAACCAATTTTTCCGCAAATTAATTATTTTAAGCCCTACTCAAAATTTAAATCCAATCTTTCACGAAATTTAACTTAATAATTCGTTTATTGTAAAGATGGATTATGTGAAAAAGTACAACTTGGGCGGCGCCATGGTGTGGGCTGTCGACATGGACGACTTCCTCGGCTTCTGCGGCCGCAAATACCCCCTTTTGTCTGCGGTCAACGAAGGATTGAAAGGTTCAAATTCTAAGCAAAACGTTCAAAATTTATAATTCTCCTTTTTCAATCAGCAACCCCTAGTCAAAAACCGGTGACGAGTGCGCCTGTAGTCGCGGCCCCTCCACCCCCTCCACCTACGAGGCCCCCGGTTGAGGCCGTGGAGGCTGGGGAGGCGGCCATGGTGGTGCCGACCCCCGGCCAGGAAATCGTCACCATCGGACCTGGAAACTCGTGCAAGGGACACGGATACGCGCGCGAACCAACAAACTGCCGCGTCTACTACAGGTCAGTAAAAACCAAAAACCAAAATATTTATCAAGTTTTTCGTTCAAATATACACAAATAAAAATACCCATCAGACAATAATTTTTGTAAAAAACAACTCTGCTTTTATATTGAAAATTTAAATTCAATTAAAATTTCTAAGTTAACAATTATCTTTTCAATTTTTATAATCTTTGGATTTATGAGTTGAAAATGGTGCAGAAAGAATAAAAATTTTAGGTTAAATTAAAAAATGATTAAGCTTATATGATTACAAAAACCTTTTTTTTTTACTAATCAGAACAAACTTTGGTGTCCATTTTTAGAAAACATTTTGTATGAGAATAATTTTTTTATAAATGGAAGAACAAAATTTTAATTTTTTTGAGGCAATTTTTTTTAATTTTTAATTTAACTTGCAGATGCGAGTGGGGCGTGAAAACGACTTACGTTTGTCCCGAAGGACTTCACTACGACGCCGCCCTGAATTTGTGCAACTGGCCAGAAATGGCAGGTTGCGAACAGGTGGTGCTCATTCCCGAAAAGTACGTGCTGACCCCTCTGCAGCAGTTCCTGCTTCGGTTCGCCCTCCCCTACTACCCCACGCAGCACAACACCATGAGTACAAAATTTGACAAAATTTCCTTTAATATTTTTAATTTTTCTCCTCGGACAGTTTCGCAGCAGCAGCAGGTGGGCGTCGACTGCAGTTCGGACGGTCTGTACAGCGACCCGAGCAGCCAGAGCTACGTTCTGTGCCAAAACCAGAAGAGCTTCGCCATCCGGTGTCCCCAGGGCACTGTCTACAGCGTCCAGTCCAACCTCTGCGAACAGCAGGTACTTCAACCTGTGGTCAAATCGGCGGCTCAACAGTTTGAGCAGCTCAAGATCGACGAGCACCAATCGCCAAACGCCCTCGACGGCAGGAAAGGTTCGTCGGAGATTTCAACGCCCGAAAACAGTATTTTTATAAATTTCCAAATTTTGCAGAAAAAGGGTACAAGGTGGTTTGTTACTTCACCAACTGGGCCTGGTACCGAAAGGACGACGCCAAATTTGTGCCCGAGCACCTCGACTCGAGGCTCTGCACGCACATCGTCTACGCCTTTGCTGCCCTCGAACCCCACGATCTCAGAATCATCTCGTCCGACACCTGGACTGATTTGGAAAACAGTGAGTTTTTTTTTTATTGAAATGTTATAAAACACGCACACACAATATTATATAAATATAAAATATAAATGAATTAAAAAAAATGAAAGAAAATTGACTTGTAGTTTATAAAATACATTTTTAATTTGACATACGAAAATGCATGAATTTTGCTCTCTCAAATCAATTCAATTCATTCAATCTTGAAAATGCACAACTTTTCTGCCATAAATGTTGGCAATTTTAAGAGAATTGACAAATTTTTGTTCAGGAAAAATTTATTTTTATTTATATCAGAATAATAATTACAAAGAGGCTCATTTCAAATAATTTTCTCATTCTCATCTTTATTAAAACTAAATTTAAAAATTTAATTTGCAGATTTCTACCAAAGGGTAACGTCGATTCCGGAGCCGCGTCGCGGCGACTCGGACGTGAAGGTGCTTTTGTCGCTGGGCGGGTGGACGGATTCCTCGGGCGACAAGTACTCGCGGCTGGTCAACGACCCGTCGGCGCGGCGCAAGTTCGTGGCCGAGAGCGTGGCCTTCCTCAGGTCGCACAACTTCGGCGGGCTGCACGTGGACTGGCACTACCCGCGCTGCTGGCAGTCCAACTGCGGCAAGGGTCCCGCCTCGGACAGGCCCAACTTCGCGCAGCTCGTCAAGGAGTTGAGGGCCGAGTTCAGCCGCCAGAGCCCCCCGCTCGAGCTGGCCGTCGCCATCTCGGGCTACAAGGAGGTCCTCGACGTCGCCTATGACGTGGCCGAGATCAGCAGGAACGTCGACTTCATGTCGGTCATGACCTACGACTACCACGGCGCCTGGGAGGGACGCACCGGACACGTCAGCCCCCTCTTCTACAGACAGGGCGACAGGTTCCCTCAGTACAACACGGTACGAGTTTTAAAATAATTGTTGAATTCTAAAAAACCTAAACACACAAAAATCTACCAAGAGAACAAAACTATGAAATTTCAAGGCCAAAAATTTTAATGTTAAAATTAACTATTTTAGTAAAGAAAACAGATAACATTTGACAAAATGTGTAAATTTTGGAGAAACTACAGGAAAAAGTTTAATTTTTTTTTAAATATTTTACGCAGCTTTCGGAAATTTTCATGATTTTTTTTTTAATTTTCTTTTACATATAAAACTAGGAAATATATTGCCATTAATTTGTATTAATTCATAGTAATCACACTAAATATTAGGAAAAACCACCAACAGCAAACTTAAGCTCCAAAAAAATATAATTTTTAATTGTTACTTTGTTGCCAAATGTGTTATAATAATGAAGTGAAAAATGATATTTTTTATTCATTTCCCCACTTTTTAATTTGGTTTTATTTCAATTCAAAACGACAAAACCAGTCTAAAAAGAAGTTAATTTACACTTATTTAGTTGAAAACCCCTCTAAAATTGGCAAGTCTTATCTTAATTTTAAAATTAACGATTTTTCTTCTTTAGAATTTTACTCTCGAGCACTTGGTTGCGATGGGAGCTGACCGCGAAAAGGTCATCATGGGCATTCCCCTGTACGGCCAGAGCTACACGTTGGACACGGAGACAAACAATGACGTCGGCGCCCCCACCTTTGGCCCTGGAGAACCTGGCGAATTCACGCAGCAACCTGGAATGCTCGCCTACTTTGAAATTTGCGAAAGAGGTACTGAATTTTACCTAATCATTTATTTAAATATTAATTTTTGTCATCAAAAGTGCACGCGAAAAAGTGGAAGGTTGTGAGGGACAAGTTTGGCGCTCACGGTCCTTACGCCTACTCAGGAGATCAGTGGGTCGGTTACGAAGACATCGACTCCATCAAAGAAAAGGTTTAGCATTTATTGCAAATTAAATTTTAATTAAAACGTAAAAATCAGGGTCGCTACATTCGTAACATGGGCTTCGGAGGTGCGATGGTCTGGACAGTGGACCTGGACGACTTTACGAACCGTTGCTGCAAAGGACCTTTCCCCTTGCTCAGGGCGATCAACCGCATCTTCGACAGGGTGCCCGCCGACATGGAACCGACGCAGGACTGCAAAAAGCCGCCGCAGCCCGTCACCCCTGCTTCCCCTACCCTGACGACCGGCGTCGACACAGGTAAAGAAAGATTTACAATTTTGCTAATTTTTCTTTCAATCTGCCCACTTTTATAAAAAAATTATCGGACTTTGTTAAGAAATCTTAAAATAATAATAGATCTGTTGAGTTAATTTTGAAAATTGTGCTTAACAAATTATCTGTTTTTTTGTTGTATTTAATTTTATTTAAACGAGACGCAAAAAAGACAGGCAATTTTTTTATTAGAAACATCAATTTTTATTGGAAATGAAGATTCGGGCTTTTCCTCGTTGCAAAAAATTGTTTTTTATTAAAAAACAAACGGCTCTACCAGTTTCGGTCACGGTCTGCGACCCTATTTCATGAGCAAACGCGCTGCTCGCTGACTAATACAAGAATGACCGTGACCGAAACTGGTAGAGCCGTTTGTTTTTGAATAAAAAACAATTTTTTGCAACGAGGAAAAGCCCGAATCTTCATTTCCATGATCATCTCCTCGAGTGTCAACTTCTTCAAACAAAATCAATTTTTATTATTTAAAAAAAAAAAATCAATTTTTTTTCGCCTCAGTTCGACTTTTTGTTCAACACTTTCAATCAATTTTTTAAATTAATTATGTTATTTTTTTTCTTAATTAACTTGATTTTTTATAGCTTAATTGAGATAAAAAGCACTACTTAATTTTTATTTAAATTTAATTTGGTAGGTGCCGAGTCAACCACAACTCCGATGAGTCCGAAACCCATTCAGGTCTCGACGACCAGCCCTTCGACGACCAGCCCTTCGACGACCAGCCCTTCGACGACCAGCCCTTCGACGACCACCCACTCGTGGACGACCACCTCCTCCACAACCACCACCAGCACCACTTCTCGGCCGACAACCCCCACTCCGAGCACCACCACCGCCTCAACAACCCAGGTCACTTGGTGGCCCCAGTCGAGCAGCACTCAGCAGCCAGGGTCGTCGACCTGGTGGCCCCAGGCGACGACGGAGGCGCCGCAGCCGGCGCCCGTCGCCAACCCTCCCGGCGGCGACGGCGAACTTCTAAACAAGGCGTGCGAGCCGGGCGAGCACCACCCCGACCGCAACAACTGCAACGGCTACTACCGCTGCATCCAGGGCAAGTTGAAGCGCGAGTTCTGCGCCGGCGGCCTCCACTGGAACCCCACCCTGCACGCCTGCGACTGGCCCAGGAAGGCCGGATGCCAAGCAGGTCAGTTTGACACTTTTTTTTTACAAAATCGTCTTCATACAGGTTTGGAATCCGAATTAAGACACTGAATCTCAGCAGATTTATTTATAAAATTGAATTTTAATTAACAATTGCTTTAAATCTGAGCAGGACAGGTATCGAATCCTAACTTTATTGGATTGCTCGAAAAATGAAGAGCTGAAAAGCTCAAATATTTGGCATAAAAAAGGCGCCGCTTCAGAACAAAGTCTCTTTGATTATAATAGGATTTTTAATGGATTACAGAATTTGAAGGAAATTTAATTTAATTGCTCGTTGCCAATAGTTTGCAAAAATATCTTCAAATTTATAATTTTCATCAATACATAATTTTATTTTATTTACTTTACATTCTTACCTACAAGATTTACTTTTTTTACATATAAAATTGAAAACCTGAAAATGAAAATTCACCTTTTTTGAGGGAAAAAAATACTTTTTTCTGCCTTCTCGTCATAAAGAATTGAATTCATTTTTTATTTTAACTCCTTAATTTTAATAGAGAAAAACTCTCATTTTCATTCTGAAGTTGAACTTTCCAATATATCCAATTTTTATTTTATTTCTTTATAAAGAATGAAACTATTTTAGACGCCAATCTGTGTTTATTACTTGATGAGCTCTCCGGCCGCATTCATCCGTTGAATCTCGAACTCAAAGTTGTTGCTGCGGCAGAAGGGACACGGCGTCCTCCTAATGGTGTTGGCGCGGGTGGTGTTTTTCACCAGCAGCTCCTCGCGGCAGTGCTCGCACAAGCCCACGTGCATGCACCGCGTCAAAACGTACTCGGCCACGTGTCTGTAGCACGCAATGCACGGAAACTGCAGCCGAGGAGCTGCCTTCAGATGAAGAAACAAAGAATTTCATGGAAACTTAATAAATGATACGAGCACAAACTTACTTTTAGAGGGCCTGGCTGGACGTTGGCCATCAGAGCGGCCTGGTGGATTTTCAAATTGAAAAAACCAGACAATTTTCAAGTTGATTTTAAAAATTCGTCAGACTCTGAAATTTTAAACGCGTCTGATCTCAACAATCGAGAATAATAGAGTATGAAAAAAGTTTGTTAAATGCAACAATGCAATTTTTTCTTAAAACCTATAGTTGGATAAACAAATTGCCTCTCTTGTAAAAATATGGCACCAATAAGTGAATTTTTAATCTGAAATTTCAGTTGAAAAGTCCTACGTAAAATCAAATTTGTCAAAAGAAATTTAAAAAATCCCTTATTTGGCGAGTTTTTATTATATTCTTCCAATAAAACTTGAAGTTATTCAGGTTACTTTTCAACGTTTATTTATACCGACAATTATTCAAACAGTAGTTACAATATAATATCAAAAATAAAAAATTATAATTCCTTTAAATGATTAAGTAAAATAAAATAAAAATCACAAAAGATCTCAAAATAATTCAAAAATGTAAAAAAAAGAATGAAAAATTTCTTTTCATTCTCCAAAACAACCAGGCCAAACATTTCTGAAAAAATAAAAAATATATCGTACTTTGCCTCACATTTATTCATTCAGAATGTTAAAATTATTTTGGGAAAGTATTTAAAAAAAATGGATTTTATTGATTCAATCTACCAATATTAGTAGAAAAACCCGTTTGTAACTTCACGGTCTTTTTTTTTTTTAATTTTTAACCTATGCAAAAATCCTCAACTAAAATAATTCTACATTTAAAATTTTGGAATTTTAGATCAAAATGTGCCGACGACGAGCGCACCTTGGTGGCCTCAGCAGCCGCCGACGGTGGCGACGACGACGACGACGACCGAAAGGCCGAACGAGTGGTGGACGCCGAGCACGGAAACGTCGCAGCAAATCGTCGAGGGCCGACCGACCACTTCGGCGCCGCCCAAGTCTTGCGTCTCAGGCTCGTACGACGCGAACCCGAGCGACTGCGGAAAGTTCTTCATCTGCGTCAACGGCCGACAGACGAGCCAAAACTGCGCCACCGGTCTTCACTGGAACCAGGACAAGAAGTACTGCGACTGGCCCAGCAACGTCCAGTGCCAGGCCAGGATTTCGCCCGACGTGGAAATCGTCAACGAGTTTGGCGCCGAAGAATCCGACGGTATAAATTTACAAATACTTGGATGGGTTGAAAATTTACATTTTGCTGAATGCAGAGCTGCGGCTGTTCAAAGGCGAGGCTTGTTCTCGCGACTTCATGAGGGACCCTGCCGACTGCTCCGTCTTCTACAGGTGCGAAAACGGAAAGGTCTTGTCTGTGGAGCACTGCGCCGACGGTCTGCACTTCAACGAGGTAAGTTTTGTTGAAATATATAGACAAATTATCGAAATTAGGAGTGCCTTAAAATATGACTTATAAAATTTAGTAAAAATTTGACTTAAATTCCGGTTTTTTTTTCAATAAAAATGTTTTCATTTTAAATTTAAATAACAATAATTAAGCATGATTTCTGAAGAATTGACAAGGTTCAATTACCACAAACAAAACTGATCCATATATGGTCTTTTTTTATTTTTTTTTTTATAGGTAAAATTGTAATAAATTACAGCAAAAACATGTGCAAATAGATTAATTTTTTGTATAAAATTCATAAATTCATAACACGTTTAATGCTAGAAAGCTATTAAAGGTCATTAAAAATAAAAATTAAGTTCAAAAAATTAAATTAAATTTTAAAATCCTACTGTTAAGCAACCAAATCTTACAATTAATCAAACAAAAATCCTTTCAGCATTTTACCCTTTCTTCATCAGATTTAGTAGAAATTTCTTTTTGACATCAATTCATTATATTGAAAATAAAATTAATAGGAACAACGGCATTGCGATTGGCCTGCCAGCGCCGGCTGCAAGTCTTCCGGAGACTCTTCGGCCGCCACCACCAAACGCCCTTCGCCCGCCACCGTCAACCTCCCTGCACCCGAGCACTCGTGGACGCCCCCTCCAAAGGTCGAGGTCACCACCGTGGCGGCGCCAACCGTCGTCGCCGACCCCGCGCCCGCCCCTTGCACAGGTAAAATTAAAGTTTAATAATAGATGCCCTAATTAAATAATTATTAATTTTTTTCTCCAAAATAATCATTGGAGACAAAAAGCAAGAAATAAAATTTAAAATTGAATTTATTTATTAATTCATATGATTCATATATGAATATTTCGGATATAAACTTGAAGTTGTACCCAAATGATTTAATAACTTGCATTCAAATTTTTATAAAATTATACATTAAAATGAAATTTTACATTTAGTTTCAGAATTTTGTTCATTGGGTTCAAACTGAGGGCAACTTTGCCCCATACATGAACTCATCCAAATTAATGACAAAATAAAAATTTAAAATAAGGGGGAAAGATAACATTAATATTTCTCAATGAATTGCTTTTTCAGCGTTGCCTTAAAAAAAATTACATTTTCATTCAAACACAAATTCAGTGGTAACAAATTCCAAAACCTGTAGCTTTGCACTTGGAAATTAAATATAATTAAAAGATATCTTATTTCTTATACATTCATTTTTCTTGAAATTTTGTTTCCTTAGGAAAATGCCTGATGGTTTGTTACTTCACGAACTGGGCCTGGTACAGACAGGGCGTGGGCAAGTACTTCCCCGAGGACATTGACCCCGCGCTGTGCACCCACATTGTGTACGGGTTCGCCGTGCTCGACTACGAAAACCTCATCATCAAAATGCACGACTCGTGGGCCGACGTTGACAACAGTGAGCAAAATTTTTATAAAAAGAAAATGGAATTTTTATAAAATTGCAATTTTAAAGGGTTCTACGAGAGAGTGACCGAGTTCAAGAAACACGGCAAGAAGGTGTTGATCGCGATCGGCGGCTGGAACGACTCGGCCGGCGACAAGTACTCGCGCCTCGTCAACAGTCCCGCGGCCAGGAAACGCTTCATCAAACACGTCATCGAGTTCATGCAAAAGTACAACTTTGATGGACTCGACCTCGACTGGGAATACCCCAAGTGCTGGCAGGTCAGTTAAAAATTACAAATATTTCATTTTGGAAAAAATTATTAATTTAACAAGATTATTTTTTAATCAAATGCAATAAAAAATTTAATTAAAAGGGTTGAATTTTTCAGGTTAATTGCGATAAGGGACCTGATTCTGACAAACAAGCGTTTGCCGATTTCATCAGAGAACTGCGAGCAGAGTTCGACGCCGCCGGAAGTTACCTTCTGACAGCCGCCGTCTCTCCGAGCAAGACTGTAGTTGACGCAGGTAAATTATGAATTTTAAAAGAGCTAAAATTAATTGAGAGGGTAAAAATTTCCACTGTGGAGACTCTAAGAGATCTTTGCGTAAAAATTAACAAATTTAATTTTGGAAAAAATTGACGCACCAGTTCACTTTCCTACTTATTTTCCCATTTATTAAATTATGAAATAATTTAAGAATTTTTGGTGGAAAAATATTTTTATTTAAATAAAAATGAATTAAAATTTGTCAAAAAAAGAACATGAACTTTATAACTTGCTCAAATTATGTTTAAAGACTTTTAAGAAATCTTTAATTAATATTAATTAAACATTTCAATTTGATTAATTATTTTAGGATATGATGTGCCTGCCGTCGGCAAGTACCTGGACTACGTTTCAGTCATGACGTACGATTTCCACGGTCACTGGGACAAGAAGACTGGCCACGTGGCTCCTCTGTACGAACACGAGGACGACGACTTTTACTTCTTCAACGCCGTAATTATCCCATTAAATTGGAAAAAATCATGGTTATCAAATAAAATTATTACGATTAGAACTACTCGATCAACTACTGGAACCAGCAGGGCGTGCCCAAGTGCAAGTTGATCATGGGCATGCCCTTGTACGGCCAGTCGTTCACCCTGAGCAAACCCTCGGAGAACGGCCTGAACGCCCCCGCCACTGGACCCGGACAGGCCGGAGAATACACCCGCGCCGCCGGATTCCTCTCCTACTATGAAGTACATAATTTATAAATTTATAATAATTGCGATTATTTTAATTAAAAATTATTATTATTCAGATTTGTGATAAAATCAAGAACAAAGGGTACACGGTTGTGAACGACCCTGAGGGCAGGATGGGTCCCTACGCCTACAAGGATCGCGACTGGGTCAGCTTCGACGACATCAAAACTTTGACCAAAAAGGTTCAGCGAAATTAAATCTTTTTTTTAAACAATAAAATTTAATTTTTTTAGGCGCAATTTGTGGCCAACATGGGACTTGGTGGAAGCATGATTTGGGCTCTGGACTTGGACGACTTCAAGGGCACGGCCTGCGGTCAGGGCAAGTACCCTCTGCTCACGGCCATCAACTCGCACATGTGCTCAGCTTCTGGTAAGAAAATTGAAAAATTAATTTTTTAAATAATTTTGAAATAAAATTGCAGTCGTCAGCGACACCTCGCAGCAGACGAGCAAGCCAAGCAAACCTGAGGTGGTGACCTCTGCACCTTCCGTGCCCCCAACAGCCTTCCAACCTGATGAAATCCCCACCAAGGCACCAGCCATGGCGCCGACCGTGGCACCAACTAAGGCACCAATTCAGCCGAAGCCACAGCCAGTGACCCTGACCCCAGGAGCGGTGACCCCCGGCCCTGGCACCGACGTTGCCACCTGCGGAGGGTCCACCTCGCCCTGCGGCCCTTACAAGGTCGTTTGTTACTTCACCAACTGGGCCTGGTACAGGTAAATCAAAATTCCAAAATTATTTTTTCGTAAAAATTTAATTAAAAAAAAATTAGGCAGGGAAATGGAAAGTACCTTCCGAGCGACATTGACGCGTCGCTCTGCACGCACATTGTCTACGGATTCGCTGTCCTGGACACGCAGTCACTGCTGGTCAAGCCCCACGACTCTTGGGCCGACTTGGACAACAGTATAATTTAATTTATAATTTTTTTTTTTTTTTAATTTTTAAAATAATTTTTCTCTTGAAGAATTCTACGAAAAGGTGGTTGCGTACAAGGCCAAGGGTCTGAAGGTGCTGCTGGCCATCGGCGGGTGGAACGACTCGGCCGGCGACAAGTACTCGCGCCTCGTCAACAACCCCTCGGCCAGGGCCAGGTTCATCGACCACGTCATCAAGTTCATTGATGAGTACGGCTTCGACGGCCTCGACCTGGACTGGGAATACCCTGTGTGTTGGCAGGTGGACTGCAAGAAGGGCCCTGCGTCAGACAAGGCTGCCTTCTCGGCCTTTGTCCAAGAACTCAGGGCCAAGTTCGGACCGGACAGACTTCTGTCCGCCGCCGTTTCGCCCAGCAAATACGTCGTTGACGCAGGTTTGTTTAATTCTCTTTTATTTAATGTGAAAAAATAATATGTTTTGTGCTTGGAAAAGTTTAAAGATAAATCATTCAATTTGAAAGTTTTATTATTTAATTTTTATTCAATCAATTATATTTTATATTTATTTTACGTACTGAATTTTTAAAATTTGAACGTTAAAATTCTTTTAATATTAATGAATAATATTTTTAAATATTAAATGCAATTTGCAATTACGTTAAAAATTAATATGATACATATTTTTTTAAATCAAGAAATCTTTCAAGAATCTAATCCTTTTTGCTTTATTTTATAAAAATAATCAGAATATAAATTAGTTATATTTGTTTTAAGAAAGATTATTTTGATTCTATAACCAAAATTATCCATAATGATGATATTTTTTTGTAGGCTATGATGTGCCGGCCCTATCGCAGAATCTGGACTGGATCGCGGTCATGACCTACGATTACCACGGCCAGTGGGACAAGAGGACGGGCCACGTGGCGCCCATGTACGCGCACCCTGACGACGCCGACGCCACCTTCAACACCGTAAGAAAACAAACTTGGTCAAAATTAAATTACAACAAACTTTCCCTTGCAGAACTTCACCATCAACTACTGGATCAAGAACGGCGCCAGCCCTTGCAAGATCGTCATGGGCATGCCCATGTATGGCCAAAGCTTCAGCCTGGCCGAAACCACGAACACCGGACTGAACGTGCCCACCTACGGCGGCGGAGAGGCCGGCGACGAAACCAGGGCCAGAGGATTCCTCTCCTATTACGAGGTACTTTTTTTTACAAAAACAAATTTTTTTCTAACTCAAATTTTGGCAGATTTGCCAACGCATCAAGAGCAAGGGGTGGCAGGTGGTGCAGGACCCTCTGAAGACGATGGGCCCGTACGCGTACCTCAGGGACCAGTGGGTGTCCTTCGACGACCAGGCCATGATCAAGTACAAGGTCGACTTCATCAGGCAAATGGGGCTGGCCGGCGGCATGATTTGGGCACTTGACCTCGACGACTTCCGCAACCTGTGCGGCTGCGAGGCCCACCCCCTGCTCAAGACCATCAACAGGGGGCTGTGCAGAATCGACTCGCCGGCGCCTGACTGCAGCTTTTCCTCCAGGTTTGACGGTAAGAGCAGGTTTCAAATTATCTATAAAAGAATCTGAATTTTTAGTAAATTATAAAGAAGCAAAATATTTTGGAAAATATTGAAAAATTGAAAAAAGTTTAAAGTTTCTAACAAACTTTTCAAGATGATAAACATTTAATCGTTTTCAAAAATTTTTTGTTCAAAATATTGAAGAGTAATTTAAAAGTTTTTATTATAAAATAAGCAAGAATTCAATTTAAAACTTCAGAAGTGAACAAATAAAACAATTTTTTCAAAAAGGAAATTTTATAAAACAAAAACAAAAATTTTTTACGAAAATTTATCATGATTATTACTATGAAATTTTGTTATTTCAACGTTCTAAAAAATATCTAGGAAATAAATCGTTTTTTTTCTTTTATTATTTTTTTTATAATGAATTAAAAGTGAAATTTAACACTTTTCAGTGGAGGAAGATGATGATGCGATTAAAATGGTCTCGGCTAGCGAAGAAGAGACGAACCCGAACGATCTGAGGGAGGACACGTGCAGCCACTCTGGTTTGCAGAAACACCCCGGCACGTGCTCCAAGTACGTCGAGTGCGTCAACGGCGTCAAAATCACGCGCAACTGCCCGCCAGGCACAGTCTTCATCTTGGACAAGCAGAACTGCGGCTGGGCCGCCAAGGACAGCACGTGTCTGCCTCAGGAGAACGAGGTGGCCGAGGTCGCCACGCAGGCCCCGCAGGCGCCGCAGCAGGAGCAAAAACCAGTCGTCCCGATGAAACCGAAGCCGCAACCAGTCACCGAAAGGCCTGTTTTCCCGCCACAAACCGGAGGTGGAAAGCAGTGCTCGGACGAATTTGTGCCGCAGCCCAACGACATGAAGGTCATTTGCTACTTCACCAACTGGGCCATTTACAGGTCAGAACTAATCTGATAAAATTAATTATTCTAAATTATTTCTATTGAAATGAAAATAAATTAATATTAGGGTAAATTTTTTACAAAAAAATAAAAAAAATCTCAATTTAATTTCATTACTATTGATGGAATTTCTCAAAACAAGTAGATTTTGTATATTTAATGTGCCTTTGATTTATTTGGTAAATTATTTACCCAGACCTGGAATCGGCAAGTACCGGGCAGAGGACATTGACACCAACCTTTGCACGCACGTCCTCTACGGATTCGCCGTGCTGGACGGCTCGACCTTGACCATCAAGTCCCACGACCCCTGGGCCGACTTCGACGACGGATTGGGTACGAATTTGAAATAAATTTGAGAATATTTTGCTGAATTTAAGAAATTGCAGCGCTTTACTCGAAGGTGTCCGCCCTGAGGCAGAAGGGCGTGAAGGTGCTGCTGGCCCTGGGCGGGTGGAACGACTCGCTGGGCGACAAATACTCGCGCCTCGTCAGCACCCAGAGCTCGAGGAGCCGCTTCATCAAACAGGCTTTAGACTTCATTGAAAAGTACAAATTCGAGGGATTGGATCTCGACTGGGAATACCCCAAGTGCTGGCAGGTAATGAATTTAAATTAATAAAAAAAATTAAATTTAAAATTTTGTCGTAAGTGAACAAATAAAAATGCACAATTAATTAGTAAAAAATATGGAAAATATTAAGTTTTTAAACAAATTTATTTTGAAATATGTTTTTGACAATCCTCCCCATTCTATAATTTATTATACTTTTATTTAAAAAATAAGTAATTTTTGCCAAAACTTTTCCGATAAGAGGAAAATTTATAAAATAAATTCCTTTTCAATTATGATAAAAATCAGGATGTAAAATAAATTTTGGTGATAAAAAATTGAATCTTTTTCTCAGGTGGACTGCAGCAAGGGTCCTGACGCGGACAAGGAGAACTTTGCGGCGCTGGTGCGCGAGTTGAGCGCCGAGTTCAAGCCGAAGGGGCTGCTTTTGTCGGCCGCCGTGTCGCCCAGCAAGATGGTCATCGACGCCGGCTACGACGTGCCCACCCTGTCCAAGTACCTCGACTGGATCTCCGTCATGACCTACGATTACCACGGCCAGTGGGACAAGATGACCGGCCACGTGGCGCCCTTCCGCGTCCACGAAAACGACACCAACGTCTACTTCAACGTCGTGCGTATTCGAAAGTTTGAAATTAAAACAAAAAAATTATAATAAATTTTGGTAAAATCAGGATTACACCCTAAACTACTACATCAAGAAGGGCGCCGACCCTAAGAAACTGGTCATGGGCATTCCCCTGTACGCCCAGAGCTTCACCCTGATCGACCAGTCCAACACCGGACTCGACTCGAAATCCTCAGGGCCAGGTTTGGCCGGAGAGTTCACCAGGGCGGCTGGATTTACAGCATTTTATGAGGTTCGTTTCAAAGTTTTATTTCAAACGCGCACTCCTAAAAATGATGAAACCACTTCAAGGCAACAAAATCATCCACCAAAACAAATATAGTTTTATACATTTTTGAGAACAGTGAGAAAAAAAAATGATTTTTTTTGTTACCCTTTTCATGTTTCCAGGAAAATCAAGTTTATTTTAGAGCGCTTAAAATTAATCGATTTAATAAAATGATAGTTCAATTTTGATATCATTCTAAAATAAAACTGCCAAATTATTTCGAGTGATGATTTGTTAATTTGCACGGTGTAAGGTTCGGCTTCTATTATTTATGGTTTGACACCCTGGATAAAGGTAAAAATTAAACGTTTTTTGCCCCATAAAAATATGCAAACCGACAAAAGAATACAAAATAGCCAAAAGTTTTATCATGACATATCATAATTTCTAAATTAAATAATTATTTTCAACTAATAAAATTTTCGTTTCAAGGTTTGCCACATGGTGAAGCAGCAGCAGTGGACGGTGGTGCGCGACCCTTCGGGCGCGATGGGCCCGTACGCCTACCGAGGCAACCAGTGGATGTCGTACGATGACGTGGACATCATCAGGGACAAGGCGAGTGACCTCAAAAATAATAATAGAAAAATAACTTTAAATTTTTATTTATTTTATGGGATAATTTTTAATTTCATTTTAAAATATATTAATTATAATTTGATAAAATTTAAAATTATGTTAGATAAATGTATGATTAATTGTATTAATAACCCTAATTATAATCAACCCTTTACTAGTCCTTTAAATCGAAATTTCCCTCTTTAGATGGCGTTTGTGAAGAAGCTGGGCATCAGCGGCGCCATGATTTGGGCGCTGGACTTGGACGACTTCACAAACCGGTGCGGCTGCGGAAAGTACCCCCTCCTCAGGACCATCAACGAGGAGTTGCGCGGACAGGGCTGCAAGTTGAACGCCTGCACATAGGACCGACTCATACAACTACCACTTGCCAATCACGCGCTAAAGAATTGTTCTAATAAAACGCACACATTTTTAAGTGCAATTTCCACATCATAAGGAGAAGGTTAATTAATAAAATATCAAAATTGTGATGGGGAAACTGCACAGAAAATGACCAATTTTTAGCATATGTTTTGTTCAAACTCTTGCTTGAAATTGGAAAATGCCGTTTTTAAATGAAAGTGCCAAAATTGAGTGATATTAATTCAATGTTCACGGATGTTTTTCTACTCTTTCAATGTACCAGGACACAAAGATAATAATGAATTGGAACTCTCAACGCACTTAACTTTTATAGTAGACCATATGAGTGCGATTTTTGTATGATCTTTTGTAATATTGCAGAATAAAAACACCAAAATACTAAAAAATACCATATTATGTGAGAGCATTTTAAATTAAACATATCAATAAATTGCAATCTATGACCACCGAGGCCTGCCTCCGAGCGCCAAGGGCTGCCTCCTTATAAAATAATCCTTAAATTTTATTATTATATCTCATAATAAATATCTTGAAATATTTAGTCTGATTTTGTGTATTTTATGATTAGAATATGAAAGTACAGGACTAGATTAACAAATAATACTCTAGTTGTAAGTACAAAACAAATTATTTATATCATTAATAATAAAATAATCTGTCATCTTAAAAAATAAGCAACAAAAATAATTTCAAAATACATTTCGTTTCGTCTTTCGCACAAAATAATACTCTTGGAATGTGGCTTGTTCAGGATCATTCGTTGTTTCGATATGAATTTCAATGTCAGGCCCGCGGCCGCGCGTTTTTGATGTCGAACAACTTTCGGACGAAGTAGACCTGGACGACGGTGGTGCAGGCGATGACCACGATCTGCGCCACGCTCCACGTCTGCACGTACCGATTGTTGTCCAGCAATGTGTTGAAGTGGCGCGCTTCATTGCTGCGTGCGTAGTGCTGGTACTGCAACATGTCCTGGATGTTTCTCTCGACGCCTCGAATCGTCTCCTTCAAATCATAGAGTTCATTAGGTAAATATAGATTTAAAAAAGTGCTAAATTATGCAACTTTTTTTGTCATTTGAACTTATTTTCTAATAATTTTTACAGTTTAAAAATTTAATTAAATGGATACTTTAAAATACCCATTTTTTTAAATAGAAAGCTCAGAAGACAAATTATAAATGTAAATTAAAATACTTAATATAAAAAAATTGTTTCCATTTAATTTTATGAAAAATTCATTAATACTAGTTTAAATTTCTCAATGCAAACTTCATCTCATGAATTAAATTTTAATAATTTAAAAATAAATGCAGCTAACGATGACAATAATTAAGATCAAATTAATTTACTAGAAACTAGATTTTATAAAATTTTGCACATAAAAAGACATCCAAAATGGATAAAAAAAATACCGTGAAATTCTGCACGCTCAGATCCATGTCCTCAACTTCCTTGCTGAATTTGTCCCACTCGTCGTATCTGCAAAATTAAAAATTTGCATTCCAGGCCAAAATTTGGTTGATTTGAAACTAACCTGATGACTGTGATGTACAGATTGACCAACTTGGCCGCAAAACGCGAGAACTGGTTGTCGATGCAGACGGCGTAGTAGCCGCCGGTGGACGACTGGTCCTGGAACTCGGCGTTCTGCTTCCACTGATAAGGGTGGATGATGTTGCCGTTGGGGTGGCGCACCGCGAATCCGGCCATCCCGTCGCCGCCTCGTAACACCTGCATTCAACAATTTTTTTCATTAATATTTAGAGTTCCACCGGAAAAGTTTGCTCCAGGAATTGCAACTTCATAAATAATTTTGTCTACAAATTGCCACGTTTTAGGCGCCAGTTATTTATTTCCAAGTTTCCAAAAGTAATTAAAAATATTTGCTGTATAATTTGAATCGAGTTCTCAAACATGGTACAAAAATTTTTCCTGTTCGGTTATAAATTTTCATTGGAAAAAAAAATTATTTTACTAAACATTTTAATTTCAAGAATTGGAAAAACCCATTTCAACTTTTATTTAAAAATTTTCAACATAAGTCAAGTTTGACAAAAAAAAAAATAGTAATTTATTTTATTGTTAATTACTCGAGGGAATCAATAAAAAATTTTGAAATGAACTTGTTTGTGATTGAACTTGCTATAAAATGAGGAAAGACTTTTTGTTGTTGTAACGCCGAAGCTGTTTGTCTCTGGGCGACAAATACAATGCTTGTCCAGCACCCCTCGCTCTGTTAATTTGTAACTTGTTGTTTTACAGCCACTTTCACTAACTAGCCGATATCTTTGAGTGCATTCCACGAAACCCCTGCTTGACTGACGTTGGGGAATTCAATCACCAGTGGGTTTAAATCTCATTCAATATCAGTCGTAATTATTGAAATTGCATTGCCCTCTGTTTAATTTTTCTTTTTAATTTAATTGAGGGGAATATTAATAAAAAAATGATACTAATTTTTTCATTTTGACATTTATACTTATTTTTAAATGGTATTATTTTTAATTTAATTGGTCCAAAATTAACACAAAGAAACGATGGAAATCTTACAAAATTTATACATGAAACAATGTTGTAAAAAAATTTAATTAAAATAATAAATAATGTACAAATTAAATAGGGCAATCGAAATTATAGTTAGAGTTCAAATTCAAGCAACTTTTTCACTAATTAAACGAGAATAAAATTATTGAATGGGCAAGGGCGCAGCGTGAATGTCAAGGTCGACGCTCGTTAATTGGAATTAAAGGACGGAAATAGATTAGATTTTGAGCGCACCACCTGTTGCCGAACGCACCTGGAAGCTGACGTAGAAGGTGGCGCCGGCGTTGACGTATTGGTAGTAACAGTCCTCCTTGCCAGGGTCGATGTGCACCTTGTAGTCCATGGCGACGGCCGGCAGGGTCTCGTACCACGGCAGGGTGGTCTCGTGGCCCGCGACGGCGGCCGTCGGCTCCTGCGGCGAGGCCACAACGGCCAGCAAAACCACCAACAACAGACACCGCAGTGCCATGTTTGCTCTTTTTTGCTCTTCTGATCTGACGGACACGCCCCCTTCGGCGACGCCAGCGCCGCCACAGCGAAACCACGCGAAACGGGCGGCAAACGGGAGAGATAAAAGAAAGGAGCCATCAGAACTGATCAAATTTACGTTTTGTGATTTTCTTTGTAATTCAAAAAATATTAAATTCTATATATTTAATAAGAAATTTACTATAGGCTGAGGAAATAAAATTAAAAATTTAATTGTAATCATTATAAAATTAGGTCGTTTTTATATTCAGCTGATCCGATCATTTCAGAATAACTTTTCTATAATTATGAAATATAACTTTTTTACGAAAAAAAAAATATCTTTTTTTTTGCTGCACCGATTTGCAGCGCCGATTTGCGGCACCGAATTGCGGCGCCGATTTGCGGCGCCGATTTGCGGTGCCGATTTGCTACGGATTCTGTTAAAATAAATAAATTCAAACAATCTTTATTTAAATTTCTATATTTTTTTATAAAAGCTGAGGCAATAAAATTAAAAATTTAATTATAATTAAAATAAAATTAGGTCGTTTTTTTATTCAGGTGACCCGATCATTTCAGAATAAGTTTACTATAATTATGAAATATGTTTTTTTTTCTTTTTTTACAAAAAGAAAATAAATCTTTTTTTCTTTGCTGCACCGATTTGCGGCGCCGATTTGCGGCGCCGATTGCGGCACCGATTTGCGGCGCCGTTTTGCAATGGATTCTGTTAAAATAATTAAATAAATTCAAACAATCTTTATTTAAATTTCTATATTTTTATAAAAGCTGAGGAAATTAAATTAAAAATTTAATTATAATTAAAATAAAATTAGGTCGTTTTTTTATTCAGTTGACCCGATCATTTCTGAATAAGTTTTCTAAAATTATGAAATATTTTTTTTTTTAACTTTTTTTTACAAAAAAAAAATAAATCTTTTTTTCTTTGCTGCACCGATTTGCGGCGCCGATTTGCGGCGCCGATTGCGGCACCGATTTGCGGCGCCGATTTGCTACGGATTCTGTTAAAATAAATAAATTCAAACAATCTTTATTTAAATTTCTATATTTTTTTATAAAAGCTGAGGCAATAAAATTAAAAATTTAATTATAATTAAAATAAAATTAGGTCGTTTTTTTATTCAGGTGACCCGATCATTTCTGAATAAGTTTACTATAATTATGAAATATGTTTTTTTCTTCTTTTTTTTCAAAAAGAAAATAAATCTTTTTTTCTTTGCTGCACCGATTTGCGGCGCCGATTTGCGGCGCCGATTGCGGCACCGATTTGCGGCGCCGATTTGCGGCGCCGATTTGCGGCGCCGATTTGCGGCGCCGTTTTGCAATGGATTCTGTTAAAATAATTAAATAAATTCAAACAATCTTTATTTAAATTTCTATATTTTTATAAAAGCTGAGGAAATTAAATTAAAAATTTAATTATAATTAAAATAAAATTAGGTCGTTTTTTTATTCAGGTGACCCGATCATTTCTGAATAAGTTTTCTAAAATTATGAAATATGTTTTTTTTTTTAACTTTTTTTACAAAAAAAAATAGATCTTTTTTTCTTTGCTGCACCGATTTGCGGCGCCGATTTGCGGCGCCGATATGCGGTGCCGATTTGCTACGGATTCTGTTAAAATAATTGAATAAATTCAAACAATCCTTATTTAAATCTCTATATTTTTTATAAAAGCTGAGGAAATTAAATTAAAAATTTAATTATAATTAAAATAAAATTAGGTCGTTTTTTTATTCAGGTGACCCGATCATTTCTGAATAAGTTTTCTAAAATTATGAAATATGTTTTTTTTTTAACTTTTTTTACAAAAAAAAATAGATCTTTTTTTCTTTGCTGCACCGATTTGCGGCGCCGATTTGCGGCGCCGATATGCGGTGCCGATTTGCTACGGATTCTGTTAAAATAATTGAATAAATTCAAACAATCCTTATTTAAATCTCTATATTTTTTATAAAAGCTGAGGAAATAAAATTAAAATTTAATTATAATTAAAATAAAATTAGGTCGTTTTTTTATTCAGGTGACCCGATCATTTCAGAATAAGTTTATTATAATTATGAAATATGTTTTTTTTTTAACTTTTTTTACAAAAAAAAAATAAATCTTTTTTTCTTTGCTGCACCGATTTGCGGCGCCGATTTGCGGTGCCGATTTGCTACGGATTCTGTTAAAATAATTGAATAAATTCAAACAATCTTTATTTAAATCTCTATATTTTTTATAAAAGCTGAGGAAATAAAATTAAAAATTTAATTATAATTAAAATAAAATTAGGTCGTTTTTTTATTCAGGTGACTCGATCATTTCAGAATAAGTTTATTATAATTATGAAATATGTTTTTTGTAAAACCTTTTTTTACGAAAAAAAAAATAAATCTTATTTTTTTTAGCTGCACCGATTTGCGGCGCCGATTTGCGGCACCGAATTGCGGCGCCGATTGCGGCAACGATTTGCGGCGCCAATTGCGGCACCTATTTGCGGCGCCGATTGCGGCACCGATTTTCAACGGATTCTATTAAAATAATTAAATAAATTCAAACAATCTTTATTTAAATTTCTATATTTTTTATAAAATCTGAGGAAATAAAATTAAAAATTTAATTATAATTAAAATAAAATTAGGTCGTTTTTTTATTCAGGTGACCCGATCATTTCAGTAAAACTTTTCTATAATTATGAAATATATTTTTTTTTTCAAAACTTTTTTTAAGAAAAAAAATAAATCTTTTTTTTTTTGCTGCACCGATGTGCGGCGCCGATTTGCGTCACCGATTTGCGGCGCCGGCTTGCGGCGCCGACTTGCGGCGCCGATTGCGGCACCGCAAAAATTTATATTTTTTTTATAAAAGCTGAGGAAATAAAATTAAAAATTTAATTATAATTAAAATAAAATTAGGTCGTTTTTTTATTCAGGTGACCCGATCATTTCAGTAAAACTTTTCTATAATTATGAAAATATATTTTTTTTTTCAAAACTTTTTTTAAGAAAAAAAATAAATCTTTTTTTTTTGCTGCACCGATTTGCGGCGCCGATTTGCGTCACCGATTTGCGGCGCCGGCTTGCGGCGCCGACTTGCGGCGCCGATTGCGGCACCGCAAAAATTTATATTTTTTTTATAAAAGCTGAGGAAATAAAATTAAAAATTTAATTATAATTAAAATAAAATTAGGTCGTTTTTTTATTCAGGTGACCCGATCATTTCAGTAAAACTTTTCTATAATTATGAAAATATATTTTTTTTTTCAAAACTTTTTTTAAGAAAAAAAATAAATCTTTTTTTTTTGCTGCACCGATTTGCGGCGCCGATTTGCGTCACCGATTTGCGGCGCCGATTGCGGCACCGATTGCGGCGCCGATTTGCGGCGCCGATTTGCGGCGCCGACTTGCGGCGCCGACTTGCGGCGCCGACTTGCGGCGCCGACTTGCGGCGCCGATTGCGGCACCGCAAAAATTTATATTTTTTTTATAAAAGCAGAGGAAATAAAATTAAAAATGTCTGATTCTTTCTGTTTTCACATACCCCGCCCAAAGTTGAAGATATCGATATGAGATTTTCACCACTTCACCATCTTAGTTTGGAAGCGACTTTCCTAAATTTTTGACTAAAAATTTTCAAAATTGCGGGTTTTACGGGACATTTTGGAAAAACAAAAAAACGTGATTATCTCAGCTTCTAGTGGTCGTAGAACAATTTTCCGGGTACGGCTGAACTCGTCTTAGCAAGTTCTACAACTTTGCTGTTGAATGTAAAATTTTAGGTCAAAGGTCAAGGTCATTTTTGTTGACCTGAAATTTTCAAACTCAAATTTGGAAATGTGCTGCATGATGAAAATCATTTTTGAGATTGCCATTCGATTTATCATGAAATTTTACGTAATATATGTCAAAATTGCGATGGTGATATTTTTAGTTTAATTTAAATAAAAATAAGAATATTAAAAAACGTGGTTTTTCGCACCTTGGCAGGCAGTGTCAACAATATAATCGTGTGTAACTTTTGTTCTGATGATTTTAGGTACAAAGTGGTTATGACCAAAGTTAATCTCCACGTCAAGACCAATCGATTTGTGTATATGTCGATGACCTTTGGTGACCTTCAGGTCAAAGGTCACCCAGGTTGGTGACCTGGGGTCACACGACCTAAATGTGTGATACGTACTTAGAAAGGTCTTGTCATGTAGATAATTTAAGTCACAAAGTTTTTTAGTTTACGTCTACGACAAATCGAAAAATTATAATATTTCCTAATTAAATGCAGTAGTTTGCGTGAAATTTATTGGAAATTAGAGATTACTCGCTTTGTGGTATACGTAAAGTAAAAAACTTGGTAACTAAAATTGTCCTCTTGACAAGACCTTTCTAAGTACGTATCACACATTTAGGTCGTGCGACCCCAGGTCACCAACCTGGGTGACCTTTGACCTGAAGGTCACCAAAGGTCATCGACATATACACAAATCGATTGGTCTTGACGTGGAGATTAACTTTGGTCATAACCACTTTGTACCTAAAATCATCAGAACAAAAGTTACACACGATTATATTGTTGACACTGCCTGCCAAGGTGCGAAAAACCACGTTTTTTAATATTCTTATTTTTATTTAAATTAAACTAAAAATATCACCATCGCAATTTTGACATATATTACGTAAAATTTCATGATAAATCGAATGGCAATCTCAAAAATGATTTTCATCATGCAGCACATTTCCAAATTTGAGTTTGAAAATTTCAGGTCAACAAAAATGACCTTGACCTTTGACCTAAAATTTTACATTCAACAGCAAAGTTGTAGAACTTGCTAAGACGAGTTCAGCCGTACCCGGAAAATTGTTCTACGACCACTAGAAGCTGAGATAATCACGTTTTTTTGTTTTTCCAAAATGTCCCGTAAAACCCGCAATTTTGAAAATTTTTAGTCAAAAATTTAGGAAAGTCGCTTCCAAACTAAGATGGTGAAGTGGTGAAAATCTCATATCGATATCTTCAACTTTGGGCGGGGTATGTGAAAACAGAAAGAATCAGACAAATTTAATTATAATTAAAATAAAATTAGGTCGTTTTTTTATTCAGGTGACCCGATCATTTCAGAATAAGTTTTCTAAAATTATGAAATATGTTTTTTTTTTTTAAACTGGCTGGTGCGTTTGTTTGAGCTAACCTGACTCCTAGTGGAATTTTACCCATCTCATAGGCTCAAATAAACTTTTTTTTAGCGTTTGATTATTTCATTTGCGCTCGGATTCCGTTAGTATCAATTAAGATCATCACAAACTATTACTTCGACAAAAAATCTTCTAAAACGTTGAATTTTATCCTATTTTCCTTATTTTTCTAATTTTTCACACATTTTAAAATTTTTAAGTATGAAAATAAAAATTGTCAGAATCGTTATGAAATATGAAACGCATTTATATTTCTCTATAATGTATTGAATCTAATTTTTTTCAAGCTTCTGGATCAAATTTTATGGAAATAGTTTCTAGAAGAGGAGATTCTAATTATGAAACATACTTGATATTCCGCTCAAATTGTACTTGCGGAATGAATTTCAACGAAGGCTGTCACGCCAAGCGAGAGATTTCGTTGCTGAAATTTCGACCAATTTCCATTTTTCGCTTGTGTGTGTGCTATAAAATAATATATGTTTACATATCTTTCTATAAGGTTTTGTATTTTTGCTGGATCATTATATAATTCCAGGCAGCGATTTTCGTTATATTCGAGTCTGCTGATTATGTTTTGCGATTACAATGGAATGGAGTCTGCAGACTGCTCGCTCATTAGGCGAAAATTCTAGGTGTGGTCGTTTCGTTCGTACTCCAGAGTCGTGAACTCGCGAAGGTCGGATGAAGGCTGCGCCGAAAATTGATTTAGGGTGTTATCCTCTCCTGCTATAAAACGTCTTGTTCCGTCCTGCTTTAAATATTTTGTCTAGCAGCAATAAAAACAGGAAGAATATGGCATTAACTTTGCCTTGAAAAAGTGGAATTATCAAGTACTCGGGATCAAAACAAGTTTTCATAGAGAGAGGCTCAACTAGTCAAAAGAATAATTTTTAATTCTTAGAGAAAAAAGACAAAATTGACTCTGATCTTTCAAATTTGAAGTATTAAATTATGAAGATTCCTTCTAATATAATTTTAATTTTTGGCCTTAAACAATTAAATATCTATTTTCAATTGATTTAAAATCATACATAGACATTTAGGGGGAATATTGCCGAAAATTTTAATTATTCAATGAGAAATCGCACATATAGAGTTAAAAGGAAGAGATAAGAAACCCAATTAAGCGTTCAAGTTTTTAAGATAGTTACTGCTGAGTTTTAATTTAAATCAAAATTTAGCTCTAACGCTTGGATTTGACATTAATCAGGGGCTCGGCTTGTTTGGTTCAGATTTAACAATTTAGAATTTATGAAAAACCGCACGAAGAGTTTAAATAAGCAACTAAGTAAGTAAAGTAAAATAATCTCATTTATTTTTTTCATAAAACTCGTATTATATTTTAAGCGTAAATCATGAATTTGAATTTAGTTTTAATTATTGAGTTTTGAAGTGTTTTGGAAACTCTTTTTTTTTATCTTCTGTATAAGACGAGAAACACTGACAAACAAAACATGTCATATTATATTTTTGAAAATCAATCATTGAAAATAATTTTTACTCAAAAGGTATATAGATGTCAAGTTGAAGTAAAAAAAATATACTGTTAAAATCACACATTTTGTATTTGCTTGGAATTTAATGCTCATTAGCATTAATTATTATTCACGGCAGGAAATGTTTAAAAATCTGGTTGTTTGCAATGCAAATGAAAAGACTCTTTCTTTTTCTCAGCTCATTACAAACGAGAGCTCCGCATTAATTATACGCGGCGCATTCAAATTGAGAAGCCAAACACACGTACTCGCTTCGTGCATCTACTAATTAATTAAAGCGCTATTAATTTTTGACAGAGCGCAACCTTACGCAAGGCAGGAGTGCGTGACTGCGTGGACGCGCGGTGGCGGCTGCGGAGAAAGAGAGGGAGGGGCGCGCGGGGAGGTGAGGCAGGACCGGAGGGGAGGTGAGGCCAGGTGAAGCTGCTTTCATTTCGTTCTTTTGTTGGCAGCCTCTTAGGCAGTCACTTTTATTAGAGAGTAAGTTCAAAATCACACTTTTCGAAAATCAGTTCGCGCCGATTGCACCCCGGCCATGACTCTGAAGCAGTGAGACCCGTTTCGCCCCTAAACCGGACACCAATTTCAAAAGTGAGTCCAATTAAAAAAAAAAAAATCGATTTTTACTCGGCACGATCTGGAAGAGAATTCACTTTCTTTTCGCGCATCCAGTGCACCGACCGTGTTTATAATCGCGCGATAATAATTGTGAGTGAGTTGGTTCGGAGGAAACTTTCATAAAACGCCGTGAAATTCCACGCAGCCCGTTTTATTTTGTGTGATACAAATATATATATAATTGAATTTAAAAAAGGAGTTGTATAGTCTCGGTGCGAGGGCACACGATTGTGGCAGAACGAGTTTCGTTCGGTCTCCGAGGTATTTCTTCGCCGCGCAGACCAGAATAATAATAAAATATAATAACACGGTGTTTTCGGTGACCAACTGATTGACATTGACTCTCGCGCCACGACTGAAAGCGGCTGCTCCAGTTTCCCACTTTGGCGAAAAACATTTGAATTTTATCTGTGTATTAAAAAACATTCATACCTACATTTAATGTTAGATAATCGGATTGTTCACCGAAGCAGAGAATCTGAAAGGAATGTAGAATGTGAGTGCCGCGCCAATAAAAAAGAAAATTTCCCTAGTCATGGGTTAATAAAAATGCAAAAACGAATGGAAAAGTGATCGTGGAATTATCCAACTTTGCATAACTTCCTGCACGCAATCGGCGGCGAAAAGCGATTTTTTGGCATTTGCTCTGAATTATTTAAATCCAGACAATCGAATTCCCAGCACATTTTGCTTACTTTATTAAAATTCAAAAAAATTACGCAAGAGATGCGCATTTGTTCACTTCCCGTTCTCCTCTTTCTTGACGCCATTCGAAAGAAAAGCTGAGATTTTGCAAAAAAGTCGCTGACACGAAAATCGGCATTGTCGCGCGAATCCTTTGTCGGCGGCGCGCAAATAACTCACCTACTTGACGCGAAATGCGATACTGCATTTCCTAGAGTATCTCATGCTGCACTCCTAGCTCCGACTAATGCCGCCAGCTCATATGTTGTTCGCAAACAAAAGAAAAAAAGAGGTTGGTTCTAATTTTGAACTTCGCACAACAATGCAATCAAGGGCAATTTCTATCGCCAAATTCGGATTCAAGGCTACCTTGAGAAAGTCCTTAGGCGTGTCAATGAAACTAATCGAATCGGTTAATAAGTTGCATTACTCATTCTTCAATATGCTTCCAATTTAGATTTCATTTTGAAAATTAATTTCCTCAGCTCAAAGTTATGCTGCAGCTTGATCAAATTTTAAAATTATTAATTTTGATATAAGTAGTACTTTTTTTTATCAGCGGTTTAACTAGATTTAAAATTTTACATTTACTGAAAGAAATTTAACATTGAAAGGAGCTGAGCGAATTATGATTTCCTAAATTTCAACTTTTCATTGGAAATCTAATTTTTTTTTCCAAAAAAATTAGGATTTCTGTTTCCAAAATATTAATTTTTCCGAAAGAAATATTAACGTGGATTCAGCAATTTAACAACATTAATTTTTCCATTTAAAACTTAAAAATCAATGCAAACAGCAACGCACTGATCCTGTTTTCGCTTCTTGAAAGCTCATCAGCTAGCTTAACAAAATTGCTCTAAAAGAAATAAGTGAAAAAGAGTTGAATCATTAAAATCAATCGATACTGTTTGTAGAAAAAAATGTAGTCAAAGGTTGCGAAGCCTTGAATCAAGTAATAGTTAATTCATTTCTTTTCTGCTTCACACTTTCGATTGTAAGATTAATAGGGTTGATCAATAGTTACGAAAATTTTACAGAGGAAGTGATGATGAATTTTGACAGCTCAGTGTTTGTTGTTTGTTTGTCAATCCAGTTTTAATGCTTATAAATTTTATATTTTGTTGCAGGGAGTGCGCGTCTACAGCGACTGATGAAACAATGCGACCTTTCCTCCTCATCCTCTCAGGTGAGTAAAATAAATATACAGTTTCATTTAATGCTCTATTTGGAAACCGTGATTGGGAAATGTCCGTTAATCCGTCTCATTTATAACAGTCGAACGAGTACTTATAGAAATTTAGAAAAAATTTCCGCTCTCTCAGGAATTTAACCTTGCAACTCTTGAGAGTGGCGATTGCACTCTCCGTACTCATTGCGATGGAATTTTCAAGATTAATTTATCCAAACCTCATGTATAACAAATAAAAGTATAAAAAGGCGGGCGGGCGGGCGGGCGTTGTCGATACTATCCTTGAACTCGTTGATTTTGGAGCGCGGTTTATCCCGAGGCGCGTACAAATATTTTTGTGTCCTCTCGAAAAAATGCTCAAATAATTAATTCAATTGTAATCATTTTGAGGTTGTTAATTTGCAAGTATCAATTAATAAGAAGTGAGTTGTGCAAGTGGAGATAGGTAGGTGGCCTTTCGGTCCGAAATGTCTTCGGCGTGCCGTCATAAACACGTTCACTTTTTGCCAGTTTCTGCTCGGCTGCAGAATAAAAAAAAAAGAAGCGTTCGTCCTACTTGCTTGCTCGATGAGCAAATAAATGAAAAGGCATTGTCAACATATTGACCTCCCAATACCGGTACAACCCAATTTTCTGAATCAATTAAGATATTCATGGAAATCCAGTGTATTAAATTCGGATCCGCCGCAACCCGGACTTCCCGCCGCGCGCCTCGTCTAAATTTTATGCAAATTTTGGTCAGCCTTGAAATCTCGGGTCGCTCACACTCATCTCGTTCGTCATTATAAATTTTAATCGGGCTAGGCGCCCTTGCCACTCTTTCTGACAAGAAGAGATGATCTAAAAAAAAATTGCCTGCGATCTCCAATTTCACTCTCTTGATGAATAGAAAGGCGAGTTCATGAGTGAAATTGATTTGGAAGGGCTGCATGTTTTTGGCGCTAATGAGAGGGTACGTATTAATTAGAGGAGAAATCAAGCGTCGATTAATCTGTCAGACATTCACTTCCAATCGTAAAAAAATATCTATGAAATATCAAAATTTCACTTGTTTTAAAACAATTTAAAATTATTTCCAGCCCATAAGTTTGAAATTGATCTATATTATTTTTTTTTATATTTTTATTTCAAATCTTCAATTTTGAGATATAAAATCACTGAATTTGAATCAATTGAATGAAATGCAAAGAATGTCGATGGGAAAATAAGGCAGCGAAACCCGATATGTCGGCGCTCACTTTTATTTTCTTAGAGTTACAAAAGTGGTCTGGTGTGCAAGATGGTCGCCTGCTTATATTTGCGCCGATATTTCAATACGACACACTCGCGTTCTTTTATGACGAATGGACTACTTGTTGTAGGCGGTCTGTCTAATAAAAATAAATTTGGCACGGTCACGCCTATGAATTAGCAAGTGGTCTAGATTCGCCGGCAAACGCCCTCGCATTAATTTGCGCTTTTTTTTCTCCACCAAAGTCAAAGGCTGCAGACGCGGAAATTTTTGTCGAGTTCCGCAAAACAAATTGTGCGATTTCCACTTTCGATCATTTTATCGCAATCGCCGCGTCACGTGTTATGAATTGAGCGGCGGCGAAAATTGATTATCGGCCGCGATGATCTGCCCCTGACACTCCACACAAGTTTCTAATTTTGCAGCCTTTCTTCGGCGGGAGATGCGCCGCCTCAACTTTGTCCTAATTTACACGCTCCGGCCGTCATTATATAAGAGAAATTGAGATGCGCGCCTTCGCCTCACAACACAGACCTATTCAATTGCGCCATAATACGGCATAAAAATAATAAAATAAAAAAAAATTGGCTATTGCTTTGATCAGTTGGAACGAGTTATAATTGTGCAGGCGCCGAGGAAGTAGAAACTTCCTTTCACCAATTATCTCCTCCACATTGCAGTGAAAACACGCAAAATCATTTCAGTCTAAAGTTGGAATTATTTTTGAATACTTTTCAAAACAATCTCTGCTCTTTATTCTCAATTATTTGGAAATTTTTTTAAAAAAATAAGGCAGACAATATAAAACGGCTGATTCTTGCGAGCATCCAAGTCTCCGGTGCCGCCAGGGTATAATTTTCTTTTTCTCCGATACATATATTGATTTATGCCGTCCAATCGCGCACACAAACATGCACGCCTGGTCGTTATATTAATTAATGTACGCAGCCTCACGAAAGGATAAAGCGTTGCTTAACCCTGCCTTGCGATAAACGGCCGAGCAAATTTGTGTTGCGCAATCTAATTTTGAGTTGGTTGGTCTGCAAATTCTGGCTAGGCTCCAACTAGAAATGAAGAAGGCTTTTAGAATTATTTTAAATTAGTTGAAAAATGAACTCTTCGGGCGAGCTCGGAGAATTGTGTCAATCCGATTTAAAATTACTTTTTTTAGATCAATTAAATTTTTAATCATTTTTTTTTCAATTTATGTTTAAGAAAATTCTTAGTGTAAATTAACAATAATATATTTTAGCAAAGTAAAAAAAATATTATTTTAGAATTAAAATGACACATCATCCGTTTACTCTGAAATAGCAAGACAAAGAAAATCCTCAAATGAGAGATTTCATAAATAAATATCTTAATTGAGCATTTTTTTTTTTTAAAGAATCAGAAAATATTTCCACAGACAATTGATTCATTTCATTAGATCCAGAGCGTACGTAAAGTAATTAAAAAAAAATTATAAAACTAGATAATTTTAGATTAAAAGTTTAAATAAAAGGCAGTCTTTGATTAATTTGAGACTTCTTTTGCTTATTCAACTTACAATAAAACTGGTACTTTTTGAACTCGCCTCCTTTACTTCTTTTTCACCAGCCCAACAATGGACCGATTAATTAATGCCAGACAAAGGGAGATAAAACAAAACGGAGAGAAAAAGAAAAAGAAACTAATGCACAATTTTACGCCATTAGAACACGCGAGGGCGTCAACTGCTGGTTTTTTTTCTTTTCATTTAATCCGATATATAAATAAATTTATAAATACGTAATTATACTGGATCGAGGGTAGGGTAATGAGGCTGGATTCTGGTTTTGAATGGACGCGCTGCGCTGCTGCACGTGCGTTGCGACACGCCGGTCAAGAAAATATTGCTAATAATTCCTGTTCTCAAGTCAATCACTTTGAGCGCGTCTCTGCTTATAAAGAGGGTTAGCAATCTTCACTTCTTCTTTTTTTATATATTATTTTGCTTCTCTGCACACTCAGGAGCCGGTTGGAATTTTTATTTGGGCGCCACGCCCTGCACGGTGTGACGCGCGGCGAGCGGCGGCGGCGTTCAATGTCGGGGCTGAAATTAAAAATAAAGTGCAGCGCACACCGAGGCAAGGACGAAGCCGCTTCGATTCTTTTTCTCGGACCACGCCCTTGCTTGCACTTTCTCTGAGAGGTTGGCATTTATGCCTGTGATTGTTGCACTCGCGTTTTTTTTTCTTCTAATTCTGCAGGGTGAAGAAATTTTTTAAAAATTTAAAATAATGCAAATTTCGTTCGGCACGAGGAATCGAAAGTTGGGAAAAAGTAGCATCTCTCAAGATCCGACGCGTGATTGAAAATCTCACGACCTTTGGCGAGTGGGGGGAGTGAGGGTGGGCAAAAAGCAGGTAACTCGCGATTCAGGTTGCATCACTTTTTTTTAATAATTTTTTTGACCAAAAGAAAAGACGAGAAGTAAATTGAGAGAGATTCTAGAACGACATACTCGATTAATTAGATAGGATGCCCAAATTTGGCAAGTGGTCTTTTTCTCTCTCGTCCGCAGCATCTCAGGTCGCGTTTTGTCTCTAGCCTCGACCTTCAAGCTCCTGCTCCGCGCTATAATGAACACACGCTGCTTTTTACGCCAAAGAAAGATGATCCACTCGAGCGAATTCTTCTGCGCACCACAAATTTTCAGGTTTCCTGCTTAAAAAACAAAAATGCTCATCAGCATACCCTTGAATATCAAATCGCACCTTCGCCATTATTTATTACAATCTCATTAAAACGGTAATCAAAGCGCGACATCTCTCAATTTATGGACTGGAAATTTATTTTAATTGATTACAATGAATAAATTTGTTTCAGTTTTGGTATGCTGGGGAGGACCTGGTACAGTGTTGGCAGCTCCTGGAGTAAGTCTTATATATTTCCTTCTATTTATTCGTTGGTGAACATAAAATTAAATAGCCTCATTTCCCTCACGAAAAGAATTGACTTATTTAATTATTAGTTAATAAACTCACTTTCAAATGATTTTCTACAATAAAATGTTCATTTCCAATTTAAATTAATTGAACTTTTTTTGCAGTTCCTCGACTTCGACAATCTGCCGGAGACGGGATTTTCATGCGAGGGCAAAGTGATCGGCGGTTACTATGCGGACGTGGAGACCGGGTGTCAGATGTTCCACGTGTGCACCGTGGGCCAGAAGGGCGAAATAATGGACATCAAGTTCCTGTGCCTCAACGGCACGGTCTTCGACCAGGAGACCAGGGTGTGCGAGCGGGTCGACGAGGTCGACTGCAGCAAGACCGAGGGCTTCTATGATCTCAACCTTGAACTCTACGGAGCCCATGGATTTGGGTAAAATCTTAATTTACAGTAACAAAGACACAGAGTTTTGCAAAAAGAAAAAAGTAATGATTTCTCTACTCTTGTTCTTATAAATAGAGTTTTGGTTCATCTCGAAAGTTTGTTTTTCAAGTGATGAGAGAGGTGTGGTGGAAAATAGGTGAAACTTTTTAACTGATAAAAATGTAGATTCAAAATGAAGTTTAAATTAAATAATTTTAATTGAAATTTTAAATGTGACAAATTTGTGAATTTTAAAGAACATTTGTTTTAACTTGAATTACATACACAAAATTTGTTTCGCAATTTTCATCACCTACTTTCCCTATTCTCAAAAGTGATCCTATTTCATTTTCAAATTGTATGTTTGAGAGGTTCCGGTCGAGCTTTTCATTATTATATAAATTTTACACTTGGGAGTTTCTTTGTGCTGATGGAGAATGCGGAAGCAGCCGTTTGCGTCGCTCTCGATCCGCTCTGCTTTTATTACTATATTGTGTTTTTCACTTTTTCCGCCACCGACTCTTTGCGGCCGGTTAGCCTCGGCGCGCGGCAGGTGTATTTAATTATTTGACGCTTGACTGGAGCCTCTTTCTATATAATATATTGCGTGAGATTTTGAGTGCGAAAATGAGAGTGTATATTTTAATATGACACTTCAAAGGATGAAAAAGAGGCGATTTTCTAGCAGGCAAAAAATGTATATGTTTGCAGCAGTGAATGTTGTGCGAAAGAGTGGATGTCTGCGGTGGAGAACAACGAGATTGCCAACCAACGGTACTTGTAAAAACAATCGAACGCATTTTGATTTTTTTTTACGTTTCAGTTACAAATAAAAATATAAACACATTCACACACTTTTATACACAAAAGGAAAGGGAGCCAGAAACTTGGACAGCGCTTTCCATAAACACGTGTTTGCCTGAATGAAAACTGCATGCATGGGAGCGGATGTGCCTTTTTATAGGTTTCACTCTCGGATCACTAATAAAATGCAAAACAATATATTCCCGCCAGTCCTAAAATCAAATCAAACACGGCATGGAAAAGCTTTTTAAAAAGGGCATGGCCGAAAACGAGACCGAAATTTTGTTGGTGCCAAAACTCTTCATAAATCTTTCGCCGAATTTTTTGAAAGAACAAAATTTATTGAAAAAATTTGCAAACAGCATCCACGAGGAGGAATCGGAGGAGGACGACGAAGTGGACCATCGGCCGATGACGATTCAGGCGTCGTCGACGACCACCACTACGTCGACCACCACAACAACGACGACGACGACGACGACCCCTCGGCCGACGCTGCAGTCGTTCCCGTCGAGTTCGCCGAGCGCCGTCGCCCTCCTCGCAATCCACAATTCCTTCTCGGGGGTGCGCCCCGTCCAGGGCGAGCTGCGCCCCCTGGCCACCGAGCTCCAGCCCCCCACGCCCCCCAGCTACACGCTGCGGCAACAGCACCACCCGCACGGCGTCGCGCACACCTTCTTCAGCAACACGCCCAGACCCTTCCAGTTCTTCGGCCGCAGCCTCCAGCAGCAGGCCAGGACCACCATCGCCTCCACGGTCATCGCCACTTCTCAGTAATATCAAATTTCACAATAATTCCAATAAAACAGATAAATTAAATAACTTTATGAAAATGACGTAAAGAATTAAGCAAGAATCAAGGAAATGAGACATGCAAAAAATGAATTTAATTGTTCCGAATTGATTGGCAATCTTGCTCAATCATCAAAAAAACGGAATATTTTTAATAAAAGTCTAAATTCAAACAAAGTAGGTCAGTACCTGAATGGATTTGCGTGGCTTTTTAAAGCTTCTTCTGATCCAAAACAACAATCATACTTAAAAAAACAGACATTTAATTTTGAATTTGTTGCCTCAACTCTGGTTTTTCAGATTCAGAAATTTCAAAATAAGCACCCTAATTACAAATAAACTACAATTAAAAGTGATTAAAAGTTTTGAACATTTTGTTCTTATTCTATTACAATTAAAAAAATTTTACGTCAGTATTTGATTTGTATTTATTGTTTATTTTATAGAAAATGTGATATTTTCTCAATTTTAATCTTTTAAATTATTGCGAATGAAAGTAACATTCTAATTTATTATTTTAAAAGCTAGAATAATCTCCATTAGAAAGTTTGTGTGCAAAATTTCAGCATCAAAAAATATGCCCTGAAACCTGAAGGTCACCGACTTTTTTTTGCAAAGAACATTTTATACCCTGATTAAATCTGCTCGTCTGAATGCTGTCACTGAACTGTCCTTGACTGTCACCTGCTAAAATTAATCTCGTTTTTTATGCTGTCCATCTTAAAATCTGATAAACACTAAAATTCCTACTTCAGATTTGAATCAAATTATAATTATTTAATTTCCCTTTTGGGCGTTTTCTTCTTCCTCTTCTGCCTTTTTAATTTCTTTTGCTCTGATTGTCAGGTCGATGACATCATCGGTGTCTGTGACACACCCAAGCACCACGGCACCCCCTCCACCACCACCCACGGAGCCGACTGGTCTTGTCGACTCTGACTACGACGCCGTCAAGTCGTTTTACGAAGATGTGCCAAGAGAAGTGAAAACAAAATCAATCTCACTTTCCGTCTCCACCAGCTCCTCCAGCTCCAACAACAAACCCATCATCGGTATTATTATATTAAATAGCGAAATTAAAATAATTTTTTAATAAAAATTTAATTGCGCAGTGACGCACCACCATCCCGTGGGTCGCCCCAAGAGGCAGCTGCGCCAAAGCAGGCGCCGGACGCAGAATTTGCGCACGACGACCACCGAAAAGGTCGAAGAACCTCCGACGACGCCTTCCCCTCCGCCCCTTCTGGAAACCAGTTTCACTTGCGCGGACAAAATTCCCGGCGGCTACTACGCAGACATCGAGGCCGACTGCACCATTTTCCACATCTGCGTCCTCGGCAGACACAAAAAGTAGCATAGAAATTTACATATATTTTTTTTATTTTTAATTAATATTTTCTTTTTAGAATCAATGATCACAAATTTTACTGCGGAGTGGGAACGAAATTCGACCAGCAGAGCAGGACGTGCATTTCCCAGGAGTTTGTCCGCTGCAACCAGGCGGCAACCCTTTATCACTTGAATGACCATTTTTTGCCAACCCAAGGTACAAAAAATTTAAAAAAAAATGTGCGCAGTTTACTTAATATTTATATAAATTTCAGTTAACGAGAACCTGGCAGGAGCTGCTGGATTCGAGTCTAAAAAGATCAGAACTAAGAGACAAACAAAAGGTATCGATAGAAATTTACGCATATTTTATTTCTTTGTAGAACTCTGGCTACGAAATTTTATTTTCATTCTTAATCTTATCTGATTATCTGCTTTAAAATTTGATTTTAACCTACGTGTATTATCAAGTAATCTTCATTTTTATTTTACTTTTATTTTGAGACATGTGATTTTTTTAAATAAATGACACAAAGAAAGTGTTGAAATCTAAAACTGTCGGTAGGAGAACATTTTTATGAAATTAGCATTTGAGTTGCATGGATTCTCAACCAATTTCTCTAATGAAATAATCTACTCAGAAACATTTTTTTAATTTTTCGAACTCTTGCAATATCTTGAAAAGTGGTATTTTTTTAATTCATTTAAAAGAGTATAAATTGACTGCCCTTGATTGAAATGGCAGTAGAGCCACTTATTCATATTTTGAAAACAATCTCTTAATTATTCAAATGTCAGAAAAAGTGTACAGAATAGACTAATTGTAAGAAAAGCCGCACCTAATATATGAACCTTTTTAAAATTCAAATTCATTTATTAGGTCCTCCTCGGTTCACGCTGGAGAATCTGCCGCAAGCGACGCGCAAGTTCGAGTGTCCGGACGAGGACGGTCTGTTCGCAGACCCGGCGTCCACGTGCCAGGCGTACCATCAGTGCAGCGCGCACCACCACTCGGTGCACATTTGCCCGCACCCGAGCGTGTTCAACGAGGCGCTGGGCGTGTGCGACCAGTGGGAGAACGTGGACTGCAACCTGTACGGGGACGCCTTCTACGAGAGCTCGCGGACGAAGCGGTCGGCGGCGTCCAGGAGTTGCGAGGACCACGCCCACCCTGCGGGCACCCCGATCGCCGACGAGTCCTCCGACTGCCGCAGCTACCACCTCTGCGTGTACCGAACCGAGGCGGCCGGACAGCTCGTCCAGCTGCGGCTCAAGTGTCCCGCCGGCAAGGTCATGCACCCCACGCTCAAGCGCTGCGTCAAGGGCCACTCGTGTCAGGACGCGCTCAAGCAGACCTTCTTCGCCAAGAAAGCGTACAAAAAGATTCGATAGCAGTCCCGCATTTCAAAAGGAAAAAATCTCTTTTTTTCTAATACATGAGGCTGTTGAAAACGCAAAAAAATAAGTAGATTTGGAGGCGAGCCGCCCCGGAAAATACTCCCTACGTTTGTTTGTGTGACCCCATTGCATTAATTTTATAAAACATTTGTCGCTCTCTTCAATTCGATTAATTTATTTTATCATATATTGATTTTAACTTAATGTACTGCGCGCATTTTGTCAAACATTTCACTTCCGTTGAGTGCAATCTCATTTTTTTTTTATAAATCATAGCAAAAAATTAAATAAGTTTTTGTAAACGCTTTGGAATTTGTTCTTTGATCTATATTTTAAAAAAGGAAAGAAAAACACGACAAAGCACAAAATTATGTAAATTTGGATAGGCTGAAGCTTTTGAATTTGTGCGTTATGCTTTTGAATAATTTCAAAAAGGACAAAACCAGCAAAACAATGCACCTGGTTAAAGCATTATTGATGTTATTGGGATTTAAATTGTGCCGGATTCAGTCAGAAATCAAATTATCCTAAACCTGAAAAGAAGGGCCCAGAAAAAACAACAATTTATGAGAATTTTCCGCTGCAGAGCTGGAATTTCTCAACCTCTCGCTCTGCATCTCGTTTTGAATGACAGACGAACTGGATTGACGTTTCCTGAATCGTGTGAAAATATCTCGAGCCGACTTGTTGATTTGCTCGCGGCTTCTGTCTCTCATTGTCAGTTTTTTTTTTGTACTATCCATCACCAAGCTCTGATACATAAGTGGATCGAAGGCCATCATTATCTCTCAGTAGCAGCATCTAAAAAGCAACAAGCACGCGCAAATTTACACGGCGCACAAAACGCGGCCGACAATTAATTTTCCCACCGAGAAAACGCACGCAGCTCTTGTAGCGACAAATAAATTACTCTCTCGTTGCGAAATTCACCCCTGCTCCCATCATTGGACATATTGAAATGCGTGTGCTCTGCTGTGTGTAAGTGTTTTTTTTTCTTCTTCTGTGTTAGTGCGTGAAAACAGCCCAGGGCTTGCGTGACTTGTGTGCTGCTGTCAATTAACACACGTTCGCTGCATATATATGAAAATACAAATTTTAACGAAAGCTTTTGTTAGTTTTTCTCGTGCTGGGTCGGGCGGCCCTTTTCTGGAAAACTGCACAGCCTCCCTCATTTTGCAGGTCTTTGCTTAGCGGCCGCCGAAAAAAAAAACGGCCACTAAGCAAAGACGGCTGATTTTCCGTCAAGGGCTTCCGCGTAAAAACGGGAAAACGCACGCGATTCCCGCGCTGATGTTTGCAGTTTTAAGGTTTTTATTTTCTTAGTAACAAGAATTTTTAGATCAAACAATTTCATTAACACTGTCCGCGAGTTATGAATGAAAAAATAATGTAGCGAGCTGCTTTGATCATACGATTTTTGTACTCAAATAAAATTATAAATGCAGTCAAATCAAGATTTACTGGTTTCATTTAATTTGATGTCATAAATTTTGAGATGTATAAGAGGAATAAAAATTTCAAAGAAGTTGTATTATTTATTTTGTATTTATTTTGCAGGTTAACGAGCAAGTTTGCACTCATATCCACTTTTATTCACAGAGATAATTTTACACCGTCACATTTTTACCCATAAATCCCCCAAAATTTGGCAAAAGTACAATAGCTCGTGCGTGGTCTTGAATAAGCTGCAACTTAATTTTTATAAACTCGCAACAATACAGATATAGATAATATTTACAGGAAACCTTCAAACACATTCGAGTCTTTCAGCACGTGCGCGGCACCAACACACAAAACCATTTTTTAATTTAATTAATGAACTTAATTAGCCCTGCTTGGTTTTGGCGAACTCGTTGATCTGCTCGACGCCCTCGTACTGGTCGAACGGCGTGTCATCGTAGTAGGCGTAATCGTAGTCGGAATTGGCGTTGGCCTTGCTGTGCGCGGGTTTCAGGGTGCTGCTGGAGCCAAAGGCGGGAATGGTCTCGGTGACCGGCCGCAAGGTGCTGCTCACACTCTGCCTGGACGAGGAGAACTGCGGGGCGAAGGTGCTGCTGCTGAACACGCGAGGGGTGGTTTGGGCGCTGCTGGCGGCAGAACTGGCTCTGCTGAACGGTTTCGGCGAGCTGAGGCTCACAGGGGGCTTGGTGGGGGCATTGGTCACGCCGAAGGTGGGCTGCTGGGGACGCGGGCTTGACTGCTGGGCGCGGTGGATGGCGTTCAGGTCGGAGGCCCTGAAGCTAGAGGAGTGGGCGGTCCTCAGGAGTTCGTCTTCCTTCTCTTCGGAGAAATCGTTTTCGCGCGGCCTCTGAGGACGACGCACCTGGAAGGGCTTCGGAGAGACGCTCTGGCGCTGGCGCGGGTTGAAGGTGACAGGAGAGTACAAGGTGGCAGACGGTGTTTGGCTCACAGCGTTAGAGGAGGGGTTGAAGGACGAGCTGGGGTTGAAGGTGCTGGGTGAGGTTTGCTGCTGGTTGTTGAAGTTGTTGAACGGCTGGAACTGTTGCTGGTTGTTATTTGCGACCGGCCTCTGTTGGTTCACTTTCTGTTCATTCACCGGAACCTTCTGAAAGTTGTTGAAGTTGTTCTGCTGAGGTGCCTGGCTGGACTGCTTGTTGTTGATCTTCTGGAAGTCGTTGAACTGCTGGTTCACAGGTGGCTGTTGGACGTTGATGGGTTTCTGAGGTTGTCTAGGTTGGTTGTTGAAGCTATTTTGCTGGGGTTGTCTTTGTTGGTTATTGAAATTGTTCTGTTGGTTGTTGAAGTTGCTGGGTGGCTGAGTTTGCCTTTGCTGATTGTTGAAGTTTGAAGATTGTTGGTTGTTGAAGTTAGCAGCCTGAGGCTGGCGTTGCTGGTTGTTGAAGTTGTTGGGCTGCTGACTGACGGCTTGCTGTGGCTGGCGTTGCTGGTTGCTGAAGTTGTTGGGCTGCTGACTGACGGCTTGCTGGGGCTCCTGGTTGTTGAAACTATTTGGTTGCTGAGCAACGGCTTGCTGAGGCTGGCGGGGCTGGTTGTTGAAATTATTGGGCTGCTGCTGGTTGAAGTTGTTGGGCTGTTGAGGCGCTCTTTGAACGTTGCTGGGTTGTTGCTGCTGGTTGAAATTCTTCTGAGGCTGACGTTGGTTATTGTCGTTGAAATTGCTAGACTGCTGTTGGTTGAAGTTGTTGATTGGAAGTTGAACAGGTTTCCTTTGCTGGTTATTATTGAAGTTGGCAGGCTCTTGTTGAAGTTGGTTGACGTTTTGAGCAGACTGCTGAGGTTGTCTCTGTTGATTATTGTTATTGATAGGCTGTTGGTTGAAGTTTTGAGCAGGCTGAGACTGTCTCTGCTGATTGTTGAAGTTGTTGGCAGGCTGCTGAGTTGTTTGCCTCTGCTGATTGTTGAAGTTGTTGGCAGGCTGCTGAGTTGTTTGCCTCTGCTGGTTGTTAAAGTTGGCAGGCTGCTGCTGGTTGAAGTTTTGAGCGGGTTGAGGCCTCTGTTGGTTGTTGAAATTGTTCTGTTGAGTTCTCCTCTGTTGATTATTGATAGGCTGTTGAGGTCTCTCCTCGGGCAATCCGGTAGTGGCGGGCGTAGTGGACACAGCAATGAACTGGTTCTCTGGGCGCAGAGGAGTTCTGTTAGCGGTGTTGATCTTCTTGCCAGGGGAAGCAGAGGTCTTGCGTTGGGCGTTCTTTCTGGCTTGGAATGCGGCGTAGGTCGTGGGCGAGATGGTGGATGCAGGGTTAACGGTTTCCTCAGGGGTGAAGGTGTTGGTCACCGTTGCAGACTCAGTCACGGCGGAAGGAGCTTCCACCGGTGGCTGCAGATCCTTTCTTGGGGATTGCGAAACGTCCAGACGAGGGGTCACGGCCTCTACTCTCTTCTGAATAGGTTGCTGCGGTTGTTGCTGGTTGACGTTGTTCTGAGGTTCAACAGGGGCTTGTTGAGGGCGCAGACGACGGTGCTGCTTGCGACGGACAAGTCTCTGGCCTGGCTTGGGAGAGGGTTTTGGTGCTGGGGCGGGAGGAGCTTCATCTTCCTCATCCCTACCGCGGTGGATGTCCGAGCTGGAAGCGGTGCGGAAGAACTCGTCTTCGGCAGGCTTGGGTGGCTGAGGCCTTTTGGCAGGCTTCACAGGCTTCACGGACAGGAACTTGTCTGATACAGGGGCGCGCTGGAGGACATCGTCGGGAGCCGGGCCACGGCCCACGCGGAAGAGGTCAAACGACTTGCTGTAGTAAAGGGTTGACGCTTCGCAGTCAATGTCGAACCAATTGGCACAAATTTGGTTTTCCTGATCAAACATCGTGTCATTGGGGCACAGGAATCGGAAGTCTTGGGTCGCCTGAAATGAAATAAAATGTAATTGTTGAAATCTGCATTTTAAATTTGAAATTTAAAATAAATTTATCTATATAAATGGATTTAAATTGAAGATAAATGTATCTATGTAAAGTAAATTAATTTATTTAAAACAAATTTAAATTTGAAAAATATTTATTTATTTTAATTTTATGTAATTTTAAAAGAACAAAATATCGCACCTCAGCTGGGCCCATTTTGACGCAAACGTGGAACATTTGGCAGTCAGCCTCAGGGTCAGCGTAGTAGCCACCAATGTCCTTGTCGCCGCAGTCAAAGCTGGTCTCAGGCATGTTGTCCTGGCTGTAGTTGGGTGGTCGTCTCTGGGCAAGGCAGCCTGATGCGAGCAGCACCGCTGCGGTGCAGGCTGAAATAAGTTTTTATCAATTCCAAGCATTGAATAAAGTAAGTGTGGGATTTGCAATTTTGTATTGGGAATTATTACTCAATCTCTCCAGATAAAATCATCAGCGAATTAAAAACACATTCTCGTCTATTCAAAACTTTGCCATGGGATAGTGCCAAAAATCGCTTCATTAGGATTGCCTGGCGTAATTGCCGGTTCGCGCGTCTGTGACGTGAGATTGTGATTTAACTACGATTCATTTCCAATGTGTGAATTTTCAAACAATGCCTCCTACACACTTTCTCTTTCCCGGTCGTCACAACTCCCAGCCAGGCGACCAGGGGATGAGAAAGAAGGACACAATTAACTGGAGCACACACACGTGTATTTTGCAAACTGTCGATTTTAAGCAATTCAACAATTAATGGATCGATAAGTATGTTTATTTGTTCTCGGAATCAAATGTGTTCTCCAAATGAAGAGGATGAGGATATATAATATTCAAATTTGCGAAAGAATTTCCTGCTTGTGGCGAGCGAGGAGATTATCAGATGGAGATAAGGCGTTGAATACAATGAAGGGTCAATTTACCTAATATGAGCGACCTCATTTAGTCGTAGTCCTGGTTTCGCCTTCTGCAAAATACGCGGCACCTGCAAACCAAAAATGGACACAAAATTAACAAGATAATAATAAGTCATTGTTTGAAGAAGATAAACAATAAATTTTAAAATTCAGTCTGGAATAAAATATAATAAACGTTCTTTTAAAATTTCGTTTTTTCCATTATAAATAGTAAAAATGGCCTAATGGACCGGCCGATAGAGTTCGTTGAGGATTGCGAGACGAAATAATAGTAATAAAGCCTTAGGGCCAGTAAAATAGCGTGGCCGGCGGTGCCGCGCGCGATTCTGCATAAAAGTGAATGTGTGGCGGAGAAAGTGCTTAGCATTTGATGAGTCTCGGAGATGAGCCGCGGTGACGCAACGCGCGGCCCGACATCTAATTATGTGCCTTATATGCCATAATATCCTGCAGGTGCCCGTCTGCCCGGCAGAGAAAGATGCGTGTGATTTACTTGAACTTTTCAAACTAGAGATTGGTGCAATAATTAATTTGAGACAATATCGATTCGAGACGGTCATTTTCGCAACTCGTTTACGCACAATCTCGCACCAAATACGGCCGAGAGATTTCTCCCATAAATCAGCACCAGCAGAGATGATTGAATATCGATTTACGAAATAATAAAATGACATTTAATTCCTGAATACAAAAAGGGTATCGTTGGAAAATAATTTTTGAGTTGATGGTTTTAAAATGATCTGCGCTGACCTGCGTTGTTGTAACCGAGCAGACTCATTAATAACAACGCCAAGTGGCGAATCCCGTTGCATTATTATTATATAAATGGAGAGCGACGTCCTTGCGCTAGGATGAGATTTTGAGAACCCAGTTTTGCCCGGTGAGAAATATAAAAATAATAACGGCTAATTGGCGACGCGAATTGAAGGTTTCTCTCATAACAAACTCATTTTCTGAAGCCACGAGACGTTTTTTTTTTACGCCTTTCGAGATAGATGACACGGTCATTTTCTAAATTTTTTCATCGCAAAAAAAGAGAGATTTATTATGCAAATTCGATTATTTTATTTTCCAATTTTACGACACGGATGAAGTTTTTCTTCCTTAATTAAGAGAAAAAATATCTATTTTTTTTTTATGTTTATAAAGCAAGGATTGGCACGATTTTCACGCTCGTTTTTTTTCTTCTGCAGCTCGTAGGCGGATAAAAAAAAATGATATATTTGCACGTCCCCGGGCGAGGAGATTCTCTTCTCCGCGGGGCCAATCGCAACAAGTACCACATAGTTCACCCAAGGTGCTTTCACTGCGGACCTTTGACCCAGCGAAGATGAGAGGCAGCAACTTTCTTTCCAGCGGCCGACGAACCAATTGAACGCGTAATGCACCTTACATCAAAACCATTTTTCTGAATAAATCTCACACCGCCGAAATTTATTATATTTATTTATTCGCCTTGACAAAAAACGAAACTTTCGGCATGCAAAGGAGGAAAGAAAGCGCGATTGGTGCGGCCGAGCCCATCTCTGACGAGTGACAAAGAATAAAAATGCAAAAGGGCGCCGCGTGACCTCGAGTGCAAAATCGAGTGAAAGAAAGAAGAGTAAAGCACTGCTTTCTTTTGTTTGGATTTCTCTATTTTTTGCTTCCGCTTCTTTTCAACAATTGTAAATAGAGTCTTTTTATTTGCTTTTGTATAATATTTCATTAAGCGCGCGCGGATCTAAATGATGCGCAGACTTTTTCAAAGGACCCTGTTAACAACAAGGTGATTCAGCGAAAACTTTTGATTGGAACTGGTTTATGCGTCGCTAAGCTCTACAAAGTTATTAAGAAGTTAATGATTCTGACATTAGCAAAGGTCCGTGAAATTTGTGGTTTAGAATTATTTTATTGAATATTATTTCCAAGTATTTAGTCACATTAATTTATTTACTTAAAACCTAAGGTCATTTGACACTGAACACAAACAGAAATGAGATTTTGAAATAAGTGACTGTAATACAATGATTTAATATCAAAACTATTTGAGATTTTTCTCGAATTTAAAAAAAAAAATTTCAAACTACTGAACTTTTTCTTTGCTTTTTTCCCGCATTAACAAAACCGCTTTGAATATTAATGGAAGAAGAAACCATCTCTTAATGTGCCATTTAAAAATTATTATTCTTGCTTTGAAAATTTGGACGAGATTGTTTTTTTTTTTCAATTAAGAACAACGAAACCTAAATCAACAAGCATCTCTTAAAAAGTTACAGCAGTTCATAGAGGCAAAATTTAACATTGCTTTGAGGGAGAAAAATCGTTTCTAGAAATAAAATTATTGAAAAAATAACAATTAAAATATCCTCACTAATCACAGTTTTATTAAATAAAAAATGGTTCTTCCAATATTGAAACTAATTTTGAGGAGAAAAGATTAAAAATTAAATTTTTTGTAGTTTTAAATCAAATTTAAAAATTGCTTAAATAATTAACACCTTTCACCTTTTCTATGAGGAATACTCTCATTTGTTAAAATTAAAAACTTATTTAAATAAATGAAAGCAAATATTTGAAACTACTAGCAATAAAAAGCCAAGGAAAATGATGAGAATTGTATGTAAAATGAAACACAGATCTTAATTGAATGTTTCAGGTGAATTAGAATCGCAATCTAGGCGACTCTTTTTACATGTTTAATTAAAAAACTCGTGCAAGAAAGTCTTGCTTTGACTTTCGGTTTTGCGACCTCCAAAGTGAAATAATTTATTCAATTTAAAAGAAACACGCAAACCGGACTTTGCGCTAATTAGAAAAAAAAACCGCTTTCTTGATTTGGCTCGAAATTTGTGAATTATTCAAATAACGAATTAAGGAAAATTCGTTTGAAGCAAAAAAGAAATTTGTGCAGCTCAAGAGATAGTGAAAGGAGCGCGTTAGGTAAGGCAGATGCGCGGCCATAAACGAATAAACGGCTGCGTGATTTGGGCGACCTTGGCATTTCTCGGCGCCGCAGAAAGCTGCGAAAATATAGCTTCTTTTTTTTCACTCGGAGACTAATTTTATGCAAGTGTAGCAGCTCTTGAGAGAGAGAGAGTAATTAGCCCCGTGGGGTCCGAGAGCGCACCTGGCCGGTTTTACAGCCCTGTTGGAATCGCGAGCAGCAAAATTAGGCCACGCGATAACCTTAGCAAAGTGTCGATAGAGAGGATGGATGGATCTTTCAGCGCATCTTGCATAATTTTCGTCCTCATTGTGCACGCGGCGTGCGCAATTCTACAAATCGTAAAACATCTCTGAACGTAGAAACATATTTTTTATATAAATTAATTACTTTTTTTACTTTTGTTTGCTAGAAAAATAGCAAATATTTGCTGAAAGGAGCTGCTGTGTTTGGATAGGCAAATCTTTTATACAAATATTTGTAAGCGATGACGAGGCAATTTTGTTTCTAGAGCTGTCTAGGCCGACGCGTGTTTCAATTTTTTTCTTCGTCTACACTAATAACAGCCCACGCCGCTGACAGTTTGATGAAAGGAGCTATTTTAGGTGCCGCCACGAAATTAACCAGGTGAATTAAAATTTATTTACCGTTTATGGCTTGACTGATAACAAAACATTAATAAAAAAGTGTGGTTTGTTTGGCAGACAGACTTTGACATCAGACAAATTATTTCCAATTAATCTCAAATGTCAAACGTGAAGCAGAAAATTTATAGGATGAAAAATATTTATCATCTTTTTTCTTTTTAATTGATAATATTAATAAGAACTTTTGTCACTAACTTTGTTGACATTTGTAATAATTAATAAATATCACAATTAAGGAGCAAATTTTTTTAAGAATTAAATAAAAATTGAATGGAGTTTTGATATAAAAATTTACCAAATCAACGCTTCAATAGAACTGTTTTTAAGATTTATTTTCTTAGATCATTAAAAAACTCTGGTTAACTCGCAATTAATCAAGCTGGTGTATTTTTGCAAACTCATCTATTTTAAACTTATGTCGTTAAATTGCTGTAAATAAATCCAAGCCATTTACAAAATATTTACATAACGTCTTAGGAATTGATCTAAGAAAGTGACAAGAGGATCAAATTTAATATTATTATGATGTAAGATTCAATGAACCTGCAATGAACTCAATAAATTAGTATGTAGTATCATTATTTCAATATCATAAGCTCCTGGGAGATTTGGACCGCCCAATTTAGGGGAATTCTTTATAAAAATAGAGCAAACTTAAATATCCATTTATAGTAACAAAACTTTTTTTTATAAAAATATTTGCAATTAATTGCGACATGAAAAATTTCCAATTTCTTTAATGAATCGCTCAAAATTTTGAGACTTTGGAAGGCTGAAAAATTAGCAATTTTAACCAATAATTAAAAACGAAACCAAGTTATTAATTCAAAAAGTCTTGGATAGATTTAAAAAATAAAATTAAATCTGGCTAGCAAAACCAAAACTTTTAGCTACAAGACATTTTTAAATATATTTATTCTAGACTGAATTTTGCAAATAAAATCGTGGAAATAAATACCTGGAAAGAAGAAAAAGTATGATTAACACGACTAGAAGTAAAGAGTTATATGAAATAAAAAAATGAGCGAGACAAAGTCGGAAAGGCTGACCTGGATGTTGAGAGGATGATCGCAGGAGTGAGTATCAGGGACTGCGTGAAAGTGAAATGGATGAACCCTGGGATGGAAGGTCCCCTCCTTCCTCTCGGCGGGTCAACTCGCATCCCACCAACGCCGCTGCTGCATCTTCATACGGCACCTCACACGCGAAGAGAGAAAAGATACCCTGACTCTCCTCACCTCCCACCGCGTCGTGACCTGCACTCGTTGCATGCCTCTGCACATTATGGTTCTCTCGCCACCTCCGAAATCGATTCCCTTCGATCGAGAGACGCATTTTATTGCCTAATTTCATAGTGCTATTGTTGCCTCCGGCCATTCAAATAACACACATTTCAATTTGCCATTGTTCTCGATTTTATCGGAATCCAATAATCAATTATTTGAAATAAATTTGACTATTTGTAAATTAAAATCGAAAATTTGTTAATAATTTTACTGTAAAATTTTTAAATTTGATAATTTATATTCAAAATATAGAATTTTTTTAAAAGAAAAGGTTAGAAAATATTGTTAAAATTATATTTTTGCATTCAAAATGAGCGAAAATGAGTGAGAATAGTCTTTATGATTTTTTTAAATTCGCTTCAAACTTCATTCTTAGAATGGATCTCAATTGTGTCTGCAGATTCAAAATATTTAAGATTGATTACGAAAATTTTCTCAAACTATTTAGCGACTTCAATTACAAATATCTGGAAGATTTTATGATTTTTTAGGGAATTTGGATTTTTCTGATTCTGCCAGAGGTGTAAATTTTCAAGTAAAGGATTCCTTTTCATTTGAAAATTTTAATTTTGATCAGTTGAAGAATTGAAATTTCTTTCCTTCTTTCGAATTGCACGTTTTTCAGTTTTTAGGCCAAATATCAATCCTTCTTTAATTTTATTTATTTTACTTTAATAATTAGTATTTGAAAGTAAAAATACACTGTAATTTTTCTTAAAAATTAAAAACAAATTGTCCTCGAACTTTAGCAATTATAATTCGTGACTAAAAGTATAACCTTTTGAATAAAATAATTTCATTTAATTTTCACCACTTCGACAAAACTAAAAATAAAAATCCAAAAAAAGTCACAATGCTTTTCTTATAAAAAATGGACGTTCTAATTTCACTGCTCTTTGCATTTAAAAATAAACACTATTTGTGCATTTCATCAAAAATTCTATTTTTTTGAGGTCTTAAATACTTGATATTTGGCATAAAATAATCGATATATGAGATTTTTTTTCTCACTATAGCCTGAAAGTAGTGACTATATTTTTTTTACAATGAATTGCGCAAGAGGTGAAATTGCAATTAGTTATTTGTGAACAATCCGCGCGCGAAGAGTTTTGGGATTTCCGTGTGTCTTTCCTAACATGCCCCTCGGCATGCAGATTAATTATTAATAGCGTCGTTAATTTTATATAAGTTTTTATTGTGAACGCCGCGCATTAGATTAAAACAAAGGAAGCCTCTTCAATTTTATTGCCCTTTCATTTGGCTCAAACGTCAAATTCCAAAATGTTTCATTTTCAAAATCTTAATATTTCTTTTCATCTCGCCGTTGAACAATGTAAATTTCTCACAACAAGGTATGGCTAATTGAGATGCGGTTGGTGCGCTTTTCTTTTTCTTGCGAAACTCCGAAGCCTACGCTGGTTAAATTAACTGACTTTTACTCGAAAACGCGTCACAATTTGTTCTTTTCGAGGCGCTTCCTCGGCCCTGGCTGTAAAATTTGCGGTTTTTGAATGGAGGTGACGTTTACGTAAATGAGCCTAAATTATGCGGACGGAAATCAACTCTTTAAAAGGAAATCCTTCAAACGATTCCAATAAAGTCGTTTTTTCTTCAAATTTTCATGGTTATCAAAGAAATAAGTTCATCACCAGATTAGATTCATTTGGGTATGTTTCAAATTTTTAATTTTTCTCAAAATATTATTAAATATAAATATGAATTGTAAATTTTATTCTTAAATCTTTCAAAATTTGTTTAAAAAATAATGTAGTCACAAATTCTGAAAATAAGAAAAAGTGAAATACTAAAGAAGTATTATTTTTTAATAAACGTTGTTTGAAATTAGATTCCCACATAATTTGAAAAAAGGCAGTAAATTTAAATAAAATTTAACACAACTTTTGCTATTTTCATTGAGAATTGAAACTTATTGTATAATTTTTACAAAATAGTAAATAAGAATTTATTTTTGAAATTTTATTTCTATTAATTTTCTTTATATTTTAATTTTAAATTAAATTGATTAACTTGTTAGTTTGGCAAGGAGTGAAACAGAGTGAAATTCTTCGCCCGACCTATCTAATTTTGATTCAAGTTGACCTGGTCGTCCAACTTGGCGATCTCTGACATAATAAAATTCCCAAAATACTTAAAGATTATTTTGCCAAAAATATTTTGTTTACAAATTTGTATAAATATTAAGAAACTGTGACATTCGGTGGGAAAGATAATTGAATTAAAGAGTCAAGTGCACTCACCTTTAGTGAGAAAAGTGAGTTTTTTTCTTGCACATTCGCGTGCGAGACTGCGCGCGTCCTTGCGTCGCGGTCGCTTGTCTGCGGCTCTCTCGACAAATAATGCGATCTTTGCGTCCGACCGGTTGCATAATTCGCGTGATTGTTTGATTCGCTTGATTTATTGGCGTGCAATTCTCAAATCGGCGGTGATTGTCGAGAGTCACGCGTCGGGAATTACTCGCTGTCAAGCAGCGCATTTCGAATTCATACGTCATATTTCGAGTCGGCCACCTCGAGTGGGCCGTCGTGTGGGAGTAATGGGGGGCTCGGCTCATCTTTCGCGCGCCGACCAACGCCAAAAAGGCCAAAGAGCACTGGAAAGTTATTGAAATTAAATCCACCAACCACCTGACCACAATAGAAATTTATACACATTTTTCCAATTATATTTCAATTTATGGTATTTATTCTTATTTTTAGCAGAAAAAATGACTATGTTACATTAAAAAATAAAATTTGAAGACTGGCGGAAAAGCTTTTTTTATTTTTAAACTTCTTCATATTTTAATTCTGCCAACGAATCTTTAAAAATTTTGTTATTTATATTCATAAATTCAAAGGAGTTTTAAAAAATTTTAAATTTATTTTCTTTCCAGACTTAAGATTCTGCCCAAATTAAACCAAATGTAATTTTTACCAACAGTTATTTTTAGAAGCTTCTAAAATATAATTATAGAAAGTGATTTTTTTTCTTTAGTTAAATAAAAGCTAATTCAAATTAAAATGAAAATCAGTCATATATTTAATTCTTAGAACAAAATTTTCATGAAAATATTTTCAATTTTATTCGCTTTCTACTGAATTGAAAATAAAAGACTTACTTTTAATTTTTAGTTAAAAAACGACTTTTTACCAGCAAAGTTTTGAGCTTTAAAACATTCCCTTCATTAAATTTTTTTTACCACCTGTAATCTTGATAAAAATTTCTCTTTTCATAATTTTTTAAGATCAGGAAATAGCAGTTTGCACTTTTTGTCTCACACCTTCTAATTTGATTTGCAAATCACTGTACGATAAATTATCACTCTAATTTTTTTTTTGCGTACTCCAATTTGCAGCCGCACAAAAGAGTTCCCACGCGGCGGCGGCACTTGATACATAATGCACCGAGATTGAATTAAAATGCAAACGTCCGCTTTTTTTCCTGACGCAACAATTAAATTTTCCAGCGACTCATCTCCGTGTCGACACGCGCAATTATGTCCGAAGAAGGAAAATCACGTAACAATTTTTATATTTTTCATGCTAACGAGGCGAATCTTGTTGTCGCGTCACTGAAAATTTTATACATATATTTATGCAACGATAGGAATTTAATTCGGAGAGTGAAAGTGGCAACATTTAATAAAACAAGTCGGTGCTGTATGGAGAAGAAGAGAAGAAGATCCTCTTCACTTTCTAGCCATCTGACCTTTGATTAGGAACATTCCTGCACTCACGTTGCCCAACTCATTCTCTTAACATGCCTCTCTCTAGACCTGCAAATTAGCCTCGCTCTTTTTCAAAACAACAAACTCTGTCACTTTTGCGGAGGAAATTTCGGCGCCCAGACCAAAGACGCACCCTGACTAATGCAATCTGAGACGTTCGTTCATTCATTCGCCGCAAAACATAAAAAAGTTCACGCTTCCGTCACGTCGAGTGCTTTTAAAACATTAGCACTTTTAATCTCATCCTCAGATTGTGTTTGGGAATTTATTTAACATAATTTTATAAAATTTCTATAAATTTCCCAAAATTACTCATATAGGAAAAAATAATAATTTTTGTATTTATTTAGCTTTTGTTTTAACTCTTCTGCATATAAAGTTTCAAAAACTCAATAGGACATGATGTGGAGAAAATATTAGATGTGTTAAAAATGTTATGAAATTATCCCCAAGTGAATTTTGTTTGTCCTTTAATTATTCTTTAAAATCTGGAAACTTGTATGTAGCTTAACAAAATGCCTAAGAAATGAAACTAAAAAAATATGTATTTATTTCACCAACGATTCTTGAATGTTTTCTAATTTTCGTTGGACCAAACAAGTTTCTGCTATATTTTGAATTTTGGAATTTATGTAAATTTGATGGTCTGCAGCAAATAAAGTGGTTTTTTAATTTATGACCTTACAGTTTTCAATTCTCACTTCAAATTTACTGTCAACAATATTGATTGCAATTTATTAAAATCCACCAATTTAAAAATTAAATAAAATCAACAAAATCTATTGTTCAATTATTGAAATTTTTGGAATATTGCCATCATTATTTTTTTTTTTAAATAGAATAGAAAATGTATCATTTTTTCACCTTTTCCAAAACAAATTTGAATTAAATCACTTTTCAGTTCAATTTTAAACTTAATATGTATTTTTTATTTCCCAAAAAATATGAAATTCATAACCTTAAAGTTTTTTAATCAAGATGAAATATTGAAGTTTTGACAGCTGCACAGTTTTTGCTCTTGATTGCCGCTTTTGTAAACGAGACAAGGACGGATCACGTCTCTCTCTGCGCCGAAATTGCCACTTATGTGATGCGCGCCCATAAAAATCGGGCTCACAAAGGAATAATTTATTTTAATTTCAGAGTGTTGAGCGAACAGTTGTAAAAAATCGTCTCTTTTCGAAAGGAGCGCGCGGATCATTCCACTTTTCAACCTTGATCCACTTGGGCGCCGATAATCGCGGCGTTTGACTGCTTCTCCGTGCTTGCTACACTTTTGAATTTTAATTCTCTATGAGTGTTTTATAATAACGAGCGTGTAATGAGAAGTGCTAGAGAAAGACACACGATCTGCTAATGAGACTCTGATTGCACTTGGAAAGAAAGAAAGGAAAGATGCGCTCGGCCGATATCCTCTGCAATTCGCGCCGAGTGTAATTAGATTTATGGTTTGTTTTTTCTCGGTTGTTTAAACTCCTTAACAATCACGATTCCAATGTTACTGCAATTAAAAGAGGGGTATTTTTATTCACATGTTGCACAGATTCCAGTAATTTAAAAAATAATTTGTAAAAAAGATCAATTTTTTCCATTCCATTTTTATTTGTCTAATTTCCTAATTTTTTTATTCCAAATTTGTGGTCGGATAAATTTTTTTATAAATTTTTTCTCTCATAAATTAAAAAGGAAAAATTAAGCTGAAAGTTAATTCAGATATTCGATATTAACATTTTTAATTTTTGCGATTCATTAATAAAAGAATCCCGTGCGCGCATAAACTGCTTTGATATCTCAACTAAAAAGCAACTAAGTATATAATTTTATCTGCAAATCATTAGTTTGCTAAAAAGCAGTAACTTTATAGCCTGTTTTAAGTGTCAAGTGATACCAGCATTACCCATTCGTCGGTTTTTCTTTATTACCAAACGGACATGACGCGTCTCCATTGAACGGGTCAGAGGTCAATTTTCTGCCGAGCCTCTTTGAACTCGGCAGAGTAAATTGACGCGTTTCCGGTGCAAAGAAGGAAAAAAAAGAGAAGAATTTCGGCGCACATCAATTATTGCGGCATTTTGCTGGCATGCATAATCGCGTTGCAGCCGCGCCGGTTCTCACATGAACACATTTTACGTAACTTGCTGAGAGAATTCGTTTGCTCACTCATCTCTGCTTTCACTCTCAAGTTGCTGTGAGAAGCGCTTTAGCCGCACCTGCCGCCGCCGCCGCCGCGTCCTCCGCATCAAAATAACAACCCATTACGCCGCGTGTACTGAAGTGTGCTTTCAAAATTAATCATCGGTTCCTATCCATCGCCAGCGACACAAACTTTTCAATTCCCACACTACAAATCCAAGCCTTCGCTCTCCAAGGGTACAGCATCGTCGTTAATTGAATAAATTTCAATTTCATATCAGACAACATGGTTTTCTTTGCCTATATCCTTTAAAGAAAAAAATTCAAAAATAAAATGAAAAGATCAAAATGCCAGAGCTTCTTGAAACTAAAGAATAGTGATTATAATTGCATACAAATATAAAATTGACAAAAAATAATTAAATCTCAATTTACCACAGCCAAAAGTCTGAAATTTTTTAAGCTATTTCAAATTGTATTTATCACAGAAAATGATTGAGTACATTTTTTATTCTTGTACTTTGTTTAATTGCACGAGTTTACAATTTTTTTTAAATTATCTCGCACGCTAAATATCTCATAAGGATTCTTCGTCAACTTATTATTGCTTTTCGTTGACTGCGAGTAGCCGATTTCTGTACGGACATAAGACATAATTCATGCAACAATCTGTCGATAACACACAATTTTAGTTCCTAGCTGGCCACAGCATCTCTACTGCCACGTTTCAAAAAGGGTTTGAGAAAATATCAAAATTCCTCAGTTAAAACAATCCTAATTAGGTCTTTACGTGCAGATTCCAATAATTTGTATGTGTTATTTTATTCCTGTAAGGTATGTGAAGGTGATCGAAAAATAATTGCTTTTTTATTCAATCTGATCCCCCTCGACATCTTTTACAACAAAAAGATTAAGAAGCTAAACGCGTGATAAGAAAGGGACTTGATAGTAAATTGGATAATTATTCGCATTTCAGGCATTATAAAATTATATTTAGTCCTGTAAGGTGTAGGAGGGAGAAGAATACATTTTTTTTTATAACTTCTTGGCAAAGATCTTCAGGGTTTGTGGGCAACCCCTTGCCTGGCGATGGTGGCCGCCATGTCTTCGATTTGCCGCTTCTTGAATGAACTCGCCAGACAAAAAGACATGATCGCCGCAATCAACTGAAGAAAACAATTAATTAGAACTCAGTAAGAAGTCGACACGAAAAAAGGCAATTTCAGCGGATTTCAAATGGGGTTCTCCCCAAATCTTTTACCCGCTTTTACCAAACAAAATTGATTCAATTATGAACTGTTTCTGAAAAATAATTCTTAAATTGGAAATATTGTAGGAAACTTTTAATAATTTTTCCAATAATTTTCGACCAAGACCCATTTTGGAATTCTATATGTATGATGATTTGGCGTAATTTTAATTTTTTAAGGGTCGTCAACGTCCTTTTAAAAGCGTTCAAATGTGCAAACAGGATAATTCTTGCCTGCAAGACTGCGGTGGCGATGATTCCACCGCCGATGATGGCGACGCTGCCCGGGATGACTAAGATGTAGACGCCGCCGAAGATCTGCACAACGACCAACAAGAGCATCACCACGCCATACTAAAAAAGAATAGTTGTATAAAAATGGAGCTTCTTTCCTTGTCAGGTATTTTCGCGCACCGCTTTCATCATGGAGGGCGAACCCTTCAGGGTGCCGCAGCACGCGAGGAAGGACACGAGAAGGGTGACGACGCCAGTCGCGATCAGCGCCCCTGCCACCGGATCTGTCTGTGGCCAAATCAATTAGCTCTTTCATTTCTATTTTATGCCAATTTGTTCACCATCCACTCGATGACAACGTTTCCTGTTGAAATGAAAAAAGGACGCCGCCCACGATCATCGCCAGGCCAGAAATCTAACAGGGTTTTCTTTATAATCTGGTGTTTAAAGTGAAAATTTGAGCAATCCCACCACAAAGATGAAGTTGAAGATGAAAATGTACCACCGGAAGCAGCAGAGCAAACATCCGCCCACGCAATTGCACATTTTTCTGCTTTTGCGAAAATTCCACGTCTAGACAAACTGGAGGTCGGAATAGTTTCTAATATACAAGCGTGAACATGGTTTTGCAAAATCTTATATATTTGCAATCAGTAAAAATAAGTGATTACAGGAGATAACAGGTGCATTTTGCCAAGTACTGTGCTAATTTCAATACATTCACGTGTTCACATAGATAAAAAATCACGTTTTTTTTTCATTGGTTTGAACATCAAATATGGTGAACCACCAAAAATTTAAAAATAGAAGACAAAAATTAAAAAAAAAATCTGGAAAGACCAGGATATGTTTTATCAATTTTAATTTGTTCTTAATAAGTTAATTTAAAAAAAATCGAATTTTTTAAAAACTCTTATATATAACATGCATAACGTTTCGTTATTTAATTCTTTTAATAACCACCACAGGATTTTCATTCTGACGTGAGTACTTTTGATTATTTTCTAACCTCTCCCTGTACTTAAATTCTACCTGTGTCTTAAGTCTTTTGCTCAAGAGTATTTTGTTTTGTAAAAAAATATTTAAGGCAGATAATTAAACTTCATTTGTTGGTGATGCGAAAATTATAGCCAAATTAATGGACTCACGTGTGTCCTTGAAAGCGAAGATAATGAAAAATATGATGATAATCTTCATTCAATTCACTCAATTGTGTGCTTTTTTACATGAGCCACATGTGCGTTTTTATCTGAGATTACAACTCGGACAAGGATTCACAAGTATGAGCAAATTTTATAGATAAATCAGTAAGATGAAACTGAGAAAAGTATTAGTGAAGAAACAAATTTTTTCAATTTTCAATACAATTTTCTCATGGAATCATTTTCCCAAATTTGTATACACGCGCGGATTTTGAGAAAAAAATATTTTTAATGTTATAAATCGCAAAAGGGTACTCACCCCATCTTCCTTCCTCCTCTTCAGCCTTTCATCGCAGTCCTGAAATCAGAATTTCCAATTAAAGCAAATGCCACGTTAAATTTTGAAGAACACTTTATATTTCCACTTCATTTATATGAATTAATGTACACACAAAATATTTCAAATTTCTACCTTCGTCCATCTCCATCGATTCCCGCGCTGATTCTCAACAATTCTCAAAAATCTTGCACACACAAATCATTGTTCACAGTTGCACAAAGTTTGAAACTCAAATCGCACGCCGAAATGCGTGAAAACTGAAAAGAAAATGGGAAAATTGTAAACCGAACCGACGTAAACAAAAGCACATGTTGACTGAAGAGTCAGAAGAGTGACGTGTTGACGGCGATCGCTGATTGGTGCTTGTCTTTGGGGTGAGTATATTCCTTTTGTTGTTTTATCGCGTATAATTTCTTAACTAAGAAGAAATATTAATTATATGATTAAAATAATATTATAAACCTAGATACAAAAAAGGACTAAGATTTATGGAGATGCATTTATCTTTTTTCCTCGTCTCTATAAAAAATCTTATCTCGATCTTTATCTATATCTCTATCTATATCTTTGTGGCAAACTTTGTGATCAGTGCCAGTTAATTTAAGAACAAAACTTAGTCAACTGCGGCGGATGGGGTCTTTTTGGCCTCGGAAGTTTTAGCAAAATTTTTGCTTGTGGTGGTGCCGTTTTGTCCAACAATTTCTTTTTTTTTTCAAATAAATGTTTTCAACAATTTGTGTGTAAACAATGTGATGTAACAATTTGGACAAATAAACAACAATAATAATAATAAGACACACAATAAGATTCATAAGTTAAAAAAATGAGAAAAAAAGAGGAGAAAGTTGTTTTTTGCGGAATGAGATGCCAGTGCTTTATTGGCAATTTATGTGATTTTGGTATTTTTGTTTATTATTTTTATTCACATATATTATTCAATTTCTTTCTTCACTTTCTTCCGGCGTCGTTCATCACCTTGGGCAGGCCGAGAAGGGAGTTGATGAGCTCCGAGTTGCGTTTGCGTTCGCACATGGGCTTGGCCGACCTGGCGAGCGCCTCCTTGGCCAGGTCGAGCAGGTAGTTGGCCAGTTCGCGGTAGTGGTGTTTGCACGACACCGACGACACCCGCGAAAAGTGGTTGATGAAGTTCTGCTGGCTGTTGCCGGTCGCCGCCTCTTGTTCCGCGCCTCCGGATTCAGCCCCGAATACACCGACGCCCTCCGACCTGCCCTCGACGACGCACAGGGCCACCACCAACAACGCTGACGCCACCAAATGGTTCATATTATCTGCAAATTTCATTAAAATTAATTAAAAATTAAACTTATATAATCTTATATAAAATATACCAGTTTTGACTTTGACCAGTTAAATTTAAATATCTTACAGAGAAACGATATTTGACAGAATTTGCATAAATATGGAAAAACAAAACAAAATATCTTTTAACAATTTCAACCATTTATTAAATTAATATTTTTTTTTTTTAAAAATAGTTATTAATAATCATGTCTATTTAAAATTACAAAACTTTAATAGAAATATGAAACAATCAAAAGAAATTATAAAACAGATTGCATAAGAATTATTATTCACAATTATCAATTATTAAAAATAATAATTACAATTTAAAGTGGTGCTTACTTGGATAGAGTAGTTTTCGAAGGGATGTTCCTGCTTTGCTCGACTAACAAATTGTAACGACCGAGGGTGAGCAACGTTGGCTTAAATACCCCAATGAAGGGGGTGGCTTTTCAAAAATAACCCTGTATCTGTTAGTGATCCGCGCGGCCTTGCCTTGTACGCAAATTCACGCTTAAACACACACAAGAAGCTTGTGCGAGACACTTCCTCTCAATCTGCCCCGCGAGTGTCACATCCACATATTTCCAACCCCTGCCCTGCCCACGCATAATTCAACTACCTGCGTGACTGTTTAACATAATCATAGTTATTTTAATATCTATGCTCATTTTTAGATGAAAAGAATAGTCATGTTTTCGTATTTTTTCAAACAGCTGGGATTTTATTGTTTAAAAAAGCAACAAACGGCAGTTCAATCACCACAATTATTCCCTTTTGCATCACACAAGTCAATAGTCAGACAGACAGACAATCAAACAAACAAACGCTCTTCCACTACGTCCTCTTCTTGCCTTTAACAACAACTGGCCGGTTTTTCAAGGACCCTTTCTTCCTCTTACTAGTCTGAAAAATTCACACAAGATTTAATTACAAATTTATATTGCATTAAAAATTCCAACCTTTTTTGATACGAATAGGCGACTTCCTTTGATCACACGGTTGGCCACGGGAATCCTCGGCCGGTTGAACTCATTTTCCTTCTTCACCCTAAAAACCAGAATTGATCAAAACAAAAGTCAGTTGAAAATCAAATCGATTACCTGTAAATTCTGACAAGCCAGTGTTCCGTGGTGTAAGCCTCCTCCAAGTAAGTCAGTTCGAAGTTTTTGTTTCCGATGACGGCCTGCCTGGTGCGGTCGAGACCTGCGGGGCTTCGGTAGTCAAGCTTGAGGTCGCCGAACTTGTAGTAGCTGAGTTTGTACATGAGACAGTTGAGGAGCGTCGGGGTGCCCTCCTCGTCCACTCGGAACTCGCCGCGCTCGGTGAAGAAGTCGCTCTCCCTGATGTCCTTGGGGTGCTCACCCTCGGCAATGCGCACCATCCACAGGAACTTGTTGATGTCATCACCACTGTAGCCGATGACGCCGCCGAAAATCACCAACACATAGTCCACGTCCAGGGCTTTCATCACCTAATCAATTCAAAATTCTGATTTAAGTAAAAGTGAGGGAAACAATTTTTACAATCTTTAATCTTCTATTAAGATCAACTTGCCATTTATCAGTTTATTTAAAATTGGCATAAAATTCATTCCATTTTAGTAAATATTATTAATTTTATTTGGACATTTATTAATTTTTTCTTAAAATATTACTAAATCAATCGATTCAATTCAATTTATAAACTGGCCATAAAATTTGAATCCATTTTGGAAATTTAATGTGATTAATTTTTTTAAATGAAATAATTTATTTCATGCTTAGATTATAAAAAAATTTAATCAATTGATTTCAAAATTTTAAAATTTGCGATAAATATTGAATCAGTTTGGAAACATTAATTTAATTTCAAAATTTAAATTCATTTTTTCCTTTCTTCAATATAAAATTAATTCACCTCGTAGGCAGCGCTTTCGTTTGACGACATGGCTTTACCAACGAGGGCAATGTGACTGTTGTTCCAAGTATTGTTGTCAACTAGAGTGGTCCTGTTGGCCATCCCTGCTATCTGGTAGCCGTAGTCCCACCAACTCATCACTCGAGCATCGTCGGCAGTATTTTGACTCAACCAGTAGTAGGCCTAGTCAAATCAAAATTAGCTTTCTTTGTGTAAAAGGGGATGGCCAGAAAAAAGTACTTCTCTAAAATCGTCCAGGATTTGTCTGGACCCGTCATTTCCGTATGAGGCGAGCACGATGGAGGGGCTGCTGTAGGCATTTGAGGTGACCCAGGTGCAGTGCACGGCAAACATCATCAGCATCATGACAGTGGCCACAATGCTCACCATGCGGATGTTGGCGCCAAGACTTGTCGGCTCGGTCGGCTGTTCGTGTCTCATCCGACGCATTTTTCCAGCCTATAATTTAATATTAATTAACACGTTTTTAATTTTAATAAATTAAAAAATGTAGGTGTAAAATAGTAACTTCCTCATGAGGAAATAAAAATTGAATTTAAATTATCTTTACCAACAAAAATTATTTAGGAGTTGAATTGTTCAAATAATGAAAAGTATAAAAATATATTGATGTACAAATAAAGAAATTTAAACAAGTTTTTAGCCCATATGAAACTCTGCTTACATAAAAAAACCTTTCAGGCTTTCATTGAAAAATGAATTAATAGTTGGGGTTAATTGACCTTGTCGTAGAGTTTTCGTCCAGTCATAGTTTCAGCAGCATCGTCGCCCTCCGAGTCGGCCTCATCAATGGGCACTTTAGGGTCTTCGTCCTTGAGGTAGAGTTCAAAGAGGCGCGAAAAGGCAACGCCGGCCAAGATGCAGACAACAGGTGTCAGGGTGAGCATCAGGCGCACCATGACGCCAGCAAAGTAGACGGCGGACAGGGCGTAAAGGACAACAAAGACGCGCTCGTCATTGATCGACTTGATGCAGTACCACAGGCCAACTGGGAAAGTGCCCACCAGGATGTGCAGGTCAAAGAAAAAGGAGAACCACGTTGTCGGCTGGTGCTCGGACACTGACGCAATGATTGGAATGTGTATTTTGGCGTAGCCAGTGTCCCACAGAGAGTAGAACCTGCAAATTCAATTTTGTCAAATAGATTTAAAACAAAAATACAATACATCTACAAAATAATTTCAAGATTTAATGGCAAATTTCATGAAAACATATGAAACATGTGAAAATAAATGAAAATGTAGAGGTTTTCAAATATTTCAAAATTAAATTGAATTTTTTATACCAGATTTTTGGCAAATGAAATTGAGCTTAAATAGTTTTGGGAGATTTTGAAAAATTTAAAATTTTTACTTGAAACTAAATGAAAAAGTTCTTGTTTTTTTTTTAAATCTCACCGTCCACTCCAGGGGGCAATGACGCCCATGTAGGTGAGGCCGATGACCGCAAGGAAAACAGCTCCGGCGGCCGCTGCGGCCGCAGTGAGGAAAAGCGCCTTGAGGTCCGACTTGGAGATGAGGGCCTGGACATACTTGAGGGCGCCGATGGCGTTCAGCAGGAGGAAGACGCCCGTGCTGGCCATGTGCTCGGAGGTGCGGACAGGCTGGAAACCAACGAAGGGAATCTGCATGCTGAGCAGCAGGCCCAGGATGTAGAAGGTCGAGTAGGCCGTGTAGAGGCGCGCCGAGTAGCGGCCCATCAGCAGCAGGGCAAACACATGCAGCGGCACCAGGTTGATGATGAACACGTAGCCACCCCATGCACTCACCTGAAAAATCAAGTTATTTTGTAATTAAATGTCGCATTGTTTTTAAAAAAATATGCCAGATGAAATGAAGGACTTTGAGGGGCAAATAACTCAATAAACGGTGCTGAAAGAAACCTTGCTTTCCCGGAATACATTGTGTGTAACTTAAGCAAGTCATCAATTGGGGAAATAATAAAAGTGCTGATGTGACATCAAAAAAGACAATGCCCATAACCGTGCGAGGCGGTCCGGCGCGTCCTCCGATGCTCCTAGGCGGTCTGAACTGTCGTAGAAGTATGAATCAAACTGCGCTAAATTAATCCTTTTGTGCAGATTTAAAATATTTCAAAATTATTTCCAAATTCTTAGGGAAAATACTTTTCGAAATTGGGGAAAGTGAGGAATGCAATCATGAGTGTGGGCGTTTGCTGGAGACAAGTCGTTAGGAAGGAACAAAATAATATACATTATGGAAGAGACGGTGCATCAGTCAGCCGGAATTATGTGAAGTAAAGGTGATACGAATATTTTTCACGCTGGCTTGAAGCGACCTTTTTTATTATTTCCCCAATTGGTTACTTGCTTACACACAAGATTTCAGGGAAAGCAATGTGTCTTTCAGCCCCGTTTATCATGTTCTTCCCCTCAAAGTCACTTCATTTCATCTGGCATATTTCCTTTCATCCTAAGATTATGAGCTTTTCTTATCTCTTTTATCGAAAAACTTTTGGAAATAATAGGAAAAGTCAGAGTTATATTTTCATAACATGAATATAAACATCAATTATAATAGATGGGAATAAATCTTTACTTGAAATTTTCAGTTTTTTACCATTTTGTCTGAAGAACTATTACAAAAATTTAATTTATTTAAAAAGAAATGTGTTTTAAAGTTTTAGTGACAAAATTTGTATTTTACTAAAATTAGAACTTGGATGCTAATTTAAAGCCTTTCGGCATAAATTTAATTAAAAACATTTCTGGATTTTTTCAAATATTTCTTAGTTTTCTATGCGATATCAATTTCTGAAGTTATTTAAAATAAATAAATTGAACTTTTAATTATAAATTTTGAACTTTTATATTTTCTCACCATGTAGAAATAGGCGAGTGCGGCCATGGAAGCCCAAAACACGGATCCGGTTTTCACAGCCTTGACCCAGAAGTAGTAGGTGATCTGCAGGGCGAAGATGGCAATGCCCTCATTGTCATAACTTCCAGCCACCTTTGGGAATAAATATTTTAGTTAATTTTTCCTTTCTTTGAAATATCCGTAAAATTGTACCGATCTGCTGATGTATCCAGGGACAATGGCGATGAAGGCGGCCGCAAAGAGGCCAGCGCCCGGTGACCAAAGTTCCTTGGTCAGGAAGTAGGTCGAGATGGCGGTCAGTCCGGAGAAAACAGGCGCCAGGAAGACGCAGATGTCCCTGATGTGGACAGGAATGTTCAGTGAGTGCAGGACGTAGTGGATGGCGCCCGAGGTTAACATCAGCCCGGGGTAAACGGTGCCCCCAACGATTCGGCCCAAAGGGTACCACGCTCGCTCGTCGAACCAGTTGAGGAAATTGTAGAAGCCATGCTGGACCATGTACGCAGTGGCTCGGTAATTGAACCTGCAGAAAATATTTTTAATAGTATAATATGTAATTTTTTACTTAAAATTGTTATTATTCCTCATAAAATTTAAAACAATTTAGAAAGTACTTTCGGTAAATTTTCTCCTTTGTCAGACTTGAATAAAATAATTAAATTTTCTTAAAATTTTCAACACGGAAGTTCCCCGCTTTCTTATCTGCACCTTGATAACACATTTTTATAGCTTCAAGTTAGCCAGGTTTTCACTTTATTACAAGACAAGTTAATTCATAAAATAAAAAAATTGAGACTTCACATTGATTGGAAAAAATATTAAAAAATTCCATTGTTGTTAAAATTATAACCAGTATTTTAAAATTATTCTCCCAACTTACAGCAACATCGATTTTTCCCAATAACAAAAATTGAAATTCATAACTCAACAATTAAACTTTTCCAACAATGTAACTGCTCATTGTTGATGCGCAGAAAAATCCGTGATTCTGCGCATCTGATAAGACAATAATCGTCTCTCGATTAGCGAATTTTTTGTCGCAAAATGACTGAAGCGGAAGCATTAGTTGGTCGTGGCGTGCGTTCGGCTAGAGCTGAAGATTCGGCGGCCGAATGTTTTCGCAGGCCGGCCGGTCACGAAATTCGCTGATAAAAGATTATCGCGGACTGACACGTCGCCTCTAGGGAGTTAGGCCGTACCATGGATCGAACTCGTGAATGATGCTCTCGAAGCGGATGACGGCGAAGAGGCGCGACGCAAAGCCACCGATCCAGGCCAGCAGCAGTACCAGAAAGACCACCAAACTCTGCAGTCCCGACGCGTTCACCAGGGACGCCGAATTCGGTGTTTTCGGCGGCCGTGAACCGACCGACACGCTGCCGCCTGCCATCTTGCCGGTATACACACCCACCGACGGGTTGGAACTTGGCCTTATTTGCACTGAGGATGCGAAAGGCATAATGTGTATTAGGCGGGAAAACTTGAATTTTCTTCAAAACGAAGGCGATGGAGAATTTCAAGATGGCGCCTTATGCGCATCCTCTGTGCGCATATTTGACATTCGACTTTGACATTTTGCTTTAATAGGCAAAAGGCAAAAGCTGCTGCAAAAAAGGAACAAAAACAAATCCTTATCACGCTTCAATTGAGTTTTGAATTAAATAACCTTATAAAATGAATGAATGGAGAGTGTCTGAGCATGATTTCCTCCAGGAAATCACGTGTGTCAAGTTTCCCGGCGTCGTGAAAGACTCTGGAGTCGCGAAAGCGATTCAGGCCCTTGGAGGAACCGCATCATTGTCACAGGTTGAAAATAATAGATTTTATCATTTAGTATTATTTATTTTTTCGTTGATTTTAGGCGATTTCCAAGAGCCACAAATTGGAGCTGAATTTCAATGCTGACAGCGTCTTCCACAAATCAGTTTTTGGAGAAAGAGAAAGGGTTCCTGCAGTCCTTCTTAGGGTGAAGAGAAAAACGTATTAACTTTTTCATTGGGAACAAAATACATAAATATTTACAAATTTTAATTTTGTTTTCCAGGTATGAGGCTAAAGTTGTGGGAATCGTCAACACGTGCTATAACTTCAAAAGTATACATAAAATGAAAATATTTCCTGCAACTTTTTTGGTTTTATTTCAGGTATGTGCGACTTCCAGTTCTTGCCGAACGCCAACCCAGACACCTCGGTGTTCCCTTTGAGTACGGTACCTGACCCTGACTCCCTTCTAAGGAGCGATGCGACTGTTCCACCCCTCTACTTCCCTTCCTGCCACCTTTCAAAAATGGACACTCCGTCGCCGTACTGCTACTCGAACCGCTCAAACTCATACGGCAACCGACCCTCCAGAAGGAACCACACACAGCGGGTGCCTTTCACCCTGAACGCCCCGTTGCCCTCCACCGCCCTTCCTGGCGCCATGAAAGTTGCCCAGAGTAGAAAATTGGATCATATTGTGACCATCGTCAAAGACTTGTTTGACAAAAGGCCCATTTGGACACGGGCTGCCCTGCTCAATGCCCTGGGTCTTGACAAGACAACCTTCAGTGCAGTCATACCGTGCATTGCGTTTTTCTTCTTGGTACTTGAATAAATTATTAAACGTTGAATTTATATTTTACCAAAACAACTTTTTAAGGGAGGGCCGTGGAGGCTGACTTGGTGCAGACACGGTTACGACCCGAGGACTGACCCTGCTGCCAGGTATTGGCAGATTATCGAGTTCAGGGCGCAGTCCATCGACCTTCGAAAGCACCTGAAACTGAGGACAGGGGAAAAAGAAAACCCAGTTTTCACCGAAGGGCAAATTCCGTCGCAGCTCAATTCCCTTTTCCAGGTTTGAAAACTAACTTTTGCTAGAAAGGGTTTCAAACTGCCGTTTCTAGTTGGTGGACGTTCATGTGAAGGAGGTTCAAAACCTGCTTTTGTCTGTGCCCTTCAAAATTTGCCAAGAGAAGCACGGGTGGGTTACGGCAGGAACAATTGACAAGATCAGGAAAATCATTGACGAAAAGGCCACTGACGCAGTTGTCATGAAATATGGTATGATTTTAATCTATGATTCCAAGCATTAAGATTACCTGAGTTGAATACTAGGTCGCACCGTGCCTGTGCAAGCATGTGAAGAGCAAGACGAGGATAGTGACGACTCGCTTGTAGTCCTGAGCAACCAGAGTGCGGCCGAGTCTGCAGATTCAACAGATCTAGATTCGGATGATGAAACTTGAATTAAAAATCTTTTTTGTCTTATTGGTACTTCTTTTATTTCATAGGTGATTCAGGAGTTAAAATTAATGTTCGACGATACAGTAACAATCACAACCATTCAAAATTTCTGACTTATGTTGCTTGCCTACAAAATGAAATTTCCTCTAACTCCGATTACAATAATCTCTGGTAATAATTGTGATTCGGGAAGGGCCTGTCCCTAGTGAAAATCTCGTTGCACTTGACTTTCTCAGTTCAGCATTGTTTTCTCGGGGTGAATATTTTTTAAATGCACAACACAACAGTCACAAATGCAATTAAAAAGGAATTCGTAGAACTTAAGTAATATAAAAAACGGAAACACCGATAAGATCACAGGCGAGTTGTTTTTGAATTAGCCAAGCAGGAAAGCGGCCAGTTCGTTGGGACACACTGGTTGGGCGTGAAGCGTGGACACCTCCTCGGCCTCGTGCAGGAATGTGAGGGACGCCTTTTTCATTTTAGCACCGAAGAATCCGGGCAGCACGGAACTCACGTTGACCAAACTGCTCATCTCTGGAGCACACTGCAGGCCTGGGGGTGGGGGCAGACACTCGTCCCAAGACAGCTGGTGAACGACCAGGCCTGCCCTGGGACGTACCTTCAGCCAGCTGGTGCGAAGGTTAAGAACGTGCAGGCCGCACTCAGACTTCGAATTGGGGGTGAAGGAGGGCTTGAGAGGAACGAGTGGGTCGCCTGCGGCAATCAAGTGCACCAAGGGCATCAGCAGGGACTGGTGGCTTAGGTGGGCGGCCAGAGAGGCGCGCGGCCAATGGTCAGACTGACAGCTCTTGCGCTCCAGCAGCAGGCGAAAGACGTTGGGAGTCGGGTGGTTGTCCTGAACTCCCTGAAATCCACCAAATCAGATAATTTTAAATAATTCAATTACCATTTATTCTAACCTGGTTCAGGCCACGGTTGTCATCCTGACCGAGTCTCCTGTCCTGCATGACCTCAAATTGGCCAGTCTGCAGAGAAGCCGCTCCGAGCGGCTGCCCTGAAACCAAAGAGAGGCGGACTCCACTGTCCTCAATGAAGCCCATACTTGACATGGGAAAGTAATGAGCCTGCAGTGGCAGTTTGCTGAGTTGACGCCTCCTCTCGATCATTTGGAAGGCGTTGAGATCAGTGAAGTAAGTGTCACCACTTTCGATGTCTGAGGAAAAACGCATGGCAATCTCAATGTTGTTTCCGTCCACCAGCTCGACAAGGTTGACAATTTCAATCGAACCTCCAACTTCTCCTACAAAGTCAAGATTTATTTCATTTCCACCAGCCAAGAATAATGTGTTTGTTTGTTTGTTTACCTGAGCAATTATAAATGGTTGCTGTGTGCAGTACAAACGGCAACTGGACTTCGATCTGTGTGGCCACAGGGCCGCTGATGACCCTGACGAGAGGCGCTTGTCTGGTGGTTACAATCTTGGCGGGCCCGTCTGGCAGGAAAAGGTAAGCGCCGCTCCTCTCTCCACCCTTTCGAGCGCCGTACTGGACGAACTCGAGCTTGACAGGAATGGTTAGGCCCTGGACGGTGACCGATCTGAGCAGACCGTGGTTTGAGAAGACCGCAGACAGTTGCTGGGAAGTCACTTTGATATCCTGGCCTTCAGGCAAAGAGCCGATTTGCTCGAAACCTTCAGCCGAGTGCAGTCTGTGCTGCCCTTGGTGGTTGGCTAGAGAGACAGAAGCCAGCGGAACTTGCTCCTCGACACTGCTCGTCCACGAAATGAGGTAGGTGGACAAGGAGAAGGGTGGCACTGTAACGATGAAAATCAACTCGTATTCGCCGTCCACCATCGAAGCCATCTCGTCGAACAACGGCTGCACCTGACTAGGCACAGATTGGCCGTCATAATCTGAAACCTATAAATTTTTTGTTTAATAAACTGAAATTTTTCTAAAAGGTTCAGTAATACCTTGACATTGTATTGAGCGACTCTGAGTTTTACGAATTCAGTTCGGGCTCTGTTCAATGAGTTGAAAAGGACAATTTTTCTAGTGGCAAGACCCTCTCCGAAGGTGATTTTGTTTCTCTTCGACAAGGCCCCTGTTCTGGGCCTTGTGTCGTCCAAGTGGAAATAAATGTCATTAGGATCAAGTTGAGGATTTAACTAAAATAGATTTGCTTTAGAGAGAATATTTAAATTTAAAATATATAAGAACCTGATGATAGAGCAAATACTGAGTGCTCATTTGGATAACATGCTGCGCAGCATCAATGGCCTTGATCATTCTATTAACAGAAAATTTAACAATTTCCCAAAGTAAAATTAAATTTTCCATCTTTACTTGTTGCCATAATCCCTCATCACGTGGTCCTTGGCAGTGCCGGTGACACCGTCGTGGTGCTGGAAGAGGGCGTTTGCCTGCCTGGCCATGTCCAGCTTTGTTCGAAGCCCAGCGTGCGGAGAAGTGAGCCACTGCGTCACTCCTTTGTTGTCCTCGGACTTTCCGTGACCCCAGGCAAGTGAGAACAGAACTTCTGCCGCTCTCAGGTAGCCTATTAGGACCCTGTCCAGTCTCTTGTAGTAGGGTCTTGAGGTGAAGTAGCCGCTCCAGTAATGATCATCTCTGTCAGCATAGGTGAAGAAGTCACCCGTCAAAGAAGGAAGATTTTTCTCCCCTCCAGTCTCCGCTTTCAAAGCTGAAAAAAATTCATCAGAATTAACTCAAGCATTCGCAAGAACAAAATAAGTTACCATTAAAATAATCGGCAAGAGTGGCGAATTTGGCCTCAACATAGAGGTCGTGCCTCGAGTTCATATGGTCAAAGAGAGCCTGGTAGTTGTTGAACTGAGCGTCCCACTCGGCCGAATGGTCGTACCTGAAGTCATCACCCAGAGGCACCAGCAGCGCGTTGGTCCGGTACAACTGGGCCTTTTTACGGTACTGGTCAAGCAGCAGCTCCGCCCTCTGCCGAACGTTGTCGTCCGTGATCTGCTGGGGCGAAATTCGCCAGGGACAGGTCACGCCGTACCCTGGCAGTCTCTTGAAGTCAAACTGGCAGCACACCTTGGGGTCAGGGCCGCAAGTGTGCGGCACGTCGTAGCTGTAAAAGGGCATCATGTGGGTGAGCATGTCAGTGGAGGGGCCCGACCAGCCCTGGCGCCACCGGAACTCGAGACCCTTGTCCTGCGCCAGGCGCTTCTTCACCGAGTAATGCACCCTCTGGATCAGGGAGAACTCCATGCGGCTCTTCTTGAGGATGTAAGCCTCGGTGGCCGAGTGGCCGAAAGGGTCGATGGCCCACGCGTGCTTGGGTCGCACGCCCAGGTGCTGCATCAGCCACTCGTGACCCTCGGTCAGCTGCTGCACCACGGCCCAAAAGTGGGCGTTGGCCTCGTCATTCATGACCCAACCGCCGGTCACAATTTCCAGCTGCCCGCTCTGCACCAACTGCCGCAGCTTCTCCTTGTTCTGGTCGTTCTGCTCGGACCACCACAACATCAGGTACGACACCTCGGCCCAGATGAACTTGCGCCTCGAGTCCTCCGACAGTTTCGCAATCAGGTTGGTCAGGATGGCTTTCGTCTGCGAGTGGTAGTAGTCTTCAAAGGTCTTCAACCAACCTGAAAGTTAAATTAATTTCAATTTTCAAAATTTTTACTTTTCTGATTTAAAAAGTTTGTTTCATTACCAGGGTCATTGTGAGAATGGGGGATGAGGAAGACTTTGAGCTTCCTCTTGGGTCCCCACTGCTGCTTGTTGTACTCAATGTTCCACCCCTGCTTCCACACCCCTCCGTCAGGGTTGTCGAAGGGGATGCTGTTGTAGAGGTCGAGCATCAGGACGTCGGCCACAGTCGGTGCCGGACACGTCCTATCGTCAGCAGCCTGAACCTCATTCTCTGCATCTACAAAATAAAAATTATGTACTTTCAATTTTCCCTTTTAAAACAGTTTCTCACCCTTGAGGTCAGTGTTGATGTGGACGAGTTCGCTGATGGTGTCGATGGCTTCCTTGATCTCCTGAACCTTGTTTTGGTTCCTTTTGATGTCTCCTTCCAATTTTTCCAGGCTAGATTCAAACTGTTTGCCCCACTTTGTCTTAAATTAGAAAATTGTATATAGAATTTCCTTTTTGGTAAAAATTAATTCCTACATTGGACGAGTGACTCTCTCTGGTGAGGGGAGCGTGGTTGGCCGAGGGGATCAGGGTGAGGTCAAGCACCAGGTAGAGCAGAACGCACCCTCCGAGCACCGTCACGGCACCCACCAGGGCGAAAATCTTCCGCAGCCGCATTTTCCTAAACAATTTCATTAAATACAGAAAATTGAAAGTTGTAATTTTAATGTGAACGTTTTTACCTCATTTGATAAAATTAACAGTGCAGCAAATTTTCGTCTTCAATTAAAAGCCCTGAAGTGTTGTCGTGGCTCACTATCAGCAGAGCAGCCCACAATCAGACGCGAATTATCAACAGAAGGGTTCATTTGGTGTGCGGCTCGTCCGCTACTTTTTAGGCCGCGTTGACGCAGGACACATCTGTCTATTATTCCCTTTTTCCGGAATTTTCAAGTTTCACGTGTCAACATTTCCTGGGGGATATCCTGAGCAAAATATTAAAATAATATAAATTAAAATATTAATAGTAAAAATATCGTCGACGCAACACCCATAAAAAATGTATAAATAACAAATTTTTTTCAGTACATATTATGTATAAAGAATATTACCTCAGGTTTGAAATAGAAAATAAACTGGCCGGTTCACGTTGTGTCCCACAGACGTCCGGCCGGTGGCTGCACAAAATTTTGAGTCGTTTCCGTAGCCAGAAAAGAAAAGTACGTGTTTTGAAAAGGGGCGGAGCTCTGTTGGTGTGAAACGGGGCGAATCGCTATTGACACGGCAAGTCCGTGAAAATAACAACTGTAGCGGAACGAAAGGCCAGGGTCGGTGACCTTTGGCAAAGATCGCCACCGCAATTAGCCCCGACCTAATTAACCAAATGCCAGAAAAGGGTTAATTTTTGCTGGAATTTTGCTCCGAAATGAAAAGGAATCGCTTTTGGCATTCACTCGGAGAACAGGTGGTGCTTTTTGCGCGGCGATCGACGCGCCGCCCGCGGGTGAACCGCGAAGGTCGGCCAGGTGAGAAGGTTGAGACGACTTTTCCCATGCCTAGGGTCGCTCTGCTGAAGCTGGAGGGTGTCGTGGTCATGGACGTGTGAGGGTGAGGTCACCGCCGTCCGATGACCTCGCACGAGCTGTACTGCAAGGTGAGTGACCCGAGCAAGAGGTTCACCCGGAGAAGGCAGGATCGGAAATTGAAACGCGGAGCTGACAGGAGCAGCTTTTTTTCGTTTACGTCAAACTAAAAAAATATTATAATTATTATGCACCATTGTATACAAATGAAGTCGGCTAATGTGGAGCAGACCAGATTTTTCTTCCTTTGGAGCCAAAGTTTCTTTTAAAATTTGTTCTCGCTACGAAATTAATTAATTTCTGAAACTGAACTTTTGTTAAAATTAGATTTTTAATTTGACAGAAAGTAATTTTTTTAAATTCTTGGATTTTTTTAATTCAATTTTTTTTCATTATCAAAACAAACAGGAAGTTTTGCTAGTTAATGGTGGGAGGATCGTGTGTGGTGTCGGAGGAAAGATTTTCCCCGAAATTGTAAAGCAGCTGCACGTTTTTTTATCTAATCGCTCTTGCACGCTGCGCCTTTAAAAAATTTTGCGCTGACGTTTTATGGTATTTTTTGACACCAAGTTTATTTTATAAAACCTCGTTTTTACTCGGCTGAATTTCACGAATTGCAAATTAAGAAACAAATCAATAGTGGCGGCGTGCGGATGTGAGAATTGGAGCTTATTCGGGGAGATCGATAGAGTTTGCCTTGAAAGTAGGCCACCAGTGCCAGCAGCGGCAGACGCAGAGGGTGCACGGGGCCAATCTGCGCCGCACCGAGATCATTTCTTCCGTGATTTATTAAAAGTTAACATGCCACTTGATTTAATGAAGATTTATATTGAGGACAAACGAGCGCGAAATTGTTTCGAAAGGGAAAATTAAAGAGCAATTTTTTTATTGGCGCGACTTAATCGCTCCGCTGGTTTGCGGAAAAAATGCAGAAGCGATCGATCAAGCGAAAACTCGTTTTGTTGCGAGCAGAAAAAATAATCCCACGTGCTAAGTAATTAACATGAAGAGATAATTGAATTTTATTGTTGATTTGTTAAACGCTTTACATAGGAAATATTCATCATAAATTTTTAATCAAGAGTTGTTAATCATTTGCCATTTTATTGAGAACTTTGAAATGAAATTTTGAAATTTTTAGCAGATTAAATAGTATAATTTGTTTTTTTATAATTTTCCATTGTAACAATTTTGCCCATTCATTAAAAAAATGATTAAATCTCTAAGATTTAAATTGAAATCTAATTGAAGTTTATCAACTGATAATGAAGTTCCTTGAAGTTGGTGATTTGAATTTAAAATCGGCTTCTCCTCGATGGGTTTTTGTGAGTTGTTTATTGTTTCAGAATAAACAATATCCTGCTCAATAAACAACTCACCAAAACCCATTGAGGAAAAGCCGAAATTCAAATCACCATGAATCAACCCTCGATCGTGAAATTCTACCACAAAATTCCTTGAAGTTCTTGATTAAAATGTTTAAATCAATTTCGCATAAATAAAATTTTTAGATATGAAATATATGTTCTTATTTATATTTTTTAAGCATGTAAACAATGACATAAATATCCCTGCCATGCCAAGAAGAGCAAAAGGTTGACGAGTTTATAGCTCTCAGTTTGAAAACTCTGATGCATTTTTCGGATTTTTTTGACACAGTGAAATTATTTTCATAAAATATCAAAACCTTCGAATCCTTCCATTATTTATTTCATTGAAATGTTTGTGGACTGAAAATTCAAATTCATTTAATATTTCTTACTCTCAATTACTCTTAAGTTTAATTTACAAACGTTCATTATATTTCATTTTCAAGCGACTGAATAGTTCATTATTATTTAAAAATTTTACAAAGAATTTAATAGGAAAACCATTTAAAATAATTTGTCAAATTAATAATATTATTTTTGTAAAGTAATTATTTTTGAAATTTCCTGATTTGATTGCTTATATCTTCAATTAAAATTTCTTCAGTAAAATTTTATCATAAATGCCAAAATAAGTTTTTTTTTAAGTTACTTGTAATTTGTCTTAATTTACAAGGATCATTTCTCGAGGCTACAAAGCGTCTTATAATTTTCTGCTACAATTACTTTGACATTCTTGCGGTCACCCATCTTTCTCTTCTCTCTTCTGTGTTGTCACCAAAGCTCGTCTGCAATCAGAGGCGACCCTGAAAGGTTCCTCACCTGCCGGCGGCGGCGACCACATTACATAACGCGCCATGAATAATTTGGTGGCAACAATTTTTATCGCCAAACGTCTCCGAGAAAAAGACCTTGGGCTTAACACAATGGATCGCAAAATCGAAAATCAGGTGCCAAAAATCAAAGTCACATGATTCGAATTGTTACATTGCCTGAATAAAAGTCATGTGAGCAATTCAAGCTAAAAATCAACAAGACAAGAAGGTTTGCGTTGTTTTTCTTTTTTTTTCAAACTACTCTTCGTTTCCTTCTTTGAATTCTGTTCCGTTCATAATCTTTTTGAAATCAAGTTTCAATTTTAGACCATTTAAAAAAAAAATTGAATGTGAAAACAAAGCAAGTCAATTTTTAACTTCGTAAGAAAAAAAGGCTTTTTTTCTCAAAATTAGAGTGAAAGATTATTTGCTCTTGGCGTAGCAAAAAGAGAAGAAAAATGCAGTCATTTTGCTAAATAAAATTAAGTAAAAAGGAAATTATTGATAGTAAAAAAATTACAAATTAATTGAAAATGTTTTAATGTACCTGTTATCGTTTAATTTTAAATAGTAGACCTACCTGTAAAATATAAATTCACTAAGAATGATGCAAAAAAAAAATTCCCGAAGAGAATGAAACATTTTAATCTAAAATTTTAGTTGCAAATTAAGATGTTGGTGTAAACCACTAGCAATTTTATAGTAATATTATAATATTTGCCTGAGAAGACGGCACCTTAACTCTAAACGTCATAAAATTCTCATAGTTTTTGGGCAATTTTTGTAACAAGAAAATTGTCCTTAATTCTGCTGAAGCAACAGAATAGTGCATTTTTTCTTAAATTGGTGACAGCATTGATATTCAAAGACATTGTTGTGAAAAAATCCTAATCTTTTAAGTTATCAGGAAGGAAAGTTTTAAAAATTTGCACCAAAATATTTTGTTCAAACAGCATGAAAACAAGATATGAAAATTCTATAAATTAATTAAAAGTTTCTAAATATTCTGAAAATAAGAAAGCATAATAAAATTCTTTAAATCGCACATAATTTGAATCAGAATGAATGTATCAGATTAAACAAAATCTTGTTGTACAACTTGCATTTATAATTAATATTAACGCAAATAATAGCAATAGTTTAATTATTAAAAAATTGTTTACAAACGTTGAATGTAAACAATGTGATGTGACAATTGAAAAAAAAAAGTTTTCGATACGCGCAGGTGGCCGAGGAGGAATGACGGGCGCGATCGGAAAGGGACTGCAAGTGGAGTGAATCGATCACGGGGGGCAAAGGGGCCGCGCGGCGTCAGGTTTCCTTTTTTCTCTCTCTCCGCGTCCTCTCTTCTCGCGCCTCGAGTCAGTCTTTCAGTCAAACAAAGTGCGGTCGGTCGTGCGAGCGAGAGTGGCGATTGAGCAAAAGTGGCCCCGATGCCATGATCCGCGTGCTGCCCCGGGTGCTGTGGGCCAAAGGCACCCCCGTCAACGGCTGCCCCGAGGGCCCCGAAGGCCTGCCCTCGCACCAACGCCGCTTCGGCCGCTGGCACGCCGCCCCCGACTTTGCCCACCTCTACACCGAGGTAAAAAAAAACAGCTGAAATCTAATATCAGATAGAATTTATTTATACGGTCACGGGGACTTCGAGCTCCAACAAACACACACTCAATCAAGAAACCCAAGAAACTGTAAATCAATTCCATCGAAATAATAGTTTCCATGCCTTTCACACGACGCATTTTGAACAATTATTTCAATAAGAATTTCAAATTCTAAATAAATTCTTATATAGAATATAAAAATAAAAATAAATTTATTTTTATTTTGTTTTCAAATTTTATAAACATAATTTTTTTGATGCTCAAATTCTTTCTTGTGGTAAACTACAAATTCTACAGTTGTTTACTCTCGTTTTGAACTCGAAAATTTTCTAACTATTCCAAGGTTTTCTTTGGAACTTATTATTAGCAGCTCTGAAAACCAGTTTTGCACGTTGGCATCAACCAGTGCAGAATTAATGGCTTAAGCTTGGGACCTTTTTGCATTAGATGTCTATAAACAGATATTTATATATAGATTTAAGAGTTGACACAAAATCCTCAGCCCAATTTAATTTTGTCACGATATTTTTCAGAGTAGAAAGTAGCCACGTGCCTTCCATTAATTCCGATGAATTTTATTTGTGATTATTATATAATTTGGCTTAATTCTGCACAACTGTTCTATTGATTCTATTGAAATTGGAAAATCAGAACTTAAAATGGTAATTAAAATTAATAACATTCTAATCGCCTTGCTGGAAAAGCATTGAAGTTTCATGTTTTATTGTGATTAGTAGGCTCAAGTTTTATTGCAGAAATAAATTACTTGAATTTTTATAACAAGTTTTTTTCATTTTGATGTATTTAAATGTTTTTAATTATTCAAATTAATGGTCTCTTTTAAACGATATATTTATTCTAAGGATTCCTCTAAAAATATATTTTATCTTGTTTATCTTATAATTGAACTCAATCAAATTAACTTAAATTGCTCAAATCACATAATAAGTAGAATTCTAAAATCAGAAATATGGCGGCTGAAACAATAACAAGACCAACGCTCAGATTTCGGGATATTTTAAATCGGTTTTATAAACAAACCTTTTTCATTAAGGTAAAAAATGAAAGTTAATCATCAAATTTAAAAACAATCACTTTGAAAATGTAAAAGAAAACGGATTTACATCAACTATGTCTGCTCGTCTTTTAATTTTCCATTTTTACTTGTCGTGGACTTTTGTTGTCTTTTTCCGACAAAATTAATCCACCCACGTCTGACGGCGGATCTGAGCTTTAAGCGTGTGTTGTGCATACATATAAAAAAGCGGCGGGATTTCTCGTGCACGTTAAAAAAATCAACACCATTTGTACGGGTTCACGCGCGCGCATTGTATAGGTGCAGTGATCAAATTTCCCCTCGATCCTGTCAAGCCTTAAACTTCAGCCACTGCCAAGTGCAAATCGGACACTTGCTCCAAACCGCCAAAAAATTATTCCTATGAAATGCAAATATTCACATCAGACCGAGTTGAAAAGTTATTTCTTTCTTGTGCTGGAAAGAAGAAAAAAATTGATTAGCCAGTCACGCGTTGAGAATTGACGTTTTTATTGGGAGTCGGACGAATGAATGAACTGAAATTTGACGTGTTGTGTGTTGACAGGGGGCCCGGGTGTGGGTGCCCTGCGCAGAGGATGTGTGGGAGGGCGCCGAGGTGCGCCACGACTACAAGGGTGGCGCCCTCGTCATCCTCACGGAACGCGGAAAGGTAACAAAAATAAGGGTTTTTTCGAAAGATTTGCTAATTCTGGTCCTGCAGGAACAAGAGCTGACCATCAAGGACGACAAAGAGTTGCCGCCCTTGCGCAACCCAGACATTCTGATCGGCGAGAACGACCTGACCTCACTCTCCTACCTGCACGAGCCCGCCGTGCTCTACAACCTCAAAGTCAGGTTCTGCAGCCAGAACGCCATTTACACCTACTGCGGTCAGTGTTTTGAAAATTCTCCTACTTTTCATTTGCAAAAATTTTAATAATTTTGAAATTGAAAATAATCGCTCCACTTTCACTTTTAATTAATTTTTATTGTCCAAAAAATTTAAAACTTTCAATTAAGATTTGAATATTTTCAGATTAAAAGATAACTTTTTGATTAATTAAAAATTACTCTCATAATAAAAAGTCAAAATTTTGGTATATATTCCATTCTTTAAAGCCAAGGTTTTCTCGCACAGTGTCATTAAAACCACTTAAAAATTAAACCCTGAAACTGCTTTACAACACAAACAAAGACATAACTTTTCCCTAATTGGTGCAGAAACACACAAGCACACTAACAACAATTTGGAGAATTTATTTTTACTTGAATCATATTTGTTTAGGAAAAACGTCAAATATAAATTCATACAAAGCCCATCACAAGTTTCTGATGTTAATTCTACAAATAACTTTTAAACCCTTTCACTTCCCGTCCGGCTGAATTATGATTCAATAAGTTGATTGGCCTTGACAAGATCGCGGATTAATTAAACATGTCACATGCTTTTTACATTTCAACTTTTCTAGCCAAGAAAACTGGACGACGTCATTTAATGTTGTTCTAATAAGCGATTCCATAATTACTTTCCAGTTTTTTTGTTGGGCTCTTGATTCAGTTCTCCTAGTATAAAAGTTATCCTCTGAGGAATCCAAATGTATAAATTTTATACCGCTGTCCTAGGATAAATATTTTTTAATCCCACCTTCAATTTTTTGTCCCCAATTAGTTTGCCATAACATTATCTAAACCCGCATCAATAGGACAAACATGTAACTCGAGCTGTAATCAAATCAGCTGGTTATGGTTATTTAAAGACTCGGTAACTTTTTAAATTTTGTTTGTTGAAACAAATGATTTCTTTGAAAAATTGTGCGTGTAAAATTTCCCAACTCCAACGGATTCGGTAAAAATTAGTAATTACGAATTTAATTAAAGTTGTTATAAATGAATTTTTAAATATCGATTAATACGAATTTTATTTAAATTGGTAAATGCACATGTGTACAAAAATTGTTAAATAATACTAATTTTAATAATTTTGTCCGAGACAAATTATATAAGATGAATTTTGAAATTTTCATAACATTGGAAAACACAATTTTCCAAAACTGAGAATCACTCATTTCAAAACACGCGATTCACTCATGCAAGTAAAATTAAAACATTATTTCCAAAACCCAATTTTACACAGAATTTAACGGTAGATATGGATATCTATTTTGCCCTCATTTTCATGATCCTCGCAAAATTCTGATCAATAGGTCAGTATTTAAAAAATCTGGTTTGATCATAGCGCGTGATAAATGTTTATCCTTTTGACGCGGGGTAAGAAAAAGTTATCTTTACAAAAAAATTTAAGGTGGAACAAAAAAATTATTGATCACGGGTCAGGGCATTAAAATTTATCCCTTTGGATTTATCTCGAGATCCTTTTTACATTGGGAGAACCAAGTCAATAATGTGGTTGCCAATATTATTTTCAAAGTTTCTTTTCTTTTAATTGGCAGGAATCGTGTTGGTCGCGATCAACCCGTACCATGAGCTGCCGATTTACGGCCCGGACACGGTGTGGGCGTACCGGGGTCAGGCCCTGGGTGACCTCGACCCGCACATCTTCGCGGTGGCCGAGGAGGCGTACACCAAGCTGGAGCGCGAGTCGCGCGACCAGTCCATCATCGTGTCCGGCGAGTCGGGCGCCGGCAAAACCGTGTCCGCGAAATACGCGATGCGCTACTTTGCCACGGTCGGCGGCGCCGCCAGCGAGACGCAGGTCGAGAAGAAGGTGCTCGCCTCCAACCCCATCATGGAGGTGAGAAAAAATGTCCACTTTTTTGGCGGGAGAAATACTGAAAATTGTCTTCAAAATTTAGTTCAAACCAAAACAACCGGGCCTAGTCAGGTATTCTTAAAAGTATGAAAATTATTAAAAGATTAGTCTTTCCTTTACAATCTTTTGATTAAGGTCAGCTTTGATAAAACATTTTTTGCTATAATAATTACGCTCCAATTTCAAAGATAATCTGTTGATTTCTGTGGCAATTGCAGGCGATCGGAAACGCGAAGACGACGCGCAACGACAACAGCAGTCGCTTCGGCAAGTTCATCGAGATCCACTTTGACAAGCGGCACCACATCCAGGGCGCGAGTATGCGCACCTACCTGTTGGAGAAGTCGCGCGTGGTGTTCCAGGCGCCGGGCGAGCGCAACTACCACGTCTTCTACCAACTGTGCGCCGCGCGGGGGTGCGCCGAGTTGGCCGAACTGAGGCTGGGGCCGTGCGAGTCCTTCCGCTTCACCAACCAGGGCGACGACGCGTCCATCCCGGGCGTGGACGACGCGCACGCCTTCGAGGACACCAAGAACGCGCTGACCCTGCTGGGCTTCGGCCAAGAGCAGCAGGCGCGCATCTTCCGCACCCTCGGCGCCGTCCTGCACCTGGGCAACGTGAGCATCTGTGAGGCGCAGGAGGCCGAGAGCAGGGTGGCCGCCGACGACGCCCACCTCAAGCAGGCCTGCGCCCTGCTGCAGGTCGACGAGAAGGCGCTGCGCAAGTGGCTCTGCACCAGGCGCATCGTCAGCATGCGTGACGAGATCATGAAGGCCATGCCGGCAAGTTCAATTCTAATCTCAAATTGCAACATGTTGGAAATTTATTCAAACTTTTTTTGGAATTTGTTTCAATTTATGATTAAAATATCAAGAATTTTAAAACATAAAAAAAGAATTAAGAGTAGTTTCTGAGTTACTTGTTATTTGTGTGAGAGTTTTTAATTCTTCTTTATTATTCAAACTTTCCTTGAATTGAAACAATCAAATTTATTTGGGAGTAAATTTTAATAAATTTGAAATCATACAACATCCTGGCAACATTTTGCTTAGCAATCCAATAGTGGTTTTACAAAAATCCATTCATCCTGGAATCAAAAGCATTTTGCATTATTTAGATGAAAATGTTAAAAGCAAAAAGTGTGCAAAATTAAATTTTCGACAAGTTTTGTTTGAAACATAGTTCTCTAAAATGTTTTCCACAAGAGCTAGAGATAAAAACAATAAACAATGTAAGAAATTGGCCTTTCGTCAAACAACTGAATTTTTGACTAATTTAAGCAAACTCAAAGCACATCTAATAAGTGGTGAAAACTTTAGGCGCATTAATTTTTTCCAGGCTGAAACCTTTCTTTCCTGGACTACATTGGCTTTTAAATTAATCCTCATGTTAGTTTCCACACCAAGAATTAATGAATTACCTTTGAATTGACAGGTGGGTGAAGCTTCCGCAGCAAAAGACGCTTTAGCCAAGCACGTTTATGCGCAGTTGTTTTCGTGGATAGTGCGTCAGATCAACAGAGAGTTGGAAAACACAGGCCGCGGCCAGAGTTTCATCGGCGTGTTGGACATTTATGGTTTCGAGACGTTCGAAATCAACTCGTTCGAGCAGTTCTGCATCAACTACGCCAACGAAAAGCTGCAGCAGCAGTTCAACCAGCACGTCTTCAAGCTGGAGCAGGAGGAGTACCTCAAGGAGGAGATCGAGTGGAAGTTGATCGACTTCTACGACAACCAGCCGTGCATCGATCTGATCGAGGCCAAGCTCGGCATCCTGGACCTCCTCGACGAAGAGTGCAGAGTCGGTTTTAAAACAAAATAATAATCAAGTGTCGGTGTGTTTTGTAAAGAGTGAGTTTGGTTGCAGATGCCGAAAGGCTCGGACAGTTCGTGGGCCGAGAAGTTGTACGAGCGGTGCAAGAAGAGCAAACACTTCAACAAGCCGCGCTTCGGCACCCACGCCTACATCATCCACCACTTTGCGGACGAGGTCGAGTACCAGAGTGGTGGTTTTTTGGATAAAAATCGTGATACTGTGATTGAAGAGCAAATAGAAGTTCTTCGTCAAAGCAAAGTACGTCTCAATCAAAAAAACAAAATTGAATTTATTTTTCACGAGCTTTTGCAGGACGAGTTGATTAGGGCGTTATTTTTGGAAGAAGCGGCCCCAGTGAAACAATCAGCAACCAAAGTCAAAGTCCTGCCTGCAGCTACAGGCACTGCCACAAAAAGTCACAAAAAGACGGTAAGAAATATGACAAAAAGTCTCTTTACTTTGAGCAAATGTACTAGAAAAAATTGATCAAAACTTTTGAAGACTGGATTTGTAGCAAAGTTTAATAAAACCAAATTTTAATAGAGGAAACACCTTTGCCCATTTTAACCGTGCATGGTAAAATTTTTCTGCAACAAACTATTCTTTGGCCAATCATATAAATATTCCAATTCCAATGGATGCAAAAAAATTAATCTCTCTCATTCTCTACCTCTAATCTTACTTTGAAAATTTTGCCGTGGAACACTTGATATTTCACGTGAATAGTGAATTTTAAACTGCTTCATTTAGCACAAAAAGAAATTGCTCTAAACATGCCCAAATTGGAAAAATAAACACCGTAACGAAGGCAGTTTTAGTGAAATAGTTCAATGCAAATCGCAGATCAATCTACCTTCAAATCATTCAGACATATTTTACCAAAATATCATGTTTATCAATATAATATAATATGATATCCCATACCTACTTGATGAGACAAGTCTTTTTTCGAAATTCAATATTTTTTCAAATGTGCATTTCCAATAGATACCCTCAGGGCCTTCGGAGCAATTTTTTTTTAAAGGAAACCAGCAATCATTTTTAGTCTCACATTTATGTTTGAGAGCATTTATAAAGGAATTGTTCATCAAAATTTTAGAACCCAAAAATTTTGACTTACTTGTCTTTTTGAGAAATTTTGATGAAAATTTAAAACGTGTATAACTCTGCAATGGCGAATGCTAGAGTGATACAAATTTTTGGCGTAATTTTTTATGTCAAACAACTTTTCATCATCAATTTTCATTAATTTTTTACTTATTTATTAATGTTTTTTTTTATTAAAAAAAATCAATATCTGGGGATGAATGTACCTTTTGATTGTTTTGCAGGTATAGGAGAAATTGTAGCTTGTGTGATTTTGCATAATTTATGTAATTTTCAGAAGTTAAATTGTTTGCTTTCTCACAAATCCTATTCATATTAAAAAACAGGAAAAATGTTTACTTTTATTAAAAAAAATCCGGAAATAACAGGCATTACAGTTCAAATTGGTCTGTTAGAGTTTTCAATTATATTCAAATAAACAAAATGGGCTTATATTTTAATTCACTCACGTGAAATTGGTGGCTTTTTCACCTGGTTTATTAACTCCGGACGTGATTTGTCAACAATTCAAAACTATTCTGAAAATTACATACTTTATTGAGCATTCGAGATAAATTTCCTAAATTTTTCCTATACAAGCTAATACATCAAATGGGTCCGCCATCTTTTTAACTTTGTAATAAAGAAAATCAGAAAATCGTTGTTAAAAGTGACTTTGACCTAAAGCTTTGGTGTCAACAGTAAAGTTGTTCTGTTCAGCATAAAAAATTACATATATAGGTGATATTTTGATCACTCTAGAATATTCGCGGTTGCAGTTATAAAAAAAATATGAAAAAAATATATCTTCAGGAACTGCTCAGGAAAATTGATGTAAATTTTAGCATGATTTTCGTTCTTAATCATTTTTTTTTCAGGTGGGCTCGCAATTCCGCGACTCACTGAACATGCTGATGCAAACGCTGAACGCGACGACGCCTCACTACGTGCGCTGCATCAAGCCGAACGACTCGAAGGCCCAGTTCGAGTACAACCCGAAGCGGGCGGTGCAGCAGCTGCGGGCGTGCGGCGTGCTGGAGACGATCAGGATCAGCGCCGCCGGTTTCCCCTCGCGCTGGACCTACCCCGAGTTCTTCCAGCGGTACCGCGTGTTGTGCCGCTCGTCAGACGTCGACCGCGCCAACATGAAGCGCACCTGCGAGCACATCCTGAAGCGGGTCATCAAGGAGGAGGACCACTTTTGCTTCGGCAAGACCAAGATCTTCTTCAGGGCCGGCCAGGTCGCCTACCTCGAGAAGCTGCGCGCCGACCGGCTGCGCGCCTGCTGCCTCATGATGCAGCGCACGGTCAGGGGCTGGCTGCAGCGCCGCAGGTACACCAAGATCATGCGCGCCGTCAGGGGCATCCAGACCAGGGCCAGGGGCGTTTTGGCCCGACGCCGCACCCAGAACGAGCGCGAGAGACGCGCCGCCATCAGAATTCAGAAACAGGTAATTATTAATTTAGACACGGAGGAAGCACGAGACAGTGCAAGGCGTTCCGAGACGCTGCTTGGCGTTCCGAGGTGTTCTCCGTTGCCCACTCGCGCTCGTGGCTTGAAAAAAATGAGCTTTTGAGTGCTCGTCAACACTGGTAGTTATACTAGGAGCAGAGTTTTTGCATTTTTTCGCAATCAAATCTCTTTTGAACTCTATGAGAAAAAAAAACATTTCGATCGAAATTTTGTGTTGTAAAAACCAGTTAAAAATTTACATTATTTTAATTTTTTCAACCAGTGCCATTTTGAATTCAAATTATGAAATTAAAACCATTTTCTATATACAAATTTGTTCATTTTTTTTCCTTCTAGATTCGAGGATGGATGGCGCGGCAGAAGTTCCGGGCGATCAGGAAAGCAACGGTCGGTCTGCAGACGAGGGCGCGCGGAATGCTGGCGCGGCGGCGGTACATGGCGTTGCGGTACAACGCGAAGGCCATCATCATCCAAAGGTGGGTGCGCGGCTGGCTGGCCAGGCGGCGGTACCTGCACGCGACGACGCGACTGGTGTTGGCGCAGAGCGTCATCCGACGCTTCCTGGCGCGCCGCAAGCTCAAGAAGTTGAAGGCCGAGGCGCGCTCGGTGGAGCACGTCAAGAAACTGAACAAGGGCCTCGAGAACAAGATCATCTCGCTGCAGCAGCGCATCGAGGAGATGAACAAGGAGCAGCAGCGCCTCAAAGGCGCCTCGGGCGACCTCAGTGTCACCAAACAGCAGTTGGAGAAACTCAAGGCGGCCGAGCTGATCAGCAGGAAACTGCCCGAGAAGATCGCCGAACTCGAGGAGGAGCTGCGCATCGCCAAGGAGCAACTCAGGCACGAGATAGACGATAAGGTGGGCTGTTAATTTCTTCAAATATCTTGCCAAAAAATTAAAAAGCAAAAAAATAATTCATAATCGAGCAATATTGATTGAAATGAATAAAATTTACTTATTTACAATTGAAATTTTTGTAGATTGATCTCACGAACGCCGCTGCCAGGAAAGAAAAGGAATATATCCAGCAATTAGAAAATGTGAACAAGCACAATCAAGGCTTGAAACAGGCTGTGGAGCAACTGAATGAACGTTTGAAGTCGGCTGAGAAGGCAGTCAGAGGTAAGACTGTTGAATCGTTTTTCTTCATTTGCTGTGTAATATTCATTAACATTGGTTCTTACAATAGAATGTATCCTTTTAATCCTATAAGATGCCAAATTAGAAATACTGGGGTTGGAAAAATCAAAATTGGTTCATTCAGGCGACCAAAGAATTGCAAAACTCCAAGAATTAGCTTTGTTTACGTAATTTACAATTTTTTGGTTTCCTGCACCAATTTTGATGTTTCAACGCCAGTTTTTTTTTTGCATCTTATTAATAAGAACCAGTGTTATTTAATTAAATAACTGGTGAAGTGGATAAATTTTTTATAATTGGAATTATTTGTTCGCAGAGGATGCAAAAATGCAAATAGAAAAGGAGAAAGCGATGCTGATCCAGGAGCAGGACGAGGAGCGGATGGCGTACCAGAAGCTGCTGGCCGACCATCAGGAGCTGCAGAGCCGGTACGAGGCTGCGCTGAAGCCGACTCCGGCCCCGAGAGGTCGTCGCATGTCGAACGACGCGCCCGAGGAGGACTCGGGCATGTGGGGCGAGGAGGACGTGGGGCTGGTGTTGAAGCTGCAGCAGAAGGTGCGCGAGCTGGAGCGGGAGAAGGAGCGCTTCCAGCAGCAGGTGGAGAAGTTCGAGACGCGATCAGAGGCGGGCGAGGAGGTGGTTCGGGCCAAGGACCACTTCCGCCTCCAGGAACTGGAGATGGAGAACGAAAAGCTGCGGACGAGCATGACGGCGCTGAAGAACGCAGCCTCGGACAAGGACTCGTCGGGCGTGGCGCGCGAGTTGTCGCGGCAGACCGAGGCCCTGACGGAGGAGTTGGTGCGCAGGAGGGAGGAGTGCATCCAGCTCAGGTGCGTCCTGGCCTCGCAGACGCAGACCCTCGAGTACGGCAGCGAGAGCGAGTTGATCAACGAGGACGGCGAACTCATCATGGCCCTGGAGACGCAGAAGAAGATCAACCGCCAGCTGGAGGAGGAGGTGCAGAGTCTGCGGAAGCGCCACGAGAGGCGCGAGGCCGAGTGGCGCGCCGAGGAGGAGCGGCTGCGCGAGGAAACCGACGCCCAGCAGAAGATCCTGGCCATCGGCCTCAACGGCAGCCCCCAGTCGCAGACAGAGGCCTACATGCAGCACGAGATCAGGAGGCTCACCGGCGAAAACTTGGTCAGTGCAAGATGCTTTATCTAAATTCAAAACTACACTTTTATAAAAATTTTTAATTAAGTATTTTCCCAACAACTGGAAAATACGCTGCGATTGATTTAAAATTATTCAAAGTGTGTTTTAGTATTTTAAGTTTATTATGAAAAAACAATTTCTTTTCACCCAATCGCTTCAGTAAAGGGTGCCAAAGTAAGATCCAAGGGTTGAATTAATCATAACTGCTGATTTTGAGAATAGTGATGAAGTGAACTATTTTTTTCTAGATAGCTTTCGATTTGAAAAATGTCAAAGTTTCCAAAATATGTAAAAAATATTATATTTTTACTGAAATTTTTTCACCCCCTTGAGAAATGTGTTTTTTTTTCAGTCATTTAAAAATGTCATTTCTCCGACAGTTTAAAATTCCAGAAGAGGTATACTGGCTTTTTTGGATACTTTGACCTATGACATCTTGTGAATCGAAAGCTATCTAGAAAATAATACTTCAACTTCACGTGGCAAAATCAAAAGCTAAGAGCAAAAGAAGGAAGGAAAACGTGGATGATTACCAATTTTTGACCTTTGAACCTTATTTTGGCACCCGATAAGGAAGTGATGGGGGCAAAAAGAAAATAAATTCATACTTGAAACATTCTCACACAATAATTAAACTCTTAAATCCAAATCGTTTTATATCCATCGCAGCATTTTTGCAAATCCTTAATTAAAAATTAAAAATCTGTTTTAAAATTTATGCCACTGAGTGAAATAAGTGGAATTATTCAATACAAATGTTTAAAACTTCCTAAGAAATTGTCGAAATGTCCCAATTTTAAACAGAATTTTATTTAATTTTGTTCCGTTCCTCTTGAAATTGTCAGGATTTGCAAGAGAAAATCGACAGCCTGATGGAGCAGCTGCGGAAACAGCGCAAGGCAAGCAAAGTGAAAAGGCGCGACGGCGACACCCTTCCGATGGCCAAACAGGATCAGTTGCCCGAGTCGACGTCGCCGCAGCCGCAACCGCCCGTGCCTGTGATGCGCAAGAAAGAGCGCGACTACATGGGCATGTTTGAGTACCAGTCCGGAGAGGAAACACTCATCATCAGGAGAATCATCTACGGTTCGTTATTTCAAAAATTTAAATTTTTTCGTCATTATTCATCTCATTAATTTTCAGAGTTGAAGCCGAAGGTGGCCGTGACCCTTCTGCCAGGGCTGCCCGCCTACATCCTCTTCATGTGCATCAGGCACACGGACTTCAAGGACGACGACGAAAAGGTGCGCACGTTGCTGACCAACGCCATCAACGGCCTGCGCAAGGTCATCAAGAAGCGCTCCGAGGACCTGGACACGCACGTCCTCTGGCTCAGCAACACCCTGCGTCTGCTGCACACCCTGAAGCAGTACAGCGGCGACAAGGCCTTCCAGGCTGACAACACGCCGGCGCAGAATGAGCAGTGCCTCCGCAACTTCGACCTCTCGCAGTACCGCCAGGTGAGGACAAATTTCTATGAGGGTGTCTACATTTAAAGTGTCTATTTGACCAGATTTTTATCAAAGCTTCAATCAAAGAGGATTGACAAAAATGTTCCTGCTGACGTCTTCTTTCCATCCATGTGTCACACACTTAAACAAATTTCAAAAAGGTCACAGGTCGCCAAGGGGTCAGTGACCTTTAGTAACCTGATCACCATGTTATTGCCTTGGTAGAGACTGAAAAAGAATGAGCTAAAAATTGTCCTATTAATTAATTTAATTTTAAATTGTCGAAGAACAATTTTGTCTAAATTATAGACGTGGTTTGGTTTGAATTGTGGTTTTGAAATGTGGTAATTTCTGTCAGGTGCTGAGCGACATCGCGATCTGCATCTACCAGGCGCTGATGAAGCACCTGGAGTCGCGGGTGCAGCCACTGGTGCAGCCGGCCGTGCTCGAGCACGAGGCCATCACGGGCCTGTCGTCGAACAAGCCGGCGGGCATGCGCGGCCGGTCAGAGCCGCTGTCGCCGGTGGGCGCGGCGGCCGACGGCCGACTCGGCCTCAACTCGCTGCTGGACGAGCTGAGCTTCGTGCACCGGACGCTGGTGCTGCACGGCGCCGACCCCGAGGTCGTCACGCAGATCTTCCGGCAACTCTTCTACTTCATCTGCGCCGCCGCCCTCAACACGCTGCTGCTGCGCAAGGACCTCTGCCACTGGTCCAAGGGCATGCAGATCCGCTACAACATCAGCCACCTCGAGCAGTGGTTGCGCGACCACCGCGTCTCCGACAAGAGCGTCGTCGACACGCTCCAGCCCATCATCCAGGCCTCGCAGCTGCTGCAGGCGCGCAAGACTGAGAACGACGTCGTCGCCGTCTGCGAAATGTGCGACAAGCTCTCGGTCTTCCAGGTTGGAAATAATGTTTCTGATTGATTTTGGCTCTTTTCTTGAACACCGATTTTGTTGCAGATCATCAAAATACTTAATTTGTACACGCCGGCTGATGAATATGAGGAACGAGTTCCCGCCTCGTTCATCCGGCAAATCCAAGAACGGCTCGGAGAACGAGCCGAGTCACAAGGACAGGTAAAAACCTTGTTATTTCTCATTTTAATTTGGTGCAAAAAGTTTATTTTGTTATTTCATGAAAAAAAAAAACGATTCCAATCAGATACATTTAAATTTCTTGCATTTGCCCTGATTTAAATCATCTAAATTTTTGAGGATCAGTGTCTTTTGCACACTTTATTCTCCGCACTTTTAATCTATCTAAATTATTATTATTAAATATATTGTTATAAAACATAAAATTTTTTAAAATATTTATTACTATTTTTAGTATTAATAAATTTTGCTATGAAAAAATTGCATAAAAACTAGGAGTAAGCAGACCAGCCGGTTTTGGCTTTTGAAATAATTTAATTTCCTCGATCACTTTTGCCCAGATTCAAACAAGCTGATTTGCAACTGCCCACTAGATTTTTGTCATTCGCTCTTTTCATTCACCGCACTTTTTTTCATTCTTTTACACTTATTGTTATTTTGCTACCGTAGAAAAGCATAAAACCAGGATTAATTAATCCATGCTGGTTTTCCATCAGAATTAATTTATTTTTCTTGCATTTTCCCTGATTCAAATCATCTGAATTGGCGAGGCCAACTAGTTAAGTCTCTTTTACACACTTTAATCTCTGCAATTTTTTTCAATCTCTCTTTTGTGAATTTCGCTACAAAAATAGCGGAAAAACCAGGTTTAAGGATTAAACAGACCAGCCGGGGGGTTTTTTTTTTATTCAATTTCCTTGCGTTTGCCCACTTTCAAATCAACTGATTTGAATGTCAGCAGTATAGATCAGAGTTTTTCGCACACTTTATTCTTCTCACTTTTTATCAATTTTGTTTATTGAGCTACGGAAAAATAGCATTCGATTACATATTAACCTTCATAATTAATTTCACCTACCAACTTGGTTGGGGTGATATGAACTTCGTAAAAATTTTTATTATTTTTCATAGGAGGACATTTAAAAAAATAGAATATTTTAGAAAAATTTTGTAAGAAATAATTTTATTGTTAAAATCATTTTTTTATGTGAATTTAATTCTTCTTTCCTCAGAAATTTCATCTACAAACCAATGCAAAAGTATAATTAAAAAATCGTCAAAATTAATTGTGCTGTATTTTAACAGAAGCCCCTCATTAATCTCAATTTATTCGGACACCAAATTTTTTTTTCATTAAAATTAACTTTTCCCCCCTGATTCTGTGTCTTTGAAGTAAAATATTTTACACATTTTACTGTTTAAAACATCAAATTATGAACTTTAAATTAAATCTAACTATTTTTGACACTATTTTCAAAATATTTGACTTTTCTCGGTAATTTCTTTACTAATCGTTCTATATTCGGAATCTGTTGCAGGCTACTTTGTTGATGGACTCAAAGTTCAGTTTCCCCGTCCGCTTCCCGTTCAACCCTTCGAACATCAGGCTGGAGGACGTCGAAGTGCCGGACGTGCTGAACTTGCCAATGTTGCGCAAGGTGTGATCACATGTAGCACGCCAGCAGATCATAATAACATTCCGTTTTGTTACGTTTGGTTTTACAAAGTGTTTATTGTTGATAAAGAAAGATCAAGAGAGAGAATCTAGATTAATTATATATATGAGAATATAACTGTTTCCTTGGTTGTGCAGAACCAAAATGAAAAAAAAACGCATTTTCTTGCATTTTTCCTTCTACGAAATGAGACGCGATTTCGAAGACAATAGACCTTTATTAGTTTCATCCTTAAATATTCATATAAGATCAATTCATAGAGTGTTTGATATTGTTTCCGCACTTAAATTGCGTCATTTTCTGATATCCTATCGTTAATATAATATATATTATTATCAGAGAGCTGATTCTAAAGCACTTGTCCTTATTGTCGTTTGATGAGATATTATTATGTCATACATGATTCCTTATTTTTGTTTAAATTATTCTCCTGCGAGAGTCTTTCGTCTAACAAGTTATACAGTTATTTACACAGCATATTGTCGCTTCGTATGTTTTTTACACATTAAAAACCAAGTTCGGTGTGTATATAGGCCTAGGCAAAAAGGTTATACAAATCATTGCGCGTGGAAACTCGAACGGCGCTGCTCGGATTTTTATTGCCTTAATTTTCGCTCTCACTGTTTTCTCACTTAACATTAAATGGCACTTCTTCTTCATCTTTCCCCCAAGTAGTAGTTTATCCAGCAGCAAATTTTAATCGCACCGCCGACCGTACACACAATGAACAATATTTATACACATTATTGTATTATTTCAATTGACGTTTTCCACATGAATTTTGGCACAAGAGCAATTAATAAAATCGACTTCCGTCTCACAAGTACATACTTATTATATATAGACCGACTTTGCGTGTATAAAGGAGAGATATATTTATTTCGCTTTTGATATTATTACTCGAGACAAAAAAAATGTGCGTCCGTCCGCGTTTTGGATTTTGCAAAAGGAGTTTTTGATACGTCTTCAATGATAAAAAGTCCCTATAGCTAATAAAATACCAATTAACGGCGAATATATGTGTAGAGAGAAAAAAAAGAGACTAGAGAGCAGAGACCACTCGACTCCGAAGCAAGGGAATTAAGCAAAAATGCCGCTAGTCACAGAGGAGTATGTACAAAACATTGGTGTCCTACTATATTTTAATTGTTACCAACAAAAAAATGCAGAAAAGAGATATGGTTTTCCGAAATGTGTGGCCATGTCTCAGACTTTTGTATATAAATGTGCGCGTGAGTTTTACAGCTAAGGAGAAAGCTCTATTATTGACTGTAGGAGAGGCGTTTATAATTTTCGCACCATTTTCTGTTTCTACGTTTTCGTGCCCTATCAAAATACTCGTCAGCAGATCTGTTTAGTCATTAGTAATCCGTCCATTTTTTCCAAGCCAGATAAAAATTTAATTTGATAAAAGATTATGTTTCATTTTCATGGAAGGGCTTTTTTTAGAAGGAGATTTTAAAAGCACCTAATGTGGTTTGTACAAAAATGGTGGTCGTTTTATAATTGCAAATACTTTGATGCAATCCGTCCTAAAATTAAAAAAACTTATCACCTAAAAATTAAAGACCATTGTTGTCACATACAAAACAAAAGGGACATTTTCGGCTTGATCTTCCCTAAATTGCGCGCAGTGTAATTTGAGACCTGCTGACTGAGAAGACGAGACACGTTTGCACCCAGAAACGTTTGCGTTTTAGACGGTGCTGGTGGAGTTGCAGCAGCGGTCGAGGGGCAGGGCCTGGCGCTCCTCGAGTTGCATCTCGTATCAAGCCTGTTGCTCTTGGTCGGAGGAGCCCTCGAGGTCGCGGCCCTTGGTCTCAGGTACGAAGGCGAGCACGAAGAAGAGGCCGGCGACGGCGATGAGCGAGTAGAGCCAGAAGGCGCCGCCGATGCCCAGCCACTGCTGAAAGTCGACGAACGTCTTCACGCCGATGAAGGCGCACGTGTAGCTGAAGCCGGTGCCGATGGCGGCGCCGGCGCCGCGGTCCTCCAGAGGGAACAGCTCGGCCAGCAGCAGCCACGGGATCGGGGCGATGCCCAGCGAGAAGGCCACCTGCAACACCAAGACTGCTTTTTAAGTTAAATTCTACAATAAAATATATATAATAATGTCTAGGGAAATGGTTCAAAACTCAGCAATATGAACTAAAATGACAAAATTAACAAATCCTGATATTATAGTTTAGATCGAGCCATATTAGTGAAATTATGTAATTTATATCTAACGACGAAACGCCCACGCTAAAAGAAATAATTTAGAAATATTATGAGTAAAGAGGCTGCTACAAAAATACGGCAGGACTACATGGAAGATCATAGATAATTTTGGAAATATTTAACATATAAAGACATGCACTGCAGTAAAATAAAACACCAGACTACAGCTCAGTTGTGTGCGTTGATACAATGAAATGATAAAATTTTCAATATAGTCCAGCTGTGTGTGTATCTAGAATAGAATGTTGAAATTTTTAGATTAGCCCTGAATTGTGAGTGGCTAGGATTGAATGTTCAAATTTTCAAAATAGCCCTGATGTGTGAGTGGCTAGAATTGAATGTTCAAATTTTCAAAATGGCCCTGATGTGTGAGTGGCTAGGATTGAATGTTCAAATCTTCCAAACAGTCCTGTTGTGTGAGGCTAGGATTGGCTCTAACTAGATTTTAACCGCTTGATTGTGTTCACAAAGGCTGAAAGATACAATCAATAAAGACACTTTGCAACTAAATCGAGTGATAAATTCAGGTCGCGCACGATTAAATTTGTAGCGAAGGCAAGAAAAGTGAAATTAAGAAAAACGCAATTTATTGAATTTTCCATGGCCAGAACTTGATTTTAACCGCTTAATTGTGTTCACAAAGGCTGAAAACATACAATCGAGTGATAAATTCTGGTCGCGCACGATTAAATTTGAAGCGAAGGCAAGAAAAGTGAAATTAAGAAAAACCCAATTTATTGACTTTTCTGAGCCTCATACTAGATTTTAACCGAATGTTGAACTTTTCAAAATTGCTCTGTTGTGTGAGGCTAGGATTGAATGTTCAAATTTTCAAAATAACCCAGTTTTGTGGGTTTGTACACAAAAGAATTTTAGAATAAAACTTGCAAAATCCTATGAATTTCAAACCTTGCCTTTTAAAATTGTTCTTGGAAGGTTTTGTCACTAAATACCAAGCAGGAAAAAGTTTTGTGCCCAAACTTTAGATTGACTAACCGTGAAGAGCAGGACACAGGAGAGCTGGAGCCAGGCGGAGGCGGCGCCTTGAGAGGCGGCGGCGCCGAAGCCTGCCAGCGAGGCGGCCATGAGGGCGAGTGAGGCCGCGAGGAGGGGGACGCGGCCGACGCGGTCTATGAGGAGGCCGGAGGCGAGGGCGGCCAACAACTGCACGATGCTGACGACGATGGCGCCGGCGTGCGCGTTGACGCCGCTGCCCAGCGTCTGGCGCAGGATGGGCACCGCGTAGAAGTTGAAGGCGTGCGCGCCTGAGAAGCGCTGGAAGAACATGAGGCCGCACGTGAGCAGCACCGGCCGCCACATCTGCGGCCGCCAGCGCAGGTGCGACTTGGGCCGCAGCACGTTCGAGCGCAGCGTGGCCAACTCGCACGTGATGTCGGCCTGCGGCCCGCGCAGCCACTGCAGCGCCTGTGCGGCCTCCTGCTCGCGGCCCTGCACCAACAGGAAGGAGGGCGACTCCGGAAGCCACGCCGACGCCACCAGCAGCAGCAGCGGCGCCGCGACCAGCACGCACGCCAGCTGCCGCCAGTTGATGTACGCGCCCAGCACGAAGCTCAGCAGCACCCCCACGTGGTTCGCCACCTTCAGCATCGCAGACAACGCGCCTCGCACCTCCGGAGACGCGATTTCACTCACGTACACCTGCGCAAATTCAATAAAATTAGAGAAAGGCGAATATTTTGTTCCTCAATTTGCTATTTTTCATGCCTAAAAGATATTTGAACCAGTATAATCAGGATTAAGGATTAAATAAAGTGTAAAAATTGATTTTGAACAGCCTCATTTTGAACAAGGGGTGTTATTTTATCAATGATGAAACTGGAGCAACCTTTTCAATCAATATTTTGATATTATTTACTCATCAAATACATGCGGTTGATTTGCTATTTGAGGACTGACCTCTTTTTGTTATCAAATTTCTTAATATTTCTAATGATTTCTAAAATCTCTTTGGCAGCAACTATATTTTTCATAAATCAAAATACAAAATTCGCAACTCAATAATGCCTCATACATATATAAGAATAAATTTTTCCATTGATATTCCTTTTATATTATTGAAATGGAGATTTAATAAAAAAAAGTTGGAAAATAAAGATTTAAAATATGAATGCTGTAGATTCATGGGTATTTTTGTCAGTTTCCTCCAAAACAATCCATCTTTTTGCTGCTGCAGTGCCACTGGGAACGCTTATTTTCTTAACAAAATCAGTTTTCACAGCGTTACCAACGACCAAAAGCCCAATTATTATAACAAAACTGACGGAAAGATCCCTATAATCTTCATAGCAATTCAGGTTTACTTATTTGTGCAAAAAAACAACGACTTGGAATTTTTACCAGAATACTAAAAATTATTCGATTTTTCATAGAAAAAGCTACCATAGTTGGTTTTTAATATTCATTAATTGCACCACTGATGCAGACAATAATTTATCCCATGAATTTGAGGAATTTAATAATTAAAGCTTCCAGCGAATTCCTTTGAAACAAAAACGTTTCTCACCCCCCTTGAATATTCGAGGCAATTGATTTCAAATTACTCGCTGGGGTCCGCATTCCGTTTGCGACAACTCACTCTCCTCTTGAGAAGTTTTGCTTTCGTCGCTTGACTATTCGCGAAGTATGCAACCCGCTCGACGCGCGCGTCTGGCTGGTTGCATGCCTTTGCAAAGTTTTGAAATCCCTCAATCAAGAAAAAAGATTCCTGATTGATTAAAGAGGCGCTTTTTCCAACTTCGCTTGCCTTGACAAATTGAGCCGAAACTTTTTGCCGCGTGTTAATGAAAGGAACAGTTTTTTTTTTTAGTGTTCGACTCACTTGAGTGACGAGCAGAACGAGGGCGCAGCAGTAGCCGCCCGCGAAGGCGGTGGCGAACATCATCTCGACGGAAGTGGCGAACACGGTGAGCAGCCACGACGCCGAAAACGGCACCGCGCACACGATCAGGATGCGGCGCCGACCGTAGCGCAGCGCCACGCCGGCCATGGCGCCGCCGAACAGCGCCCCCAGCAGCGACAGACTCGCCACCCACGACGCTTGTTGCTCAGAAACGGGGAAGCCATCACTGAAAAACGAAACAGATTTTAAAATTTATCAATTCAAAAAAAGATTCAAATTTTTTTTTTTTTTATTATTCAAAAATTCGATGTTCAAACTTTTATTTTAATAAGAAAACAACGATTTAAGAAAATAATATAGATTTTCATTTCCATTAAAAATTTACAATTTTTAAATTAATTGTAAATTGCATTGATATTTAAAAGGTTCCAAAAAAACTTACAGAATTCTTGATAGATTTTCTAGTAAAAATTAAAAAAAAAAAAAAACTAATTTTATAAAAATTTTCATTTTTAGAACTTCTGCAGATTTCCATTTTGGAAATAATCTTTGTTTCTTGATAAATTCTTCAAAATTTTGGCCGGGAAAAATTCTCCAAAGACCGTTTCAGGTAATAAAAGATATAATTAGACCGTGCTTTAATTTGATAATATGAAAAATATGTTTTGCACTTACTGAAAAGTTGTGACGTTGGCGAGGTTGGGCTTGGAGCGTCTGGCGAGTTCTCTGCTTTCCTGGATTTCCTGCAGCGACGCGATGGCCGGCGAGCTGTAACCCTTGCCGAGGCCGGCGGCCAGCGGCCCCAGCGAGACTGCCAGGGCGGCCAGCACCTGCGACAGGTGCTTGTACCTGGTGTTGCTGACCACGCGGACGGTGAAGTTGGTGCAGCCATCCTTGGACAGGGTGCTCGACACGTTGGAACTGCTGCGGCTCAGCGACGGCGGCGCCGGCAGCCGCGGAAACCCACCAAGGCTTGCCACCTTCAAATTAGAAAAAAAATATTCAAGGGGATGTGGACGATTATCAAAAGCAAAACAGACCAGGAATGAAAAGGTAAACAAGATAAGCAATGGGTCTGATTGAATAATCTTAGGGTTGAATTCCCCTGGCGAGAGGAACTTTTGTAATTCAAACCGTGAAAAATGTTTCAACGTTAACAATAAAATCGAGGTCTGATTTCATAATGCCAGCTTTATCGGGGTCATCCGAGCTTGTTTCAATAAAATTTTAATCAATCTTTGTCATTCCAATTTTAAGGAAACAATTATTGTAGAAAATTGCCATAGAAAATTTAGTTAATTTTTAGCAATTAAGTCCTCCCTTGTCTTATAATGTTTCCAAATTTTTGAAAATCTGATAATAATTGCTAATAATAAAGAAAAATGTCCAAAAATAACCGTATTTTAGTAGAATTAATACATTTTTAGTTAAATATTTAAGATGAAACCTGATAATTTGAACTGTCCAATAATCTTTTTTACAATCCCCCTTAAAGCTTAATGATTATTTTAAAACAAAAGCATCTTAGGATATTTGGCTGGTACTTCAAATCGTCTTTAAAGAAGGCGAAGGCAGTTGTGTGCTGTCAAAGTTCAAATTCTTAAGCAAAATTTATAAAATTCTTATTCAATAAGACAAAAATATTACAGAAATTATCAGTTTTTGTAGAAATCAGGCATGAACTTAAATATAATATTCATAAATAAAAATTTTGGCAATGATGATTTTCTTCTTTAAAAATAATGTTTAAAGGCAAAGAATTCTACTAAGTGCACTGATTAAATTTTTGAATTGCTGGTTTAGTAATTTTTTTTATGGTCTAGTAAATTAATAATAAAAAACACAAAAATATAGAGAAATTTGCTTTGAAAATTCAAAAATAGGCATAATAAAATTATGTTTTCATTTTGTCTAAAATTTTATACAGTCAAGTTAAGGAAAGCGTTAAAGATTAATTAAAACAATATTAATCCGAGTACAATTAGCTGTAAAATTTTTCGGTTGGAGCATCTCTTTAGACAGATGCACCGTTTATCTGGCTGGCGAGCTTTTATCAAAGTCAAATATTATTTCAGACGCCGCGCGCGTTTGAGAGCAGATCAAAGTGCTGAGCGCCGCTTTGTGTAACAACATTCGCTCTTTTCAACGAGACGGGCAAGAGAGTTGAAGAATTGAATTACGAGAGCGTATACGTTTTTCGCAGAGCTCTTTGCTCTTTTCCTCGGAAATTAATGGACATGTTAATTAGGAGACTTTCTAGTGCCGCTCTCTCTCTCAAGAGATGCATTCAGCTCCGAGACTAAACATAGCACAAAGAAGGAAAGAAAGCCCTGCTTTTGTGCGGCGCATCTCATTTTCTGCTCCTTTACAACATTTTTGTCGATTTTCCAACTTTGTTTATTTTCCGACGAGAGCGGCCGCGGCGCGAAAATCGATAGATGCTGAGCGCAGCAACTTTCTACTTTCGCATCCACTTGCGCCAAAAATTGGAAGAGAAAAAAAATCGGTAATTTTGCATATTTTTATAAAAAAAAAAAAAACTAAAACTCTCTCGTCTCAGTCGATTGTGAGAAAAATCGATGCGGCGCTTCCTGTTCTCGATTTCAGGCCCGCGCATCTGCGGATAGGGGTGGGCATTTGTTTGTTTTGAAGGGAGGAAAATAATTGTGCTCACCTGGCTGCAATCTTGGCTGGCGGTCATCGCGGGCTGCGTTAGTTCATGCCTCAGATGAGAGGGTTTAGCGCAATGCGGCGCTGGGGGCGGCGCGAGGGGCGGCGGCGGCGTCTGGTCGGGGGCGCGCTCGGGGCTGCACTGCCAGCAGGAGAGAGAGAAAGATGTGTGTGTGTGTGTGAGTCCCTCGGTCCGTCGGCCGTGTCCGTGCTTTTGCGCCGAGCTAATGGCTCGCCCGCCCGCCCGCCAGCCGCGTCGCGCGAGAGGGGAAACAAACCGACTGAATGGGGCAGTATGTCAAACGCTCTGCCACTTCGGGGTGCAGATTTGCAGAAAATAAACGGAATTCAGAATCGGACAAATTCAGTTATCAAATTAATTAGAAAAAATTATTAATTAATCTCAATGAATTACTGCAATTTTTTTAATTATTTTTCTGTTTTTTTTTTTTTTTTTATATTCAAGAAGTTAAATTAATGGTTTTAAAGTTTTAAATTTCAGTTAATTTCTATAACTACAATTGTAAAGAAAAAACATATTTCTTATTTATTAAAGCAAGGTTTCCTCTTCAGACTATTGCAACAGATTTGACTGCATTCCAAGAAAAGGCAGAAGATTGTAAAACAAACGTCATATCCATACATCGTTTCTCATGTATTACATTAAAACTATTTCCATGTTCAGACTTTTATAGGAAATTAATTAAATTCTCTTTCTAATTGTTAACAATACTTTTCAATCATAAAATCTATATGAATTTTGAATGAACTTTAATCGTTTTAACAGTACTTATACGCTCTTTGTTTTCTATCTGTGTAAATAAATCAATTTAATTAAATTTATTTTTAGTCTTTATTCAACACAAATGTGTACATCGTCATGTATTGCTGGTCTAACAAAATTTTTTTTTGTCTTAATTATTTTTGTAAATTAAATAATTGAAAATTCATTAATTCTCTTCGTAAAAACTGACTTAATTTTGTTGCGCTAATTACAATGAGAAAAAAAAAAATTGATACAGACATTTAAAATAAATTCAAACTTACAAGGGAACATTTTTAGGTGCCTGACTGCGATTTTGATCAAATTTGGCATGTCAATTAGGAGTCCAGAATTAAATTATTAGCTGCTGAAATGCATTTATCACTCCCAAAAGAAGGTTTAAAATTTGCCATTAAAATAGATGATGACATTATTTATTATCTCAAATTTGGTACGAAATTGTGGTAACAAATTTTGGTACCACAGTGTGGGAGCAAATTGTGGTACCACATTGTGGGAGCAAATTGTGGTACCACATTGTGGGAGCAAATTGTGGTACCACAGTGTGGGAGCAAATTGTGGTACCACAGTGTGGGAGCAAATTGTGGTACCTCAGTGTGGGAGCAAATTGTGGTACCTCAGTGTGGGAGCAAATTGTGGTACCTCAGTGTGGGAGCAAATTGTGGTACCACATTGTGGGAGCAAATTGTGGTACCACATTGTGGGAGCAAATTGTGGTACCACAGTGTGGGAGCAATTTGTGGTACCACATTGTGGGAGCAAATTGTGGTACCACAGTGTGGGAGCAAATTGTGGTACCACAGTGTGGGAGCAAATTGTGGTACCTCAGTGTGGGAGCAAATTGTGGTACCTCAGTGTGGGAGCAAATTGTGGTACCTCAGTGTGGGAGCAAATTGTGGTACCTCAGTGTGGGAGCAAATTGTGGTACCACATTGTGGGAGCAAATTGTGGTACCACAGTGTGGGAGCAAATTGTGGTACCTCAGTGTGGGAGCAAATTGTGGTACCTCAGTGTGGGAGCAAATTGTGGTACCTCAGTGTGGGAGCAAATTGTGGTACCACATTGTGGGAGCAAATTGTGGTACCACAGTGTGGGAGCAAATTGTGGTACCTCAGTGTGGGAGCAAATTGTGGTACCTCAGTGTGGGAGCAAATTGTGGTACCTCAGTGTGGGAGCAAATTGTGGTACCACAGTGTGGGAGCAAATTGTGGTACCACATTGTGGGAGCAAATTGTGGTACCACATTGTGGGAGCAAATTGTGGTACCACAGTGTGGGAGCAAATTGTGGTACCTCAGTGTGGGAGCAAATTGTGGTACCTCAGTGTGGGAGCAAATTGTGGTACCTCAGTGTGGGAGCAAATTGTGGTACCACATTGTGGGAGCAAATTGTGGTACCACAGTGTGGGAGCAAATTGTGGTACCACATTGTGGGAGCAAATTGTGGTACCACAGTGTGGGAGCAAATTGTGGTACCTCAGTGTGGGAGCAAATTGTGGTACCTCAGTGTGGGAGCAAATTGTGGTACCACATTGTGGGAGCAAATTGTGGTACCACAGTGTGGGAGCAATTTGTGGTACCACATTGTGGGAGCAAATTGTGGTACCACATTGTGGGAGCAAATTGTGGTACCACAGTGTGGGAGCAAATTGTGGTACCTCAGTGTGGGAGCAAATTGTGGTACCTCAGTGTGGGAGCAAATTGTGGTACCACATTGTGGGAGCAAATTGTGGTACCACAGTGTGGGAGCAATTTGTGGTACCACATTGTGGGAGCAAATTGTGGTACCACAGTGTGGGAGCAAATTGTGGTACCTCAGTGTGGGAGCAAATTGTGGTACCACCAAGGTTTTCATTAAAATATATGATGAAATTATTTATTATCTATTTTAATGGCAAACTCAAACCCTTCTGTAGGGGGTGAAAAATGCATTTCAGCAACTAATTATTTAATTCTGGACTCGACTAGAGAATCCTAATCGACATTCCATATTTGATCAAAATCGCAGCTAGACACCTAAAAATGTGCCTTTGTTAGATCATATTTTTAAAAATGTGCAAACATGATAATTGTTTTGAATAATTTTTTAACTAGATATTGTAAATGTTAAATGTTAAATAATTATAATCCAAGTTCGTCTTCTTTGATTTAAAAAATTTTCATAATTTGAAATAAGCGCTTGGCTACGAATCTGCGCCCCTTTGTGGCACGCGCGAGGGGTGCGGATCGTGTACTTTTTGTGCGCGGCCACCCCTCTCATGAATTGCATCCCCCTCGACAGACTTCTCTTTCTTTCTTTTTGTTCTCTCTCCTCGCGAGAGACCGCTTGATCTATTTATTTTACTTTCATAACACGCGCGGTTTTTGTGTTTGTGTGAAAGGAAACGTCGTCGTTTGCTTTGGGGCGAAGTGAACATGCCGGCGGGACGTGCGAGCAGATTATATTGATCTGCAAATTGGGCTGCATTCCTGCACCCCCGACCACCATCGTCACCTCCGCTATGCGCCCCTACAATTTTCCGCCCCATTTAAATTTCCTCCGCACCAAAAAACCTTCCGCTTCCCGAAACCCTCTCCAAGGGATGAAATTGCTTGAATTTTTCATCCCTCGCAGGAACGTAAGGGAGCAGGTTTTTATGGCCGCGCAGAAAGGCGGGTGGAGAAACTGAATAATGGGGCCACTCATAAAAAAAAACTTCAATATTCTCTGTTTACTTGGGATGCTTTGAATGACAATAGCAGCACTTTTCTTATACAATATATTATGTTTATTTGCGTTTGACTGATTTATTTTTCACATTCAACGAGGCGCTCCACTTTTCGTGCTCGAACGCTTTTCATGATAACAAAAATAAACTCTCTCACAAATATACACACAAGAATATATAAATTAATTAATTTAAAGTACTTTATTTACAAGAGGAAGCTTTTTAATTAAACGTAAAAATGCTTGTTTTGGAAGATCGCAGAAGAATTGTTGCTCACTTTCTTTCTTTTTCACACAAAAGTATTTTTCTCCACACGCACACTCTCTCGTACTGAATCACAGCAGTGAAAAATTATTGTAACTTTGATACATTCTTTAGCTTCCACCGCGCGGATGCGATATCAATGCTGCGGTAATTAATTCATTTCGGTGTTAAGCACCGCAGCAGAAATACATCTGCGACCCCTTTTCTCCCCCCAGTGGTTTGAGCAAAATCTCTTCAATTTATTACATGTTTAATGCGCCGCGCCTGCTGCAGACACGCTACTTTTGCTCTACATCAATTTGGCCTCGCGCTCCAGCGTCACCACTTGGTTCACCTCGTCCGACTCCACCTCCTCCCCCTGCTCCTCCGGCAATCTGCAAAATCAATCAAACAGCGAATTGCAATCAACGGTCATATTTTAACTTAAAATCGGTTGAAAACAAATCAATGAACAAAAAATTAAGAAAACGCACAAGATCAATTTCATTTAACAAGGAGTTCTATGATTTAAATTGCATTGAGATATAAAAACTTTTCAACCTTTTCCCATAATGTTCAATATAAATTTTTTATGTCAACTGAGGATTGATTTTATTTTCTCATCTTAATTGGAGTGATATGAACGTGATTTGGTGAAATTTTTATCAATTTTGATCGGACCAATTTTAAAGAAAAAATTATTAAAGAAAATTCCAATAAAAAAATTGTTCAATTTCAAGAATTCAGTTCTCCCAAAGACTTACATTTTTCTTGCTATGCTTCCTTGGAAATAACATCAAAAAGCAATGCTAACGTACAAAAAATTACCATCTAAATTAATCAGCCCTTTTTTAAATAAAATACTATTAGAAAATGAAATATTTATATCAGTTACCACAAAATAGAATGAAATTAATTTCTAAATTTCTATAATAATTTTGAACAATTTTACTATTGATTTTCTTAAACTCACTTAAACTATGAATTGAAAATCAAATTTGATGATTTTTATATTTTACCAGCATTTTCAATCAAAAATTTTGATATTTATTTTGAATTTAAATGGATTATTTTACCTGTGGTAATTGGACTTCCATCTGAAGAGGGACTTGGGACAGTCGCGGTGGTAGCGCCAGCACTCGCCGCCGTCTCCCTGGCCTCGCTTTTCCGCTTCCACGTACTCGGAAAGCAGACCGGAAACTGGAGACTTACTCGCCCTGGAATTCACAAATTTTTTTTTAAATATTCATTAGTATAAAAAATAAAAATAAAGAATCTTGTGTATTGTTTTAGGAAAAATTTTTTGAAATATTTAAAATTGAAACATTTGGAAAAACGGAATGTCGTAAATTGTTGAAGATTCTCATTGATCTTATTAGCAACGATTGGATTTTTAAGATTTCCATTTATAATTTCCAGTTCATTTAACTCCCTGTGAATTAAGATTTTAAAAGGGAAGATTTTAAAATTGAAACAATTCTTCCCAATTTCCTTTAATAATTTGATTGTTTCAACAAATTTGATTTTCTCTTCAAAATTGAATTTAGTTTGTTGAGTGTTTGGCGCGGTGTTTTGTGGCGGGTGAGAGCGAGTTTCACTCTCTCATCGATTTTCGAGTGCGCGCGGAACAATGAAAAGGCGTTCGTCGGGGCGGACGTGTTTTGCATTTGGGCACGCGCGCGCGCGAGCGAGCGCCGCTTGCTCATTTATTTCACCAGCACTCACGTGAGGAAGAGTCTGAGGAATTCGCCGAGGAGGCCGTAGTTGTCGAGAGGGTGTCCGTGCACCTCGCAGATGGCCCTGAGCACGCACGCCTTGCCGTCCATGCCCAGGTTGGCGAGGAATTCCTCCAGGGTTTTGTAGAGCAGGGCGCGTTCGCCGCCCATCAGCGCCGACCTGACGGCCGACGGCGCCGGGCCCGACGGCGCCGCGTTCCTCTTCGTCCGGCTTTCCAGCATCGACGAGACGTACGAGGTGATGGCGTCGCCGGCCATCCGCCCCATGCTGCGCGCCAGAATCGGCGGAAACACGCCGTAAGGGTTCGCGTTGTCGGTCAAGCCCAGGGTGTCAAAGTCGACTGCGGAAGAAAACCAAATTTTAGTCAAAGCTGAATTAAAGAAATACAAAAATTTAAATTCAAGCACAATATTGGACAATACAAATTTCTTTGTAACAAAAAGCTTCCTTTTTTATTCAATCTGCTAAATTTTATTGTTCAAATTAAAATTAAAAATGAGTGCTATATTTTTTTTTAATATTCCATATTTTAAAAATTTTTTTTTTTTTTTGGTAGAAATTCATTTCAATCGATTTAAAATCAAATTTATTTAGTTAAGAAAAAAAATTTGCAACAAAATTTTGACCTTTTTGTACACAAAGGGCTAATTTCATGCATATTTCATGTAGAGTAAAAATTGTTAATTAAAAACAAAAACCCGAGCAGAGGGAGAAATTCTTGTTTTGAACTGCGGCTTGGTGTCGCGGCGCGGGGAGGTTTTGCGGTGCCGCTACCCGCAGGGCACCGATGGTGTGCGGGTTGCCGCTCCGAGCACGTGCAGGGGCTACATTTTTATTCTCATTTGAATAATGGCAGTGAATGAAACAACTGCGGGTTTTAGCACTACAAAGGCCAATTCCAAATAACGCGCCGCCGGTAAAAAATTTAGCCATTTAAAAAAAACAAGCGTCCATCAATCTTCCTTTCATGTTGAATAAAAGTTTTGTGTTTTAATCTTTGAATAAATATTGCATAAATCAATATTGGGGCACTTAAAATATGAATGAATTTTCTAAATTTTATCATTTTGTTTAAAGGGAAATGCGGGGAATAGTATAAATGTATTTTTTAATTAATTTTAATTGAAATTAATCAATTACCTTAAAATATTTTTGAACTTGAAAACAAACTTATCTTAATCTGTGCCTTTGATTATTTTCCAGAAAGGATTGCAGTCCTCATTTCTATTTATTTTTAAACCGAATTTTTTACACTAAAATTGGATTTTTTTAAAGGGCTCGTGAATTTTTTCTAAATCTTTATCCTTATTTTATACCAATTTAAAATGTTCTTTCCAAATTGAAGCTTTAATGCAAAAAATATTGTGCTTTTTTTACATTTTATTGCCACTTTTTAAATTGATTTAAGAAAATTTGATTGGAATTAATTGATGATTGAGACTCACTTGTGAAGGGCAGGCTGATGGTCATGTTGGAGAAGAATCCCTCGGGCGGGTACCTGACGAAGGGCAGCGAGAGGGAGGGGGTGATGACGAGCGAGGTGCCGGGGGGCAGCGCGAGGCGGCCGTCGGGGGTCAACCAGAGGAGGCGCTTCTGGCGCGAGTGCGGCTCCGTCGACGGGTCCGTGGCCGGCGTCGCCACAACCAAGGCCGCCGCGAGCACCGTCGCCGCAAAAAGTGACCGCATCTGCCAACCAAAATTAAATTCGCATCAGAGACAGGTGTCGGCGATTGGGACGGGCCCTCCCTTGGCCCGCCCGACACAAAAGAGCAGTTAAGTGCGTGCCCCAGTTTCGCGCATCAAAAGATAACACGGCAGACAAGGAAAATTGGCAACACAATGAAGCAAGCAAAGGGTCGCGACAGGCTCGAAAAGCATACAAGTCGAGGAAGAAGACGGAAAATTTTAGTTAAAAGTCGCATTTTTGGCTCAAACGAAATTCTCAATCAGTAAAATGTTCAAAATAATAAAATTCTGCGAATTTTCATTTGGTATTATAAAGATTATATTAAGAAATTTCACTTATTAAAACATATTATCTCTGTAAAAATTTCACTTGAGACCACCACAATTAGCGATTATTGATTTATTTATTATGATCAGCAAACTTTCAGAAATTTAGAGGTAAAATTTTCCTTAGTTCAAATTTAAAAAATAAAATTGATGGACTTCTTTAAGAGCTCTTCAAATTTCCTTTCTCTGAAACCAGGAAAATAGGGGAGTGGGAAAAACAATATAATTACATACCTTTTTTCTTTTCTAAAAAGGTAAAAATGAGCTAAATAAATTGATGATTATGTTTAATTGTTAAAAACAAAACAGTTTTATTTAAAGAAAATAAATTTTAGCAAAATTACTCCTCTTCAAACTAGAGTTAAATAATTTTTGCACCTTTTTAATTATCTATTTCGATTTCCCGAGCTTTTACATTCACAGAACGTTCTTGGTTGTCCTTTCAGGTGAATAAAACTTTTAGTGCTGCAACTTGAATATATTTATTCAAAAGATGGGAATGAAAATTCTTTATTGGCAGAGCCGCGTTGGCACGCCGCGTTTTCTGGTCCTTGCGCTGCCAAGATTTTCAGCACCTTTCTTGCAAAGTATTTGGAACTGAGGAGGTTTTTTTTGTTTGCAACAAAAAATGATCGTCAGCAGAGCATTCCGCTAGAAATAATAATTTCGATTTGAAGAGCAGGTAGCGACTGGATGGAATGATGTAACCGAAGGAGGATTTCGTAATGAGCGGAGTCGCAAGCCGGTCCTACCGGTCCGGCGGGCCTCGCGGGTCTTCCCTGACTCGCGCGCACTCTTGACCCAGAGACACGCTGCCTTTTTGTCTGAACGCAGAAGAAGATGCGATCGGGGGGCAAACAGTAAAAAATACGGTTCCCGCATTCCTCCTCTCGTCAAAATCGCAATTATTTTAGAAGTAGAAAAAAAACTGAAATTTTTTGCTCGTTAGATGAAGAAATTCCGCGAAATTGGGCCGACAAGGCGTCCATTCATCAGCGAGGGCTTATTAGCAGCGGGTGCGTCTTTCCTTTCCCAACAATCGAATCGTTGACTGGTGCAACTTCAAAGCGGCGACAAACATGGATGACCTTTCCGCTTTTTGAATTCAACGATTCATGTAAGTCTGTGAGTGATTTTAGCGGTGATTTCTATTTACACATTTGATTAGTCTTGAGTATATACTGAGTACTGAGTTAAAAAAAGAAACGAATAAGTGAAAAGTTAAATTTGAATAAAAATCTTTAAAGCAAATTTATTCCACCCTCAAATAATGTTGGAATGTTTTTGAAGAAAAATTTAGTAATTATTTGTCTAAATAACTCAATTTTAAGATAACAAAAACAAACAAACAGGAAATCCCATGAACAATTTTGCTTTAAAATAATTCAAAATCATACAAAATGGGGTTTGAATATTTCAAAAATGGCAGTCAAATTACAAAATTTTACTTAACAAAATTTTGATAATATTTAAAAAAAATTTACAATTAAAAATGTTCAAATGGTCAATCGATTATTGACTTAGTTGAGCTGTTCCCATCAGACTTTGAGGTGGATAAATTCCCTGGCACACGCACACATCTCATTGTTGGTGCCGATAATGAAGCGGTATAAGTTTCTTCCGCATTTGCTGGCATATTGGTGGCGCGTGATTTGGCTCGGTCAATTGTCCGTCTCTCATTATAGGACCCGCTGGCTCGGTAGGTGTGTATAAATAGGAGCCACCCTGAATTTCAATTAGCAGAAACGAGAGCACGCGGTCGTAAAGAGCTCTCTGTTTAGCTTTCCGATTTGAAAACATGCACACGATAATATGCATAGAGTCGAGTGCGCCGCGCGCCAACCCTTTCTTTCTTTCTTTGCATTATCTGCGTTCCGCGGTTATAAATATTCAAGAGACGCTTCCTTGCTTACGCTCACAATCGGTAAATACACGCACGGCTGTTGAACCTGTTCATTTGTAATTTATGCACCGGCGCTTATTTTTTTTTCGCCCCAAACAGTGTCAATGTGTCACAAATTCGGCGCGCACCTGCCGCCAACACACACCCACGTGATTTATCGTCCACCCGGCCCGCCCAGCCCAGAGAGCAATAAAGGGTTGCGGAATGTTCGCCCCTTGATCGATGACTCCGGCGACAGTTTCAAACCGGCACCAAAACGCGTCATTTACTTGATAAAAAAAGATTGAAATTAATACAGAGAAAAAAAATAGCTTATAGCTTTAAGAACTAAAGATATTGTTTGAATAAAATATTAATTTTATCAATTTTTGCGTTAAAAACTATGAACATGGAGATTTTTAACTCAATTGGCACTGAACAATATTTGTCAGAATAACTTTTGAAGCAATTTAACATAATTTCGAATTTAACTTATAACTTAAATGTTTGAATATCACGGGATATCAATTGGAATTTTTTAAAAGAGATATTCAGGATGTGAGCGAGAAAAACAATTCCTGGAAAACTATAATTTAAACGTGCAAATGTTCAAATTTAAATTTTTACCATAACATGTTGCGATTTTTTCCAAAAGACAATCGGTCGGCAACACACTGAACATGATTTTTACGTTTAAAATTAAACAAATTTCATTTTTTTTTTCAAACAGAACAGATATTCTAGTTTGTTTTGAAAAAATTAAGATTTCCAATTAAAATTTGGACATTCAGACATTTTAATTCGTTTTCTGAGCATTGGTCGCTCAGATTCTAAATTCACGTTAAATATCTTTTGGAAAATGAAAACCAGAACCAGAAACTGGAATACACTTGTCAACGCAAACAAGACACAACTCAACACTAAAAAATTTCAAAAAATTCATACCCTCACTAACAAATTAACAACACGAATGAACTGTGTTTTGCGTTTTTTGAATGTTAAATAACAAAAAAAAAAAAAATTGATCATCCTTTCTCTGCCTTTAATGACAATCTTTACATTAAGATCATTTTATAAAAACTACTAATCTGGTTTAATTTAATAAAACACCTGGAAATCAACCAACTCTTTTGAGATAGAACTGATAGAAGTCGGTTGTTTTTAATAAATTGAAAACTGAAATTATTATTAATTGAAAAAAGAAAAAATGAATTTTTGGCTTAAATTTTGATTGAAACCATCCCCAATAAGTTGTTCTCTACGTAAAAAAATCATATATTTAAAATTAAAAATGATTTTTCAGTTCAAATAGAGAAAGGACACAATTCTCTAAAAGATTTATTAGCGCAGAATGAATTTCAAACTTAAAAAACAAGTTTTAACAGAAAATTAATATGAAGCATAGTTATTGATGTAAAAAACTGGTACAAGTGTTTATTCAACTCATATTTTAGCCCAATTTGTACCGTTACAAGTACTAATTAAATTTTATTCAACTCGATTAATATGATTATCGCGGAAGTACAATTTAAGACAAACAAGTTTGGCTTTTGTTTCTGATTTTACGGAGCGCCAAAATCGCGAATTGTGACCCGCCACGCGTCTCTCGTTTGTATTTAAATTTTGATTGTTTCTTTGCTCATTTCTGATCGCGTTTTTTATTATTTTAGGCGTGTGCGTCGAAAAAGTCAAAACCGGTCCGAGCTAGGAAAGGTTCGGAGGAGCACCTTTTTGCAGGTTTGCCCAGAGCGAGGGTCATCGAATGTGCTGCAAATTGAACCCACGTGTTCGCGCATCTCAGTCAGCCGGACAGACAGAGACCGCAGCAGCGAGAACTGGTTACCGTTCGAATCGCGTCTAGCCCCAGAGTAAGAAGAAGAAGTTGCAGGTCTTTCGAACAAACAAGAAAGATCCATCCGGTGACCTCCGCTTTGGAAATTTCCGCGTATTTTTCGTCTCGTAAATTGCACAAAACGCGATTATGCATCTATTTCGGCCTGCGTCCGATTATTTTCTTTGCTGCGAGAGAGAGATGAAAAAATAATAATCAGCTTGTCCGGGCAGATGCAGTGAAACAAAAATAAACGCGCCAATTTATTGCACGCCAGCCAACCGAGTGGTCTTTTCCGCCCATGATTTACGAGCGGCGTCTGGATTAAAAAAAATGCTCGAATTACAAAACACGAATCGAAAAATAAACCCCGTGCGAAAAATAAATAAAAGTTCCAGCCCTAATGGTGCCAATTGGCGCGCGCAACACAACAATGGAATGCGCCAAACGCACCCAGAATCGCTAATGACCTGCCCAGCCATTGTCACGAGGTCAACGCGGAATTCGTATCAAACTCATTACAATTTTAAATTTGTGCTGAAATTATGCCACTGAGACGTGTTCAAATGTTTGCGGATTTGTATAAGGAAAAAAGTTATAAAACAAAGCAAATAAAAGTGATGAGCACTCGGAAAAGGTGTCAATTGAGAGAAGTGTTAATCTGTTCTTAATTTGCTGCAAAATTTATGCATGAGGAAAGGATTTTAAAAATTTATAAAAAAAATGCATGTTTTATTTGTATAGAATTTAATTTTTATTGAGAAAATAGGGAATTCAATTTTTAAGAAATTTCCTAGTTTTATTTTCTTTTTTACTTTAAGTTGTTATATATTTAAACAAATATTAGATTTATTTGAATTATTTAATTTTAAATAAATAAAAATGATTAAAAAACATTTTATGATAATATTTTTAATTAAGTAGCAAAAAATTGAAAAATATTTGATCAAAAATTAAAAAAAAAATAAAAACGTGTTTAATAAATTTTATTAAAATAAAATCAATGGACATTTTGATGAGGAAACAAAAAAAGGAAATAAAATAGTTGAGAAGTAATTTAAATTAAATTTTTTTACTTTAAATTCTTACATATCCACGCATTTTTATTTTTAATTTCAATTTATCATATTTTAAAATTTAATTTAACAAAAAATTAAGGATGAATTTTACAAGAGTGTGGTCTAACAATACGAGGAAATAAACATTTGAAATGATAAATAACGCGAATGTCAGCAAGAGCAATAAATCGTTTAGATCTGAGAGTTATTCTCGGACTAACAGTATAATAATTTTTACAATTAAACAATTTTTCAATTTAATGCAATCAATTTGAGTGGTTTTTACAGAGAATGCCGAAAATATCGTTGGTAAAAAAGAGACTGACCGTGTGGTGTGGTGTGTTGTGGGGTGGAGGTACCGTGCCGGTGTGTAGCGAGTTTGCACGCGTGCGGTCGACTGAGAGCTGTTTGTCCGCCTAAGGAGATGCAATCGGCGTGTCCCCGCCACCGTTACTGGGTCAAATGCAAATTTCTTGGCACGCCGGCTAAATTTTCAAAATAAAATGCTCACCTGCCAATCAGCCGAGGTGACAAACTAATCACGGCACAAAACACACCTCAAATCGTGTAAACACTTTTAATGAACCTAGAGAGAAATTCCTCCGCTCTTTTTTTCTAGCTGCGCGAATGATGTGAAAATTTAACTTAAGTAGCGGTTGATTTGTTTTCTTCCGAAAGCGCTCGACTCGAAAAACCGCATCCGAGTTTTTCGAATTTCAAGGTCTTTCGTCTTTTGAATTCCCGTTGAAACGAGTAACGCGAATAAAATTCAGATAAAATGAATCAACTCTGAAGCGCCGAGATGAAAACGCTCGAGGCTGCGTTTCGCACTCTCGACCAGCGGCTCTGCCCCTACGCACAACTACACGTATCATTATTCACTTTAAAGCACCGGTCTCGGCATAAATCATGTCTATTTTAGAACAAGGATGTGAAATCAATCATCTCTCTGATTAATTATAATCATGAAAAAATTCGTGTTGAATGCTTTACCATTCTCACAATCAGCTGAAATTAAGAAAATGTATAGTTTGTTTTGCGTGAGTTTGTCGTAAAAAAAATTTGCTCTGCTGGCAGAAAAATTTTACACTAAAATATCCTCATCGTAAAATTTTAACATGATAGATTATCAAGAATAATAATGTTGATATAAATATAATTTTTCTTTTTTTCATAATGGTAACAATAATTGCTCAAAATTAATTATTTTAAAACCATAATTTGGCAGAGGTTTTGTTTGGAAATTGAAGATAAAAATCTTATTTTACTAGTAAATTTAAAAAAATCTATTTAGTAAAATCTTTTTTTGTTGCAATTTTGGTAAAAAAAACTTATTGGATTTTAAATAGAAATGAAATCAATGTAAAACCAATCTTACATTATTATTTATTTTATCAGCTTCTTTTTCCTTGAAAGTTTTAGATCAACTTCAAATAATTCAAATTAAATTCACTATTTTTTTTAAACATTATTTAAAATAAATAATACTTTCTTGCAGTATTTTTCCTCTATTTGAAACATCTCTATCATTATAGGAAAGCACATGCTCCGATTTCTGATGGAAAGTAAATAATTTTCCCTTTTTTTCTCAATAAATCAATTTCCTCTGGCGTACTTCTTCTGTTTATTTCTCGCAGAAACGACGAACGGACAATTTGATTCCGGGAATGCTCGACGCCGTCGGGCTTTTGGTTTTACCTGGCGATGGAGCGACGGCCAATGCAGAGGCTCCTCCCAGAGATCCCGGTGGCTAATTATGATTGATAACGAGCGCGTTCGCTTAATGCCGTGTGCGTGCATCGCCCTAATGACAGGCCACGGCGTTCGCATCTGAATCAGCTCGCGTCGTCATTATCGACTGCGCGAAATTGTCACGAGAGATGCAAACTTTAATGGCGATGCTCATTATCAGCTTCCTGATTCTGCACAAAAGGGTTGCGAAAAAATCAATCAATCACTTTTGCAGTCAAAATAATAGATTTTATTTTCATTATTTCGACACAAACATAATATCTTCTAAAATTATATAAAAAACTGCAACAAAATATGAACTAAAAATTAATTTTAAGCAAACACAGCCTCAATTTGCTTAGCAAATTGTTACCCCGCAATTTAACACATTCTTTATTTATTTAGTATATTTCTTATTGATTTAAGCTGGCAAATAAAAAGTTTAACAAAAATCAGTCCCATCGAGGAAGGCCACGGTTCACTCTTATCATTGTGATTCGCCCTCATCGAATAAACCTGCAAACATTAGGCCTGAGTGAATTGCCTGGCTCTGCGGCCAAGATGTGCGGGCCAATGTCATGCTGGTGCAGTTAAATTTCTTATGAATTTTTTTTTATTAATATTTATGTACCCTTGTAGGCATATTCGACCGAGCTCGAAACGAGTCGCATGTCCGTTTCGATGCTCTTGGCCCAGTTCTCGACGTCGCCGATCTCCTTCAGGGCACTGCTGAAGTTCTGCACCAGCAGGAACCACTGCTGCGTCTGCTTGGCGAAGGTGGTCGCGTTGTGGTGCAGGTGCTTGGCCTCCGTGTCCAGCCGCTTCTGGTTCAGATACGCCTGCGCCACCCTGCGCGATTACCAAAGATCATCTCTCAATGAATGAAGCAGATTTTCGAATGAAATGCAACACCAGCTCGAGGCTGGAGCGGCTGGAGTGGCCCATTATCTTACCCGACGTTGAGATGGTCCACAAGAGCCTGCGTGAGGTCATTGGCCGCCTTGACAGCTTCTTTCCGCTTCACTTCTGTTCGGAAAAATGAGAGTTTTGACAACTTTTTTCGAAGGATTTTCGTCGCCGAACTAACCTTGCTGTTCTTTCCGGACCTGCTGCCTACCCTGATGCTCTTTCATCACCGCCGACAGCATTTTTTCCGAGCAGAGAGGGATTTTCTTTTTTCCGTCTGTGTTGTTTTTGAAACGTCAAACAAGGGGGCGTGGTCAGAGTTGCTATTTACACGGAATTCATTCGTGTTCGTCTCATACTTTAAGTGCACCTGCCCCGTTTAGGTCGATCATCTGTGTTCAGCAGTCGGATGCCAGACGTAAACAAAACATAAAATTATTGGTAAAAGTGAAATTTTTAACCAATTTTAAGAACAAAAACCGAAACAATTCTAAACTCCTTGCGGAACTCTCCATATTGACAATGGCAAGTGCAAATTTTCCTTGTTTTTAGTGAAATTGATAATATTTTGATCTTTTTCAGGAGGTGCCGGCCGAAAAAAACGACGATGACCGTGGCCAGCAGTTGGAGCACAACCTGGACGACGAGGTTCTGCAGGAAATCCTCGGCTCAGGGCTGGACCTGCGGAGGTATTGCAAGCAGGTTGAGGGCGAGTTGCTGCAGGCCGAGAACAACTCAATCCAGGACTACATCAAGGAGAGCCAGAACATCGCCAGTCTGCACAACCAGATCTCGACCTGCGACGGCATCCTCGAGAGGATGGAGTCCATCCTGCAGGGCTTCCAGACGCACCTCAGCAGCATCAACTCGGAGATGATGGAGCTGCAGAAGCGATCGACGCAGATGAGTCAGCAGCTGGGCAACCGCCAGGCCGTCAGGGCCACCCTTAGCCAGTTTGTTGACGACATCACCGTCTCCGAGGATCTCATCAACAGCATCGTCGACGCTCCGGTCACCCACGAGGACTTCTCCACGGCCCTCAAGGAGCTCGGACACAAAATGAGCTTCGTCAAAGTACAAAAATAGGATTAATTTTGAAAGTTTTCTTGTATTAATGAATGAAATTTTAGGAGCAGAGTTATCGAGACTCAAGGTCAGTGCTGGACGTGAAGGAGCCGCTGGAGCACCTGCGGGTCAAGGCGGTGACCAAAGTGCGGGTGTTCCTGCTGGAGCAGGTGTTCAAGCTGCGCAAGTCGATGGCCAACTTCCAGGTGCCGCAGGACAACCTGCTGAGCAAGTACAAAATCTTCTACGAGTTCCTGTTGGCCAACGAGCGCAGCGCCGCGCAGGAGGTGTGCGTCGAGTACGTCGAGACCATGGGCAAGGTTTACTACTCGTACTTCAAGGCCTACATCTCGCGCCTCATGAAGCTGCAGTTCGACGAAAACCCCACCAAGGAGGACCTGATGGGCGTGGCCGAGAACGCTGCCGGCAGGGGCCTCTTCCACACCAGGTCCAACCTGAAGAACCGCGGCGCCGTTTTCAGTCTTGGCACCAGGGGGGAGGTCCTGGCCGCGGGGCTCAAGGCGCCCATCATTGTGCCGCACGCGGCCACCAAAGCTGAGTTCAAGTTCCCCTACGAGACCATCTTCAGGTGTGTTTTTTTTTCTTAAAAAATAAAAATTGATTTATATTGCATATTCTCCTTCAATCATCTTTTGAAAAGTGCTTCATCTTTACATAAATCAAAAAATGAATTAAATGAATAATTAATTAAAAATCAAATTTGAAGAAAAAAAATTTTTAAAACAAATCCCTGGCCGCTGTAAATTGCTTTTCAAACTCTGCACCAGAAACAAGCTTATTGACTAACAAACTTACTAGCGCCAGAAACTAATTCACAGAAACATTCCTACTGGCTTTTGAAGTACCTACTCTCAGAGTACGAGCTCCTTATCTAGAAAATGAAAAACATAAGTTCACGAAAAGAAAATGATTTTTTATTTGAAGCAGCAGAATTTATAGATGAGAAAAACGCAACGGTACAAATTTTTCCCGCTCAAAAGTGCTAAATTTATAAAGCCAAGCTAAAATTTGTCCCACCACTATCCTCCAGGGACAAAAGTTCCCCTGAGGGGGTAATCTCAAGTGAATGTCCCCCAATTATTATTTAATTAACTAAGAATGAAAGCAATTCATATTTTATTGATTTTTTTTTCATTTCTGAAATTTTTATTTTTTTACTGTCTTCAGGAGTCTCCAGTTCGCCCTGCTTGAGAACGGCTGTCGAGAGTTTATCTTTATCAAAGAGTTCTTCATCGTCCAGGGCAACTCGGCTCTTGAAATGTTCAACCAGGTGCTCGGAATGACCCTTGGTATGCTGCAGAAGAACCTCGAGAATTATGTGGCTGATTCGTATGACGCCATTGGACTCATGTTGTGCGCCAACATTTGCCTCAAATACAAACAGATCTGCGAAGAAAGGTGTGAAATTTTTATTTTAAAAATCAATTCAAATTTTGTTTTGTAAATTAACTTTTGATGGCTTGCAGGTCAATAGCCGCTTTGGACCAGCACTGGTCAGTGATGCAGGCGGCCATCTGGCCCAGATTCGAGTACGTCCTGAAGCTGCACATCCAGAGCGTGAAGCAAATCGACACCGCCAAGTTCAATCGAGAGTTGCGGCCGCACTACATCACCAGAAGATTTGCCGAGTTCAGCGCGGCCATCGAGTTCATGAACGACGCGCAACCCAACGAGGCGGTCACTCGCCTTGTGTCGCAGCTCTCGGAGGAGGTCGAGTGTCTCCTGCTGAGGATCGCGGCCGCCTTTCCACAGAGGAAGGAGCAGCTCGTCTTCCTCATCAATAATCTTGACCTCATCCTCAGCGTTCACGCCGAACATGCGAGAGAGGCGGCGGGAAAAGACGCTGCGGCTCGAGAGGAGCCCAGAAGAGAAATCATCGGATTTCAGGAGCATTTGAGTCAAAGAAGTGCCGAATATGTTGAGGAAGTGTTGCGGCCGCACTTTGGCGCTTGCATGCAGTTTGTGAAGGAGGGAGAGGCGTTGACTGCAAAGGGCCAGGGTGACAACCTGAGGCAGCAGGAGACCAAGTGCATGGACATGGCGCACAAGTTCTCCGTTTGCTGGCGCGGCGCCCTCGAGAAACTCAGTCAGGAGGTTTTGTCCTCTTTTCCCAGTCTACTGACAGGGTCGCACCTCCTGCAACTCACCCTGTCCACCCTCGTGACCTACCACCAACGGCTGTACGCCCTGCTGCCCCCAGCCGCGCAGGCCACCCTGGCAAACAAGCACCAGCTCATGGTCGAAATCAAGAAATACAAAACCACCTTCTAAGTCTCTCATACTTTAGAATTTCTCAGTTCATAAAAATGTTTCAATTGTGATCAACTAAATTCCATTTACAGATATTTTATATTTGTTATAGATAATAAATTGTATAAAAACATAAATGAAATACTTATTAATTGCACAAAGAAATTTTAAACAAATTGATGTTTATTGAAAGTGAATAAAAAAAAACTAACATCCATTTTGCAACTGAAGAAGTGAAACAGCCCTTAAGATGACAGAGGTTGTGTTGACGCCTTGTTCGATTCCGAGCTTTCCCAACTTTTTCAAAATAGTCAATGCATGTTCTGCAATTATTCATGAAAAAAATCAGCTTAACTCTAAGAATAAGTTTGAACGTACCTTGGGCGCAAACCACAACTTCTGGAATCCTTTCAATGGCCGAGGCTTGGATGTCCGGGTTGCTGCTGTCCAGGCAGTGAACGAAGGTGGTGACGGAGGCGCTCGCCGCCCCAGGGTTGTAGCGCAAGTAGCGCAGCAGCAGGGTGTGGGCCAGACTACGCGTGTTGTTGGAGGGGTGCAGCAGAAGTCCCGCCAAGAGGTCGACGCAGCCCTCGAGGATGGCCTGGCGCCGCAGGGAGGTGTGGTCGAGGTCCTGCAGCGCCTGCTGCTGCACGTCCTCCGACTGCTGCTTGCCGAGGCGGCCCACGATTTGGCCCACCATGGCCGTCGGCTGCTGATTCTCGACGGCGCCCACTGCGGCGGCGGCCACTAGAACTTCGGGATCGTCGCCGTCTCGGGCCGGAAGGGACAGACCGGCCAAAAGGGGCTGCAGACCGGACACGCCCGGATAGGCTGCGTGGAGGTCACTGGAAAAAAGGACAGTTTTTCTCATTAAAGACTGAAAGTTTGAATTTCAGCGGCAACCAATTTAAGGATTACTTTTATTCGCTTTTAATTTCATTTGATTTGAATTATAGATTTAAATGTTCACAACAGACTGACGATTTAAAAATATGCGGCCTAAGTCAACAAACCGGCTAAATTTTGCGCGCCAGCTTCGACTGCCCTGGCCCGAGATTAATTTTTCCAAGAGCTTTTCGGCCAATGCGCTTTCGCGGCCTTTAAGTCTTTGGGCCGCGGCCGATTATCCAGTCTGGGCCTCACAATGAACTTACTGCAAAAGTTGACAGTGACGCTGGAGATATTTGAGTGCTCTCTGGGCATCGTAAGATACAAAACTCTGCAATAGCGCCACAGTCCTATTCAGAGCAATCTGCACGTCCCTCAGCTGGTTGTGGAGCTAAAAATCAGAATGTTGAATTTTTATTGCAATCTTATGAAAGACACGACTCGAATTACATGGAACATGGCAAAAAAGGAGTCGAGTATCAACTCCAAAGACTGGGCGTATTCCATCTGGAAAATGTGTGGCTGCAGGATTTCGAGCAGACCAAGAACCTGCATGAAGAAAATCAGGTGGTTTCTGTTCCGGAAAACAGACGACTCAAAGTGGACGCGCCCCCTCAGGGAGGTCCCGAGCATGGGCAACTGGCGCAGCACCAGCAGAGGATGCGTGGCCGTCATTTTGCGGGCGGCCAATTCGTAGTCGTGACTGCGGCGACTCCAGTCCTTGGCGGACCCTGAGGAGGACGCCAGGGCCGAGAGCAGCGAGTGGGAGGGGATGTCGAGGGCGCAGGGGCCGTTGATGGTGCCTTCGGCCAAGACGTCCTTCTCAGAGTCGCTCAAGTGCGTGATGAGGACGGGCACAGCCAGGTAGAGTTGGAGGAGCAGTTGGCGGCCGACGGTCGAAGTTTCAGGAGACTGCAGGGTGGCGGCCAGGTGGCGCACCAACTTCGGCAGGTAGGCCAGCGGCAGACACTGAAGGATCAGCGACACTCTGCTGTCTGACAAGTCTTGCCCACTGCTCAAGGCCTCATCCAGTACGTAATCCAATAGAACACAAGTCTGAAATTGATAAAAATTGAAAAAAGGTTAGAAATAATTACTAAATTAATAACAAATTTAATCATAAAATAACAGAGATGTATGAAATTTTAATAGAATTAATAGGAAATATTAATAAAACTTTATTCAAAATAGCGTGACTTTTGATTTTAATTTATAATATAAACATGACAAACCTGTTTCTGATTCAAGCATAAAATGTCATCTCGACTTTGATGCTTTGACGGCCTCTTTTCCCTTCCCTGCCACAATTTTGGATTACCAATGAGCGCCCATAAAAAGTCCAGAACAGCACTTGAGTCGTAACTGAAATAAAATAAAAAAAATTATGTAATTTTCATATACAAATCTTTCGTTTTGAATCACACCTCGGGTTTCTTTCTTGCAGCAACTGGGTCATGCAGTTGTGCAGGGTTTTCCAGGTGGAGCTGTGCGTCAACAGGGTGAGCAGGTAGGGCCTGCAGGTGGTGTGACCTCGGCCGAAGAGCAGCTGCATCTGCTGCTCGATGGGCACCGTCTCGATGGTGGCCAGGCTGTCCAGCAATCGGCCAGTGCTGTCCCCTGGCTCTTGGTGCAGCAACTTGTGCGTGGCCACCTCGGCCACACTCGGCTGCTTCTCCTTTGGGCCTTCCACCTTTGGTTTTGGGGCGGCCAGCATGTGGGTGAGGGGCGTGGCCTGTTTGGTGGCCTTGAGCAGCTCTGCCAGCTGCAGAAGGGCCTCTTTGAGGGCCGGATTTGGCCGCATGGTGACTGCCAGACGCAGGAGCGGCCACAGGAGAAGTGGTCTGCTGAGGGCGTAGTGGGCGAAAGAGGGGCGGTTCCTGATTTCTCTCACTACATGGCGGATGACGGTCAGAAGCAGCGGCGACTCACCTTGGCTCACCTCCTTGCAGACCGTCTTGTGGATCTGGTTGAAGGCGGCCCTGGCTTCGGAACCATCCTCGGAAAACAACGAAGGAACCATAGAATCTACTGCTTTCAAAACAGGCTTCTTCTCTTCCACCTTTGAAAAAGAATACAAATAGAAATAAATTTGCTTTATTTAATACATTATAAAATCATAAAGTTGACGAATGATATTCAATTATTCTTAAATTTAATTCACAATTTTGACATTTCAGCTTTATATATTTATATTCAAACTTTTTGTCTCGCTAAGAATTTGTTTTTCAATGTAAAGGTTTAGCACGGGGGCTATAATTGAGATTGGAACAACAAGAAAGGTAAGTGAGCTTAACCTTCGAGATATATTGCTAATTCAATAACAATAATTTATAAAATATATGTAATTAATTATAATTAGCAGGGAAAATTTTAAATTGTAACTAAATCTTATTTGATTCTTTACCTCCGGCAAAGGTGGTCTCAGTTCTTCCTCGACCTCCTCCATTGCAACCTCGTCTGGCTGTTGAGGGGTTGAGTCGAGGAACTGAAGGAACTTGTGTCCATTCTGTGCGCCTAGGAAGTGCTGCACCCGCACCAGTTGGACCATGTAGGTCCTGTCCTGCAGAGCGTCAGCCACAGCCTGGGGTTCGGTCTGCACGGCTCTGTCCAGGGTGGCGAGCAGTTTGCCCATGTTCTCCGAAGGTATGCCAAAATTCTGTGCAAACAGAAGCAGTTGAGGTGGTTCGAGGTCTGTCAGGGCGGCATCCACCAATCCTGGCGCCTCGGACTGGATCATCTTCAGCTTGAGCCAGTCCGGAATCAAAAGAGCTTCTTCGGAGGTGTCCACGAGGAAGGCTCGAGGGCCTGTCGGACCCAGCCAGATGTCCATCAGCTGGAAGAAGAGGTGCGGCTGTCTGCCCTGGCCGTAGGTCAGCAACATGACCGAGGCGTGGACCACCAGTATTTGGAGGGTGCACTCCTCGCCGCTGGGCCACTGCACTAAAATGTGGTCTTGGCTGTCCGACCAGACGTACGCCTCTCGACGAGGTTCTCGCGCCTTTTGCAGATAACTGGAACAAAATCATTTAAAAAGAATGCATTTTAAATCTCTGATCTCTAATAACTGTGTGTTCGTGTTCCATTTGAATTCCATCAATAGCAATGAAAAATGCAGTCATTAAAATTTAAAAAAAATGTTATAATACTAGAAAAATATCAAAAGGAGCATTAATTGCGAGGATTAAATTGCTTTGCGTTCTCGCTTTTGATAAAATCTCATTGCAGTAGATGGAAAATATTCACTGAGATTTCATTAAAATTCTAAATCACACACCTCTGGGTATTTTTTTAATATTTTAGTACAAAGGTATTTTTTTTTTTAATTTCGTTTGGTTGCTATTGATTTCAAATTTTTGAGTGAAACAAAAAATAATAATAATTCAGCTTATTTTAAAATATACCTGGTGAAGATGTGCATGAGATGGGCTAAAGAACTCTGAGCTTCTTCACACTCGAGCTGCCCTCGAGACGGAAGGAGCAGATGGGTGATGTTGTTTCGCTCAACAACCAGTTGGGCCATGTCGAGAGCAAGGTCAGCCAGACTGTGAAGGGCAGCGTCCTTGGTCGAATGGTCAGCCAGGAATCGCAGGTACGTCCTGAGCGTGGGAATGTTGTTTTCGGTCAGGCAGGCCTGTCGAAGGGCCAAAATCGCTTGCGGCCGCACTGCTGCAAAGTGGGGGAGGGCAGGGAGACGCTCGAGGAGCCAATTGCTCACCACTCCATCCTCTTCCTCCTCTTCCAACAGAAGTCTCAGGCCCTGAAGACGGTAATAATTAACTTCAATTAACTCCCACTTTTCAAAAGATTAAAAAAAAATGATTTTTTCTTTATCTCTTTGTATGAAAAAAAAAAAAATTTTTATATAGATTTAATTTTTTAAATACATTTTAAATTAAAAATATGAAATTGAATAAAAAAAAATAGAACAAACCTTGATGGCTTGGTGTCTGCTGCACGCCTGAGGAGAGCCAAGTCGCCGCAGGAAGTATTCAAGAACCTCACAGCATTGTGAAGCAGCATCAAGGCCGTCTTTGTCCACCAACAGCCCTCTCAGGTGACCAACAAGCTGCTGCTGCTTCTGCTGTCTCGACTGTTCGGCAAGAGGTGCTGTGTCGCTCAACAGGAACTCACACAAGCACTGCACTGGCAGGTGGCTGCAAGTTGTTGCAATTAAATTTATTATTATTAATTATTTATTCTTCTCGGTTAATTAAATTTCCATTATTAATGTTTACAAATTCTTTCCCGAAATTTGGATATATTGCCAAGCTTCAAGCTTTCGTTTCATTTGAGCGAAAGTTAAAAGAAAATTTCCCAATTTCAAAAAGGACCTTCCCGTGGGAATTTTGAAATCATTTTGACATATTTAAAATCTGCTCAAAAAGATGAAATTAGCTCAGTTTTATTCGTAATCCTACGACAATTCGGGGTGAATCTAGTTCTGGTACGAATAATTTTTGTTCAAAGTATTCATGTTATTTTGCTCTGTTCTGATCATCATTATAAATAGTACACCAGACCAGTCATACCAGATTTTTTTTTATGGAAACATACCTTAGAGCTCCCTCAGAGCTTTCGACGAGGTCAGCGAGCCAGGGCATGGCTTGAGAAGTGCCCTGCCTTTGTATGACGTCGAGCAAGAAGTCAGGGTTCCTGCTGCGGCACAGTCTGTGTCCCAGGTGCAGCTGGTTGTTGAGGGCCTGCAGAGAGGCAAGAACGGCAGCCGGGGGGCGTCGCGCGGGTCCGATGGGGTCAAACGAGGTCAGCTGGGGCAGCAGCAGAGACGTGTGCTCGGTGATGGTGGCCTTGGTGGAGGCGGCGGCCAGGTGAGTCTCAAACTCGAGGATCTGCGTGCGCTCGTGGGCGGCGGTTTGCGCCTCCTTGGCCGCGTCCTCCTCCAGCAGGGCCATCGTGGGCGGGGGGAAACGGAAATGGTTGGTGATGCACATTTCCATGAAGGCGCGCAGGGTGGCGTACTTTTCCCACGCCGTCGCCCCCACGGTTGCAGGGTTGAACGCGGCGATCACCACCAACAGACACCAAACCTATAAAAAAAAACAAAAAAAAAAATTAAAAAAAAAATAATAATAAGCAGCGACCCAGAGAAAATGTTTTCTAAAAAAAAAACTATTTTATAAGATCATGGTAAATTTTGAGACTAGCTACTAATTGATTTTGATAAATTGTTTAAAAAAAATTAGCATTATTTTGTTCTAAATATTCCCTCAAGAAGCTTTCAACACTTCAAAAATTCATTTATTGGTATTTCTTCCAGAAAATGAAATCTACAAACTATTGCATACGTATTGGATAATTTCATGATAAATTTAACTCCCGCTGGCACAATTTTGGAATTGATTCAATTTCTTTTTCAAGAAAAATTTCAAAACTGACCTTCCAGTACAAATTTGATATGGCAAGTCTCGGAGGGCAGTAGCCAACAGGCAGGGTTATGTTGTCAGGGTGTCTGTAGGAGCAGAGGTCGAAAATGACATCCAGCAGGTCTGTCTTGTCCATAAGCAAGGGGTTGAGTTGCTCACTGGCGATTGAGGCGGCTCTCTTGATGATTCTCTCCTCGATGTCCAGCAGGTCTGCGCAGGAAATTGGGTGCTCCTTGGACAGGCCGATGATGTTGAGTCTGAGCAGGGTGTTCTGGAAGACAGGCACCTCCGAGGCCAGGCGGTACATGGTGCCGCGGTCGTTCTCGGGGGGCCAGTTGTCCTTGCCGTGGTACTGGTCGCCCTGCTCCAAGAAGAGCACCTTGTGCAGAATGTGGACAAACTCCTGGGCCGAAGGGTGGTACATCTTGATGACTGTTTCGTGGAGCCACCAGACCGAGTCTCGCTGAATCTTGGCCGCCATGTTCTGGTAGTTGATCATGGTCTGCACCTCCTTCCGTTCACCCCTGAAAAGTTTTATTTGCTTAAACCTTCAAAATCTTGATTTTTTTTATTGTAAATCTCCTACCTAGCTATCAAGGAGGCGGCTTCTCGAACTGCGGGTGAAATGCCGAGCAAAACGCAGAGGCAGACGAGGTCAGCAATGGCGGCCAGCATTCGTTCCTTGAAGCCAAAGTCCCTGAAAGTCTGCTCTTTGGAGCGGTCGCGCATCAGGGTGCGACAGAAGGTGACCAGAGGCATTTCAGCCCTGAGCATGCGCACCAACTCTCTCAGGAAAAGCCTCAGAGGCTTCAAGTAGTCCTCTCGGTTCATGAGCAACTCGTGAAAAACCTCGGCCAACATCACGGCCGCCTGCTCAGGGTATGTTTGAAAGACGACCGCAATGACGGACATGTTGTTGGTGTTCCTCGAGTTTGACAACTCATTGTAGATGGTCAGCTTCAGCACCAGACCCAAATTGTCTCCGTTCGCTGCAATCAATTCTCTGCAAAATTTTTAAAAATTATTTTGTGAAAATTAAGACATTTGCTTTTTACCTAATTCCGGACAAATAAAGGTTGAGGATGGCTTTTGATTTTGGTCTCATTTTGACCAAGTGGCCAACAACCTCCGTATCTTTAGAGCTGCTGCAATTTGCGCAGACGGACAAAAGCAGCTCCTGGCTCGCTTTCAGAAGTTTTGGATTCTGGAGCCACAAATCCAGTTTGGAAGCAGCCGATAGCCTCACCTATGCCAAGATTAAAATCAATGTAAATTATTCGTGGAAAAAGAACTCACTTCCAGAAGTCCGCTGGCAGTGGCCATGAGCTTCAGCAGGTTTCTGCCCACGGAGTCCTGCGGTTGGCGTCGTCCGAGGTGTTCCTGGACGGTGGCCATCACGATCCCCTCCAAGACCTCCTCCTTGTACCTCTTGAGCACAGGTCCAGTGTCCATGCCCTCCATGGCCGCCTCCTTCCTTGCCGACGCTGCCTCGTCGTCACTCCCGGGCGACTCGCTGCGTCCGAAGCCAATCTCAGAAGGAATGACCAACTTCTGCAGCTGCTTGGTGCCAAAGGAGGCCACAATGTTGTCCACCAAAGGCTTGGCCTCGTCTAGGTCAACCCACAAGTGCTCACCGGCCGCGTCTTCTACATACGCCCTGGCCAAAGCTTCGGGCCAGATAGAAAGGTCTTGCAAACCCTTCATCAACAAGGTTGCCGCCAGTGTGACCGCCTGGCTCTTGATCTTTGACCTTAGGAAGCTGCAAAGAGCGCCTGATTCTGCAGTCAAAAGCTGAAAATGTTTACCTTGTTAATTCTGTGGATCATTTTAAATAAAAAATTAGTACCTGGGGCCACTGTTTGCCAACGAGCAAGAGGGACAGGGTGAGAATTTTGTCCGCCTTGCCCTTCCTGAGGAGCCAAAGGCCACCGCAGAGGAGACTCCTGGCTTTGGCGACGTCGTCAGCCTCCATGGCCTGGCTGATCGTCGCCACCAAGTCGGCAGGGTCGCACTCAAGGGCGTTCGCGTCCCACGACGTCTCCTCACCTTTCATCGGGCTGTCCAGTTTGGCCTTCTTGGCCGGAGGAATTGGAACGGTCGGCCCCAGTGCCTCTCTCTTTCTCTCCGAGGAACCTTAATTTTGAGGAAATATTTTTAATTTTAATTCATTTCAAATAAAAATTAACTTACCCGGAGCCGAGGGTGCGGCGCCGATTTTCGGGGCCATGGTGGGTCTTTTGGGCTCCGTCAAATCGGGTCGAGAACCGCCTGCTTTGGACCCGAGCGGTATGAAGTTTGCCGGGTGCTGGGGGGCTTTGCTCTTGCCCCCGCGGCCCGTTCCTCCTTTACCCCTCTCCATTATTAAACCCTTTTACTCATTCACCCTTCAAAAAATAATTTTTGTCGATCTCTACGTGCAAATCTTAGCAAAAAAAGTGAGATTTGCACAAAAACGTGGTTTGTTTACGATCGTGAAGTTGGCCACTTATTTCAGCCACTCGCCTGAACTTGGCCACTTTTCCGAGCCACTCGTATTCCTTCGAAAGAACAATGTTGCCAACATAACACCGGCATAAACGTAGAATCAAAACTAAAAACACGGGCTTAAGATTTGAAAACGATTTCATCCGTCAGAAAGGTAATAAAAGAATCAAATAATATACATTGAACGCATTGAAGTTTGGTTTTACTAATCTGTAAAGTGAAACTCCTCAATGTTATATACATAAATATTTTATTTAATCCTTGTTGGTGCGACTACGCATTTTTTTAAAATTAATTTCTATGGTTGAATTTTGCTGATTTTTTGCACAAAGGTGGCCCAAGTACTTGCCTACAAAGTGACAATAGCCTCATTGATGATCGCAGCTCAGGAGCCGCTCTTGAGGGCAGCCACATTTTGAAAACGACGATTTTCACTTAAAAAAATAGTTTTTTTAATTTAAATTCATTTCTATGGTTAAAATTTTATTAATAATAAATGGGCAGCAATTGCCTTTGTGATAGTACAATAAACACAATTAGCTTCTGCTTCTAACATTACATATTGTGAGACGCAGGTGAGACGAAGCAAATTAGAGTTTTAAAGACCGCAACCCGCCTCACAGAGGTGTTCGGCGGCGCTGCATAGCCTTTTGTAAGATCTAACATGGATTTATTGAAAACGACGAATTTTCCAAGAAAAATTTATTTATTTTCATCGCCATTTTACGGTCAAATTCTTTTAATATTTTGCACAAGGAAGCCTTTACTTTGAAAACAAAAAAATTAGAGGTGCGCTTTTCTTCAAAATTTACCACTCAGTTTGCAACAGTTGTTGAGAATAAAAAGTTATGGTTGATGGAGAGGAAGCAAAGACATTGGAATTATAATTATTATCTTTTTTTATAGAAAAACCATTTTCGTTGCTCATGCGCGCAATTTTCCCGTTTCCATTTTCGTCATGTAAAAAATTGCCCTATTGTTTTACAGGATAAAGTAAAAAAACTGAATTACCTCATAAAATGGTATGAAAGATTAACTCGCGTTTTCAAAGTTCGTTATCTCTGCCCGATATATGCTCTATCACACGTTTTACAATTACTTTTATACACTACTTCTTTTTCTGATGGGGGAATTTTCGGTTTTACACACATTAAAAATTTTCTTAGGGTGTTTCTGTTTGTGAAGGCGATTCTCACTTTTGGGGTGTGTTTATTAATCATCCTTTTTATTGCCTCTGCATTTCCTTTCACGTATGGCATCACTATTGTTTGCATGAAGTTACTGCATGAATCCATCTTTCAATAATGCCTCGGTTTGGCCAGCGTATTTGATTCAAGTCATTTAATGCGCCGAAACAATAAAATTTAATAAAGATATAGTGGAATAGTGAAAAAAATAAAATTCATGATTTTCACCATGAATCCATCTTTCAATTATGCCTCGGTTTGGCCAGCGCGTTTGATTCAAGTCATTTAATGCGCCGAAACAATAAAATTTAATAAAGATATTATAACGGTTAATTGGCAGATGAGTCGGGCGAAATTTATAGACACACATTTTTGTTTATTTTTTGAATGATTATTTTTTTTTATACACTTTTTTTAATTCCAACTTTTACCCTTCCTCTCACCCTAAAATTTGTAATCACAATCGTTCGCCGAACAACATCAGAGGCGGCGGATTGACAGCGGGGCGAGAGTGGGGCTCGTTGGCGAGTGCACTTTGCACTCGCAGCCGATAGGTACCGAAAGGTGGGGAGTGCGTGCACTCTCCGCGGGTTGCAATCGAGGTCAGTGGCCCACAAACTTTGAAGGGCGACGCACTTGTGTTGGCGTGCGTTCGCCCAGCAGCGATCGGCCGCGTGCCGAGTCGGATCCGATTAAATTTCTGTCGACATTACGAACGTAAGTGTCAATTAATTTTCCCTTGCGGGCCAATTCCGGTGGGACTTCTGTGCCACCCTTTTTTCCCAAACGGGTTCACTGACTCGGTTCTTCCCAACCTTTCAGGTGCCCCTCGGGGCCGTTTTGTATCGACTGAACGGTCTCGCGGAGCCGTCTCGGGGCGTCATACCGAGCCGGACACCTAACCACCACCCAGGTGTCCGGGCGACCTCGTCAATTGGGTCGCGCCGCGGGCCACCACTCACATCAGAAGCCGCCCTTCAGCGAGAGGACGTCACCATTGTCGCTGGAACAAGACGGACTGCATCGAGGAACACCGAAGTCGATGAGTACCGTGTTTGATTTATTGTGCGCACACAAACTGTAACCTATCCTTATTTCCTACCCTTTATTTATTATAATTAGTTGAATATTACAATTACACATTTTTCAAATTACTAATCAAAATAAAACATTTATTTCAACTAACTCCATTTGCAATATATTGTTATAATATTCACCATTTTTGCAATATAACCATCAATTAATTTTCAACCGAGTTGCCAAAGTTTATTTATTTTTGAGCCGAACCAAGAAACGAACCCTGCCTCTGCGTTTGTTTAATTTTGTTGAGATAGAAAGTTCTAGAAAGAAATCGTGGTAAGAAATTATCACTGGCATCCCAGAATTTAAGAATTTGTGTCTGAGCAGAAATAAGTAAATTCCTGAATGACGATAGGTCGTTATAATATAGTGGAATCGTGAAAAAAATAAAATTCATGATTTTCACCATGAATCCATCTTTCAATAATGCCTCGGTTTGGCCTGCGCGTTTGATTGAAGTCAAATTATGCGGCGAAACAATAAAATTTAATAAAGATATAGTGGAATAGTGAAAAAAATAAAATTCATGATTTTCACCATGAATCCATCTTTCAATTATGCCTCGGTTTGGCCAGCGCGTTTGATTGAAGTCAAACAATGCGCCGGAACCATAAAATTTAGAAAAGATATAGTGGAATAGTAAAAAAAATAAAATTCATGATTTTCACCATGAATCCATCTTTCAATAATGCCTCGGTTTGGCCAGCGTATTTGATTAAAGTCATTTAATGCGCCGAAACAATAAAATTTAATAAAGATATAGTGGAATAGTGAAAAAAATAAAATTCATGATTTTCACCATGAATCCATCTTTCAATTATGCCTCGGTTTGGCCAGCGCGTTTGATTGAAGTCAAATAATGCGCCGGAACAATAAAATTTAGAAAAGATATAGTGGAATAGTAAAAAAAATAAAATTCATGATTTTCACCATGAATCCATCTTTCAATAATGCCTCGGTTTGGCCAGCGCGTCTGATTCAAGTCATTTAATGCGCCGAAACAATAAAATTTAATAAAGATATAGTGGAATCGTGAAAAAAATAAAATTCATGATTTTCACCATGAATCCATCTTTCAATTATGCCTCGGTTTGGCCAGCGCGTTTGATTGAAGTCAAATAATGCGCCGGAACAATAAAATTTAGAAAAGATATAGTGGAATAGTAAAAAAAATAAAATTCATGATTTTCACCATGAATCCATCTTTCAATAATGCCTCGGTTTGGCCAGCGTATTTGATTCAAGTCATTTAATGCGCCGAAACAATAAAATTTAATAAAGATATAGTGGAATAGTGAAAAAAATAAAATTCATGATTTTCACCATGAATCCATCTTTCAATTATGCCTCGGTTTGGCCAGCGCGTTTGATTCAAGTCATTTAATGCGCCGAAACAATAAAATTTAATAAAGATATAGTGGAATCGTGAAAAAAATAAAATTCATGATTTTCACCATGAATCCATCTTTCAATTATGCCTCGGTTTGGCCAGCGCGTTTGATTGAAGTCAAATAATGCGCCGGAACAATAAAATTTAGAAAAGATATAGTGGAATAGTAAAAAAAATAAAATTCATGATTTTCACCATGAATCCATCTTTCAATAATGCCTCGGTTTGGCCAGCGCGTCTGATTCAAGTCATTTAATGCGCCGAAACAATAAAATTTAATAAAGATATAGTGGAATAGTGAAAAAAATAAAATTCATGATTTTCACCATGAATCCATCTTTCAATTATGCCTCGGTTTGGCCAGCGTATTTGATTAAAGTCATTTAATGCGCCGAAACAATAAAATTTAATAAAGATATAGTGGAATCGTGAAAAAAATAAAATTCATGATTTTCACCATGAATCCATCTTTCAATTATGCCTCGGTTTGGCCAGCGCGTTTGATTGAAGTCAAACAATGCGCCGGAACCATAAAATTTAGAAAAGATATAGTGGAATAGTAAAAAAAATAAAATTCATGATTTTTACCATGAATCCATCTTTCAATAATGCCTCGGTTTGGCCAGCGTATTTGATTCAAGTCATTTAATGCGCCGAAACAATAAAATTTAATAAAGATATAGTGGAATAGTAAAAAAAATAAAATTCATGATTTTCACCATGAATCCATCTTTCAATAATGCCTCGGTTTGGCCAGCGTATTTGATTAAAGTCATTTAATGCGCCGAAACAATAAAATTTAATAAAGATATAGTGGAATAGTGAAAAAAATAAAATTCATGATTTTCACCATGAATCCATCTTTCAATTATGCCTCGGTTTGGCCAGCGCGTTTGATTGAAGTCAAATAATGCGCCGGAACAATAAAATTTAGAAAAGATATAGTGGAATAGTAAAAAAAATAAAATTCATGATTTTCACCATGAATCCATCTTTCAATAATGCCTCGGTTTGGCCAGCGTATTTGATTCAAGTCATTTAATGCGCCGAAACAATAAAATTTAATAAAGATATAGTGGAATAGTAAAAAAAATAAAATTCATGATTTTCACCATGAATCCATCTTTCAATAATGCCTCGGTTTGGCCAGCGTATTTGATTAAAGTCATTTAATGCGCCGAAACAATAAAATTTAATAAAGATATAGTGGAATAGTGAAAAAAATAAAATTCATGATTTTCACCATGAATCCATCTTTCAATTATGCCTCGGTTTGGCCAGCGCGTTTGATTGAAGTCAAATAATGCGCCGGAACAATAAAATTTAGAAAAGATATAGTGGAATAGTAAAAAAAATAAAATTCATGATTTTCACCATGAATCCATCTTTCAATAATGCCTCGGTTTGGCCAGCGCGTTTGATTGAAGTCAAACAATGCGCCGGAACCATAAAATTTAGAAAAGATATAGTGGAATAGTAAAAAAAATAAAATTCATGATTTTCACCATGAATCCATCTTTCAATAATGCCTCGGTTTGGCCAGCGTATTTGATTAAAGTCATTTAATGCGCCGAAACAATAAAATTTAATAAAGATATAGTGGAATAGTGAAAAAAATAAAATTCATGATTTTCACCATGAATCCATCTTTCAATTATGCCTCGGTTTGGCCAGCGCGTCTGATTCAAGTCATTTAATGCGCCGAAACAATAAAATTTAATAAAGATATAGTGGAATCGTGAAAAAAATAAAATTCATGATTTTCACCATGAATCCATCTTTCAATTATGCCTCGGTTTGGCCAGCGCGTTTGATTGAAGTCAAATAATGCGCCGGAACAATAAAATTTAGAAAAGATATAGTGGAATAGTAAAAAAAATAAAATTCATGATTTTCACCATGAATCCATCTTTCAATAATGCCTCAGTTTGGCCAGCGCGTCTGATTCAAGTCATTTAATGCGCCGAAACAATAAAATTTAATAAAGATATAGTGGAATCGTGAAAAAAATAAAATTCATGATTTTCACCATGAATCCATCTTTCAATTATGCCTCGGTTTGGCCAGCGCGTTTGATTGAAGTCAAACAATGCGCCGGAACCATAAAATTTAGAAAAGATATAGTGGAATAGTAAAAAAAATAAAATTCATGATTTTCACCATGAATCCATCTTTCAATAATGCCTCGGTTTGGCCAGCGTATTTGATTCAAGTCATTTAATGCGCCGAAACAATAAAATTTAATAAAGATATAGTGGAATAGTAAAAAAAATAAAATTCATGATTTTCACCATGAATCCATCTTTCAATAATGCCTCAGTTTGGCCAGCGCGTCTGATTCAAGTCATTTAATGCGCCGAAACAATAAAATTTAATAAAGATATAGTGGAATAGTGAAAAAAATAAAATTCATGATTTTCACCATGAATCCATCTTTCAATTATGCCTCGGTTTGGCCAGCGCGTTTGATTGAAGTCAAATAATGCGCCGGAACAATAAAATTTAGAAAAGATATAGTGGAATAGTAAAAAAAATAAAATTCATGATTTTCACCATGAATCCATCTTTCAATAATGCCTCGGTTTGGCCAGCGCGTTTGATTGAAGTCAAACAATGCGCCGGAACCATAAAATTTAGAAAAGATATAGTGGAATAGTAAAAAAAATAAAATTCATGATTTTCACCATGAATCCATCTTTCAATAATGCCTCGGTTTGGCCAGCGCGTTTGATTGAAGTCAAATAATGCGCCGGAACAATAAAATTTAGAAAAGATATAGTGGAATAGTAAAAAAAATAAAATTCATGATTTTCACCATGAATCCATCTTTCAATAATGCCTCGGTTTGGCCAGCGCGTCTGATTCAAGTCATTTAATGCGCCGAAACAATAAAATTTAATAAAGATATAGTGGAATAGTGAAAAAAATAAAATTCATGATTTTCACCATGAATCCATCTTTCAATTATGCCTCGGTTTGGCCAGCGTATTTGATTAAAGTCATTTAATGCGCCGAAACAATAAAATTTAATAAAGATATAGTGGAATAGTGAAAAAAATAAAATTCATGATTTTCACCATGAATCCATCTTTCAATTATGCCTCGGTTTGGCCAGCGCGTTTGATTGAAGTCAAACAATGCGCCGGAACCATAAAATTTAGAAAAGATATAGTGGAATAGTAAAAAAAATAAAATTCATGATTTTCACCATGAATCCATCTTTCAATAATGCCTCGGTTTGGCCAGCGCGTTTGATTGAAGTCAAATAATGCGCCGGAACAATAAAATTTAGAAAAGATATAGTGGAATAGTAAAAAAAATAAAATTCATGATTTTCACCATGAATCCATCTTTCAATAATGCCTCGGTTTGGCCAGCGTATTTGATTCAAGTCATTTAATGCGCCGAAACAATAAAATTTAATAAAGATATAGTGGAATAGTAAAAAAAATAAAATTCATGATTTTCACCATGAATCCATCTTTCAATAATGCCTCGGTTTGGCCAGCGTATTTGATTAAAGTCATTTAATGCGCCGAAACAATAAAATTTAATAAAGATATAGTGGAATAGTGAAAAAAATAAAATTCATGATTTTCACCATGAATCCATCTTTCAATTATGCCTCGGTTTGGCCAGCGCGTTTGATTGAAGTCAAATAATGCGCCGGAACAATAAAATTTAGAAAAGATATAGTGGAATAGTAAAAAAAATAAAATTCATGATTTTCACCATGAATCCATCTTTCAATAATGCCTCGGTTTGGCCAGCGCGTTTGATTGAAGTCAAACAATGCGCCGGAACCATAAAATTTAGAAAAGATATAGTGGAATAGTGAAAAAAATAAAATTCATGATTTTCACCATGAATCCATTTTTCAATAATGCCTCAGTTTGGCCAGCGAATTTGATTCAAGTCATTTGATGCGCCGAAACAATAAAATTTAATAAAGATATGGTGGAATAGTGAAAAAAATAAAATTCATGATTTTCACCATGAAGCCATCTTTTAATAATGCCTCGGTTTTGCCTGCGTGTTAGATTCAAGTCATTTGATGTGCCGAAACAATAAAATTTAATAAAGATATGGTGAAATAGTGAAAAAAATAAAATTCATGATTTTCACCATGAATCCATCTTTCAATAATGCCTCGGTTTGGCCAGCGTATTTGATTCAAGTCATTTAATGCGCCGGAACCATAAAATATAGAAAAGATATAGTGGAATAGTAAAAAAAATAAAATTCATGATTTTCACCATGAATCCATCTTTCAATAATGCCTCGGTTTGGCCAGCGCGTCTGATTCAAGTCATTTAATGCGCCGAAACAATAAAATTTAATAAAGATATAGTGGAATCGTGAAAAAAATAAAATTCATGATTTTCACCATGAATCCATCTTTCAATTATGCCTCGGTTTGGCCAGCGCGTTTGATTGAAGTCAAACAATGCGCCGGAACCATAAAATTTAGAAAAGATATAGTGGAATAGTAAAAAAAATAAAATTCATGATTTTCACCATGAATCCATCTTTCAATAATGCCTCGGTTTGGCCTGCGCGTTTGATTGAAGTCAAATTATGCGCCGGAACATTTAAATTTAATAAAGATATAGTGGAATAGTGAAAAAAATAAAATTCATGATTTTCACCATGAATCCATCTTTCAATGATGCCTCGGTTTGGCCTGCGCGTTTGATTGAAGTCAAATTATGCGCCGGAACAATAAAATTTAATAAAGATATAGTGGAATCGTGAAAAAAATAAAATTCATGATTTTCACCATGAATCCATCTTTCAATAATGCCTCGGTTTGGCCAGCGCGTCTGATTCAAGTCATTTAATGCGCCGAAACAATAAAATTTAATAAAGATATAGTGGAATCGTGAAAAAAATAAAATTCATGATTTTCACCATGAATCCATCTTTCAATTATGCCTCGGTTTGGCCAGCGCGTTTGATTGAAGTCAAATAATGCGCCGGAACAATAAAATTTAGAAAAGATATAGTGGAATAGTAAAAAAAATAAAATTCATGATTTTCACCATGAATCCATCTTTCAATAATGCCTCAGTTTGGCCAGCGCGTCTGATTCAAGTCATTTAATGCGCCGAAACAATAAAATTTAATAAAGATATAGTGGAATCGTGAAAAAAATAAAATTCATGATTTTCACCATGAATCCATCTTTCAATTATGCCTCGGTTTGGCCAGCGCGTTTGATTGAAGTCAAACAATGCGCCGGAACCATAAAATTTAGAAAAGATATAGTGGAATAGTAAAAAAAATAAAATTCATGATTTTCACCATGAATCCATCTTTCAATAATGCCTCGGTTTGGCCTGCGCGTTTGATTGAAGTCAAATTATGCGCCGGAACATTTAAATTTAATAAAGATATAGTGGAATAGTGAAAAAAATAAAATTCATGATTTTCACCATGAATCCATCTTTCAATGATGCCTCGGTTTGGCCTGCGCGTTTGATTGAAGTCAAATTATGCGCCGGAACAATAAAATTTAATAAAGATATGGTGGAATAGTGAAAAAAATAAAATTCATGATTTTCACCATGAAGCCATCTTTCAATAATGCCTCGGTTTTGCCTGCGTGTTAGATTCATGTCATTTGATGTGCCGAAACAATAAAATTTAATAAAGATATGGTGAAATAGTGAAAAAAATAAAATTCATGATTTTCACCATGAATCCATCTTTCAATAATGCCTCAGTTTGGCCAGCGAATTTGATTCAAGTCATTTGATGCGCCGAAACAATAAAATTTAATAAAGATATGGTGGAATAGTGAAAAAAATAAAATTCAAGATTTTCACCATGAAGCCATCTTTCAATAATGCCTCGGTTTTGCCTGCGTGTTAGATTCAAGTCATTTGATGTGCCGAAACAATAAAATTTAATAAAGATATGGTGAAATAGTGAAAAAAATAAAATTCATGATTTTCACCATGAATCCATTTTTCAATAATGCCTCAGTTTGGCCAGCGAATTTGATTCAAGTCATTTGATGCGCCGAAACAATAAAATTTAATAAAGATATGGTGGAATAGTGAAAAAAATAAAATTCATGATTTTCACCATGAAGCCATCTTTCAATAATGCCTCGGTTTTGCCTGCGTGTTAGATTCAAGTCATTTGATGCGCCGAAACAATAAAATTTAATAAAGATATGGTGGAATAGTGAAAAAAATAAAATTCATGATTTTCACCATGAATCCATTTTTCAATAATGCCTCAGTTTGGCCAGCGAATTTGATTCAAGTCATTTGATGCGCCGAAACAATAAAATTTAATAAAGATATGGTGAAATAGTGAAAAAAATAAAATTCATGATTTTCACCATGAATCCATCTTTCAATAATGCCTCGGTTTGGCCAGCGTATTTGATTCAAGTCATTTAATGCGCCGGAACCATAAAATATAGAAAAGATATAGTGGAATAGTAAAAAAAATAAAATTCATGATTTTCACCATGAATCCATCTTTCAATAATGCCTCGGTTTGGCCAGCGCGTCTGATTCAAGTCATTTTATGCGCCGAAACAATAAAATTTAATAAAGATATAGTGGAATCGTGAAAAAAATAAAATTCATGATTTTCACCATGAATCCATCTTTCAATTATGCCTCGGTTTGGCCAGCGCGTTTGATTGAAGTCAAATAATGCGCCGGAACAATAAAATTTAGAAAAGATATAGTGGAATAGTAAAAAAAATAAAATTCATGATTTTCACCATGAATCCATCTTTCATTAATGCCTCGGTTTGGCCAGCGCATTTGATGCAAGTCATTTAATGCGCCGAAACAATAAAATTTAATAAAGATATAGTGGAATAGTAAAAAAAATAAAATTCATGATTTTCACCATGAATCCATCTTTCAATAATGCCTCGGTTTGGCCAGCGCGTTTGATTGAAGTCAAATTATGCGGCGAAACAATAAAATTTAATAAAGATATAGTGGAATAGTGAAAAAAATAAAATTCATGATTTTCACAATGAATCCATCTTTCAATTATTCCTCGGTTTGGCCAGCGCGTTTGATTAAAGTCAAATAATGCGCCGGAACAATAAAATTTAATAAAGATACAAAGGAATAATGTAAAAAATAAAATTCATGATTTTCACCATGAATCCATTTTTCAATAATGCCTCGGTTTGGCCAGCGAATTTGATTCAAGTCATTTGATGCGCCGAAACAATAAAATTTTATAAAGATATAGTGGAATAGTGAAAAAAATAAAATTCATGATTTTCACCATGAATCCATTTTTCAATAATGCCTCGGTTTGGCCAACGAATTTGATTCAAGTCATTTTATGCGCCGAAACAATAAAATTTTATAAAGATATAGTGGAATAGTGAAAAAAATAAAATTCATGATTTTCACCATGAATCCATCTTTCAATTATGCCTCGGTTTGGCCAGCGCGTTTGATTTGAGTCATTTAATGTGCCTGAACAATAAAATTTAATAAAGATACAGTGGGAAAATCATGAATTTTATTTTTTTACATTATTCCACTGTATCTTTATTAAATTTTTTTGTTCTGGCGCATTAAATTACTAAAATCAAACGCACTGGCCAAACCGAGGCATCATTGAAAGTTGGATTTTAAGTGAAAAACTTTTTAAAAAATGGCTGCCCCCGGGGGCGGCTCCTGAGCTGCGATCATCAATGAGGCTATTGTCACTTTGTAGACAAGTACTTGGGCCACCTTTGTGCAAAAATCAGCAAAATTCATCCATAGAAATTAATTTTAAAAAAATGCGTAGTCGCACCAACAAAGATTAAATAAAATATTTATGTATATAACATTGAGGAGTTTCACTTTATAGATTATTAAAACCAAATTTCAATGCGTTCAATGTATATTATTTGATTCTTTTATTACCTTTCTGACGGATGAAATCGTTTTCAAATCTTAAGCCCGTGTTTTTAGTTTTGATTCTACGTTTATGCCAGTGTTATGTTGGCAACATTGTTCTTTTGAAGGAATATGAGTGGCTTGGAAAAGTGGATAAGTTCAGGCGAGTGGCTGAAAAAAGTGGCCAACTTCACGGCCGTCCTAAATGAGGAGAGGGGAAAGGGGAACGATGGCAGGGGAGGTGTGTGTGACGACGGGGGCGTGTCTCATTGAAAATTTGCAAAACGTGAACTGACACCGTACCCGCTGAACTGCCCATTTAATTGCACTTTTTCGCTCGCGGATTCGTGCACAACACTTTGGCTGCTCTTCATAGCATGCAAATTTACAGCCGGTCGTCCTTGGCTTTTAATCACAAGACCGCAAACGCAGCGTCATTATGTACGCATGTAAATTTTCCGCACTTTTTGTCAAAATAGACACCAAACATTGCAAAAGATTTTAACACGAGATCGTTTTCAGAACCTCTCTCCGAAATTCGGTGCTACAGCAAGGTCAAATCCAATCAAGATGAGTCCGGCGCACGTCAAGTCCCTTTCCTCACTGTGGACCACTGGACGTCACTTCAAACTTTTCTATTCCGTTTCGGCAGCTAGAGTAAATGTTAATTTTTAATTATTATGTAGCTTCTCATTTCATCATTGTATGCATTATATGTATTAATAATTTTCTCAGTGTTACTCGACTGGCAACAAAAATGGCAAAGTCTACCCTTCAGCCTTGGAGGCTGTCAAGGACATCCCGAACGGAGCAACTTTGCTAGTTGGAGGTTTGATTTAAATAATTATTTTATATTTTTGAGATTCGTAAATAAACATATATGGAAAGGTTTTGGACTTTGTGGCATCCCTGAGAACCTGATCAGCGGGTTGCTGACGACAGGGGTGAATGGCCTGACGGTGGCCAGCAACAACGCTGGCGTGGACACCTTTGGCCTGGGGCTGTTGCTCAAGAAAAGGCAAATCAGCAAAATGATTGCCTCGTACGTGGGCGAAAACGCAGAGTTCGAGCGACAGTACCTGAGTGGTGAGTTGGAGGTGGAGCTGACGCCGCAAGGCACGTTGGCTGAGAAGATCAGGGCTGGCGGCGCAGGCATCCCTGCCTTCTTCACCCCCACAGGTTTCGGCACCCTTGTGTCCGAAGGTGGCGCCCCTCTAAAGTACGCACCTGGCGGCGCCAAGGTCGAGATCGCCAGCTCGGGGAAGGAAGTCCGAGACTACAACGGACGCAGCTACATCCTTGAGGAGGCCATCACTGGGGACTTTGCCTTGGTCAAGGCTTGGAAGGCGGACAAAGCTGGAAATCTCATTTTCAGGTTGGCAATTTTAACCACCAATGTTTATGATCTAAAAATAATTTATGATTTAGAAATACTGCTCAAAATTTCAACCCGTCAATGTGCAAGGCTGGAAGAATCACAATTGCTGAGGCAGAGGAAATTGTTGAAATTGGAGAACTTGACCCCAATCAAATTCATGTACCTGGCGTTTATGTACAGCGCGTTGTAAAGGGCGAGAGTTACGAAAAGCGTATTGAGGTAATTCATCTTGTTAAATTTCAAGACAATTTATGATGCAAATGAATATTTGTTTAAATTTTACATTTTGTCACCATTTAAACTCATGTAGTCAGTTATTCTTCTCAAATCCCCAGAGACTCACCCTGAAAAAGGCAGCTGGAGCCAAAAGCTCCGCCAAAGTTAATCCAGCCACAGCGCACAGAGAAAGAATTGTGAGAAGAGCAGCTTTGGAGTTTAAGGACGGCATGTATGGTGAGTTATTAAATAAAACCATATTTAAATTGAAGTTTTTAATTTACATATTTAAGCCAATCTGGGAATTGGCATGCCCATGCTGGCCAGCAACTACATCCCGGCAGGTGTCAATGTAACTTTGCAAAGTGAAAACGGAATTCTGGGACTTGGACCTTTCCCTGAACCAGGTCAACAGGACCCTGACCTCATCAACGCTGGAAAAGAAACAGTTACCACCCTGCCAGGCGCTGCCTTTTTCTCAAGTGATGAAAGTTTTGCAATGATTCGAGGGTGAGTTTCTTTAAAATACAAATGGTTGAAGTTGAATTATAACATTAAATTTGAATCAAATTTCAGAGGACATGTCAATTTGACCATCTTGGGAGCCATGCAAGTCTCTCAGAGGGGAGATCTTGCCAACTGGATGATTCCTGTAAATTTTTATCTCAAAAAAGTAAAAAATGTTCTAATTTATTTGAATATTTGCATTCCAGGGCAAAATGGTGAAGGGAATGGGAGGTGCCATGGACCTGGTGTCCGCACCTGGCACAAAAGTGGTTGTTACCATGGAGCACACAGCCAAGGGTGGTGCTCACAAAATCTTGGAGACATGCAATCTTCCTCTCACAGGACAGCAATGCGTTGACACAATTATCACAGACCTGGTATGTCTTTACAATTTTGTTGATTGTGTTTTTAATTCTTGTTGTACTAGTGCGTCTTCCAAGTTGACAAGGAGGCTGGTGAACTGGAGCTGACCGAAATTGCTGAGGGGGTCAAAGTTGAGGAAATTGTTGCGGCGACCGGATGCACCTTCAGAATTGCCAGTGAAGTCAAGCCCATGGCGCAGGTGGAGGTTGATGAGTAAATCAACACTTTGTTAACAAGGCAGATATTGATATTTTTATATTTGTTATTTTTTTATATAATTATTGTGAACAATGAGTAATTATCTGCCTCAAAATAAAACTGTTATGCTTAAATAAAACAATGACGAATACAAATATTAAAAGTTTTTTTTATTTATACTAAAATTGTTTTTATGTAAATCTCATATCCATTTAGCCAGTACCAAACAGCTGCTTTGCAGACAATTAATTACTTTACACATTTGTGGGAGACGAATTCATTTAAGAGTAAATAGTTTTGATAGATTGCATTCAAAATTGCCTATTAAGTCATGAATGCCAGATATAAAAGTTAAGGAAGTCCAATTAGTCATGTGAAATAAAATAGCCTACACAAGTTTCCAAGCAGCGCTACTGATTTCTCGATCCAAGCACTCTCCTTCCAGGTTCCTGAGACTGCTCCAAATTTTTGACCTATGCAGATCAAATCATCAGGATATGTTGCAACCTTTATGCAAATTAAATTACCAAATTCACAGCAGCTTCTTGTAGCCGGTTCTCCACATCAGATGAACCAGTGGTTGTGGAAGAATTTGAATTTGAGGGAGAGTTCAAGCCACTGTCTGGACCTTGCTAAAATTCAAAGTTAAACCCTTATTAGCAAAATTAAATAATTGTATTACATTTTGTTGTCTGGCTAACTCGGCGTAGTGTCTGGCCAAGATTCTGGGGGCTGGTGAGGAGAACTTGAGCTGCCGAGGGTACTCGCGCTCCTGTCTAGCAGGGGTGGCTCCAGTTGGGGCGTATTTGGCCAGCTCCGAGTTGACAAAGGTGACGGCTGTCTGCCTGATGCTGTCGATGTGACCATTTGCCACCTCCCTGCCCTCGACGGCCACTTGCTGCATCATTTCCAGCTCTTGTCTGGACACCAGCTTTTGTTCCTCCAGTTCTTGGCCCTTTTGAGCGGCCATTGCAGCCACCTGTTGTTCCTTTGTCTGAACAGCGGCCTCAGCATTTTGTAGATAGGCGTCCTGCGCTGAAATATGACTGGCCAGAGTTTCCATCTTGGAGGACGAGCTTGACTTGAAGTCAGACACAGCGTTTTGAAGAGAGATTTGTACTTCCTGCGCCTGCGAGTTGATCAGGTTTGAGGCAAGGGCAAGGGTGGAGTCTGCAGCAGCGACCTCACCCTGGGCCTCTCTGTTCTGCTTGGCCAGGGTCTTGTTCACGTTTGTGTATTTCTCCATCAGATTCTCCATGTTTTTTGAACTGAGACTGGCGATGCTCTGGGCGCCTCGATTGATCTCTTGGCTAATTTCTGCAGCGCTGCCTGTATGAGTTTTCAAGTTTTCTTCAACAGCATTACACTGCTGTTCAAGGTTAGTGAAGTCCTGCAAACTCATGGAGCTGCCTTCCAAAACCAGCTTCTGGATGAGGGAAGTAGTCGACGACCAATAAACCTGGGTTTTGTTGGCTTTCTCTGCACACTCAGCTTTTAGCTCCCTAACTTTAGTTTGCTCTCCAATCAAGTCTCTCTGCAGCTTGTTGTTCTACAAAAGTTATAAAAAATGTATTCCATCTTCAAAATAGAAATGGATTGTTACCTTCTCCTCCAGTGAAATCCAAGTTTTGCTCACTTCATCGGCCTGCAGTTTGGCATCTTGGATGCTTTCTTCAAAGGCGCTGGTCACTGATTCAATTACCGTCTGCAGGTGCTGCGCCAGTTTTTCCTGCAGAAGCCGCAAATTGATGGCAGCCAACGCCTCCAGCTGTTCAGCGGCATTTCTCTTGACCATTTCCACAATTTCCTCGTTCGTCAAAGTGACAGCCTGAGCGATTTGTGTTTCAAGCTGCTCGATTTCCTTGCCGTTGGATACAAGATTCTGACGAGCCTGTTGGAATTGCGCCGTCAGGTCCACCTTCAATGAGAGGAACTCGTCCCGCATGGCCGTGATTGTCTGCATCTGCAACTCCTCCAACTTTGAGGTGCAGCGCTCCAGATTGGAGATTTGCGTCTGTTGATTCTCGCAGTGTGACACCGACTCACTTTTGGCCAACTTCAGCAGGCTGTCCATCTTGGAGGTGAAAGTGGCGGATGCCTGAGTGTTTTTCGCCTCAAGATTTCTGCAAAAACAATAATTCAATTAAAAATATCTAATCAATTCATCATTAATTGTATAATCAATCTTAAGAAAAATTGTTTTACTTCATATAGAATTCTACATAAATTAAATTTTCACCTGGTTCTTTCCAGGGCGTCATGCGTCTTCTCAAGATCTCTGGTAGTCTCGTCTGTGACACTGATTAATTTGCCAGTTTCCACTTTCAAATTCTCTTCTGTGTTGAGGTGGTAGTCTAGAAGAACTTCTTTTTCGTCTAGATTCCTTTCAGTGATGGCAAGGTTGGCAGCCGTCCTTTCCAACCTTTCTGTCGTTTCCTCTAACTTCTCACTCAGATCTTGAACCACACTCTTTAAAGTAACAAAAAAAATTAATTTAAATCCAAATATTTAGTAACAACAAGTACCTCTCTTTTCTCTCTTTCCTCCTCCAGAGATCTGATGATTTGTATCTTCTCCAGTATTTCTACGTCCTGTCGCTCGATTTTTGTCTCCATCTCTTTGTAATTCTCCGGGTCAACGTAGATTCCTGCACCTGATCGTTGGGCTATCAGGTCTTTCCTGAGACGCTCGATTTCCTGGTCATACTCTTTGATGAAGGCCTGCTTGGACAGACGCTGGTTGATCTGCGGTCTGTTGGTTATGCTTTTGGCCCTGTGAGCATAGTCCAGGGTGCTCAGGGTCTCCTCCAAGTTGGCCAGCACTGGCGAGACCGTGGCCACAATGGCCGTCTTGGTTTTGCCGCCTAACGAGTCTTGCAGCAGTCTCGTCAGCTTTGATTCTCGGTACGGGATGTGAGGCGTTTTCTCCACCAGCGATGTGATGACCCTGCCTAACGTCAACAGACTCTGGTTGATATTTCCGGCCTCTTTAGCCCTCTGGTTTGTGGCGCCCGAGCGGCTGATATTCTCGGAGCCAGCAAGATCAACAAGGTTGATTTTGCCGGTTCTGATCAGGTCTTCGCCAGCCTCAGTCGACTCACGGATGTGGATTGTCACCATGAAAATTGTGTGAGATCGACTGAAATTATTGATACGAATGAATAAGTTGAACTATTTAGATGTTAATTAAAAATTTTGATATTTTACCTGGAGGTGGCGTTCATGAAGGTAGCAGCTGTTTGTCTCTTTTTGGAACCTCTGGAGAGGATATCATACACCTGCTTTTTGTCCAGCACTCTGACATCTGTCAGCCCTTGTACGATCACAGACCCTTTCGATTGAGCGTCTTCAAACAAACTACACGCAGATTTATAGTTTTTAAAGACAAAAATACAAAAATTCAATTTCAATACCGCAGTTTGGAGTTGTCCTCCTCAGGCGAGAGCAAGTCAATCAGCTCTTCGTTGTAGAGCTCGAGATAACTGACGGCCATGGTGAACTCTATGTTCTTCAGCCTCAGCTCGTCAAACATGTGGCTCAGGACTCGAGGAACCAATCCGCAAAGAGGGTCCTGTCAAAAAATTTCTCATTACATATTTCATGAATTAAAAACATAAATCTACCATCTGAATTGAAAATAAATCAATATAAATAAATCAAAATTAAAACAATATTACTGAGCTTTTTGTACCTTTTCCCAGGTCATATCATCGTTTGACCTTTCACCCTCCATGGTGAAGGTCTTGCCAGTCCCGGTCTGACCGTAGGCAAAGATGGTGCAGTTGTATCCCTCGAGCACCTCAGAGATCATCGGCTGGGCCACAGCTTTGTAAACGTCGACCTGCTTGGAGTTTGGACCAAACGCCTTGTCAAAGGTGAAGGTCTTGGTCATGGCCAGGTTGGTGCGGTCGCGCACAATCACTTCGCGATCCTTTTTCAGCTCGACCACATTTTGGTTTTTTCGCTCCATCCGCTCTTTTTCGTTCATGGGCCTGCAATGCACCAAATTTCAGATTAAAATCGGTACTTTTCTGTTAGAAAGCCAATTTGACGACAATTTGAAATCGAAACTGACCTGACTCGCACGTAAACCTGGATATTTTCGCGTTTGCTGGCGGCAGCTCCACACTTGTTGTCCGCCATTTTCGCAGGAGTTTTCAGGTCTCTGTGTGACATTCAACGAAAAGAAACCTCGTGACCTCAAACACGAGGAAAATTTGCGGAATTTCCCTCAAAAACAAGAACTGACAGGCACCACCTTGCACTGCGCCCACAACGACAACACAAGTCACGAGAGAAACCGGCTGTTTTGGCGTTTGAATTTGGCGCCCCGCGTCACGTGGTTTCACGATGCCGCTTGACCAATCAAAACTCGTGCCAAAAAAACATGAACACATTATAACACTAACTATATATCCGGGACTTCCGGGAGTAGCTCTAATGGCGCTACTGTCTTCAGGGGCCTTGAGGAAAACCAGCCAATCAGAGAGGGCCGAACGTCTTCGGCCATCAGCCAACTGGTGTAGCTGGTGACGCTTTTTTCTACCTTGTTCGTGTTTTTGTATACACAAATAAACGAAACCAAGAACGAGATTCGGAAATAAAACAAAAATAATTTCCGCACTTAATTGCTTCAATTGTAATGAAAAGACAACGAAGAAATAATATAATCTCGTTTGGAGTATTTATGTAGGAAATAGATTAGATATTAGGGTACAAATCCTCAATTTCTGGGGCATCTATTTATTATTTAAATTTAATATTTTTTTTTAGAAATCGCATCTGACGTTTTTCACATTTATGTGGTGGGGACCACACCTCAACTTGTTACTCAAATTTATGCATATTATTCATAGGGAGAATAATATGTCTATTAGATCTTCAAATATTCTCAAACAGCGAATTTAATAATAAATAATTTCATCTTATAAATTTTTTTACAAACAATTGGGGTTAAAATATGTTTTCCGCTTTTTGTTTTTACAAAGACTGGGAAGAAATACATTATATTTATATGGTTTAACATTATTTATGTTGGAAACGCTCTGTCAATATAGATAGGCGGCTTTAATTGGACACACAATATATTATATTAATTAATAAGTGTTTATAATGGAAAATAAACAGTACATACATTTGAATTGGATCAAAAAGTGCCTTAAATCAAAACACAGCATGTAATTTCTCAGTCACGAGCAACAGACAATCCTATCGATTTCTTCTTGAGCTCGTCTGTCAAAAATTTCAAGCTTGCTGACGACTTTCGAGTTGACTGCTTTGCTGCTGGACTCAAGGATTTGGTAACAACCGGCCATGTCGAGGGCGGCGTTCGCAAGGGTGGCGTAGTCGGCCCTGTTCTCCAGGAAACTGGCCTCCGCCTTGGTCAGGTTGTTCTGAATTCTGCTCACCTGAATCGGCCCGATGTGAACCCTGAAATCGTTACAAAATTTTAATATTGGAATAAATAATAAATTATCCTGAACTTGAAATACATACAATTATAATAATTATATACCTGTTTTCGAGTTTGTGCAAGGCTCGTCGCTCGTCCACGAGCTTGATCCACTCAACAACCGTGGGATCGGAATGTTCGCTCGGCATTTTGACCTAAAAAGGTAACCGAAATTGAATCAATTTGAGCTTTTGTGACTGAAATCGCTTTATTTCTACACTTCCGCGCCAAAAAACAGCTATTCGCAATTTCGCACGGACTTGTTTGGTTTTGTGGTTGCGAAAGTGACCGCCACGTCTTGGTGGCAGCACCGGTCGGTCAAAAATCAAGACGCGATTTGTGAATTTCAGAAGATGGCGAAGAAGCAGACGAGTGCTGCCTGATTTGTTGTGGAAATTTTATCATTGACGAGCAGAGAAGTCAGAAAATTACCGAGCAGCTTTAATTTCGTAAGTCTATCGTCCGGAAAGGCGTCTCAATTAAGAATACGCCCGATTTTCCACAAATAATCTCGGTTTTGGGCGGTCGGCGAAAAGCAAAACAACCCGCGTGGGTCGCCTGCTGCAATTCGGAATTGATCAATCCTCGAGCAATCTGAAATTAATTGTTCTAGAAAGATTTAATGAGTCTGAGATTTTACACCAGGCAGAATTTTCAATTGGGGGTGGGCGTTCGCCGTTCGCCCCACTCACGGTTTATGTTCGTAGGCAAGGTGAACTCGAGGTTGTTTACGCGCTGAACGACCAGAAAAAAACAATCAATGCCTAGAATTTGAGAGATTATAAACTGGACTGGATGTAAAGTAGCTTTAAACGCACCAAAATTTAAAATATTAGCACGAATTATTGTCCAATTTAAAATTCTGCTTACTTTATTAAAGGCGCAATTTGAATCGTTTCGAATGTAAATTCCGGAAAATTCCTCATGTTTGCTTTTGCTTTGTACTTTTTTTGCACTGATTTTCCACGCCACTGTAATTTTGTGATAAAGTTTTTCAGGCCGGAAGTGGAAATGCCACGACGGACGCGCAAAACGACGGAGCCGTCGGTGGAGCCGGTGGTCGTCGCTGCCCCAACGCGCCGCTCGAGTCGAGCCGTGAAGCAGAAAAAGGCCGCCGAGTGGAGTGACGACGAGGAGGAGGAGGAGGTCATGCCCCAGACCAAGAGAAGAGGCCGCGCCTCCGCGGCAGTGGCCGCCGTCGCGGCCGCCGCCTCGGGAAGCGACGACTCGAGTGAAGTGAGTTTTGAATTTTTTTAATTAAGCTTGGAAAGTAATTTTTAAAAGGAGGAAGTGGCGCCCCCGACCAGAGGCCGCAGAGGTCGGCCGTCAGTGACCGAGGCGAAAAAGCCGGCGGCCAGGAGAGGCCGAGGCGCGGCTGCAGCAGCCACTCCTGCTCCGGCAGAGGCCGAACCTGCACCTGAAACCACCACCAAGAGGGGAACTAGGGCCAGGTGAAGAAAATTTAATTTTCCAATGCAATATTTTGAACGACAAATAACTCGTTTTCCATCAAATCAAAGTTAAACCTGAGAAGTACCAAAATAAGGTTTATTTGCGCGAAGACTTGCTAATCAAAATTAGAAAAATTTAGAATTTGACTGAATAATCAATTCCCCTGGCGCAGAAGATATGTTAATTCTTTACGTCTTTTTTTCTGGAAGGATTAGCAAGTCAAATTTTTTTTATAAAAAAAAAGTTGGTTTGATAATAAAATAAATTCTAAATGTTATGCGGCCTTTCAGAATAAGGCTTTTTTAACTTGGAGGACTTAAATGGATAACTTTATATATTTTTGCAAATTGCACTGATTGAACTCTTTTGATAGTTAAATCTATCATATTATTTTTGAGTCCTTTCTTATTATTCACAAGTTAATCAGACAAGAAAATTGTAATGAATGTACCAGGAAAAATGCACAAAATTGATAAACTCCCGCATTTGTGTAAAGTTTTTTCCTCATTATCTTCAGACGTGGCGTGGCAGAGGAGGTGAAACCCGAGGAAACTCTAGAAGAAGAAAACAAAAAGACACCAACCAAGAACCCACCTATTCACTTGGCAACAAAGTAAGCAACTTGAATATGTTGAAATCCCTGACTAACAAAAAATTTGCCATTTTGAGGCTGAGCAGAACTCCGAGTGGCCACTGGTTAGTTTGTCCAAGCACCACAGAACCTGAGGACGAGGACGAAGATCAGCCGGCCCAAGAAGTTCCGCCTAAGACAAGGACCAGAACCGCCAGGGTTACGAAGAAGCCCATTGTGGAAAAGTCTTCTTCGTCTTCCTCGTCTTCGTCGAGTTCCTCTTCGGAGAGTGAAGACGTTGCAGTGCCCTTGCCTGCGGTGGTGGAGGCGCCTGCCAGAAGTTCTGCAAGGAGGGCCTCACCTGCCAAACCTGTGGAGGTCGTTGAGTCTGCACCCAAGGTTGTCCAGGCTGAGGAGCCCAAACAGGCTATTCCGGAGAAGCCAAAGGTGATACCTGAACCTGAGAAGGTAGTTGCGCCTGAGCCTTGGGAACCAGAGAAGGTAGAACTTCCCAAACCTGAGGTAAGTGAACCTGAGAAAATAGAAGAAGAAAGACAAGTTGAAATCAAGGCACCTGAAGAGACTGCTGCGCCTCCTGAGAGGAAAGTTGCAGTGGTTGCACCAGTAAAAGAGGAAAAGATTGTCCAACCTGAGCTGGAATCTTCAAAGATTGACAAACCTCCAAAGCTTGAAGTACCTCCAAAGGACCAAGAAGCCCCTAAAATTGAAGCACCCAAGGTCATAGAGCCTCCAAAGGTCCAAGAACCCCAGAAGGTTGAAGCACCCAAGGTAATAGAGCCTCCTAAGGTTGAAGCACCTTCAAAGGTCGAAACACCTTCAAAGGTTGAAAGTGTTGAAACACCACCAAAAGTCAAAGTGCCCAACAAGGTCGATGAACTTCCGAAAGTTGAAGAACCTGTGAAAGAAGTTGCAAAGATTGAGGAGGAGAAGCCGCTGGTGGTCGAACCTGAGCCTGTTTTAGAACCACAGGTTGTGGCTGAAGAGCCAAAGGTTGAAGTAGCCAGGAAAGTGGAGGAGCAGCCGACGGAAGTGGAAAAAACTGTAGTGGTTGAGGAGGAGAAGGCGCAGAGCCCTGGCGAGGTTGTGTGCGGAGACATTTCTGAGCAGGACGAGGTGGATCAGGTGGACAGTGCTGACGAGTTCACCGGCAAGAGGCAGTCCGAGGAGTCGAGGCGGGAACTTGCCAAGGAAAAGACCAAAAAGGAGAGACGAAGCCCTGAAAAAAAGAGTGAAAGGTTTGATTTGATTTTGATTCCAAATACATTTGATTCTAAGTGGTACATTCAGGCGAGAACGAGATCGTTCTGGAAACAGGGAGCGCCGGAGAGGCTCGAGCAGACGCAGCGGCAGTCCTTCGAGGTAAAAAAATAAAATTTGAAAGCATTTCGTGAATTTAATTCATGCGTCAGAAGTAGAAGGGCTGATAAGAGAGAAAGCAGTCCATCGAGATCCAGGCCTGCCAAGAAAGCTGAAAAGGTTTCGCTTAAGAGGAACAGGTGTGCTTAGCATCTTCAGTAAAAGCACGAGTTTTTAAATTGAAATTCTGTTCAGGCTTTCCGAGGATGTGAAAGAGCCAGAAAACGCCACAGATGGCCCAAGGAAGAAGAGACGCTGGGGCCTGAGCAACGTCTCAGTCTCTAATTCGGCCGTTGCCATTTCCACAGACTCTCTGAAGGTAAATCCAGTTCATCAATCTGATCCCAAAATTTAATTCCTATTTTCAAAAGGAACTCATTCCTGACGCAAAACTGGCTCCCGAAGAGGAGGTGAAGAAAATCTTGGAGGAGGAACCAGTTCTGACTCCGATGGACATGGCGCCCGCCATGCCAGTTTCTCACTCTGCGGAGGTTGCTGATGAAGTTCCAGGTTAGTAAAGAATCGCAAACAAATTTTTGGAAATAATAAAATTTGTGTAATTTTGCAGGTGCTCCGGTTCGCAAGGTCATCCTGCACGCAGCCACCGAAAATGTGGCCATGCAGCCGACGACACCTCCCAGATACGAAACCTCCTGCACTCTGTACATCTCAAACTTAGTCAGACCATTCACAATTCAACAGATTAAAGAACTGCTGGAAAGGACGGGAACCATTGTCGAGGGCAGGTTTTGGCTTGAAAAAATCAAGTCCAAGTGTGTGGTTGAGGTAAGGCTTGAATAAGATATTGCTGGAAATTTACTTAATTCGGGAAAAAAATCAGTTTGCATCTGAGGAGCAGGCCAGCCTCACAAGACAAGCTTTGCACGGAATTCACTGGCCGCTAAATAATCCAAAAGCGCTAAACGTCGATTTTGCCCCAAGAGAGCTGCTCGACAAATATCTGAGCTTGGCTCCTGAAGAAGTCATCACCAGGAAGGTGGTGATCGTGCCAACCTCTAACGGATCATCTGTTCCAGGTTAGATTGTTTTCTAAATAAAATTAAATTGCAAGGTAATAAAGTTTTATCTTTAGAAAAACACGAAGGGGTGGCAACGATAATCAGGAGAGTTGAAATTGAGACGACCAAGGAGAAAGTTTCTGCCAGCAGGAACGCCGATTTAGAGGAAAGGGCTGCTCTAATGAAGAAGAGGGTTGGTTTCGTTGATTAATTTGATGGATTTTGTTTAAAATGGATTGTGGAATTAGGTCGAGGGTCCTATCCGGGAGTGGGACAAGCACAAGCTGAACCAGTCAGAGGTGCCGAGGAGGGAAGCCGAGGAACGACGGCGCAAACGCTCTATTTCTGCGTCTCCACGTAAGAATTTTTTAATTTTTTTTTCATATACAAATTCTTCCATTGAATTTGTATTAGTACAAGTTTAAAAAAATAATAAGTGAAGGGGAAAGAAATTAAAAAGTAAATTAATATTAATATTCCGAGCCAACCCCATGAATTTTGAAATATGCAAAGCAGCACTTCAAACCAGTTTTACCAAAGCACCTTCGGCAATTGAAAACGCTCAGAACTATTCACGCTCAATTCACGACTTAAATCTTTTGAATCCAATTTATTGATAAAACCATTTACAATTGTTTTACCAGCGAGGAAGGTGAAGAGGAAGGAGGAGGAAGCTCCGCCGAAAATGCTGGACGACCTGTTTCGAAAGACCAAAGCGACTCCCTGCATTTACTGGCTTCCTCTGACCGCAGAGCAGGTGCGTACCGCCTCGGCAAATTGGCAGAAATTGTATTTCAAAGAAGAAATTCCAACAGATCGGTGAGAAGGAGAAGATGCGGCTCCGCAGGTTGGAAGAGCACGAGCGGCGCAGGGCCGAGATGAGCAAGGGGCGCGACCCCAAACGCAGCCCCCTGCCGCGGGGGCGTCCGAACAACGCGTCGCCTCCGCGCAGGGGCCCAAGGAGGAGTCGGAGTCCTCGCAGGAGTCCGAGGCGCGCCGCCGACAGACAAAAGCCCCTTGACGCGAGCCAGTGAAGGCCGAGACCGGACATGGAGCCAGAATGGTCTGTGCTCCTCCCACTAATTGAATTGGGGCTTTTAATTTTAACTTCACTTGATTAATTTCCGTTTGGGAGGGAGGTTCAATATTAATCAATCATTGATTCACCTCAATTAATTGCTTGTAGTGTTTTTTTTTTCTTTCTCGGTTTTCATTTGTGACTAATTAATCTCCGACCGGACCCTTCATATCCTTTGTCCCTGCCCAGTTTTTGACTTTTCAGGAGGATCGACTGCCCGCCCGAAACCACTATAACTTGCTAACTTGTTTGCATTCACACTCCAAAGGCAATTATTTTATTTCTTCAGGCTAGCCCATGAGGAGCAGGTTAAATTTTGCGTCGCAGTCTCTCTCTCGCGCGGTTAATTACCTGTCTGTGCCGACGTGCGGCGTCAGTCTCACTGTCGGCCCCGATGCAGAATAACATGAATTTGCAGCCGCCGGGCAGGCGGGCGCGGGCAGCACCACCGCGTGCTTGCCAAAACCAAAGGGGAGAAAACGCCCCCTCACTCACCCTCCTCGACTAGAAAAGCTATTTCCAGATCAAAATTGGAGTAGAAACAAAGAAAGACATAACGGAAGCAAGAAGAACCCATGCTTGTAAAGTCTATTCGACCCTCGGAGCGTAGACCAATAAATTTGTGCATCTCTGATTTGGCAATTTCTGCTGTTTAATTCAATAAAAAAAAAATCCTTTAGACTTACACCAAAATAATACTTGTTTGAATTTTATCCGAATAGTTTCAAAAGTAACAAATACAAATTACTTATTAATTGTTTACTTTAACTTAATAATTTTTTAAATAATCATTGATATTATTTTACAAAAATTAAGTGTATTAAGTTAAATGAATTCATACAAGATATTTTATTATATATTTAATTATTCTAATTAAGTTGAATAAATGATATAATGTTTAAATAAATAATATATGTATTTGTAAAATTTAAATCTATAAAGGTATATTAAAAATTTTGATTATTTCCATTTTTTTCTTTAAGAAAATTAATATTAAATGATTTAATCAAATAATTTTAGACTCAATTTATGTGTAACACTTGCCATATAGTTATGATAAACTTATTTAAAAGTTATTCAAAATTCGTAACCACGTGACTTGATGTGACGCAAGTTGGCAAGAATAATGTTCCAAGACAATGGTTGGCACTCTCATTGACAGTCCCGTCTGCTCATTGTACAAGTGTCGTTCGCCTTTCAAGTAAGAACCGCGTCCAAAAAGGACAGGGTGTCAATTAGCATTCCAATCGGCACTCGGAACTGAAACAATTTGACACCTGTACTGCTTACAAAAGCAGCCGCAGGAATTTTTTACCTCCTCGGATTAATTAATTTAACTGGTTTTTTTTTAATTCGATTTTTAGTTACGAACAAAAAGAAAGGTTGGGAAAGAAAATAAAAGCTGGGTCGAGTTGATTTACATTTAGTTCAAGAACCATAACATTTATTTAAGTTTGTGAATTCAGTGAAGGTGTTAATGGACAATTTTAATTATGACCAAAAACAGCAGCAGTTTCGTGTGTGTTTGAGTCGATTCTCTTTTGTTCTGTGCGAAACAAAAGAAAACCAAAGGAATTGAAAAAGAATGTTTATTACGTGTATAATAATAATAATAAAGTGTTACTTTTAGACCAACTCTAAATAATAACAAGCAAAAAAACACATTTGAAAGAAATATATCAACACATTTCTTTCTAAGCACAGATCTCTCTTGGAGGATGTAAAATAAAATTAATTCGTTTTTTATGCTTTTTTTTTTTAAATCGTAGTTTTAGGTAATTTTTTTTTAGAAATGCCTGCCACAACAGCTGGAAATTAAGTGATAAAATTAAAGAACTGCTAGGTTTAATTAAGTAGTCTCCTTTCCGCCAACATTCGGCGCTAGGAAAGGCGCCGGACGAGACTCGATTTCGCTTCTCTTTTTAGTGGATTTAGTGTTGTCTCGTGTCAGTCAAATAAACACCGGCAATCGGCCGGACTTGTTATTCTCATTAATAAAATATCCGCGATAAAATTAATAACAAGTGTTAGCGTCGGGAATGGTTGATTTTTTACATAAATTTCTTCTCTGTATATCACGATGCACAGCAAAATTTATTTATTTTTTCTCTATTAGTTTCATTAGTGTAGCAAAAAAAAAATGGTGAATTCGATTAAAAAGAGAAAGGGCTGTTCGTTGGAGTGGTCGACAACGGAAGATTTTTTTCCAGCGGCCCCTGCCTCGAAATTTCCATTAGTTTAACAAACACCCAAAATTCTAAAGCACCTCGTTTCAAATCAACGCAAAATAAAATGAGCTCGAATTCGGCAGGGGCGGTTGAAAAAAATAATTACTTCATCGAAACTAAAAGCTGAAACTCCACACACATTGCAAGCTCAACCCACTTTGCTTTGTGGCCCCATCGTTAATTAAAACCTAATTTTACTTTGAAAGATATCACCACATGCGTTACAAGTTGAACCGAATTATTAAAAAAAAAGAAACACTACATGTTTTGGGCTGAGCAGGCAACACTCTGGCCCACGCTTTGATTAACTTTCAAATCTCGCCGCATTCTTTCAAATTAAGGCACACGAACGCTTTTCTAGCACCACGTGGTTCCGTCCAAGGTACGTTCACTGAGTGATCATTCGACACGCCGCGCACTGAGAGTTTCACACAAACAGAAAATACTCGGGGCTGTTATCCATAATATTTACAAGACTCCCTTCCGACGAGAAGCGAAAACCACAATTTTGAAAAAGGGAAATGCAGAATCGTGTGTTAATCGAAATATAACCTTGGGAATGCTTAGAACTTTCATTTCTTAGAAATTTTGACGAAATTTTGATTCGTCCCGCTCGATTTCGGCCGCTCGTCGGAATCCATCGGAGTCTCAACCAAGTATATACTCAACAGCATCACATAAATTTCTCAAACAAAATTAATTAATTGGTCAAACAACAGAGGCAGATTCTACTGCAAAGTAAAGTGTCCGAAGCGTCCGGTTTTTTCTTTTATATTCGACAAAACTCGTTTATTTGTGAAGAAGCTCGAAGCATGTTTTGTGTCACCGAGTGAAGGCACCTCTCCTCATGACTAGGCAGCATAGTCCACTTTGTCCCAATTGAGGGCGCTCATGTCCGCCGAGGACATCTTGAGGTCGGTGTCCTCCAGGTTGAAGAGGTCGAACACGTCCTGGCTGTTGCTCAGCAGGGGGTCGTAAGTGTCCAGGTCGCTGCTGGGCTGCATCGGCCTCGGCGGCTGGCTTGTGCTCGGCAGCATCGACTCGAGCCAGTCGGACATGTCCAGGTCCATAGGCATGTCCCCGCCGCCACCGCCCGACACCAGCCCCTCCATCGGCTCCTCGCCGTGCACCCCAGGGTCGCACTTGTCCAGCAGGTCGGCGCCCTCCAGCTTGATCGGGTCCAGCTGGCCAAAGTCCATCGACTCCAGGTCCAGCCCCAGGTCCACCGTCGGATTTGTAGACATCACCGGAAGCGCCTGGAACGACACCTGAAACAAATTTTTAACATTTATTTTGCTTTTTGAAAACTATTAAAAAAAAATTAAGGTTTATTTTAACTCGGAGATGAAAATAACATTTTTTGTGAATAATTTATCTTTGAAATTCGATAAAACCGCTCCTAGTATAGTTATGACAAAATTTCAGGTACCAGAATTTTCCTCTCAATCCATGTGTCACACTTGCAAAATACATTGTGGTAATGCCAAAGGTCAACGACATTTTGTGACCTGATGCAACACATTGTTTAATAGATCAAGTCAAGACAATCACCTTTAGCCACTTTAAATTTTATCCTAAATCTAACAGGAAAAAAGTTACAGAGGTTCAAAGCTTTGAATTTTTTTTTTGCATTTAATATTTTAGAAATAAAAAAACCGTGACACATGAAACTTTTTAGCAACGTATTACATATAAAATTTTACGCTCTACAAAATGGCTATTTCAGAGTTTAAAAAAAGAATTGTGCTAACAATAAGTACCAAATTTGAGGTCACAAAAAGCAGGTCCTAGAATATGGTAACGAACCCATGATCCTTGCCAACTTTTGAGCACCTTTGAAATCATCAAATCCGAATAATTTAATTACCTGTGTCTGGTTGAATAAATTGTTGCAGTGCATGCTCATGGGCTGGGGATTGTTGCCCGTCTGGCCCAGAATTAGGTCCAGCTGGCTCATCACAAATGTGTTATCACTTTTCTCCATCGCCTAAAAGTCCCCGAAATTCAAATTTTGCTTTTCAGTCGAGAATTAAAATGGTTTACCTTGGGATCTGGAAGGGCCATGTCGCTGATCATGGACTGCAGGTTAAGCGTAAAAGTGGGGTCTTGGTCTGGCATGGTGACCGGAAGGGGCGGCGGGGTGGGCGGGGGAGCTTGTTTTGTCTCTTGTTGTTGAGCAGCAGCCTTGAACACGAGTTCGTGTTGCGTGGAGTGGCCTGGGGTTGTTGGGGTTACAGGAACTTGAGCAGCACTCGGAGGAAGTTCTGCAAAGAAACAAACAGCTTTCGATCAAATCTGATGTAAAAATGAAAATAAAATTTTATTTTTTCAATTATTTCAATGACAAGAGAAGTTCTTTCAAGCGCTTTTATTCTTGAACTTACCTCCATTTTTGATCAATATTTCAAGCACATCGTCGACGATTTGGCTCTTGATGTGCTTTTGCTTCGTGGAGTTGGCGTCCTGAAATAGTCGAGGGTTGTTTAAAATAGAGAAACACGCTGGTTTTGGTTTGCCAAAAAATTACCTGCTTGATGTGCACTTTCAACAGTTTGGCCGCCTCTTCGTAAAGTGGAGGCGGAGATTTGTTGAGCTCCGGCTTCGGAGACGCAATCTGGATCACTGGGGGAGAGCCCTGCGGCTCAAAAGAGCCTCGGAAGTTTGGCAAGGAAGCAGTTCTGAAACAAGTTCAATATCAAGTTTTGGAATTTATATAAAGCTGCAAACTAATTTCAATTTTGAAAAAAAAAATGGAATATTACCGTTGGTTTTGTTGGTGGGGAGGGTTGGCAGGGGGCTGGGCGAGGGTGTTGCTGCGCTGCTTCTGCAGCAGGTTGATCTGGTTAAGGGCCAACTGGTGCTGCTGCTGGTTCTGCTTTTGCAGCAACTCCTGCTCCGAGCGGTCCTTGTTATTGACAACCACAGTGTTGTTGTTGTTATTGACGTTGTTGTTGAGGTTGTTGGCCACCTGCGGCTGGCCGGTGGTGGTGATGCTGAGGAGCAGCGGGTGCTGCGTCTGTCCGAGCTGGGCCTGCTGCAGCAGGAAGGCGGCCAGGCTGGCCTTGACGTTGAGGCCCTGGGCAGGTGCGGCCGAAACCGCGGTGGCCGGCGGCTGCTGGAGGGGCTGCTGCAGAGTGGCCGCCTGCGAAATGTTCTCCTGCAAATGCTGCTGCTGTCGGAGGGACTGCAGCTGCTGCAGCTTCTGCAGTTGCTGCTGCAGCTGCTTCTGCTGCTGCTTCTGCTGGAGGTGCTGCTGCAGCTGGTTCTTGGTCGAGTTGTCCGCCTGGCTGGACACCTGCTGCACCTGCACGTGCTCCTTGCTCTTGATCTTGTGGTTCTGCTGCTGCGACTTCTGCAGCTCCCTCTGCAGCTGCTCGATTTTTCGCTGCTGCTGGTTGATTATGTCTTCGCTGACAGCACTAGGGTGTTTTGTGATGATTCCAAAGGGCGACGCTGGGGACATCGGGTTGGACACCTGGCTTACCGCAGGAGAACACGGGGCTTCGGTGGTGTCCATGACGCCCATGTCCATATCCCCGTCAACGTCCATGTTGGTGGAGGGGGAAAGAAGGTTGGACGCGGGCGCATTCGACATTGGTCCGAGGGATAACGGGGACGAAGGGTGCGAGGAAGGGCTCCTGGTGCTGTTGCTGTTGTCCGGACTCGTGCAGGCCTCCAGACTTAGGAAGGCCGTGTCCGCCCCTGGCGAGCAAGGCGCGTCCATGGAAGACAAATCTAGAGAATAAATCCAACATTTGATACAATTTCAAAGTAAAAAAAAACGACGAAAAAAAGTACCTGAAAGAGATTCCTCTCCAAGGGCCAGGGTGCCGACAGACTTGGGATTAGAAATGCCATAAACGGAAGACGCAGAGCTGGAGGCGGTGGATTTGTCCCCGCCTAATTGCAGCACCACTTGGTCGCTGAATGGTCGAAGTCTGTCGATTAACTGGGGCTTCGAGCCTGACACCGGCAGATTCCTCCTCTTGAGCTCTGCCTTCAGGTCATTTACTGCAAATCGGATAAGTTGATTTTGGTGCAACTTCATGATGAGTGAAGACAAACCTTTCATCTCTTCGAGTTTTGATACTGCTCGGCCGCTATCGGGGGTCAGCGGAGGCAAGGAGGGCGTCGACGGGGTCGAAGGGGATGGAAGAATGGTGGGGCTCGGGGAGGGCTGCAGCGGCGAGTTGAGTGTCGGCTGCGGCTGGATTTGGGGAAGGGGCGACGCCGCCGTGGTCACAGCAATGAGGTTAGGAAAGGTGGCCTCTATGCTCGAGGCGGGCTTCTTTTTCGCGGCCGGAAGAATTATTTGCGGATACTGCAAAACAAAAAGACAAGTCAGGTTCACAACCTTTAAGATGAAGAAAAACTACGTGTAAAAAAAAGACGACTGAAGAAATAAATCCAGCACCTTCGGATTGCATGCGTTATTACCTTGTGTTGCCACTCTAATTGCCACTGGAGGAATAATTGCTGCTGCTGCAGAAGCAGCTCGTACGAAGTCTCGACCGGCGGAGGACTGTTGTTTGATTTTTGAGCATTGGGTGGACCCTGGCGAGCGGAAGGTTCAAAATTTGCGGTTAACCGAATTGATTTTCTCACCTTGTATTCGTGAAACTTGATGGTGCGCGCCTTGGGCTGCGTCTTGGTCTTGGACTTTTTGCGATTCTTCTGCTGCTCCTTCTCGGCGCGGCTGATGGGTCGCTGCGTGGACATGAGGGCGGCGGCCGTGGGGGCCGTCAGGGCGGTTGAGATCGACGTGGGGGCGGTCGGCAAGGCGAGGGGCGCGATGTGCTGCACCGTGATGGTGGTCGGGGGCGGCAGCGGGGGTGGCGTTGGCAGCGCGATGACCGGCGTGGCGACGAGCGCGGGCGACGGCGTCTTGGGCGACGCCACCGAGCTCACCGGGCTCAGGCTGGACAGGGAGGTGCTCACGCTCGGACTGGCCGCCGCCGTCGTCGCCGCGCACTGCACCACCGACACCGGCACCACCACCGACTTGCCCGGCTCGAAGCACATTTCCGCCGACAACAACAGCGTCTGTGCCTGGCCTCCCAGCGACGCGGGCAGCAGCGACGGCGGCGCCGAAAGCGGCGCCGACTGCGGCGGCGACTGCCCGCCCTCGGAACTCGAGTCCTCTTCGAGGGTGATGTAGCGACTGGGGTGCTGCGGCTTGGTCAGGTGGCCCTCGCATGTCGCTCGGAATGGAATCTGGCCCTCTATTGATCAAATCACACACATTTTCTTTTCATAAAAATACAAACAAAAATTCATCAAAATCTCTTTTATGAAATGTTTTATCTAATTTTGGCTCTTACATTTTAAGGACTTCAATAGGAAGAAATTCAAATAGTTTATTTCCTTGAAGTAGATGAAACGAACTGCTTAGTGTTTTCAAATCTTTGAATTTTGAATGGCGAATAAAATAAACCTAATCAATTTGAATCAAATTATAATGAACTAAATTTTGGCAGCAGTTTATGTATCTCCGGCGATTATTGAAATTTTACAAATATGAATTGTTTTCATAAATTGGGCATTTTAAGAACCATCATATGAACTATCGCGATATTTGTTTTCCGAAATCAATTTGACGTACTTCAACATTAGCTTGATTTTCTCGAAAAGTAGAAAAATGCGAAAAGCCACAATTTATAATCTTCAATTAAACTTTTCCAACAAGTTTGCGTGATGTCAATTCTGCAGCAGGGTGAACATGTTGCCAAAGTTAGTTTCGTTTACTTAAAAATTTCACCCCAATGATTTTTGTGAAAAAAGCAAGCCGTGTTTTTCTCAAAAAATTACGCCTCAAATTTTCAGCTTATCAAAATCCCTACGGCCTAAACTATTAATTTTTGTGTAGGATTTTGTTTCCTTGAGGTGCTTGCATTCTCTTAAAAATTTCAAGAAAAAATAATAATTATTGAAATTTGAGCATTTTTCTTGCTCCGAGGCATTGAGTAATAATTTTGGTTTGTTGAAAAAACTACATTAAATTGTTGCGCCTACCTTTAACAGCCCTTTCGATGGTCTCGTCTGTGTGCAAAATGTTCTTCTTGATGAGCTCAAGAGGGCCTGGTCGGTGGGACAGCTGATCGTTCAGCGCGTCCTGCAGTCGGGCCTTCTTGAGCATTCGCTGCCTCTCAGCCAGCGACGGGTCAACGTGACCCACATCTAGAAATGAAACGTCAACAATAAAAAGGGTTGCTCGGACGAAAATGCAAATGCAAACCTTCGAGAATGTGTTGCCGGACCAACTCTTGCCTGTCAGGTCTCTGTTGAATTTTGGCTTTAAGCAAGTCACCTGTCTTAGCACGCTCCAACTTTTGGCGTTGCTCGTGGAATGCTGGCGGAGTCTTCAAAGCTGCGGCCAAGTTTGTTGTAAGAGGATTTGAACGAAAAAAATTAGAAAAAAAAAACACTTACGCGGCATGATTCCTTGGGCCACGAGTTGGTTGATTGGTCTGCGAAGCATCAGCTTCACTTTGAGAGCTGAAACATCGTTTTGATTGTAATAGGAACTAATCGACTGGTCATGACGATAAAAGTAGTTGGTGAATTTGACCATCGCGACTGACAAAAAAAATTAATTTAAACACCTGGTGGAAGCGCGCGAGTGGGTGGAGCGTTTTTATTGTATCTGGAAGGAAACAATACGGTGGAGAGGAAGACCATCTGCAGGTCATTGATCATGATAATAAATGTACTGCCGCGCCGATTCAAGTGTCACCCACATACTAATGAGCGGAGGTGTTGCACCTCGCGCGCCCGCCGCGGCCAGATTTAATTTTAGATCGGCCGCCGGAGCTGCTGCTTTTCTGTCTGTCGGAGACGCTGCAGTACTTTGGATTTGTCGAAAGTCGAGAAATGTCGCTCCTAATAAACGTTTTACGGCTGCTCTTAATCTCACTACCCAAGTCATGAAAATAATTCGGCGCCGCTAACGAAGAGATCTTGGCAAAAGGCTTTTGATTAAAACAGGCCACATTCGGCCGTAAATCAACTTGGATTTCTAACAAAGCGATTCTGATTGATATTGAAATGGAAAAGAAACAATACTTTTGAAGAAAGCGATTGCGTTTGGACAGTAATTTTCAGTACTTGGAAAAAACTTCAACAATTTAATAAATAATTATATTATTCATATAAATGTTAAACGAAATCAAAAGTGGGCCAGTTTTTATGATTGTCATTATTTTCGCAATAAAAAATTGGAATCTTTAAAAATTGAAAGCAGGTCTTTTCCTGCTGAAGTTTTTTGTTTTTTTATAACAAAACTCTCCGAAATCAGGACTAATTCAATGCTACAATTGTAATAAAAAATTAATTTTTTATAAATAAATAATTAAAGGATCTTTTAAGGAGTCTTTTGCTAACAATAAAAATAAACAGCCTGACTTTAATGGTAATTTTTCTCTAAAGTAGCTTTAGTTTGTGATTTCAGTTCCAAGAATTGTTAGAAAAAATTGAAGTCACTTTGAGTACTGAATTTTTGAAAATATTATTTTATTTTATATGCAAATGTTCTAAAATAATTTTTTCCTCCAAATTGGTTAGACCAAAATTGATAAAAATTTCACCGAATCACGTTAAAATCCCCCAAATTAAGATGGAAACTAAAATCAATAGGTCAGTTTATGAAAAATTTACATTTTGATCTTCAGAGAATTAAATTTCAGTGTAGACTTCGCTTTTGCTAAACATTTCTTTTGACACATAATTGTAATTTTCATCACAATTTGAAACTTCTTACATTCTTTATTTTTGTCCATGCACTTCTGCAGCGGCGAGTCGTCGACTTCGGCCTTGGGCGGCGACTTGGGCGTGCCGGCGGGGGCGGCGGACAGGCCTCCGTCGCTGCCCCCCGAGCCGCTCGGACTGCTCTCGGCCATGTTCAGCAGCAGGTCCAAGTTGCACTCCTGCCGAGACAAACGCGCTCTTTCAAATTCAAATTAGCCACAGAGAAAGATTTGCAAGTGGGGCGGCCTCGCGCAGAGACTAATTCGGGATTAAAGACAAACAGCGGCGGTGAAATTAGGCCACTCACCTTGAACCACTCAGGGTAGATGGAGATGATGGTCTCCAGGAGATCGCGGTCCAAGTGGATGCGCCAGTAGACGGGCCCAGAACCTCCTCCGTATTCGTCTGAAACAAAAACACAGACACAATTTCAATTTGACTCGAGACACAATAATTAATGGCGACTCGGAGAAAGGAAAGTTCTAGCCAAGGGTTGGAGCCAAAACTTGCTTTTGATCCTTCGCAATTTATTTTTCTTTCAAAACTCATCAATTTCTTTTTCAACATACTGCTTTTTTTACAGATAAACTCATACAAAGTTGAAGCAAGCCATAAAGTATTTAAACATCTACGAGATATATTTCCTAATTTGAATTTTAATTAAATGACGTAAACAAGAAAAACAGAATTTGATCAAGTAATAAAATGTGCAACAAAATCTTTCCCATTTATGGCAATATTTTTTCTGAAGTTTGCACTTTAAATATAAAATGTTAATTTTGTTTAATATTTGGAATTTTTTATATCGCACGTCCTTTTATTTCAGTTCAAATATATCAATAGAGCAAAATTTTAAATTTTTTTATTTGCTTTTTCCCTTTTTCGTGATTCACTCTTTTTTCGAACTCTCCAGAAGTTGCCTTAAAAAATTCCTCGCGATCTCTTTCTATGCATAAGAAAATCTCACGGGTTGGAGATGAAAATCGCGATTATTAATAAAAATCGTGGGCGCGCCGAGTGAAAAGTGAGTCACGTCTGCTGGAACTCTCGCAACAGCGCCACCGATGCATGCGCAGAGGCTTTCCGATTAACTACGACACGGACCTGCCCCTCCTGCACGTAGCCTCTTTAGCTCAGAGGTTAGAGCACTGGTCTCGTAAACCAGGGGTCGTGAGTTCGATTCTCACAAGAGGCAGTTTTTTGAAAGGCACTTCTGCACTCAAATACCTAAGAATTTATTGCCATTCAATTAGAAAAAACATAATTTTAGTTATTAATTTTTAAAATGTCTCCAAAAGCACTTCATTTTTTTTTCAGTTTTTAAGCAAATTTTTTAAATACAGCTGCGTCTTTTCTTGAATTTCAATTTCGTTTGCGTTGATTGAGGCGATTTGTGTCAATTGACGGACGCGTTAGGCGACGCAATTAAGAGGAAAATGAGCGATAGGTGGGTTAATTGCGTGGCGGCGGCGGCGGCGCTTCTGCTTCGGTGCGAGACGCCGCGAGATAAAAAGAGAGGAGGCCTCGAAAGCAAATGGCCTGTTAACTACGCCAAAAATATTATTGTTAGAAAGCCATCAACGGGGTTATATTTATGAATACACACACAACACACACACACTGGCTCCGAGGGAAAAATCGGGGCTCGTCTTTGAGAGTATTTGTGGCTCGCGGCAGGGCAGAGAGCGGTGACGACAGGTGTGTGTGGTGCGCCTCCAGCCTGCATCCTCTCTGCGGCGACAACTGACATTGTGCGCCCACTTTTATTATTATTACCCGCGGCTATTTTCAACCGCGCCGTAAAATCTTCTTTAAATTAATTACGGCAGTAAAAACAGAGATTTGGTCCTTTGAGTAAATTTATTCAGAAGCTAATTTCTGGTTGATTTTTTTTAAAATTTTTTAATCGATTAGATAAGTTCCGGCTCCTTTCGTTACTAGATTCACAAACTACCAAGAGATTGAGAAAAACTTATACAAATCTCTGATCTTGGCGTTTAACTAAAAAATTTAACAAAAATCAATCAAAGGTTTTTTTGTCCCTTAGAAATTGCTGCATTCAGGTCATTTAAATTTTTTTGAGTGTATATGGATTTTGTTGGACGTGCGAAAATGATAAAGAAGAAATTAACCAAACATCTAGAAACTTTCAAACGTAAAAAACTGCAGAGATTTCAAGGATTTATAAATTAAAACTGATTTGCAAACGGAATTGGATTTTAATGCAATTTTACTCTAAAATTTACTTTCAAATTTGATGTAAACGAAGAGTTTTCAAGAAACTTTCATTAGGAGATTTTCATGACATATATTTAGAAATGTCCTTTTTTTGTAGTAAATTCCTTTTAAATTTTCATTAATTACGGGAATATTGTATTTATTTTCAGTTTGAGTAAAAAAAGTGTTGGAATTCTTTTGATTCAGGTCTGTAGCAACTTTGAGAGCAAAAGGAATCTGCCAACAACGAGAGTACTTTGTAAACAACGAAGATCCAATTAATTGCGGCCAACCTACTTTCAATTCTCAGCAGCGCGCATAACTCGCGGATTAAACAATAAATAGGTAGATTTTGAGAAATTGTGGGCTGCAGTTTTGAAGGCAAGGTTTTCAAACGAAACATGTCGGCAGGCGAAATATCGCTGCTTTTGAAGGCATGTTTAAAGCCGGCCGCTTGTTTGCTTGTTCTTTGGGCCGAAATATTTGGACGAGCGCGGCGGGCAGGCCCTGGTTGCGTAAGAGAGCCATTGTAATTAGCGTGGGAGGCTGTGCCGTGTGTATTGGCTGGGTGAAATTCGTTCAGAACGGATATAGACCGCAGCAGCCTCGCCCGCAACGTCACTACCAACTAAAAAGTAACCCTCGCAGATGCAAACGCCGTACCAAGCAAATTGTTCCCTTTCTCTCGGTGCAAAACGCAGGCAGGTGCAAAATAAATAACGGACGGAATTGGCGCCAACAAGTTGGCGGACCGTGGCCGCGAGCCACCCAAATAAAATCCGAAGGTTGAAAGAAATAAATAAAACACGAGAAATTCCTCTTGTTTTTCTTTTCGCCCTCGCCGCTTGCATCATTCGCAAACTTTGTTGGCTCGACTTCTTCGTCTTCTTCAGCCAGAACGGGGGGCGTGGCCGTCTCGGGGCAATGCACTGGGATGCACCGAATGCTGGAATTCGCTGCACAGGGTGATGGAGAGGCACACATGCGGCTTAATTGCCTTCTACCACTTTTAAATGTGCCTCTTTTTTTTCTCTTTTAGACGTTTGAACGCCGTCACTGGTAAGGCTTAAAAGCTCTGGCAAAATAGATGGCAATGGTCGCAGTGGATTCTTCACAAACTTGAGGGATGAAGACTCAAAACCTTGAACCCTTTTTGTGCAAAGGTCAGAACAATCATTTGAACCTCCCAGTCAGTATAAAGAAAACTCATCGATACAAGATTCACAAAATCGAACCTCTTCAATGAAATTGATTTTGACTAGAGTGACTCAAAGAGGAACAATCAAGACCAACATCGGAACTCGAAATCTTACAAAATCCGTGACTCGAAGCGGACCGTAATTTGGCAAAGTGAATTCATCGGTCTGGCTGACGTGTTTGTTTATCTTTGAGAAGAAAAGCGTTATGCAGAGTTAGTGAGGTAGAAGGGTAGAGCTCATTTCGAAAAGGGAGTGAATCAGACGAGGTGCATGACGAAGAGAGTGAAAACGTCGCGTTTGTTTTCTTTTTCTGGAGCAACGCGGAAGGAAGAGGAGAGATGGAAAGATCCCATGTGCTCGGCGCGCTATTTGCAGCAGCCAACGCGAGCAATTGCGAAAAGAAGCGGAAGAATTTCCAGAAGAAACACCAAAGTTCGATTCAAAAGCAAGAGGATTCAGGTCAAAGTATTTTTTTATTAGTATCAAAAACACGAGTACAAATCGATCTGCAGCACGAGAGTGTTTCTTGTTTTGAGTTTGTTTTTTCTCCACAGGGGCAAAAGACACACACACAAGCACACGGACAAACGGGCGATCTACCAACCTTGGCAGTGCGGACAGGTGTCGGCGGCGGGTCTTGCGGGGGCCGGGGGCGGCGACGGAGGCGGCAAGATGGGCGAAGGCGTCACGAGGGAGTCCGCCGCGACCGTGCTGACCGGCATCGCATTGGCAGCGGGGCGACCCTGCGCGGCCCTCAGGTCACCTCATGCTCCAGCATCTCTCTTCTCAGCGCCTCAAAACAACATGGCGGCCGACGGGGTGTCCGAGGGGTGCTGTCGACGCTGCTCCTTCGTCTCGACTGCCGTCGCTGGCCCGCCCGCCCGCCTCTCGGAGGGGAGCCCGAGTATTTTGGACGCGTGCCCGACCGACCGACCGACCCACTCTCTCCGCTCCGCGTCACACAATCGAGCCCAAGCACCACCTAGGAATTCCTCCACTGTCCCAACAACTTCTTCTTCTTCTGCTTCTCCTCGTCTTTAGCAGAAAAAGTGCGACCTTTTAGGATTTTGCCCTTTTTTGTTGCAAGGGCGTTTTCTTGTATTCTCTTCATGGAGGGGAAACGCTCAAAATAAATTCGGCGTTAAAAAGTAGTTCGATAAATCAAGATTTAGTGCTTTCTTCTTGCCGGCCGACATGAACACAAACACGGCTGGGAACTTTTTAATATTTTTAGATGCGCCTCTTTTACGCTGGTGGAGAAGCGATTTTGTTTATGGCGCCCGATTTATCAGAAAGTTGACAGTAAAGGTGCGGAAAAACTTTTAACGAGCCTTCACTTAAAAAAACTATTGAACTTCTTTATTCGAAAAAAAAAGTCGTAAATGCAAGTTACGTACTGAAAGAAATTGTTCATTCAGCTGAACTAATTAAGGGAAAAACACATGCGCGATGGAAATTATGAAAATTGAAATGTTGGAAACTCTGATTGCGAGTCAGAGAGAAGGACTTAAGATTGGCTCACAAGTTAATCAGGAGCATTTCAACCCCCACTTCTCAATGCAGCTTCAAAAAAAGAAGAATTAAGATGATAATTGAATTTTTCAAATTTGCATGAAAACTGGACAAAATTTGCTTTAAATAAGGACTGAAGTTTCTTGAACGTTTGATTCATTTTTTCTTGACCCCCTTAAAATGAATAATTTCTAGCAATAAAATAAATTGTAAGCAAATTTTATTTCCTAATAAAGAAGCTTTATGATAATAATTGTTAAATAACGGATAAGTTTCAATAAAAGATAAAAAAAATCATAGCTGAGATGATGCAACTGATTGTGAGTAACGATTCAAACGTTCTTTGTTCCTCATAAAAATTGTGAATCAAAACAAAAGATGCTCATTATTCCACAAATTTTGGACTTTCATTTTTCAAAAGCTTGCACCTGATTTAGGAATCATTGTTTTGATTAGATTCTTGGAGAACTGCACGGTTAGCATTTGGGTTTCAAAACATTTTTCTTGCCCATTGCGAAAGTATGTTGCACTTTTCGCCGAATCGGAATAAACAAACAAAGCAAGCCATCAAACTTTTATTGGGCGCTGGCGCGCTTCTTTCTTTTAATTTGAAGCTCGCGGCGGCGGCGTTTAGCGTCGGGGGTCGGTGAAAGGCTGTTTTCTGAGGCCCGCGTCTCTCTTTCTCTGTCTCTGGCTCGGACAGATAAATTTATCGTCTCTCAAAAGTCACGTCGGAGCAAATGGTGCGGCGAAGAGGAAAAGGCCAATTGCGATTCGGCTTTTCTCAGCATCAATGGCATTTGTTTTGCGTTTGACCATAGGACGAGAGCCGAAATAGACGCGCTTGCAGCCGAGTGTGACTCGCAGCGAATGCCGCCCGCCCAGTTATGCAACGAGCATTTGTACCGATGCCCCGTCCTTGCACAACCGGCGAAAAATCGGCAAACCAACCATCGAAGACAACATGTAGAAACGAACTTTTGCTCTCTTTTTGCGACGCAAACCAAAATACCTCGAGGATTTTTACCAAGATTTAAATTGGCGGCGGCGGCAGGTACTCGACACACATTGCGCCGGTGACTAAGCGTTAATTCTGTTTATCCGCCACTATCGAAGAAGAAGAAGAAAAAGGTTAATGCCAAAGTGAACACTTTCTCTCGAAAACCGAATGCCAATGACAATTTCAGCCGAAAATAAAAGTAGCACGCAAGTTTTGAGTTTAATTTCAAGGAAAACACCAAGATTAAAAATTAAATGCAACCAAAACTCAACAATTTTATTTTCATGTCGAACGCAGAGTAAGAAGATCACTTCTTTTAAGGAAAGGCTTTTGCTCTGATTTTGAATTTTTGTTTCAATATTGTTACAAATTGTGATTAATTTCAAAAACCAAGTTAGATTTAAAAAGAAATATGAGAAAATTTAAAAAAACAAATAGTTTTATTTATATTCTATTCCATTGTATAAGTTATCTCCTGCTTAAACATACAAATAATAATATCTTATTTAAATTAAAATAATTAAAATATAACCCTATTGATTAAACATTTATTTAATGCAAGTATTCAATAAATACTTAATTTGTTAATTTTATGAAATGAATAAAAAAAATTGACGCTTCTGTAAAATTTGTTCTAAATTTTTATTTATTCTCAAAACACTAAAGAAAAATGCAGCGCCAATGTAAAGAAACAAATTGCTTTCCCACCACATTCTGCACTAATGAAATGGAAAAGTAATTTGAATTATTTGTTGTTCAAAATTAAGAAATAACGAGTGAATGAGGAGACGGACCGCGTCACTCGCGTGAGGGGAGAAAAGTCTTTCTTTCTTTCTTTCGTCCGATCAAATCTAATGGCGAGACTAATGAAAAGACGTAAACACAAACAGCGCGGCGAGGTCACTGCCGGGCGACCTGAGACGTGCGCGGGCGCTTCCGCAGGAAGGATGGGCATTAAGGTGGCATTGGCCGCGCACATCCGACCTCAACAATTGATTTAAGATTTTCGACGAGAGTCAACGAACTGGAGAGAGCAGAACCTGCCAAGTCTTGTTCTATAATTATTGACCAAGTTCGAAAAAAAAAACCAGGGCTTTTGGCCCAAGTACGCCGATTTGGGGCTCTAAATTTAGCGGCCTAATTTATGGCCAAACGTTTTTTATATATTTGCTTCTTAAAGAAGAAAGAAATCGAGAGAAGAAAGACCGGAGCTCGCTTTTTCACTTGTTTGTGCGCGGGTTATTTATATTTCAGCGAAAACAGTCCAAATGCACGCGGCGGCGAGGGCGAGAGCGCCGGTCTCGCGTTTGTCTGCGACTCCCGTTTTTTTATCTTTACGAATTCCTATTGGCATCGCCGGCAAAACTGTTTATTTGTATTTTTCTGCCGTGCCCAAAATAGATGTCGTAAATCTCATAATTCACAATTGAAGACGCAAATTACAGTCCAAAAACTTCAGAGTTTTTTTTATGTTATTCCATTTACGAGTGGAGAAAAGTTTTTGTTTGCGGTGAAAATTTATGCAACCAGCTTGTCGCGCGTGGCGAGATGTTGCATAACTCGGCACGCAGACTTTAAGCGACGCCGCTGTTGTGACAGGGCCAGCTGCCGGCGTTACTTTTTCTATTTTTCAAAATGCTCTTTTAAATATTGCCGCAGTTGATGCTCCTCCGAGATTTAATAAGCCCTAACTTTTAACACTGGAGTTATTTTTGGCAAGATCACAGTTGTGGTGCAAGAATAATAAAAGACCAAAATCATAACACCTAAAAATGTTTCCCTCGAAATCTTCAATTTTGAATGGAATACAATAAAACCTACTCAATTTGACTGAAATAATAAAAGAATAATTTTTTATATGTAATTAATCAGCAGAGATTCACAAATACTTTAGTTGTCTGATCGAGCTGAAAAAATAAAATTGCCGGAATTTATTACAACGAAATTATTGAAAATTTGTTATCTGATGCAAAATGACATGGCGCATCTTTTGGATATCTCGGATTTTTATTCAGGTTGCCTATATTCTATTTTCAAGGAGCACAGAATTTTATATTTTGACTTTTTGCTAGGGTCAATGACCTCTGACCTAGAAACTTGGTGACCATGGAGAAAAGATGCCTTGGTCCATTCGCTCAAACCTCCCACCGAGAAAATTAAATAATCTTCACCCGTATTAATTTGACAGTAGATTTAGGAAACCTTGATTTATCTCCGTCGGCCATATTGGAATTTGACAAATATGAAAAATTTTCGTTATTGGGTATTATAAATAATACCAGATTACAAACTACCATTGTAATTATTTGCACAAATTAATTAATTTTAAGTGATCCAAAATCTACTTGATTTACTCAAAACGAGGGGAAAAAAATTCGAAACTTGAACTTTTCTTGAAAATTGTCTGGTTATAAAAATTAACGTTGTGGTTAAAACTTTTAGTTTTTTCTGAGGATTGTGCAAAATCCTCTTTTAATCGTAGAAAGGAAGTTTGATAGGCAAAGCAGTCGGTGCTAAAATCCGGAGCTGGACAAACTTCCGACAGCTTTGGCGTAAAAAGTTGGGCCGATAACGAGCCGCGAATCCTGCCGAAAAGCTCCTTATGCGAAGAAAACACAAACACCTGCGTGCAGTGTTTGGCCTCGCGATCTCCGGCACGCTCGATGCAAGTCACATGGCTCGGGAATGTGACGTTTCAAATTTTATATACAATTCTGGAAGTGCCGAAATAATAAAACAGGCGAGTTTGATTTTTCGTCGTCGAGCTTTTGACACGCGCCCGCAGCACCATTTTCTACTTTTAGAGCGGCGAATTGGCAGCGCAGATAATGGCTAAAGATAAGTACAAGTGACAGAATGCGCACGATGTGGCCTTTGTCAGCAGAGTGACCTGCCGAGCGAGACAAAGACTCGGACGCCATCAAAAGTTATGGACGCGATTTCGGCGAAAAAACAGAGCTTCCCAGAAGCTCCATTGATGCTTCGGTGGAAAAACATTAAAGGGGTTTACAACTTTACGGGGGCCGCGTTCGTGTGACGTCAGAACTTTATAGGTGCGGCCGCGGCGATTTCATTGATGCGAGCAAATTGTTTTTCGGCCGAGAATTGCCGAAACTGCAACAGTTTTAACGAGAGGAGCTTCTGAAATCTACACTGTTAAAAAATGTCCTATAAGATGTAAATTTTTTATGTCCACTGATGATTTTATTTGGCATCTTGATTGGGGTGATATGAACGGGATTTGGTGAATTGGTTTTCTCAATTTTGAGAAAAAATTATTTCAAAAAAATTCCCATAAGAAACAATGTTGAATTTTGATGTTTCATTTCTCCCAATGACTTAAAAATTTTCTCACTATGTCTCCTTAGAACTGAATTCTACGAATGTAGCAGAAAAATTTGCATCAAAATCAATCAAAATTAATTTAATTTTTTTTATATCAAGACGCCATTTTTTAACAAGATGGCGGCCAGTTCGAAATCTTCGGAATTGAATTCGTAAGGGAGAAAAAGTGGTGCGCGCAGGGAAAAGGCCACAAATATTTGGTGCCAAATATAGAGCATTTGGGCTCGCGCCCAAAACGAAGTAGCGGCGCAGAAAAGAAGAAAAAAAAAGAGATAGAGCGCGCGGCGTATTTGTTTGCCTTCCTAGTCGAAACTGCTGCGATCGTGAGAGATATATAATTATTTTTCGGCCGCAAAACACAGGCATTTACGAGCCAGCCCGCCGACGCAACCCAACGCCCGCGCGCGCCCAGTTCGCCGACGCTCCGCTGAGGCGCTTCAAAAAAAAAAAAAAAAAAAAAACAGGTCTCTCGCTAATCTCCACAGACGCATAACGCCGCCCAGACTCCAAATCAACCACAATCTACCTACATTCACAGCTAAACTTGATAAAAAAAACTGCAGGATAAAAAACTTGAAATATATAAAATAAAATCACCCCAAAAACTTGTTTCCCGGAATTGCAATAAAAAAAGAAAATGTTGAAAGTTGAAAATGTAACAAATTATTATTACCAATAAAAAAAATAGTGTTAATCAAAGAAAAAAAATTAATTTATCAATTTTTCTAGGTTATAGTTTCAAGTTTAATTGATAGTCTTTGCAATCTTTAATTATGTCTATAATTATTTTGATCCAATTAACGCTGTTTTCTTTTTTCAACACGGAAATTAGCAATGAAATTTGCGGTCGGAACGGCGCGAAATTAAGTGAGTGAGGAAAGAAACGGTAAAGTTGGGCGCAATTGAACAGCGGCAGTTTTTTTCCACGCACGCCAACGCACACTTCTTCTTCTTCTTCGTCCGTCAAGCCCAACAACAAAACTTCCGCACTAACGCGTTTGGGCGACGAAATGAGTGGATTTGCGTGGAGTAGGGAAAGGACCAGATTAATCCAAATTCAAAGTGGCGATAAAAAAACAGATGTTATTTAATTTTTAATTGGAAGTACAATAAAATTTAAAAATATAAAGTTTACATTTATTTCCTTCAAAAGAAAAAGAAAATTATAATTTGAAGTTTGATGCAGTTGAGCGCCGTCGCGAGGCTTCAAAGTGAAGTACGAATTGAAAACAAAGGGGGCAGCAGATTTTGGGGCGGATGCTGAATCGGTCCGATGAACTGTCACTTCTGCAACAATGGCACATCTGGTCCTCGCCCTTCCATTCTTTGACCCACTGCCCGAAAATATATTTATTTTTTTCTTCCAATTTATAACAAATGTATTTTAGAAATCCAATAAATTGCTTTATTTCTTACTTTTTAAGCAGCACCTGGCCGATGACAATAAAAATTAATTTGACCCACATCGGGCAATTCGGAATTTTCAACAATTTCCTAATTCGTTACGAAACGAAAAGGTCGACGATCGCCGCGCACTTTCAAATTTCCCTCAACTCCTGCCTGGGTCTAATTTTGTTTTAATTCTGGAGCAATTGGGAGCAAATTTTGGGCTTCGAATGAGCTCAAAATTTCAAAACGCAACTTGATTTTTTTTTAAATTTGAATAAATTCAAGGGTGGAAATCGTCAGGTCTGCGGCGTATCACGATGCATCTCCTTTCCAAGGACGTTGCGAAGAGGCCCAATTTCGCGGCCGATTTGTGGGGCGACGGGCGGCGCCGCGGCGCCAGTGGCGTCGCCGGTCGAAAATTCTCGTCTGACGTTTGCGTCACGCGGCTCGATTCGGACGCACGTCGCGTACGATGCAATTAAATCGAGTTCTGATTTACATATTGTTTGGTGTGAGTGTGTTTTGCTGGTGGACGAAGGATAGGCGGAAGGAAGGTGGGAGGAGGGCGCCCAACTGGGCTGCAAAAGCGCCCGCCGAAGGGCCAGCCACTTACCAACAGCACTGTTACTCGCGCCAAAGGGTCCCGCGTCGACCCATCCGTCAGAAACGTCGCTAGTCCGACGGATATTCACACAAAACAACGCAGAAAAAACACTTGGCTGTCAGTGATAGAGATGTGTAGTCCGCCATTACAAACTTACTAAACGAGACAAGAAAACTGTGCTGATTGTAGTTCGCTCGCCAGCCGCAAGGTGGAATAATCCAAAAATTCTCATTTTGAAAGGGTAGTGCTTGAAGGAGTAGAATGAAGTAGTGTTATCATTTGTAAAATTTACTGTCTTAGATGACACATTTAAAGTAAAATGTATTAATTTATAGTTTTTTGACACAATTTGATGGGATTTTAAGACTATTTATCAATATGAGTGTTGAGTAAATGAATATCACTTTGTTTCGCAAAACTCCTTCTTATACTCCTGTCAAATGTTTACTTCTGAACAAAACACATGTGAAATTGAAGATGATCTAATTTTTTAAAATTTTTTATCATTCAAAGACAGATCAAAGTGTTTAAGTTTTGATTTCCAATCTGTCAGGGAGGAATGAATGTTTTGATTTAAAATTTCCACGCTGACAATTCGAAAATTCCGCTGAATTTTGACCAAAATGTATCGTGTGCCGAAAGTCAATCGTCTCTTTCGTCGAAGTTTCTCCACTCCTGCAGGCACCAACCAACAACTTGTTGGCACCAACACAGCCTCCGACATAAGAAAAACTTTTATCGAGTACTTCGTCAACGAGCACGGACACAAATTTGTCAAGTCAAGTTCTGTGATGCCACCTGGAGATGATCCCACCCTTCTTTTTGTTAACGCCGGGATGAACCAGGTTTTTTTTAATTTTCAAAAAACTTTTTGAAATATTATTTTTATCAATGAAATTTCAGTTCAAATCGGTCCTGCTGGGCAAGGCCGAGCCCGTGACCCCAAGGGCTGTGAACAGCCAAAAGTGCATCAGGGTTGGAGGAAAACACAACGACCTGGAAGCTGTCGGAAAAGACAGCACTCATCACACCTTTTTTGAAATGCTCGGCAACTGGTCTTTTTCCGACTATTTCAAGGCAAATTGCTCGAATATTTTTGAAAAGGTTATTTCATAAAAACGTTTATTTACAGGAAGATGCGTGTAAAATGGCCTGGAATCTCATGACTGGACCGTACGGCCTGGATCGAGACAAACTCGTTGTGACTTATTTCGGCGGCCACACAAAATCCAATTTGAAGGCTGACCAGGATTGTGCTGAAGTCTGGAGGTCCATGGGGTAAAGGGCGTTAATTAATGACTCAATTTAAGTTAAAAATTGAGTTCAGTTTGTTGCCGAGACAGATCATTCCCTTGGGGATGGACGACAATTTCTGGGAAATGGGACTCGTCGGGCCGTGCGGGCCTTGCACTGAAATTTACTACGTCAAAGATGGCAAACTGATGGAGCTGTGGAATCTGGTTTTTGTTGAATACGAGAGGAAGACGGACGGAGAGTTGCTGCTGCTTCCAAAAAAGCACGTAGACACAGGAATGGGGCTGGAAAGACTAACCAGGGTTTTGCAAGGGGTGGACAGCAATTACGACACAGACCTATTCAAACCTCTTATTAAAATAGTTGAGAAGGTGAAGTTTTAAAAAAAAATGTAAATTTCAAAATTAACTTTAGACTTGTAGGTGTCGAATAAAGAAAAGTACAGTGGCGTTTACAACGACGAGGCCATTTTAGACACAGCCTATAGAATTCTAGCAGATCATTCCAGGGCCATCAGCATTGCTCTGGCAGACGGAATGTACCCTAATAAAAAGTAATTTTACATCAAAGCTGAATTCTTCTCAATAAAATTTGGTATATTTTCAGCCATAGACTGAGAAAAATTATAGTGAAATGCTTCTCTCTGTCCGAGACGGTGTTCAACAAGCAGGGAATTGAGATTCTCCCACTCCTTGTTGAAGGTGTCACTGAAATTCTAGGTAAAATTGTCCTTTTACCTTGAAGATAGAAAATAAATTTTAATTATCTCAGGAGAATCATATCCTGAATTGCAAACCAACCTCGGCAGATCTCAGGAATTGATTCGGCAGGAGTTTGAAAGGTATAAGGAATTGAAGTCGCAGGCAAAGTCTGAGTGGGGGAAAGTCCTTGAGGAGTATCCTTCTCTTCAGTCCCTGCCAGATGACCACCCTGGTCTAGCACGAGCTGTGAATAAAGTCAAAGTAAGCAATTCTACTTAATTTGAACACAAATTTTATGAAAATTGCACAGGATTGTAAAGAAATAAATGGAAAGCTGGCCTTCTACCTGTACAGCAAATTTGGTCTCGATGAAGTCCTTATTCAAAGTCTGGCCGAGTGCCTGGACATTCCAGTCGACCTCGAAGGTCTTCACAAATTGCGCAATGCGGACAAAATTAAAACCATCGCAAGTTCCGGTAATGCCTGAGATAAAATTATAATCAAAAATTAAATAAAAAATTAGATAATTTGGAGAAAATCTTGGCCGATGAACATGTGCCACCGACTGGAGACCAATCCAAGTATTATTGGGAGTACAGAAATGGCCATTACATTTTTTCGGAGCAAATGGACTGCAAAATTTTAGCGTTGCTGCAGCACCATACTTTGTTGCAACAAGTGAAGGCTGGAGAGAGATGCACCGTTATAGTGGACCATACCCATTTTTATCACAAATCCGGAGGACAAATTTCCGATTCGGGAATTTTGTCTACCACCTCCGGCACTGGCGAAGTGGTTGATGTGCAGAGACACGGTATTAAAAGAAATAATTAAAAATAATTTTATTTTTAAACAATTAAAATTTATGCAGGTAAATATGTGGCGCACACTGTAAATGTCACCGAGGGAACTTTAAGCACAGGCGAAATCGGGAAACTGAAACTTAACACTGCAAATCGGCTGGGCTGCATGCAGAACCACTCGGCCACACACTTGCTGAACGCAGCCCTGCGCAAATTGCTGCCTAGCGTTCACCAGAGGGCCAGCCTAGTCACCCCCAACTTTTTGAATTTTGACTTTTCAACTCAAGTGGTGACGAAAGGGGGCGACCCGCCTACTTTGAACGACGAGCAGATCCAGTTTTTGGAGGATTTCGTCAACGAGCAGATCAAAGCTGCCCTGCCGGTCGCAAGGTCGACTGTCAGCCTCACAGATCTACCCCAGGGGACTGTAAAGACTCCTGGGGAAAAGTACCCCGAGACTGTGACTGTGGTCACCATTGGCAAAGACGTGTCCATCGAGCCTTGCTGGGGCACTCATTGCAACAACACGGCCGACCTTTTACACTTCTGCATCATTTCGGAAACGTCGGACAAGACAGGGGCCCTGTCACTTCGGGCGCTCACAGGTCACAAGGCCCAGGCGGCGGTTCAGGAGGGAAGGCAGGCGGAGCAGGAGGTCAGTGACCTTCAACTGGCAGTCCAAGGAAGTTACAACGGCTCTAAAATTAGTGAGAGTGTAAAAGTCTTGATGAATAAGCTTAAGGAAAATGACGTTCCTCTGCTGGTGAAGAAGCGCCTCATCAACTCTCTTAGTGAAATTGACAAAAAGGTAGTAAAAATTTTATTGCAATCAAATATATTTAATTTGAATTTGCAGGTTTCTGGTGACAGAAAGGCAATTTGCAAGGAATTAGTGGAGAAGCACGTCAAGGAGTGTCTTGCAAAATCCAAATCTCCGTACATTGTTTCGTTGTTGTCCAGCAAACATTATGAGCCTCTGAGTCTTAGACTCGCAAATACGATGTGCCTGCCTGACAAAGCGTCGTTATTTATTGCCAAAGACGGGGATGGATTCCTCAGAGGAAGATGCGTCGTCCCAGTGGTGCGCTTTTTTCCAGCTTTGAACTATTAAAAATCTTATAATTTGTATTTAATCAGGATCTAGTTTCTGCGTCGTTTGATGCACAATCGTGGATGTCCCCCGTTTTGAAAATTCTCGGCGCCGAGGGAGGAGCGCCTCTGAAAAAAGACGGGAAATCGCATTTTCTGATGAACCCGAAAAAATTGACAGATGATTTTGACAGCGCCCTGCTCGACAAAGCGTTAAAAGAGGCTGAAAATTACGCTCGAGCTTCCCTTCTGCTGTCAGCATTACAAAGGGAACAGTGAAAATATAGATATTAATTTATTAAAACAAGTCATTTTTATTTTTTATTTACTATAAAAATTAACCTTTTAAAACTGGATTTTATTGGCCTCAACAGGAAAACAAACAGATAAAAATCAAATGAGTGTGTAAATTATGCAGCATGTGGTCAGTAATGATCTTGCCAAGCAACTTCTCCTAGCTTTCTATAACATGTAAAGTCGAGGGCGGGCCGGATCTGATCGAACAACTTAATGGAAGGGGAGAGATGGAGAGTGGGTGTCTTGCTATGATCGTTCGTGAGAGCCTCGGGAGCTTGTCCTTCAATTTTTACCTGAACCTTTGTGTTTCCTGGGCTGTTGCCACCACATAAAAAGATTTCAACTGACAGGCGCAGAAACATATTTTACGATCTTTTTTAATAGATAAAAATTAGCAAATAATGAAGAGGGCAGATTATTCATAAACAACAAGAGAGAATTGCTTTATTATTAAATGTTTTGTACGTGATCAGAATGAACTACAAAAAGCAAATCAATTTGCCCTTGAGTGACGAGTAACAAAGAAGCTTTTGATCGTAATAATATGAGGGGCGGCATTCATATGAATTAATAATTCTGCGAGCGTTTGTCGTCATCAAGTAAAGATTTATTTCTCATTACAATAAATTAACCAAATGTTATTACATCACTACGCGTTATTACTAAATGTTGGTGTGTGTGTGTGTTGATTGTGTGTATAAGAGCATTGATAGAGAACAAAAGGCGCGTATTAAAGTGGAAGACAGAATTCGACCAAAACACCAAAGCATTATCATTTTTTTTTTTTATCTTCTCTTGGTCCTTCTGGTGGAAAATATTTTCTTAAAATGTACAACGCAATTTTAAATTTGCAGCAAAATAACTGCACCTTCTTGAGTGGACTGGGATTTACGCAGTCCTGTTTTTGTAATAATCATGTTTTTTCCCTCATAAAAATGCACACGCGGAAAACTCACACAATCAGCAGATGATTGACATTTCAGGGTTATAAAAGGGTTGACGGGCGATCCTCACAGAGGCGCAAAAAAGTAAAGCAACTTGAGTAGGAGTAAAAGTAAAGGTTAGGGAACAGACCAGAGAGTGTTTGTAAAAATATACTAAAAATTCACATGCGTTTACTTTATTAATTTTGGGCCAGCAATCTCGCTTCTCACACTTTTCATCACAGAGGAGAGTTTTCATATATTGCAATTTTCACAAAAAATATCTCATCTTATCCAGACAGCTTGAGTAAAACTTTGTGCAAAATTTTCCAAACTCCACTGCAACTGTCCACACTTGAAAACATACCAACTTATTCTCAATATTCTAAACAAACTATGAAATTATTGTGCTATTAGTTTTTTAATTTAAAAACTCTTGCTGTAGTTTCTGAGGAACAAAGTTGAATTTCTTTGTCTACGCCGTTAATGGTGTGTGTGTAAAAATATTAATCAACATTGATATAAACCACTCTGCATTGTAAAACGTCTCAACATTTGGTGTTCAAATATAATCTTATAAAAACAATACAGTGCCCTGCACCTTCCTTCACAATCAACAACAAGGAGATTTCCACCAGAATTTGATAAAGCTTGTTTTCCAGAAAATCGGCGCAATTTTCATGTTGGTACAAAAATACAATCAGATGTAAGCATGGTGTACACGGAAAGAGATTAAATTATTATGACTATGAACAATGCACTAATTTTAAGGCACAGTGAAAGTTAGTTATTGGCAAGCTGGTATTTAAACACGCTGGTTTTCCTCAGATTCAGCAAATCCATCAAATGTTCCCCGAACAGTATCAAAACAACTGTAAAAATTTCAAAAATTTTGAGTCTATCTCATTCTAAGGCAACAATAGACTTTGACATTTAAAGGCGTTCACCAAATCATTTGCATATATCACTGATGGAAGACCACATTCGGCAAAAAGCGCATACTTCACAAAAGTTGACAAATAAAGTTTGTCATTCGGCAATTTCTTTCTCTTTCTCAGCTAGCTTAAGTTGCTGCCTCTCCTATAAGAATTATGTACAAGCCAGTTACATTCTACGTATTAGTTTTTATGCATTATTAGTGCTCAGAAGTCCGTGTCCCAGCCAGAGACGTCGTCAGGAGGCGCCCCCTCGGCGTCCGGAGGGTACTCGTCAAAGTTGGACACGTCAATCTCGCTCTTGACTTGAGGAAGAATGGGGGGAATGAGGGTGTGGATGCGCAGACCTTCCCAGTTGAAGCCATCAAACCACCTTAGAAAGAAAAATAAATTATTAATTATATTCCAATAAATTTTTTTTTAGAAAAAATGTACTTGTGTTTCTGAATTTCGCTAATTCCTCCTTTCTGGTACCCAAGTCTTTCTGCTGGATTGTCTCTGTGGTAGAAATATGTATTAATGTTTTGACGATTTATTTAAGATGGTCTTCCAAATTACCGGCAAAGCTTTTTGATGAGGGCTGTGGCGTTTCTGGTGATGTTGCGAGGGAATTCAATGGCGTCGATGCCCTTGAGGATGATGTTGTAGGTCTTCATGGGGTCAGCGCCAGTGAAGGGAGGGGTGCCGGTGAGCAGCTCAAACATGAGGACGCCCAAGGACCAGTAGTCAGCGCTAATGTCGTGACCTCGGTTCAGGATCACCTCAGGCGCCACGTACTCCGGCGTTCCGCAGAATGTCCAAGTTTTACGACCATGCTACAATTTTTATTATAAATAAATTTAGAAGAAGAAATAAAAAAACAATTTTTACCACGAGTTTCTTTGCGAAACCAAAATCGACAAGTTTGACGTAGCCGTTGACGTCCAGAAGCAAATTTTCAGGCTTCAAGTCTCGGTAAATGATGTTCCGGCTGTGCAAGTAGTCGAAAGCTTCGACCACGCAGGCCGTGTAGAATCGGGTCGTCGAGTCGTCAAAGTGACCTCGGTCTCGCAGGATTGTCCACAACTCGCCGCCCAGACAGGACTCCATCAGCATGTACAAGTACTTCTGGTCCTTGAAGGTTTTGAAGAGTTTGACGATGAAGTCGCAGTTGGCCTCGCCCATGATCTCCTTCTCGGACATTATGTGCTGCTGCTGCCGAGTTTCCACAATCTGCGAGAAGATTCACAATTTTTAATCAATTTCATCCTAAGAAATAAAGACTAATTTAAATTTCGCACCTGGGCCTTTTTCATCTGCTTGAGGGCAAAGGAGCGATTGTGGTCGCCCATGATTTGGACGAGCTCAACTCGGCCGAAACCTCCGACGCCCAAGGTGGCGATGATGCGCAGGTCTTGCAGACGCACTTCTTTGAATTCTTCATTGATTCTGAAATAATTAGAAAGCATCAGCTGATTGCTCAGTGCAAACGTGCGCTGCAAATCAAACACAATTGCTGGTTGACCTTACCGGATTGTTCATCCTTTAGAGCGATAGCGTGTTTTAACAAGAGAAAGGCGGTGATAGAAAGTTGGCACCTATCTGGATTGAATTAAAAGGAATTACCTTCTTCTTTCGACGACTTCATCCTTGTAGCGCGTTCGGATCTCGTCCAGGGTGGAGATGAGTTGGTTGAACGTTTCCCGATCGATCACCAAGCAAGAAACGCCCTCGGCATCGTCCGCAATAATATTAGCCGTTCGCAAGTCATCTCTGCGAAAATAAATTTTTTTAGATTTTGTTATCAGAGTGAATTAGAAGCGACTGACCCTTGCAACGCTTTCTCTCCAAAAAAGTCTCCTTTGTGCAAGGTGCGGATGTACTTTTCTTGGGTCGTGTCCTGCTGCTTGATGGTCACTTTTACCTGGAAAGGAATCAGGTCAAAAAATGAATGTGTTGAAACTCATAAAACTGACCTTTCCCTTGCTGATGATAAAGAATGTGTCGCCGCGTGCGCCTTGTCGCACAATATAGTCGCCTTCATTGTAAAAAGTCTGAAATTATGTACAATTATCGTGAGATAAAGTCAAAGAAAACGAATAAAAAAAGCCAACCTCTTCAAGAACGTCTGATATTTTGATCAACGTGTCTTCTGGCAAGTTTTTGAAAATAGGAACACTGAAATTTGATTTCAATTTTAATAATAATTTTCTTAAAAAAATATAATATAAAAATTTCACCTTTTCAGGAAATCTGTGTATTCGGCCTGGCGAATCAAGCCTGTCCTCATCATGATGGTCTGGAAGCATTGTCGGTCGATGGCCCACAATTTGCAGTCAGTGGCAGCTGCAAATCACAATCAAAGCAATGTTTTGTATTGTTTTTTTTTTGTCCTGCTTACCCTTGATGGTGGCCGTCCTCTTGCAGTTGTACAGAATGGCCAGTTCGCCAAACACTTTGCCCGGGGCCAGAGTGCTGAGATACTTCTCATCTCGCGACACTTCCACGCGGCCCTCTGAAGCACAAAACAGAGAGATTCATTTTTAGGATACAAAAAGAACCGTTATAAGCCGCTGGTTCTCATAAAAAATTCTATGATTTCGTCTGGATTCATATTTTGAGCAGCTCACTTGAATCCTAAAGACAGAAACGCTTTTGGAAAAACAGAAAATTCTTTGTTTAAAATAAAAACTAAACCTTGAGGCATATTGGGGGAATTGTATTTAATTACAGGAAATTTAAAATCAATTGAATGTGAACTTAAGTAAGAACACGTTGAAAATTAAATAAATTGGAATTTTAATGAGGTGCCTTTTTTTAGTTTGGAATAATCTGAAGTGATCTTTTTTTAATTTTTTACAAATTGAAGTTTTTCCTGAAGATGAGGTTTGGCACCAAAGAAGGCTCATTGTGTTGCCTCCATTTCTCTAATTGTTGAATAAACTATTTTTAAAATGATTAATTTAAAATTTTTTAATCTCTCTAAACAAATTTTTCTGATCTAATTTTTTGTCTTTGTCGCTGAGCATCAAATTACGCAGGTAATTAATTAAGTCTTTCCAGTAATTTTGGTGTCGTCGCAATTAGCGTGTTGCATAGTCCAAAAGGGAGAGTTATTACTCAACGCGTGTGCAGACAATGGGAACAAGTGGCCTCCAACAAAGCGTTACATTTTTCTCATAACGTAAGAGCACTCGAGAGATGATCTCGTTGAAAAGTGAAACGCCCTTAAATCATAGCGCGAATCTAAAAATAGCACGCCTGGCTTTGAATTTTAATCGGCCAATAAAACTCTTTTTTGTTTTCCACGTGCACCCATCTGTCAATAGCGCGCCGAGTGTGTTTGCTTCGCTATCTTGAAATTTATCAAGCGAGAGAGTGAGAGAGCAAACAAAATTATTATTATGCGCACTGCTCCTTAATCTCCCCTGGATCAATTTGTGATATTTTCTCTCTCACTCTGCTGGCAACAAGTGCGCGTCTTGTTTTTATCTCTCTCAATCCGTTGAGAAAATTATAAACTCTGATTCGAAAGTGAAGGAAGCTTCTAAGGGAGCTATTTGGTTTCACGCGCCGAACTGGTTGTTGAGACCAAATCAAGGTGAAATACACACGTTTTGTGTTCCGTGTTCCAGATGAACAAAAAAAAATTCAGACGAAAAAACGACCGACAAAAGAAGGAAAGGACGGAGAAGAATATAACCTTGAGTGCAACAACAAAAGCGCTCCTCACGCTTGCAATTATATTTCTACACTTGTTGTTGCTGGAGTGAAAGTCACTTTTCATGCAACCGCAATTTTTACTGAAATTTTCCGATAGATTCTCAGCACATTTATATTGCCACGGATTGACTGGCTCTGGTGAGAGGCACAAATCGACTTCCGCTATTTAGTTTTTGGCCGGCGGGCGATCCATTTAAGTGAATGTCAAAGTCGCGGCGCGCGAAGGTTTTGGCAACGAACAAGAGAAAGAAAGAGTTGGAATAAAGAAGGATTTCCATCACGGTTTTAACGAGTGATTTCTTTCTTGGTTTTTTCGGCCGGCCACGTCGAGTGCACTCGAGCATGGTCATGCGCCGATACCGTGACTCATCCGATTGTGAGGCAACAAAGAGTGAATTCCCCGCGACGGTGTCCCAATTTTTCCGCCACTGCTGTAATATTTAACCGTTCAATTAGGTCCTTTTGTTGCGAAAATAAATAATAAAAATACCGCTTCGGAAGTAAAGCAGGTGGCCACGCTAAATCGCGAATATTAGAAAGGGTGTTCAGGCTTAAAGAGTCTGGAAACTCTTTAAAAAAACATTTAAATCTCTAATATGAACATCATCTTAGGTCTTGGCGTAAAGATTCCAACGCTTTGAAATAATTTTTTTAGCACAAAAATTGGAAAAACTATCAAATTTTAAGGTTTTTAAGTGGCGGCTACCTTTGTTTCTGGGAAATATTGGAAGTTGTTAATTTCTTTAACGGAAACTTTTAAAATGTTGATTTTCAAGCAGTGTGATGACCTGCGCAGTGGATTGCAGACTGCACCACGCATGCGCAGAAAGCATTTCTGGATTCCTTGCACCACCAATTGCAATTCCGCGAGGGAGGTTTTGTCTTTACCATGGTGATTGGGTTCAGGTGACGAGGTGATTGACTGGAACCAGTTGCCGGTGCGTCGCTTGCGTCCGTTCGCGTGCACCGGGACGATCAGCTTGGGCCTGGGGATGCAGAAGGAGTCGTCCGTGGGGGCTCGTTGGCGGGCCGAGGGGAGGCGCGGGAGGGTGGGCGAGGGTCGGTGGCGCCGCTGGTTGTCGGCGGCGCCGATCAGGAATTCGCTGCTCGGCGCCAAAAGCTCCAAATCGTGCAGCTTTTCGTCTTCGTCGTCTTGAGATCGGTCGGTGACTAGAGGGGAGGGGGAGGAGTCGCTGCTGCACAGGGCGCTGAGGCGCTTCAGGGTGCTCTCGTACTTGTTGTCGTGCAACGAAGGGTAGACGAGCGAGTCGAGCTGCTCGACGGCGGCCTCCATTTGTGAGGAGGAGCGCGACGACGACGAGCAGTCGCGCCACCGAGACTCGTACGCGTCCAGCCTGTCGGCCTGCGACTGCAGCCCCCGCCCCTCCCCCTCGCCCTTCTGCTCCACGGCCTTGCCAGGGTGGTGCCGCAGGGTGCAGTCCAGCATGCTACCCGCATCGCATCCTCCTTCCGATTTAGAGAACAATTATTTCCGAGCGCCCGACACGAATCCACACGAGCGACTGCAGCTCTTCGCCTGCTCTACTCTCTCATTTCTTTCTTCCGAGCGTCATGGCCACTCCGGCTAACGGAGGAGGAGGCGGAGGGGAGTGCGACCAGGATCCGCTGCAGCGCACGGTGGGGACCAACACACTTTTAACTTTTACTCAAACGACCTGACTTCACCAACTACTTTTTACGCTAAAAAAAGGACAATCGATTACTCCGAATGAATCCGAACAAAATCAATTTCTAATTCAACCTTTTTATTTCTTTTTTTTTTAGATAAAAACTTTTTTACTAAAAAAGTATCAGTTTTGTGAGCGTGATGGTCCCGTTTACTTCCGCTGGCCTAAATTGAGGAAGTGCTGATTTTTTTTCGTGCCCACTTTCAATCCAATTAAGGCGAAACATTATTTTTTTTCCTTATTCTGATTTATGTTCATTCCAGTTTCGATTTCAGAATCACATGATCGTTTTCTATCTCGGTGCGGCAGATGGCGTGACACATTAATGTACAGCTAATTGTTTACCTGCTGACCTCGATCGGCCGAGGAATTTTCTGTCTTTTTTACGCTAGAAAAGCTGCAGCGTTTTGTCGCTCTACTCCACATTCATCGCGAGAAACAAAACGGTTCTATTTTTAGAGAGAAACTTTCTTTCTTGAATAAATTTGATTGATGTGCGTTTACCTTCCATGACGTAGACGATGCTGCCGACATCGCCCTCTTTGATGATGAGACTGCCTGCCTGGTACTCGACGGGGTACATGCAGTCCACGATCTCGCTGATGTGCGTCATTTCCAAATTCTTCATGAAATCATTGTCCAGGATCGCGGCTTTGATGAGTTCGCGCGATCTGCAAAAAAAGAAAAACTTTGTTAGCACTCTTTGAAAAGCCAAACCATTTTGCACTTCGCGCCGGTTTGCTAAAGACAAGAGCACACAAAGGAAGCTAGAAATGTGAATTGGCAAATAAGCTCAAAATCCGCAGAAAAATAATTCATCCAAAATTTATTAATAAATTTTTTCCGTTTTTAAGGATTTAAATTTACTAATAAAAAATAATTTAAAAATTAAATTTCATATCTAAACGTTTTCTTTCATTTTTCTTTTGAAAAATAAATGTCGTGCGGGTTGCGGACAACTTGTTATGCTCGCCAAATTTATACCAACTCTCGCCTAGACGAGTTGGGGATTAAAAGGCGATCAGAGGCATGGGAACCGCATGTTCTCTTTTGGATGGAGCTAAATTTTGATCAGCAACCGCATTTTAATTTTCAGAGTAAAAAAATATAATTAATTTTGAAGCAATTAAATTTTGTTTTCAACAAAAATCATTACTGATTGTAAGTGAATGTAAATTCCTATTTGAAAAATAAGAATCTTTAGAAAAAAAATGTTTTTAATTTAATAAATTATTGAAGTTCATACAAATAAAAATAAATTAAAATTCTATCTTGCAAATTATTTCAGTTGTCTTGTTTTTTAATTGGTTTTAAGTGTGAAAATAAACTCTAAACTTAACTCGATAAATAAATAAATGACACATTTTTCTTGGGATTGCGTACGAGAATTGGTGTTTGCGCGCAAGTGCGCGCACCTTCTTGTCAGATCTATTTTGAGTTTTGCATAAACGACGCGAGATGACAGACGGAAATGGTGGCGAGGTGTCAAAAGATAATACCCTTGAGAGCTCTCGGAAGGGAGCACTCCAAACAAACCGAGGGTGCTTCAAACGACAAACAAAGTGCACGCTAAGTGCCACAAGTTTGTACTCCTTTTTTTGCTCATATCAATTTTTTAGGTCTGCGATTAAAATAGGGGTTTAAAAAAAAAAAAAAAAAAAGTTGAAAAGTTTGGTTCCAGCTGTTAATAATTTACTCTGTGTCTCACTGGACGCCACCGGCATGAGAGAGAAGCGCTATTTTTAGCCTCTTGCATAATTCCACTGATCAATTCGACTCGGTCGGCCGAGCTCGAAAAAATTGAGAGCGCATATTTTTTTCAGCTCTCTAAATTTAACTCCAAATAAATTATTTCCAGATTAATTTTCTCGAAAGCGTTTGGTAAATATTTTGTCAGGATTATTGGCTCGCGTCCGATTTTCAGCCAGGGAGTGTTGCCAAAAGAGGAAATTTACTGCATGCGAAATGCGACACCATGCTTAGGTGGTCTGTCAATTTCTGGTTTTTATTCTATCAGGTCCCCGCCTCCAGCCACCCCCGGCCCGAAGTGTGTTCGGCCAGCGCGCTTTTTCCTTCAGGGTTGTGAAGCCCTGGAATGACCTGCCACCGATCCTCAAAGACTGTCCAACCAGCAATTTTCCCTCCCTTTGCAAGCAGCACTTGTGGCAGCAATTTTAAAGTGTCGTGATTATTCTTTTTTTTAAATAGTGTGGGTTCACGCGGTGGCCGATTTCTTTTTGATGTCGGGCGTTTTAGCAGACCTCTGCTAGTTGTGATACCCTTTCTGCTCATTTTTTCCAAATCAATTTTTTTCATGTATGACTTGAGTAGAATAAACAATAACAACAAAACTGTCACTTTTCTAGCTGCCCATTTAGTTTCTAAAATATGTAGCAAGACAAAAGAACCGGAATTTTTTGGTTGATATGATTATTCTTTTTGTGACAAATTTGACTCCTGTCCAAGTTTTTTGGGTCGAAACATATTTTAAAACTCGTAGAAATGGCAGATTTACCTCTAGTTTGGGTCAATTCTAAATTCGATCTTTCAGAAATATATTACAACCAGCGTGAAATTTTTTTATATTAATTGGAATCTATATACTGAAAATAAAATAAGAGAACTTCGAAATACTTTAATCTACCTTTTCGTGACGAGACAGATTCAATGTAAATTTATTAGCAACATTTTCATTGAATTTATTTGATTTAGAGAAACAAATTGCATCTGTTTAAAGATAAAATGGGAAAAATGTAATTTAAAAAGATTAATTTCAATTAATAATCTTGAAAAGTTCAAATCCGACAAAAAATGATACAAATGAATTCACTGCAATTGAAAAAAATTATTTATTTCAATCAGCTCTAAACCAATAGTTTCAAATGTAATGAATTTGCAAAGCAAAATCTAAGAAATCTAAAAAGTTTAGTTTGAAAATTAAAAAACTGATCAAAGCTTTCATAAAATTCGCAAAATTCAAGTTTCCAATATGAAATTTTTCTTATGATATCCTTGACCTTTTTAAATATAAAATCAAATTCAATTAAATACTTCACAAAGGCAACACAATATTTACTAATGATTTCAAGAAATGGAAATACTTAAAAAATTCAAAAGTTTGCACTTAAGTTTTCATTAAAATTCATTTAATTTGTGATATTTTTACATTTTTACAGCCAATTTAGCAATTCAACGTTCGCTTTTAGTAAATGGATCGTTTGTCAAAATTGAACAATTCCGTCACAAAAAATTTGAAAAACTTCAGAAAAAAATCTTTTGAATGAAGTTGACTTCTCTGTATGTAAGATAAAGATTTTTGCGTGTTTTTTGGCAGCTCGACTCACTCGTCGGTTTTGTAAACGGGCTGCGAGGTGGCGCCGCCGGCGGCGCCGAGCGGCTCGGCCGAGATGGCCTGGCGCTTGACGCGGACGGGGAGCGGCTTGGGCAGGTGGAAGGCCGGCCGCACCACCTGCTGGAACTTGTCGATCTCGTTGCGGAGGGCGCGGATGACCCTGTCGCGGTCGCGCACCTCGCGCTCCAGGTACTCGACGACGGCGTCGCGGCGCCGCACCTCCTCCAGCCGCTCGGCCAGCAGCCGCTGCAGCTCGCGCAGGGTCGCCATCCAGCCTCCGAGTGCGAGTGACACGCCTCGCCACCCCCGGCGACACCCAAGCAGTTAAAAAAAGATCTCGGGCGACGCGCAGATTCACCTCGCGCACCGCAATATCAATTTCAAACGTCAAACTCGTTCAAAAGTGCGGAATTTTAATTTTCTAGTATTCTTGCTTCATTTTTTATATTTATAAACTTTTAGCACTCCTCGTAATATTTTTTATACCTCAAGTATTGGAAAATGTAAGTTTTTAGGAAAAAGAAATTAAAACTTGCTTTCCTTAATAATAGGAATTCATTGCCGAAAACAGTCGTATAGTTCAAGATTCTTGCCACTTTTAATAAGAATTTTTTTAATTGCATTTCTGGAAATCTAAACAGTCAGAAACGCAAAAAGAATTTTTTTATAAATTCAAATTTCAAACCTTTTTCGCCAGTTTTTAGTTTTTTAAATGTTTCAATGGAGTTGAAATTTGCTATAATTTTGCAGTTCTCATTAATAGGGCTGAGAAGCTGAAAAACCAAAATATTTTTTTCTCCGTCTCTCTCTTCAGTATTTCACTACTTTCATTTCTTACTTTTTATCAACTTTTACATGTTATCTCTTTTAGAATATTTTTCAGGGCACTGGTAGATCTCACTTTCCGTTCTATATTAAAAAAAAAAACTGAAAATAAGCTCTTTTTCTTCTTCAAAATTCTCCTTGAAATTCTTCCAATTATTAAAGAAGATTGTCCTTGCTTCATTATTGAAAAAAAAACCTAGCTCTGAAGCTTTAATATTTCTTCATAATTCAATCCGAAGCTTTTGAGGAAATTTCTAATTTTAAATGTTTGATGTATTTCTCGGCCGTCAATGTTGGAGGTTGCATAATTTACAGGAGCACCGCAATTAATTTTTTCACCTTGTTGGAAGGTCGCTGACCTTGGACATGACGACATGACAAGCTGGTCTTTCTATATAGGTGGTCGTCGTTTTTTTTCCAAATCAGGAGCTTCAACCTGCGCTGACGCGAGATTCATTTGACCTGTACAGACCTTTGCACAATTTTCAGATCCTCAAATAGAAGCAAAAAGGTAATCTCTACTTTGAAATATCAAAAGTTTCCTTTTTTAAATCTAAAAAATTTAACTTTTTGTTCAAAAACAAAACTGTTTTTCACTTGATTTCATTATTGACTATTTTTATTTAATTATTTTTTTAAGCTTATTGAAAGATCAAGTTATTAAAAACATTTTGACATGAAGTCAAAACATTAATTTTCTCACGATGGCGTCGCAGCAGATTAAAATTTAACGATTTTTCAGGTTGCGATGGGCCAACGATAAGGTGGTCTCTTTTGAATTTAAAACAATTTCGCTGCGTAAGGAAAATCATTTGCACATATAATCGGATTTCCCGAGGCTAAATCGTTAAAGCGATTTGTTTCGAGCGAGAATGACATAATTCGCCGCGGCTCGTCTAAATAGGATGAAAAATCGGCCGAGCAAAAAGTGCGAAAGATTGAGATAAAAAGCGGTTCAGGTTTTGCGAGCTATAAAAACGACAGCCGCGTGTGTGTTGACGCGTTCCTCGTGCATGCATGACTGCTTTTACTGCAGAACCAAATATCAAAAATGCTGCCTCAACATGTACGCACGCCAATTAGCATTCACAGACACAGATTGTCGTTCAATGTTTGCTTAGAAATGAATTGCTAATTATTCAAACTCGTTTCTTCAAATTAATTGGAATCCAAATACTAAATGTTTCGGTGAAAAAGATTCTTATACGACTTTGCGGGCTTCAATTTTACTTAAAATTTCTTTAAAAAAAAATAGGACTGAAGATTTAATGCTTATTTAAATTATCCTTAAGACCTAAATAAATAAATTGTCTTTAAACAAAAATGATTCAAATGTAATAATTTTAATTGTCCTCATTCTTTTACCAAACAAGCAAACATCTCTCCATTTTGAAAGATTCTCAAAATTTAGATTCTTCAGAAGACAAGGAACTGATATTGTAAGGTTAAAGCAATTTTAAATTAATAAAAATTTTGTAAATAAATTTACCAACC